GCAGGCAAGCACACCCAGTCGTCTGGAGTGACAGAGCCCACTGCAACAAAGTTGTTAACAAAGAAGCAACTTTATTGAGAAGGTTCCTACACTGACCTGTCAGGCCACAGCACAGGCTCGGGAGCTGATACTGCGCCCCGAGCAGCCCCCATTCTTTGGTTTTTAAAGGCAAAATCCATGCGGTCGAGCCTGGTCACTTGCAGGTGACCAATGGGATCATAACACACAAAGGATTGTATAATCATACCAGACCACACACAGGTGGCCAATAGGCGGAGTTTACCGCAAGCATGTGCAAAAGGCAGGGTTTACCATAAGCAAGTAGTGTCACCAGTTGGAGCCAGATTACAACCTATCTGTTTTATGGGTCAATCTTTAACTCAACAATCAAGGGTGGGTTAGGTTATTAAGGGGAGAGGGACCAGATGCATTTTTTTTCATTCTAGGAACTAGGCTCATCAAGTTTAAAATCCCTAAAACAGGGGCTGGGAAGGTGGCTCAGTGGTGAGCGCTTGCCTTGCATGCCTGAGCCCCGGGGTTTGATTCCTCAGCACCACATAGCAAAAAGAAAAAAGCCGAAAGTGGCGCTGTAGCTCAAGTGGTAGAGCACTAGCCTTGAGCTGAAGAGCTGAGGGACAGCGCCCAGGCCCAGAGTTCAGGCCCCACGACTGGACCAAAAAATAAAAAATAAAAATAAAATCCCTAAAACAAAGGCAAAGCTCAAAATGGAATCCTACCAGCTGGGGCCCCATCTCAGGGTCCACTTCAGTCCCTATATGTAAATTATTGAGGAATGATGATCATCAAGCCGAGCCATTTTTGTATTCCCATTGATAATGCAAAAGGATTCTTATTCCTTTACATTTTTGGTCTATATCCTGATAGACTTGGGTAAAAGCATTTGTCAAAATTATCTAATTCCAGGCTGGGAAGGTGGCTCAGTGGTAGAGCGCTTGCCTTGCATGCATGAGGCCTTGGGTTCGATTCCTCAGTACCACATAAGCAAAAAGAAAAAAACCAGAAGTGGTGCTGTGGCTCAAGTGGTAGAGTGCTAGCCTTGAGCTGAAGAGCTGAGGGACAGCGCCCAGACCCAGAGGTCAAGCCCCATGACCGGACCCAAAAAGGAAAAAAAATTATATAATTCCATACTTAAGCTTGTACATTTTGTGTACAATGCCAATTTCATCTCCATAAGAAAAACCAAACAAGCCATTATGTGGTGTAACCCTAGCTACTTAGAAGAGAGAGAGATCAGGAGATTCTAGTTTGAGATCAGCCCAAGCATAAAAGTTTGAGAGATTCCATTTCAATCAATGGCTAGGGACAATGGCTTATGCCTAATAACCTAACCTACTGGGGAAGCGCAATGGCTGAGTGTAGTGAAGCACTTCTGTCACCCCACTGGCAAAGGCAAACACAAATAGGAGGAATGTATTGTGGGCCAGCTGGGGCATAAGGCAAGATTTTAATCTTGAAAATAACCAGTGCAAAAAAGGGACCAGTACAGTGGTTCAAGAAGTAGAACACCTGGTTAGATTCAGACCCTGAGTTCAAGCCACAGTGTAAGAGGTACTTAAAAGCTGCTTTTGCTGAGGAACACTGACTGTTTGTGCCCACAAATTAGTTAAAACCTGTCAGCAGTTTACAGCTGTAATCCTAGCTACACAGGAGGCTGAGATTTGAGAATTGCAGTTAAAAGCTAGCCTGGGCAAGGAAGTTCGTGAGACTCTTATCTCCAATAACTACCAAAAAAATCCAGAAGTGGAGCTCAAGCGATAAAGTGCTAGCCTTGAAAGCAAAAAGGCTCAGGGACAGTGCCCAAGCCCTGAGTTCAAGCTCCAGGACCAGCACCCCCTGACACAAGGAGGGGGGCGGAAATAGGAGAAAATCTGGTCATTCCTGCCTCCATTTTGTATCTACATTCTTTTCTCCGAGTCATTATCTCCTGTAGTTATTTTACAACCATCTTGAAAGCCAGGAAGGAGAACACAGAAAACCAGGGCAATAGTCATTGTGCCAGGCCACAGACCCCCAAAGACCACCAAGGAGCCAAATCCGAGTACGTGAGAGCCATTTATTGCAAGCTCAAGCCTGGACTCACAATCATCACTGAAGCAGCGAGTCAGAGTTGTGAGCCCTGACCACATGTTCAGCAGGGTTTTTATAGGGTTTCCAACAAGAGGAGGTGTTTCCACCCTAGCAGTTACATGATTGGTTTAAGGTTCTCGGGTTTCCACCTAATTGGTCAGCATTTCATGGGCAAGTTTCAGGTAGGCTCATTGGTTAGGGGCATAATCATTTCCAGTAAGGGTAGGGGCTTTCCAACTTAGTGATTACAGGATTGGTTAAATCATACATAGCAAGCAGCTCATTGGTTGGGATACATAAGACTAACCATAGGAATGCAGGCAACAATATATTTTTTAACTGTTTATGACCCTACAGCTGCTTTTTCCAGGAACTTGACCCACCTGTCCATTTTCCAGTAACTGGGGTCATGTTTCTCAGCCCTTTGCCTAACTGGCAGCTGCTAGGGGGTATTATTGCAGTTTCCATTGTGGGTTTTCCTGAGAACTTTTCCAAAAACTGTTTTTTCCGACAACTGTTTGTCCCTTTAGTGGCTAACTTGTGTTCTTCCTCAACATAGCCAGGTGTTAATATTATTATAACAATGATCCACTGGACCAATTTTGAGATTTTTGAGACCAATTTGTCAGACTACATCTGACAGCACCTCTGGCCACCCCTCACCACCTCTGAACATCTCTGTGACTTGGGACTCTTAACTATACATGTATATCTCTTATCTTTTGCCCCTTAGACATTAAGCTAAGGCCAATGTGTGTACTTCAATGATGGATGAAACTTAACTCAAATCTTCCTGTGTCATATGTGACATGTCTCTGCCCTTCACCATGTCTTTTTATTTTGGCCGGATTTGATATGTGAAATTCCTGAAGTTTGGGCCTGGGGTCTAAAATTCCAGTTCCATCTATGCTGCCCAGTAAAAACCCAACCAACCAAACGAACAAACAAATACGTATTGAACTCTAGTTAATGATATTGTTAAGTGAAGCCAGGCATTTGTTGGAAAACAGAAAATAGATTTTTATTCAGTAACAGTAGTTGCAGTAAGAGAAAGGACTGAGGTCTTTTTCAGTTTGTGCAGAAGGGCCTGGACACTTTAAAGGGGAGATAGGATTGCTTAGATAAAGAAATAATGACAAAGGATGTGTGTGTGTGTGTGTGTGTGTGTGTGCGCGTGCCAGTCCTGGGCACACAGTCCTTGAATTCTGGGTGCTATCCTGAGCTTTTTATGCAAGGCTAGCGCTCTACCACTTGAGCCACAGCCATACTTCCAGCTTTTTCTGAGTAGTTTATTGGAGATAAGAGTCTCACGGACTTTCCTGCCTGGGCTGGCTTTGAAGTGTTATCCTCAGATCTTAGCCTCCTGACAAGCAGGCTGTCATTTTTAGGTATGAAGTGTATTAAAGTGGACCCTGAGATGGGGTCCCAGCTGGTAGGATTCTATTTTGAGCTTTGCCTTTATTTTAGGGATTTTAGACTTGATGGGCCTAGTTCCTAGAATGAAAAAAAATGCATCTGGTCCCCCTCCCCCTTAACAACCTAACCCACCCTTGATTATTGAGTTAAAGACTGACCCATAAAACAGATAGGTTGTAATCTGGCTCCAACTGGTGACACCACTTGCTTATGGTAAACCCTTTTGCACATGCTTAGGGTAAACTCCGCCTATTGGCCACCTGGTCTGGTATGACTATACAATCCTTTGTGTGTTATGATCCCATTGGTCACCTGCGAGTGACCAGGCTCAACCTCATGGATTTTGCCTTTAAAAACCAAACAATGGAGGCTGCTTGGGGTTGCAGTATCAGCTCCGGAGCCTGTGCTGTGGCCTGACAGGTCAGTGTAGGAACCTTCTCAATAAAGTTGCTTCTTTGATAACAACTTTATTGCAGTGGGCTCTGTTACTCCAGATGACTAGGTGTGCTTGCTTGCCTGAGTAGGGGTCTTCCTAATACAGTATCAGTAAATAAAGCACAGTGATGTGCTCAGTGCACAGACTGTTTGACATGCTTTGAGAATTAAAAAATAAAAAAACTTGTAGGAGTCTTTTTTTTTTTTTTGGTGGATCCTAGAGCTTGAACTCTGGGCCTAGGCGCTGTCCTTCAGCTCTTCAGCTCAAAGCTAGCGCCCTACTACTTGAGCCACAGCACCATTTCTGGCCGTTTCTGTTTATGTGGTGCTAAGCAATCGAACCCAGGGCCTCATGCATGTGAGGCAAGCACTCTACCACCACTGAGCCACCTTCCCCAGCACCAACTTTAATTCCCATTTCTTGCATGGAAAGCTACAAACCTTTTTCCATTTCTCTCGACAATGACACTTGTTTCTTGTGTGTGTGTGTGTGTGTGTGTGTGTGTGTGTTATGTGTGTTATACCCTCGGGCTTGAGCTTAGGCCTGGGCGCCGTTCCTGAGCTCTTTCACTCAAGGCTGGAGCTCTATCACTTGAACCACTGCTCCACTTCCGGACTCTTGGTGGTTAATCGGAGATGAGAGTCTCACTGACTTTCCTGCCCAGGCTGGCTTCGAATCACCATACTCAGAGTAGCTAGGATAACAGGCTTGAGTCACTGGGGCCCTTCTGTTAATACTGCTTTAGAAACATATACTCTTGCTAAAACTTTCAAGAATGAGTGAATCACACTTGTAAATGGCCTACAACTTGCAACGGCTCAGACCGGAACCCATCCCAACTTCAATCCTGCAGCTGGACTGAGATTCCGGAAGTCGGCCTCACTCTGGTGGGCTCGCTCTAGCCGCCCAGCGCCGAGGCTCTATGTCAGGTCCTCCCGGAGCTACGGAACCACTCTGGCCGCGCAGATGGCGCCTCTATGGTAAGGTCCTTGGCTGTCGGAGCATGCGCGGGACTTCCCCAACAGGATCGCTATGGCAGCGGCGTCGCGGTGGGCCGGGCTTCGGTGCAGTGGCCAGGCCTTCTCCTCTGCCGACCTCTCCGCCGCCTCTTGGGCATGAGCGGGGCCTCCCGCCACGGCCTGCTGCCCTACCTGCCGGCGCCCCCGCTGCAGGATCCCGAGGGTGGGCCCGCGCTGGGAACATGCTCCATTCCGCCTACTGCTACGTGCGGGTCGTGGGCAGGGGCAGCTACGGGGAGGTGACGCTCGTGAAGCACCGGCGGGACGGCAGGCAGGTCAGCGGGGCCGGGCCGGGGCCGGGCCGGGCGAGGGCCTCAGCGGGCCGGGGTGCGCCCAGTGCGCGGTCTGTAGGTCTAGGCCCGGGATGGTGTGAAGGGGATCTTCGCGGACCACACTTCCTTGGGAAAATCTTCCTGGACTATGAAGACAAGGCCAGGCCCACTGCGATATACACCCCAAACCCCTCTACTTTTGTAGTATTAATTAGTGGGCTTGACCTGCACAGTCCTCTCCCACCCCTGATATATCCCCGAGAGCAGATAATGCATTCCCAGGACCTGACAGCACAGCTTTTGTAACAACCACCTCCTCCACCACCACCACGTCCTCCTCCTCCTCCACCTCCTCCTCCTCCTCCTCCTCCTCCTCTACCACCACCTCCTCCTCCACCTCCTCTACCACCACCACCACTTCCTCCTCCTCCTCCTCCTCCACCTCCTCCTCCACCTCCTCTACCACCACCACCACTTCCTCCTCCTCCTCCTCCTCCTCCACCTCCTCTACCACCACCTCCTCCTCCACCTCCTCCTCCACCTCCTCTACCACCACCACCACTTCCTCCTCCTCCACCTCCTCCTCCACCTCCTCTACCACCACCACCTCCTCCTCCTCCTCCTCCTCCCCCCCTTTCCTTCCCCCCTCCTCTTTTTCCTTCTTTCCTTCCTCTTGGCCTTCTCCTTTGCTCCTTCTTAATTCTTTTTAGTTTAGTTTATTATGCTTTAAATAGCAAAGTAAAAGACAAATACCAAAACCTCATGTTCCTAATAAATGAAATTCTAAAACATTTTTGTCAGTACATCATATGGAATTTCCTCCTCATATTTTTATGTTTGAAGTAGACATTACTTAAATAATTACATGTTTCTCTTATATTCATACCTACCTTGGCAATTTTACATAGGTTTAAACCTTATAATTATTCTTTAATAAATATAAAAGGATAAAAATGTCAATGAAATTTGGGCAAATATATTACTATTCATTATAATTCACCTAGTTGTTGGTTTATTTCATGCCATTATTACATAAATTTTTATAGTGCTGAGTTTGATATTAATAATAGAGCATCAGTGTTTGATGGTATAACTACTGTGTAAATTTTAATGAATTTTTTTCTTTTTTTTTCTGCCAGTTCTGGGGCTTGAACTCAGGACCTCAGTACTGTTGCTGAGCTTCTTTTGCTCAAGGCTACCTATTCTACCACTTGAGCACCACTTCCAGCCTTTTCTGATTATGTGGTACTGAGGAATTGAACCCAGGGCTTCATGAATGCTCGGCAAGCAATCTACCCACTAAGCCACATTTCCAGACCCCTTAATAATTTCTTGAAGGAAGGGCCCCAAATATCCTTTACTGCAGGTTGCTGGGCTCACCTAAAAGTTAGTTCAAACCATCTTCCACCTCACAGCCATGCAGTTGCTCAAGCTGGACAACTTTGATTGTATTCACCTGTCACTATCCCAATAGGCATCTTCTCCATCTCCACTAGTACCAGCTCAGTCCAAAAGCATGGCCACTGGGTCTCAGGTAGACCCTGTCATCTGCCCATCACTTTCACTACATCCTCAGTGGTCTTACTAAAACTTAAATCTGATGTTGTCACTCCTCCTTTGTTTAAAGTACTGTATCCCATCACCCGAAGGATAACATAGTTTATTTATAGGGTGACCATATAATGTTTTGTTCAACTTGGGGTAATTTTGAAACCCAAAGGAAGCACTATTAGTAGTTACACCAAGAGCCAGGCAATGGTGATTCATACCTGTTAATCCTACCTACTGAGATGCATTGAGGATGGTGGTTCCAAGCCAGCCCTGGGAGAAAAGTGTGAGGTTCTTATCTCCAATTAACCAGCAAAAAGTGGAAGACCCTATCTCAAAAAAATAACCCTATGGCTCAAGCCTGTAATCCTAACTACTCAAAAGGCTGAGATCTGAGGATCGTGGATCAAAGCCAGCCTGGGAAAAGTGTGAGACGCTTATCTCCAAACCACCAGAAAACTGGAAGTGGTGCTGTGGCTCAAGTGGTAGGGCACTATACTTGAGCTGAAAAGCTGAAGGACAGCACCCATGCCCAGAGTTCAAGCCCCACAACTGACAAATAAGTAAATAACAGAATGTGCTTAGTGCAATATGTCTGCTTACCCAAGACAAGAAAGAGTTAAATAGTTAAGGGCTCTCTACTCAGAATGTTTTCCTGGTACAATTGTGTTGTCTTTTTGTTGTTGTTCCAGTACTGGGACTTGAACTGGGGCCTCTCACTCTGACTTGGTGTCTTTGTTCAAGGCCAGCATTCTAGTACCTCTAGTTCTGGCCTTGTGCTTTTGCTTGGCTTTTCACTTGGCTGAGGTTGCCAGTTCCACTTCGGGGTTTTTTTTTTTTACTGGTTAATCAGAGAAAAGAGTCTTTCTGATTTGTCTGCTCCAACTGGCTCAACCCTTAGATCTCTACCTTCTGCGTAGGTTGGACTGTAGGCAAAATCCACTGATGCCCAGATTGGATTCACTTTTTTTTTTTTTGTTTTGGTCATGAGTCCTGAATTCTGGGCCTGGGCACTGTCCCTCAGCTCTTCAGCTCAAGGCTAGTGCTCTACCACTTGAGTAACAGTGCCCCTTCTGGCTTTTTCTGCTTATGTGATGCTGAGGAATTGAACCCAGGGCCTTATGCATGCAAGGCAAGCACCCTACCACTGGGCCACCTTCCCAGGCCCTTCACTTTTTAGCTATTGATAAAATTGTATATTTGGTTGTTTTGTCTTTTCCTTGAGGAAGGATCTCAATATGTTACCCAGGCTAACTTTACTTCTCTGGGCCCACTTTTGCTTTGGCCTCTATCTGCAGGCATTTGGTTCAACGAAATTTGTAAAATAAAGACTTCTTGACCCCACAGGATTGTCAGCCCAACTTTTATTTTTTAAAAAAAGTATCATTAGCTGGGTTGGAGATATAAGTGGTAGAGTTCTTGTCTAATATGTACATATGATTTGATCCCCCAGCATTGCAAAAACAAACAAGTATCATTAGAACAATTTTATACTTCCAAAAAAAAGGAGTAGCTTTTCTGAAAGGCTCTAGAGAGCACTTAGATACTTTGGAACTTACAGAAGTACATGTTTACTTGTACATTATAAAAAAATATGTGTTTTCTTCATTAGTATGTCATCAAAAAACTGAACCTCCGAAATGCCTCTAGCCGAGAGCGGCGAGCTGCTGAACAGGAGGCTCAGCTCTTGTCTCAGCTGAAGCACCCCAACATTGTCACCTACAAAGAGTCATGGGAGGGAGGAGACGGTCTTCTCTACATTGTCATGGGCTTCTGCGAAGGAGGTGATCTGTACCGGAAGCTCAAGGAGCAGAAAGGACAGCTTCTGCCCGAGAGTCGAGTGGTAGAGTGGTTTGTACAGATCGCCATGGCTTTACAGGTACCACCTATACTCAGCATCCCGCTTGTTCCAAGGTGGCAAGAGGTTACCAGGTGTATTTTAGCAATTTTTTTCCACAAAATACTTAGTGAAAAAGAATTTTTGGAAAGCCCACTTATAAGCTGAAGTCAGTCCCTCTTAATGTAACTTTACAGTGTTTCTACGTGAAACCTTGATTTAAGTAGATAGGTTTCATCTATAACTGGAGGGAATCCTCTTCTTTACTCTGAGTTGAAAAAGAGCAAAGGATGGCCATGCTTAGTATTTGCTGGCCAAGGGTGTCATGCTGAAAGGTAGCTGGGCTGATTCATATTGTTGTACTTGGGGCTTTGGGCTTCCAGCCTGCTGTGACTAGAGGCTGCAAATGTAAAGCAAGTTTGTGTTTTAATATGCACATACTGTTTTTTTGCTTGGGATTTTTTTTTCCACATACTGTGTTTAAACTGTCACTGGAACTAGAAAGACTTATCCAGAATTAATTGATCTTGTTTATATTTTCAGAGACTCTCTTTAAATAAAAATGATTCTTGTTATTCTTGAAGATGTTACTACGTTCAGGATTTCATCAGTGAGAGTTTGTTAGTATATATTTTTAACTAGATCTAGATGTAGTTGTTAAGTTACCAGGAAACAATTTTGCCAAGTTCTAGACCAGTTGATGCCTAGAACTTAATTTTTATCACTTTGGAAGTGGTAAATGAGACCTCTTATTTAAATATTACAGAATAGTAATATTTTAGTAGGTAGTACCTATGGATCTTTAACTCACAGAATAACTGAAGATACAGAAGAAGCTGGAATAAATAAATAAACCAGTACGTTTATATGTAATGAAATTTCACTTTTCTTCCCAGTATTTACATGAGAAACATATCCTTCATCGAGACCTGAAAACTCAAAATGTCTTCCTGACAAGAACAAACATCATCAAAGTGGGTGACCTAGGAATTGCACGAGTGTTAGAAAATAATAGCGACATGGCCAGCACCCTCATTGGCACACCCTATTACATGAGCCCTGAATTGTTTTCAAACAAACCCTACAATTATAAGGTAAGATTGGGCTGTGAAAGCTGGTTCACCCTGTGTGTGAGAACTTGCTCAGAACTTCAGAACCCATCTGATGAGTTCAGTCAGAATTATCTATGAATCAGAAAAATGTAATTAAGGTGTTTTAACATGTAACCACTTACTGATTTTTTTCTTTTGTAGTCTGATGTTTGGGCTTTGGGATGCTGTGTCTATGAAATGGCCACTCTGAAGCATGCTTTCAATGCGAAAGACATGAATTCTTTAGTTTACCGGATTATTGAAGGAAAGGTAAACAGATAATCTAGAACTAATTGAGCAAGATTTATATAGCTACTGATAAGATCATTGATTTTTTTTCCTTTTTTCTTACATATGCTGGACAAATACTCTACCACTGAAATGTAGCCCCTTCCTCTTTGATTGTTTTATTACTTATTAAGTAGTCATTGATACTGTATTATTAGTTAAGAAAGATGGGTCCCTTCTAGGGGCAAGGTTGAAGTTGAGGAGAAGGGATTGATCATTTCTTAATGCTAATTTGTAAAAGTGGTATAGTAGCTCCAAAGAACCAGCTTTTTGAAACCAGTAGCTGGGAGATGTACAGATTCTTTGAGAGGCTATTAGTATCTTTTGGGAAGTTGGTAAGTGAATATCCTACTTACAATCAGTGTTTCCTTGTTTGTCCTTTTGATAATCATCACAGTTGTTAACACTGCAGAAAGCATTGTATATTGCCATAGTGACTAACTTCATATGTAATTTCCATGAGGTTATGTCATGTCAGTCATCCATGTATTGCTGGCTAACTTTGGACTCTTATTCATCCTACCTCAGCCTCCTACATGCTGGGTTTATAGACAGGTACCACCACATCCAATTATGTACTATTAAGTTCTAAAGTCTTAAGTCACTTCCTGATTTTAATATTATCCCATGACCCATTTAATTTTTTCAGTTTGAAAAAATATTTTAAAATATACACAAAAAAGTTAAATTTGCCAATTCCTGTACTTAAAGAATCAAATAAGAATGTGTGACCCGGCTAGATTAGGAAGATTGTGGCTTGAGATAGGCCTAGTCTGTGTGTGTGTGTGTGTGTGTGTGTGTATTTCCTTTCTGTATAATAATAATAATAATAATAATAATAATAACAACAACAAATTTAAAAAGAGTTTACTCCAGGTGCTGATGGCGCATACCTGTAATCCTGGCTACTCAAGAGGCTGTTTTGAAGCCAGCCCAGTCATGAAACTCCATGATACTCTTATCTCCAATTAACCACCCAGAAACTGGAAGTGGAGTGTTTGCTCAAGTGGTAGAGCAATAACCTTGCACAAAAAAGCTCAGAGACAGAGCTCAGGCCCTGAGTTCAAGCCCTAGGGTCAGCATAGAAAACACTTTTTTTTAAATTAAAAAATTCACAAAACTCTCCCATGCCCATCTCAACCAATAAAAAATGTTGGCATGGAGATATATACTTGCTGTATTGCAGCTACACAAGAAGGGTAAACAGGAAGATTTTGGTGTCTATCCCAGCCTAGGAAAAGAGGGAGATCCTGGCTAGGTGCTAGTGACATACTCCTGTAAACCTAGCTACTTAGAAGGTTGGGATTGAGGATTGAGATTGGAAGCCTGGAGCAGAAAGGGTTGGGAATATGGCTCAAGTTTGAGAGCCCAAACTTCAGTAACATCAAATAAAAAGTATTGAGTGAAACCTCTTACTTTTAATTTCCATACTTGCCTTTAAACAGAAATAACTGAATATATCCACATATACCTGATTCTAAAAAAAATAAACTGAAATTGAGTCAGGCTTTACATAGTATTATAAAACTTACTTTGTCTTTTTGGCTGTGCTAGAATTTGAATTCAGGGTCTTGTGATTGCTAGGCTGATGCTTTACCACTAACCCACACTTCCAGCTCTGGTTTTTGCCTTTTGTTTGTTTTTTGTGTGTGTGTGTGCTGGTCCTGGTGCTTGAACTTGGGGCCTGGGTGCTGTTCCTGAGCTTTTCTGCTAAAGGCTAGCACTCTACTACTTGAGCTACACTTAGGGCTTTTTGGTGGTTAATTGGAGATAAAAGTCTCATGAACTTTCCTGCCTGGGTTGGCTTCGAACCATGATTCTCAGATTTCAGCCTCCTGAGTAGATTACAGGCATGAGCCACTGGCACCTGGGTTTGCTGGTTATTTTTAGGCTAGGATCTTGTTTCTTGTCTTGGCTCATGCCTGGACTTTGATCCACTTACTTTAAGCTTACTATAGTTGCTGGTATCAGAGGTGTTTGCCACATTGTCCAGCTTCCTTTTGTGGAAATGAAGTCTCATGGGAGTTTCTGCCCAGGCTGTCATGGAAATGCAGTTAGTATCAGCCTTTCACATAGCATATATTATGCTATGTTGTTGTGCCACTGCACCCTGCTGTGGGTTGACAAAGAGTCTTTTTTGCCTAAGCTGACTACAAACCATGATCTTCTCAAACTCGGCCTCCCAGGTAGCTAGGTTTACAGTTGAGCCACTAACACCTGGCACGCAGCTTGTATTTTTTTTTTTTTTTAATGTATGAGGGACATATTTCCTGGTTAGTACTTGTCTTTTTTTTCAAAGGAGCTATCTAGTATTTTATCAGAATATACCATAATTTATTTCACAACTCCTCTATGGATATATTTAAGTTGTTTTTACTTGTTGACTACTGGAAGAACAACACTGCATTAAACATCTCAGTATATGCATCTTTACTGCGATGTATGCTCTTAATTTTCTGAAGGAGAGATTTCTAAAATGGGGCTGCTGGGTTGAAGGCAATAGTTTTACTATCTTAAACCTGCTGTTACAAACTAGTACCAATATACTTACTGTAGACGAATATGCTAGTTACTGCCTACTTCTGTGGATAAATAAGTAATTTAAATAAATACTGGTACTTTCTACTTTTACTTTGCTTTATGAGATCATTAGTCCTAATTGTAGCATTGCTTTTCTTTGTAGCTGCCACCAATACCAAGAATTTATAGCCCAGAGCTGGCAGAACTGATCAGAACAATGCTGAGCAGACGGCCTGAAGAAAGACCCTCTGTGAGAAGCATCCTGAGGCAACCTTACATAAAACACCAAATATCCTTATTTTTGGAGGCCACAAAGGCGTAAGATACTTCTCTTGTAAATTACAGGGCTAAAGAGATGGCATAAGGGCTGGGAAGGTGGCTCAGTGGTAGAGTGCTTGCCTTGCATGCCTGAGGCCCTGGGTTCAATTCCTCAGCACCACATAAGCAAAAAGAAAAAAGCTGGAAGTGGCGCTGTGACTCAAGTGGTAGAGTGCTAGCCTTGAGCTGAAGAGCTGAGGGACAGCGCCCAGGCCCAGAGTTCAGGCCCCACAACCGGACCCCCCAAAAAAAAGATGGCATAAAAGATGTTAGCTTCTGTAATTTTCATATGCAAGAATTTATAGTGAGTTGTTTGTTTTTTTTAAATGCAGGTACTGGAGCTTAAACTCAGGGCCTGATCATTCAGCTTTTTCCATTGAAAGATCCTTAGCCATTTCCACTTAAAGCTTGTGTTTACCACTCGAGCCACAGCTCTATTATCAACTTTTTGCTAGTTAATTGGCGATATGAGTCTCTGGCTCCCAACCTCAATCCTCAGCCTTCTGAATGTGAGCCACCAGCCCCTGGCCCTGAGTTTTCTTTAAACAGGAAGTAAAAAAGCATGATTAGAATATGGGAGAAGGCAAAATTCTACCCTCTGAGGGTTTTTTGTTTAGCCCTGAGAAGTTAAGGGGCATAAGATAAATTAACAGGAGAAAAACATACAAAATTTGTTTAACAAGTCTTATGTGACACGGTAGCTCTCATGAGGACCCAAAGAAGTGGCAAAACCTAAATGCATCTTTACTAATCTGAGCAGAGGAAAAGTAACTATGAACTAGATGGAGAGGCCAAAGGAAGATTAGACGTTTTAATAAGGTCTGTTTGTTTATACAGAGCTTTCTTCTACTTCTTAATGATAAGAATGTTACTTTCCTTCTGGTATGTGAGTTTCATCTTTAGTTTTCAAGAATCAGGAGGAGAGGGTTAGATTACCCTTTTTATACCTTCCCTCCCTCCCTCCCTCCCTCCCTCCCTCCCTTCCTTCCTTCCTTCCTTTCTTCCTTCCTTCCTTTCCTCCCTCTTTTATTATGTGGTCCAGGCTGGCACAAAACTTGCCTCTATCCTGCCTTTGCCTCCTAAGTGCTATTATAGGTATCACTATACATGCTGGTTTGTTTTGGCAGTCCTGAAAACTGAACCAGATTATGTCTCCTACCACTTAGCTATATCCCTGATCACACCAGTTGTTTGATTTTGGCAGTACTTAGGTTTGAATGCATAGCTTGACAGGGAGGAGCTCTTCTACTTTAGCCACTGCTGTGCTTCTGGCTTTTTGGTGGTTAATTGGAGATCAGTCTCACTGATTTTCTTGGTATACTGGCTTCGAACCAAGATCCTCAAATCTCAGCCTCCCTGAGTGGTAATGATCTCAAGTGTGAGCCACCAGACCCTGACTTTTCTTTGTCTTTTCAGTGTGGGATTGAACATAGGGCCTAGTACATGCTAAACAGGTGTTCTACCACTTGTGCCATTCCTCCAAGCCATAACTTGTTGGATGGTATTGGAATTTGAGTTCAGGGTCTTGTGCTAGCTAGCTAGGTAGGCACTATACTAATTGAGCCATACCTCTAGTCTGTTTTGCTCTGTTTTTTTTTTTCTTTCTTTTCTGAGACAGGGTATCACTTTTTTTCCTAGAAAGATCTGGAGCTACGGTCTTCCTAAACACTTCTTAGTAACTAGGATTACAGACATCCACAAGCATACATGGCTTGTAGTTTTTTTTCCACCCAGTATTGAGGCTTGAATTCAGGGCTTGGACACTGTCCATTAGCTTTTTTCTGCTGAAGGCTGGCACTCTACGACTTGAGCGACAGCTTCATTTCTGGCTTTGCAATTGGAAGTAAAAGTCTCAAGGACTTTCCTGCCCCAGCTGGCTTCAAACAGTGATCCTCCAATCCCAGCCTTCTGAAGAGCTATGATTACAGACATGAGCCACCAATAATACTGTGCTTGAGCTTCATCTTTTGTTTGTTTGTTTTTGTTGATTGTGGGGCTTGAACTCTGGGTCTGGGCTCTGTCCCTGAGCTCTTCAGCTCAGGGGTAGCACTCTACCACTTTGAGCCACAGCACTACTTCTGGTTCTCTTGTGGGTTTATTGGAGATAAGAGTCTCACAGACTTTTCTGCCCAGGCTGGCTTTGAGCCTCAATCCTCAGATCTCAGCCTCCTGAGTAGCTAGGATTACAGGCGTGAGCCACCCACTGGTTCCCAGCTCCATCTTTTTTTGAGAGTTGCTTCTATTGTCAAGAGAAAACTCAGAGTTGTAAATGAAGTTGAAAAATAAATTATTTTTTCCACATTTGTTCTAGGAATTCTCATATGCTCAATTTTAAAAGTGTGGCTTTGTAAATAGAAGATAAGTATAAAGGAGTGGAAAGAGGAATTAGCTTCAAAGCAATGAATTTCATGGTACATCTTAATCTAGGGTACCTGCTTTGTCTAGGAAAAAGTCTTTTTTAAAAAAATTTGTCAACATGGGGCCTCTCAGGGTATCCGGGAGCCAGGCCTCTGTGGCCATTTGTTTCCACTAATACGTGCTGAAGGATCAGCTGCTGTATTTTTTTTTGGTTTTTTTTTTTTTGAGGTAAGACATTTCAACTTTGAAATTGCTGGCTTTCAGGCAGTTACAACCATGGCTTAATAAGGACCATCATTTTGTTCACATTGTTTATAATTTTCGAACAGACCTTTGTTCTTCCATTAGTCTGATCTTCGTGCTCTCCTTTAATTTTCCAAAAGTGTAGGCTACTAAGACAGGTTATGATACTATTCCTACATACTTTTCTTTCTTTTTTTTTTTTTCTGGTCCTGGGGCTTGAACTCAGAGCCTGGGCTCTGTTCCTGAGCCTCTCTGTGCTTAAGGCTAGCACACTCTACCACTTGAGCCACAGCACCACTTCGGGCTTTTTCTGTTTATGTGGTACTGAGGAATTGAACCCAGGGTTTCATGCATGCTAGGCAAACACTCTACCACTATGCCACATTCCTAGCCCTCTTATATACATGTATCCTCAAGTCAGAAAATGTACACTGACCATTTTTACTATCAAAATTGGTGAAGCAGTTGTGGTTTTATTGTGAACATGTAAAACTTATCCTGGTACTTCTATATCTGAGGGTTTTTATTTTGGAATAATTTCATACTTACAGAAAAGTTGCCGAGTAGTGCAGAGTTTCTATTGCCTCTGCATCTGTTCTGTTTTAGCCTCTGACCTAACTCCAGATTTTATTTGGCTTTCACTAGTCTTTCCTCTGAAGTATAATTTACCATTCCAGCATTCAGTTTGGGATTCCATAACACATTTAGTTCTCAATGTTTCCTTAATCTCCTGGGGTCAGTGATAATTTTTTGCTTTCTTTGTGTCTTATGATCTTGACATGTGTTTTATAAAATGCCTCCTATATTTTTTAAAAATTCTATTATCTGTCAAGTGGTACAGTTCTATAAGGAAGTGCAATATATGCATACATTTTTCACATATATATAAAACCCTTGATCTTCACTCTGTTGATTATAACCTTTTCTTCTTTATAAAGAAAAACTTCCAAAAATAACATAAAAAATGGTGACTCTAAATCCAAACCTGTTGCTGCGGTCATTTCCAGAAAGGCAGAATCAGACCATGACGTGATCCACCACCACCCTCACTGTTCTGAGGCTTCCAAGACATATGTAATGGTACGTTTCTTTTTAAAGGATCATGTTTTAGAATCTATGTAGCAAAGTAGATTATCTAAGAAAATTATCTAATAGGGAAATGATTTTGCTTTATTTAAAATTCTGTTGTGCAATGACTTCTGCATTAAAAAGAAAAAATACTGGTGAGGGCAGGTTCTTTAAGTTACTGCATCTACACAGCCTGTCAACTTGTGCATGAAGTCAGTACCTTAATAACTTTTTAGATGAATTTTGCATAGCATTAACTATTTTAAAATGGACAGTTATATACATTCAGAGTGTTGTACAGCCATTATTTCTTATCTAGTTCCAAACTGTTTCCATCAGCCCAAAGGAAATCCTATATGTTAAGCAGTCACTGCCCATTTCTTCCTTGCCTGGCAACTGCCAATGTGTTTTCTGTTTCAGGAATGTACCCATCCTGGACATTTCACCCGAATGGAGTCACATAATGTCACCATTTATATCTGGCTTGTCTTACTGTGTTTTGAAGGTTCCTCCATGAAGACTATATCAATATCTCAGTTCTTTCTAGGCCTGACTATTAGTCCATTATATGTGTGTAGCATATTATTAGTCCATTATATGTGTATAACACACACATATATGCTACATGTGTACCCATTTACCTATTGATAAACATTGGGAATTGCTGTGAACATCTATATGCCTGTGTTTGAATACCCATTTTCAGTTCTTAGGGATATATACCTAGGAATGGGATTGCTGGGTTAAATGGATAATTCTAAGTTTAACTTTTTGAGGAGTCTCATATTGTTTTCCCAGCAGTTCTGTCGTCTTACAGTCACCACCACTTGTTATGTTTTGGTCTTATTTTTTATTAACATATATTGTCCAAATAATAGTTTCATTATGACAGTATCATACCATGTGTATAATGTACTTTGATAATATTCGTTTTCCCATTATCTGCCCTTATTCTCTTTCCTCACACTGGTTCCCTTCTGTGTTTCTTTTGTTTGTTTTTGGTGTGTGTGTATGTGTGCTGGTCCTGGGGCTTGAACTCAGGACATAGGTGCTGTTCCCAAGCTTTTTTTGCTCAGGGTTAGCACTGTACCTCTTCAGCCACAGCTCCACTTCTGGCTTTTTTTGGTAGTTAAGTGGAGGTAAGAGTCTTTTTGCCTGGTCTTTTTTTGCCTTTGAACCATGATCCTCAGATCTCAGCTTCCTGAGTAACTAGGATTTTATAGGCATGAGCCACCAGTACCCACCTTTTTTTTCTTTTTTGTGATAGCCATCCTAATGGTTGGGAAATAGATATCAGTGTAGTTTTGATTTGTATTTCCCTAATCATTAATAATGTTAAACTTTTTTGTTCTTTTTGGCCAGTCTTGGGGCTTGAACTCACGGCCTGAGCACTGTCCCTGAGCTTTTTTGGCTCGAGGCTAGCACTCTGCCATGTGAGCCACAGTGCTACTTTCGGCTTTTTCTGCTTATGTGGTACTGAGGATTTGAACCCAGGGCTTCATGTATGTTAGACAACACTCTACCACTAAGCTACATTCCCAGCCCCTAAAAAAATTCTTTCATGCTCATTTATGTATCTTCTTTGGAAAGTGTCTGTTGAAATCCCTTTCCCATTTTTTATTTGGATTATCTAGGGTTTTGTTGGAGTTTTCTATATTCTAACTATCAATCACTTCTTAGATATATGAATTTTAAGTTTTTTCCCACTGTGTGGGTTGCCTTTTGACCCTATTATGGTCTCTTTATTTTATTTCATTTTTTTATTGTGAGACTACCATACAGAGGAGTTACAATTACATGGGCAAGATAACGAGTACATTTCTTATCAAGCTGGTCTCTTTTTTTAAATTTAAATTTTATTTTATTGTAAAGGTGATGTACAGAGGGGTTACAGTTACACATAAGTAAGGTAATGAGTACATTTATTGTCCAACATTATTACCCCCTCCTATTATGGTCTCTTTTGATGCATAAAAAATTTAATTTTCACAGTCTTATTTTTCTGTTTTTTCTTTTGTAACTCTGTCTTTGGTGTCATATCCAAGAAAGCACTGCTAAATCCAATGTCATGCTCTGGTTTTTTCTAAGATTTTTATGGTTTTAGCCCTTACCATTTAGATCTTTGATCCTTTTTCAGTTAATTTTTTTTGTCTAGGGTGTTAGGAAAGGTCCACAACTTCTTTTTTTTTTTGTGGGTTGTGGGGCCTGAACTCTGGCCCTGGGCACTGAGGAAGCGAACCCAGGACCTCATGTGTGCAAGGCAAGCACTCTACCACTGAGTCACCTTCCCAGCCCCTACAACCTCATTTTTTTTTTCTGTATGTAGATAGTTTTCTCAGCACCATTGCTGTTGTTTAAATGTCCTCACCAAAATTCATGTTAAAATTTAATTCTGAGATATTAAAAAAGTGAGACCAAGTGGGACCTTTGAAACATGATTAGGTTATAAAAACTGGGTCTGCATTGATGGATTAATGGGTTGATGGTGTATTTTGAGAAAGGTTCTGTTAAAAAAGCCCGTTTGGCTCTGTCTTTTAGATATTTTCCACTCATCATGTGACTTCCTGCGTCACTTTGGGACTCTGCAGAGCCCCACAATTAACAAGACCCCCACCAGCTGTGGCCTCCTCACGTTGTGCTTCCCAGCCTTCAGAACTGTGAACTAAGTAGTTTTTTTAGTTTGTGTGTTCCAGTATTGGGATTTGAACTCAGGCCCTCATGATTTTGCTTGTGCTCTGCAGCTTGAGCCACCTGCCTCTACTTCTAGCTCTTTGGTGGTTAATTGAAGAAAAAAGTATCACAGATTTTCCTGCTCAGACTTGCTTTGTACCTTGATCCTCAGATCTCAGCTTCCTGAGTAGTTAGGATTATAGGCCTAGGCCACTAGTGCCCATCTAAACTAAGTAATTTTTTAAACATTATTTATTTTTAATTATTTATTTTTGTGATATTGGGCTTTGATCTCAGGGCCTTGAGTTTGATAATTAACTTAATTAGCTAAGTTTTCATTAGCAAACAATAGTACAAGAAGGGCAACTGATTTTTGTATGCTGATTTTGTCTTCTGTTACTTTACTAAATTTATTTATCCTAGCAGTTTATTTTTGTGGAATTGTTACCATTTACATACAAGATCATAACGTCATAGAGTTCCTGCCTGGGCTGGCTTTGAATTGTGATCCTCAGATCTCAGTCTCCTGAGTAGCTAGGATTACAAGTGAGAGCCACCAGCGCCTGGCTTTTTTTTTCTTTAAATAATTTTCAGTGCAGCCTTTCATATATAACTTGTCTTATATTAAGATGTAAAGTGGTATTTTCCCCTTTATTCTGTTCTTGTGGAGTGTAATGTTAATTGGTGAGTATGCTGAACAATCTTTGTATTTCAGACATAAATCTGACATAAAGATCATATTTTAACCATGTTTTGTTTATTTCTTTTCTACAGCTGGTTAACCTTTTTAAAGTTGCTTTTTAAAAAAAGAAAAGCGTGTTAGGATTTGAACTCATGGCTTTGCACATTTTAGACAGGTGCTCTACCATTGAGTACATTCCTAGCCTTTCATTTGAACCATTTTTAAGTATGCAATCCTGTGTCCTTAATTACATTCACAATTAGTGGTCCACCATCACCAGCACCTTCCAGAAACATTTCATGTACCCATTAAGCTAAGCTGTAATGCCTTCTTATTTTCCGTGTCTTCAGAGCCTAGTAACCATGTTCAATTTCTGTTTCTATGAATTGTTCTATCCGAGATATTTTGTATAAGTAAAATCACATGCATATCCTTTTGTGTCTGTCTTTTTTATTTAGCATATTTTCATGTTTATTTACTTCATAGCATAGTCTATATATACCACATTTTATTTATTCATCTGATAATGAACATTTGGGTTTTTTCTACTTTTCGGCTATTTTGAATAATGCTTCTAGAAACATTGGCAGACACATATCTACTTGAATTCCTGCTTTTAGTTCTTTGGAATATATACCTACACAAGGAATTGCTGGGATATATGCTAATTCTGTTTGCTTAATTTTTAGAGGAACCTGTTAGTCCACTTTGAGTTAATTTTTGTATATGCTATGAGGAATGCTATGCTAACTTGGAAACATATGCTTTTGCTCAGGGTGAAGACAATTGTTTGACCCAAGAGAGACCTGTGGTTATTGGTCCCTTGAAATCGCCTGCTAGTCCAAAAGGCCACACTGGCAAACCAGACATGAGCAAGACTACAGAATCATTAGCTACGATTAGTAGAGTAAATATTGACATCTTACCTGCAGAAAGGAGAGACTTAATGAATGATGGCTCAGTTCAAGAGAATCAACCAAGACATTTAGATGCTGCTAATGAGCTAGGTCAGTGTACCATTTCTCAAGTGAAAGAGAAGACACAGGACAACACGGAATCCAGGGCTCAGCCTGAAATCCCGATTCCCATACGGTGCTCTGATAATGGCCATAGGGAGGGAAATGAACCAGTGAAGCCATTCCAGCACCTAAATAAAGACCAGAGGCCAAAGGACCAGGTAAGTAATAAGTACTAGGAGTGATATATACTAGGAGACAGATAAGTTTCGGAGACAGTGTGGTTACAAAGTGTGAGTTTGCTTTGGTTTCTCATGTTAGGAAAATCAGTTATTTTGTGTGCCAGTTTAAACTTAGGTGTTTTTTTTTTCATCACTCAAAAAAAAATCCATGCTCAGTTTTACTCTCCCTTCTCCTTCCCTCAACCCTTGTAACATTTGTCCCCATAGATTTACCTATTTAGACATTTCTTATAAATAGAATAATACAATGTATTACCTTTTGTGTCTGGTTTTAAACATGTTTTCCAGGTTTTCCCATGGTATCTACCAGTATTCTTTTTATTACCAAGTGCATTCTCCTGAACGTACCCATGATAATTTAAATATCTTTTCATTATTTAATTATATTTGGGTTGTTTCTGTTTTGGGGTTACTGTGGATAATGCTGCTATGAATTTGTGTTTGATTTGTTTTTGTAGTACTGGAGACCAGACACAAGGCCATGTGTGTGCTAGGCAGGTAGCTCTACCACTGAGCTCAACCGTGCTTTGAATATCTGTGCCTGTGTTTTTGTATAGATGTGCTTTTTCAGTTCTGCTGGGTAAACAAACATGTAGGAATGGAATTTCTAGGTCATTTGGTAACTGCTTAACTCTTTGAGGTACCATAAATCTATTTTCCAAACTATAAAACTACCAACTACTAACAGCATTTTTTCCACAGTCTTTTTCCACTTTTACCACAGTCTTTACCAACACTTACTCTTATCCCTCATTTGATCATAGCCATCATCATAATGGGTATGCAGTAGTTCTTAATGTAGTTTTGAACTAGAGATATTGAGCTTTTTTGGTTTTTTTTGGTCAGACATGGGGCTTGAACTAAGGGCTTGGACACTGTTCCTGAGCTCTTTTGCTCAAGGCTACCACTCTACCACTTGGACCTACAGTTCTACTTCCAATTTTTGAGTGGTTAACTGGAGGAGCTGGGTGCCAGTGGCTCACGCCTGTGATCTTAGCTACCCAGGATGCTGAGATCTGAGGATCTCGGTTCAGTGCAGCCTGGGCAGGAAAGTCTGTGATAATCTTATCTCCAATAAACCACCAGAAAACCAGAAGTGGCACTGTGGCTCAAGTGGTAGAGCACTAGCCTTAAGCAAAAGAGCTCAGGAACAACACCCAGGCCCTGAGTTCAAGCCCCAAGACTGTCCCCCGCTCCCACCACATTCTCTGGAATTCTTCTGTATATGTTTGCTTTGTTTTATTGTTTTTAAGGAACAAGTTGCTGATGAATATATTATGGAAAAGCAGGGCACAATCCATCTTGGTTTGCAGCCACACAACTCTGAGTCTGAACCATCCCTTTCCCGACAGCGATGGCAGAAGAAAAGAGAACAGACTGAGCACAGCGGGGTAAAGAGCCAGGTCAGCAGAGATCTGGCTTATTGAGATGCTCTCCATTGTGCTGTTGCTTGAGATTCTGGTTTCTGTTTAGTACAATTAACAGTTGCCAAAAAAGCTTTTAAGTAATGCATGGAACATAAGGGGAAGGTGGCAAGGATGAGATGTTTTAAAATATTAGTGCATTGGACATACAGTAAGAATATCAGTCTTCCACAGCAAGAATGGGAATTAAAGAAAATAATTCTCAGGGCTGGGAAGGCGGCTCAGTGGTAGAGCACTTGCCTTGCATGCATGAGGCCCTGGGCTCGATTCCTCAGCACCACATAAATAGAAACAGCTGGAAGTGGCGCTGTGGCTCAAGTGGTAGAGCACTAGCCTTGAGCTGAAGAGCTGAGGGACAGTGCCCAGGCCGAGTTCAAGCCCCATGACTGACCAAAATAAATAAATAAATAAATAAAAATAAGGGAATTCTCCCATCTACTGCACAATATCATGTTACCTCCTTTCTTAAATTACCTTCCATAGGTAGCTTTTTTTGAGATCTTAAAGGACCATTCACCTTTGGCAGTCTCTTTATTAAACACACACACACACACACACACACACACACCAATGTTTTGAAGTTTTTAGGGACAAATCACTAACAAATACTCAGGGGGCTGGCAAATAGGGGAACTTTGGAAATAACAATATATGAAACTGACAATCTCCTCTCCTTTTTAAATTATTTAAGTTAAAAGAAGCACCTCCTCAGTTTTTGCCCTCTCATCCTACTGTTGGAAAAGTGAATGTCATATCAACACGAAACGTTGAAAACCAAAGTAGACTAGCCAGTGAATCTGTGAGCCGTTCTACAAACAGTGAGATATCATCATCAAAGGTTTGTGAGTGTGTGTGTGTGTGTGTGTGTGTGAGAGAGAGAGAGAGAGAGAAGAGAGAGAGAGAGAGAGAGAGAGAGAGAATGAGAGAGAGAATATGTCTTGTTTTGTTGAGACACAATTTCTTCATATAACCCAGGTTGGTATAGGTTGAGATCCTCCTGCTTCAGCCTCCTGAATGCTACATTTACTGGCATTGACACCATGCCTAGCTCTTATGTTTTTTTTTTTTGGATTGGTCATAGGGCTTGAGCTCTGGGCCTGGGCACTGTCCCTCAGCTCTTCAGCTCAAGGCAAGTGCTCTACCACTTGACCTACAGCGCCACTTCCCATTTTCTGGTGGTTTATTGGAGATAAGAGTCTTAAAGACTTTCCTGCTAGGGCTGGCTTTGAATCGCGATCCTCAGATCTCAGCTTCCTGAGTAGCTAGGATTACAGGTGTGAGCCACCAACGTCCAGCTAGTATGTTGTTTTTTTTTTTTTTAAACCTTTTTATAAAGCTTTTTGGTTATAAAATCTTGTGTATGCTGTTAAGTGTTATATTAAAACAGCTCAGGAAAAACAATGTCAGTCCTGCTCTTTTTGCTGAACCCTGGAAGGGACTAAGTTGTATTTCACAGTAGAAGGTTTGATTGAACCACATAGATTCTGTGGTTCCAGAGATGATCACTTTGTGTTAGTTAAGACGATCAAGTAGATTTTGTATAAGAAATGAAAAAAGTAAGACCAGGTACTCATGTGTAATCCTACATGCATAGGAATAATGGTGACCATAGAGATTGAAGCCAGCCTGGCCAGAAAAGTTCATGTAGCTCCTTTTCAACCTATACCTGGGTGTGGTGGTGCATACCTATTGCCCTAAGCTGTGTAGGAGGCTGATATTGGGAGGATCTCAGATGAGGCCAATTTGAGCAGAAAAATCTCTGACACTCACCTCTGCAGGGGGAAGCTTGGCAAAGTGGCACATGCCTATGATCCCAGAAACAATAGGAAGTCTAAGTAGGTGGATTGCAGTTGAGATGCTTGTGTGAGCAGGAGGTGAAACCCGATCATAAAAATAACCAGTTTATCCAGGCACTGGTAGCTCACAACCTATAATCCTAGCTACTCAGGAGACTGAGAGCGGAAGATCACAGTTCAAAGCCAGCCCAGGCAGGAAAGTCCGTGAGACTCTTATCTCTAGTTAACTACCAGAAAACTGGAAATGGCACTGTGGCTCAATTGGTAGAGCACTTGCCTTGAGTTGAAGAGCTGAGGGACAGCGCCCAGGCCCAGAGTTCAAGCCCCATGACCCCTCCCCTCCAAAAAAAAAATCAATTTAAAAACAAGCCTATACGCATGGCTTGAGTGATAGAACACTAGCCTAGCAAGCACAAGGTCCTTGAGTTCAAAACTCTGGTATTTGTCTCCCAGTTTCCCCTAAAAAGGAATGTGAAAGTCCCTTTTGCCTTTCAAAAAATGAGCATTTTGCAAAAACCAGGTCTGTGATTGTCCCTTTCTAGTAGCAGTAACCCTGGTATGAACATTTCTTTACAGGCTAGTGTAAGATCTTTATGTATTGTTGGATGATAGATTGTACTTTGTGTTACAAGAATAATGAATAGGAGCCAGGCTCTGCTGGCTCATGCCTGTAATCCTAGCTACTTAGAAGCTGAGATCTGAGGTTTGAAACCAGCCTGGGTAGGAAAGTAGGCAGGAAAGTCTGTGAGACTCTTATCTCCAATTAAATCACAGAAAAAGCTGGAAGTGGCACTGTGGCTCAAGTGGTAGATTGCTAGGCTTGAGGACAAGGAGCTCAGGGATAGCTCAGACCCAGAGTTCAAGCTTTAGGAGAAAGCAAGCAAGCAAGAGAAAGGAAGGGAAGCAGGGAAGGAGGGGAGGAAGGGAAGGAAGAAAGAAAGAATAGTGAGTAGGAATTGAAATGACTCTGTGACTTTCTTTAAAAGGATCGACCATTATCAGCCAGAGAGAGGAGACGGCTAAAGCAGTTACAGGAAGAGATGTCCCCTTCAGGTGAAGTTGGCCTCTTTTTTTTTTTTCCCCATCTAAATGACAGGTGATAGTTTGGCTCATGGTCATAAACACTGGTTCTGCTTGTGAGGTATTTTAACTTTCAGAAGGCAATACCCCATTGGGGGAATTGATTTAGGAGGTTTAAAAAAATTGGGGGGAAATTAAATTAAAAAAAAAATTGGGGGGCTGGTAATATGGCTTAGTGGTTGAGTGCTTGCCTAGCATGCATGAAGCCCTGGGTTCGATTCCTCAGTACCACATAAGCAGAAAAAGCTGGAAGTGGCAATGTGGCTCAAGTGGAAGAGTGCTAGCCTTGAGCAAAAGAAGCTCAGGGACAGTGCTTAGGCCCTAAGTTCAAGCCCCAGGGACTGGCAAAAGTTTCTTTTAGAAAACTTTTAGAAAATTATCATAGACTATTGAGTCTGGAATATATTTCACTGGAGAAAGAGGATATTAGAAAAGAGAGCAGAGGACTCTGAATGACAGTAATTCCTGGGAAGTTTCTGGCTGGAAATCAAGTGAATGTTTAATTGGTTTTCACATCCATAACCCGCTAGTCAGAGAAATGCTCTCTTCTAAGCAGCAAAGAGGAAGTCAGGGGAGGTGCTGCCTTGGGCTGAGGGCTGTGCTCATTCCTATTACCATTGTCTAAATGTGGTATTAGCAGTTTTCCTGTATTCAGTGTTGTCTCCAGCACTATGGTAAGCATCTTAAGGTCATTATTTCATATTTATAGAAACTGCCAAAAGTAGGCAGTATTTTCCCCCTTTGGCAAGGAAGAAAACTGAGGTTCTGAGGGGGTTAGGTAACTTGCCCAGAGTTACAGAGCTGGTAGATTCAGAACTAAGATTTGAACTAAAGTGCCCATAGTGATGATAAATGTGCTGTTTGAATTACTTCTGGCTGGACTGTCTTCAATCGAGACCAACCAGCCCATTATAAATAGCTGCTTGGGGATGTTCTTTTTTTCAGGCTCTTCAGTGAGGAGTGCAACTGGGCCAGGGAAACCACAGGAAGAAGGCCATTCCATCCCTACCCGACGGTTCTCTTCTGACTCCAGTATTGCTCAGGTGCTTCAATATTTCTACATCGTACAAGCCTAATACAGAAAATTTCATGAATGTCAGCTCCATGTATTTTAGGGGTAGGGCTGGTTAAGGTATGCCTTTTGCCTCTTGATAAAGAAAGGAACTGGTAAAGTATGATTGTGTTTGATCCATTAAGGGTAGACAACTTTCAATTATTGTAAACATCTGGTAATCTAGTTTAAAAAGTCTATTTGGGGGTTGAGATGCAGCTCAGCCTATAAGGTACCTATAAAGCCCTAGGTTTGATCTTCAGTACTAGAAAAGAAAAAAAAAGAAAAATCTGATTGTTAAAACAAGACTTTCTTCGAGTTTCTACTAGGACACACATTGTGTATTCTACTATGTTGCTAGTATACTCATCTACGTGTCCAGACTTCAATCTCACTTGCTAATCATCGTTAATAAGTTTTCTCTTTGTGTCAAATTAGTTCACCTTCTTTCCTGTGAATGATATAGGAATGCCATCTAGGGGCTAAATGGGTAATTGCAAGGTTTCCAAACCTGGGTTAACCTCCATAATACACCTGACACTCATTTTTCTTGCCATTTGAAAATAATGAAGATATTATTCCTTTAACAGTATCACTTAGTTATTTCACTAATTGAGGCTTCCACCTCCATTTCCCAAAGTTATGCTTTTTTTTTTTTCTGTCATGGGTCTTGAAGTCAGGGTGCTGTCTTTCAGCTCTTCAGCTCAAAGTGAGTGCTCTACTACTTGAGCCACAGCACCACTTCTAGTTTTCTGGTGGTTAATTGGAGATAAGAATCTCATGGACTAGGAAAGCCAGCCTGGGCTGGCTTTGAACCATGATCCTCAGATCTCAGCCTCCTGAGTAGCTAGGATTACAGGTGTGAGCCACCAGTGCCCGGCAAATTATACATTTTGTATTAATTATATCAAGTATTTTTTTTTTTTCGTTTGCTGGTCCTACGGCTTGAACTCAGGGCCTGGGTGCTGTCCCTGATCCTCTTTGTGCTCAAGGCTAGTAGCACTCTTCTACTTGAGCCACAGAACCACTTTTGGCCTTTTTTGAGTACTTTATTAGAGATTAAAGTTTCACGGACTTTTCTGCTTGGCTGGATTTTAAACTGTAATCCTCAGATCTCAGCCTCCTGAGTAGCTAGGATTACAGGTACCTGGCACAGGTAATCTTTTAAAACAGAAAATACAGGAAATACATTGCTTTGATGTAGATAAAATTCTGTAAACTGCAATATTCTTTTTGTAAAAAGGTTTCTGTTTAGAAGTTGATACATTAGAACTAATAACTCACTTTCCTCTGGAAAGGAAATTTCTTCATGATTGACTCATCAGGACCTTGTAAAACCTCACCTTGGTGTTCCTTAGACTTTATTTAGGAACATCATGAGTGAACTGTAGACATCATTTGGAAAAAGTAACTTCGATTTTTGTGTTAGTTAGTTTCTCCTATTAAATTGCAGTAGGAGCACATTGTGTCCAGCCATTGCCTCTAACACTGTTCTTGGGTTATATTCTGGTTATGTTATCACAGGTGATTTTATTTTTTCCAAACATTAATAGGAAAGAAAACTGATTCATTGTCTGTCTGAGGATGAGTTAAGTTCTTCTACAAGTTCAACAGATAAGTCAGATGGGGATTCCAGGGAAGGGTAAGTACTTTTCTATCTCCTGTCAGGAGCTATTTCTGTTTGAATCGATCCTAAATATGCATTTATAGTAGCATTCTGAATTGTAGTAGTCTCATTGATAACATTGTAGTTTGTGGTACATGCTAAAGCTGAAAATATCTTTTCTGTAAGTGCAGTCTAATTTTTTTAAACAAAGGTGGTTTTTATGTTAAATTTTTAAAAAAATGCTGTAAAGATGCAATCTATTATTCAGAATTCTTCTTAGATCTATAAGTTTATAGTTTTCATCATATTTGGAAAAGTTTTAGCCATTATTTCTTTTCTTTTCTTTTTGGTTGGCCGTGGGCACTGTCCCTCAGCTCTTGAGCTCAATGCTAGCGCTCGCTCTACCACTAGAGCCATAGTGCCACTTCCAGCCTTTTCTGCTTATGTGGTGCTGAGGAATTGATCTCACATTTCATGCATGCGAGGCAAGCACTCTACCACTGAGCCACCTTGGCAGTCCCTCCTCTTGCCTGTTGGGATTCTATGTACTCACATGTAGATTAGACTGCTTAACATTCAAAAGCTCATCAATTCTTTGCTCATTTGTTTTCATATATTCTCTTACTGTATCTTCAGTTCACTATATCTTTCTTTTCTTTTCTCTTTCCTTCTTTCTTTTCTTTCTGCACAGGCTATACGGTTTTGTGCATACTAGGCAAGTGCTTGACCACTTTAACCATGCCTCCAGCCAGCAATTTTTCTTCTGCAGTGTTTAGTTTGTTAATTCTATCCCATATATTTAAGACATTGTAATTTTTATCTGGGAAAATTTGATTTATGTCTTGCATGTCTCTCTAGAATGTTCATGTTTTTCTCTACCATGATTTTGTATAATTATAGTAACACTTTAATGTCTCATCTACTAATTCAATCACTTCTGTCATTTCTATTAACTGTTGTTGTTTTCTCTTTACAAATATGTAGTGCTTTCCTTCTTTGCATTCCTGGCTTCCAACTTTTTTTGATTGGATGTCAGACCTTGTGAATTTTATCTCATTGAAGGCTGTCATTTCTGTTTCCTTAAATACTTCCTTCTTGAGGTTTATATTTATGTATAGTTTGGTTGAGCAGAATATATATATAGATTTGGGGGATGTTGCTTTGGGTCCTTCTCCTTTCCAAGAACCCTCCCTTGTTTTCTACAGGCATTGGTTGCCTTGGATGTTGTTCCTTGATTTTGGAATTCAAAAAGGCTAGGTTTCATCCTGTACTTTGAACTACCTGTGGTCTCTCTTCCAGACTTTGCCAGCAGATTTTATTCATTCTCTGTTGCCTTTACATAGTTGGTTTTGTGAAGAGATTATTTAGGAGAGGGTCAGTCTATAGGCTTACATAGCATTTGGAAGCAGAACTACCTAAAGGTCATTTTGCACTAACTCTGAGAGAGAGAGAGAGAGAGAGAGAGAGAGAGAGAGAGAGAGAGAGAACTATTTATGGGTCTTGAACATAGGGGCTGGATGCTATCCCTGAGCTTTTGTGCTCAAGGTTAGTGCTCTACCACTTGAGGCACAGCTCCATTTCCAGCTTTTTAGTAGTTAATCGGAGATAGCAGTCTCAAAGACTTTCCTGCCTAGGCTGGCTTTGACCCAGATCCTCACATCTCAGCCTCTTGAATGGCTAGGATTATAGACATGAACTACTGGTGCCCAGATGCATCTAAATTGTAATGAAAAATTCTCATAAGCTGTGTGCCAGTGCTCATGCTTACAATCCTAGCTACCCAAGAGGCTGAGATCTGGGATTTGAGGTTTGAAGCCAATCCGGGGCAGACAAATCCAAGAGATTCTTATTCCCAGTTAACCAGCCAAAAGTGTCAGAACTAGAAGTATGGCTCAAGTGGTAGAGCACAGCAAGAGCTCAAGGCTGTGAATTCCAAGTCCCAGTTCCAAAACAAAACAAAATTAAATAAAAGCCAAACAAACAACAGGGCTGGAGACATAGTTCAGGTAGTAGAGTGCCAGCCATGCAAGCTGACAGACAGGCCAAGCAAGTGCAATACCCTGAATTGAAGCCAGAAGAAGGGGGAAGGGGAAAGGGAAAAGGAGGAAGAAGAAAAGAAAATTTTCATGAAGCCAATAAATAACAAGGTGAATTTTTCCCCCTTGCAGGAAAAGTCATACAAATGAAATGAGTGACTTGGTACAGCTGATGACTCAGACCCTTAAACTGGATTCTAAAGACAGCTGTGAAGATATCTTGGTACCAAATCCAGTTCCAGAATTCAAACTTCATCGGAAGTATCGTGATACGCTGGTACTTCATGGGAAAGTTGCAGAAGCAGCAGAGGAACTCCAATTTAAAGAGCTGCCTTCAGGTGATCAGGTTATTCTTTCATAGCAGTCTAGGAACTGTGTTTATTAGAGGAACTAATACTATAGTTTTGGCTTTTACAACTTCATTTGGGTATCTGCATAAAAGGTATATCTTACTTTATGTAGCAGATGTATTCCTAAAAGTCACATGAAAATTAACATTTAAAGACAACTGTAAGTAAATCAATATCAGCTGGGCATTGTGATATACTCCTGGAATCTTAGCACTCAAGAGACTGAGACAGGAGGAGCATGTGTATTTTAGGCCAACTTTGTCTTCATAGTGATAATATGTGTGTGTTTGTGTATAGTAGGCTGTCAGTATAACTCAGTGGTAAAGTGCTTGCCTAGCATGTTTAAGGAAGCCCTGGTTTCAGTTGCCAGGAGATATATATATATATATATATATATATATATATCTTATATAAATATACAATCTCCATAAATGTAAATACATTTACATATTTATATCTTATTTTTGTCTTAATAAAAACAAAACAAAATAATTGTGGTGTTCTTGCCTATAGTGGTGAAGGATTTAATTTCCCATATATATATGGGAAAGCACTCTACCACTAAGCCACATTCCCAGCCCTTGTTACTGCTTTTTAGCTATCTTGCCAAGTTCTGAAAGGATCAGAAGAATAATTGAAATCTTGAGAGCTGATGTAATCCAGGCCTTGGGAGTTCAGCTTTTAGAACAAGTGTATGATCTTTTGGAAGAGGAAGATGAATTACAGAGAGAGGTGAGTATCTCATTAGCTGTGTTAAAATACTCGGGTTATAGAAATTTTTAGCAACTTTTTGAAATATATTTCATGTACTATACAACTTGTCCATTTTAACTGTACATTTAATACTTAGTTTTTGGTGTGTGTTTTTTTTTGCCTGTCCTAGCCTTGAACTGTTGTCAACTGGATGCTGAGCCTCTTTGTGCTCAAGGCTAGTGCTCTACCACTTGAGCCACAATGCCACTTCTGGCATTTTTTGAGTAGTTTATTAGAGATAAGAATCTCATAAACTTCTCTGCCTGGGCTGGATTCCAACCATGCTCCCCAGATCTCAGCCTCCTAAATAGCTAGGATTACAGGCATGAACCACAAGTGCCTGGCAACACTTGGTTTTATAAAACATGTTCACAATTATACAATTATAACCATAATCAGTGCCTGAATATTATCCTCACAGAAACCCTATATCCATTAGTAGTCTTCCTCCATTATCTCCCAAGTCCCCCATCCCTAAGTAACCACAAATAGTTTTCTGTATAAATTTGTCTATTTTGGACAATTTATATAAATAGAAGCATACAAAAATGTTGCCTTTTGTGTTTTGCTCATTTCACTTAGCATAATGTTTTTTTTTTGGGGGGGGGGGGTTCGGTTGTGGGGCCTGAACTCTGGGCCTAGGTGCTGTCCCTCAGTTCTTCAGCTCAAGGCTAGCACTCTACCACTTGAGCCACAGTGCCACTTCCAGCTTTTTTTTCTTTTTTGCTTATGTGGTGCTGAGGAATCGAACCCAGGGCCTCATGCATGCAAGGCAAGCGCTCTACCACTCAGCCACCTTCCTAGCCCAGCATAATGTTTTTAAAATGCATCCATGTCTAATTCCTTTATACAGTTAAATAATATTTTATTGTAGGGTTTTGTTTATCAGCTTATGGTCTACTTTTTGGCTATTATGAAAATTCATGTGGAAGATTTATTTTTGGTAGTACTGGGGTTTGAACTCAAGGCATCATGCTAGCTTAGTCTGGTTCACTGGCACTATAATTTTAGCCATACTTTCAGCTCTGTTTGTTTGTTTTTGCTTATTGGAAATGAGAGTCTCTTGGGCTTTTCTGCTTGAGCTGGCTTTGAATGGAGATCCTCCACATATCCTAAGTAGCTAGAATTACAGGTATAAGAGCCACCAACATCAACTTAAATTTTTCTCCATTTTTTAAAAAATACCAGTATTGGGATTTCAATTTAGAGCTTCCCACTCACTTGGCTGGTGTGATACTGCTTAAGCTATACCTCTAGCCCAGCTTTCATATGAAGCTTTTGCATGGTTTCAGTTTCCTTGGATGAATACCTAGGAATGAAATTACTGGATCATGTAAAAACTCTCTTTAAATTTTTGAGGGATTTTCCAGACTGTTTCTTAGTGTATCTGCACCATTTTACATTCCTACTAGCTGTAAGATAAGAGCTGATGAGTTTTCCATACCCTTGACAATACTTATCTAGTTGAGTATAGTTAGAATCTTTTGTTAAATTGATTTGATTTGTATTTCATTGATGATGATAATCACTTTCTCATACACTTGTAGCCATTTGCATATTATCTTTGGTATAATGTCTTTTGCCTGTTTTAAACTTAGGCTATTTGTTGCCTATTTAGTTGTGAAATTTCTTTGTATTGTCTAGATACAGGTTGCTTACCAAATAGATGCTTTGTAAATATCCTCTAAGTTTGGGGAATGGGAGGATGTCTTTTCACTTTTAAAATAGTATTCTTTGAACTACTAAAATTGTTAGTTGGTGAGTATAATTCAGCTATTGTATTTTTTAAATTTTAAAATGGTTTTTGGTGGTACTGGAGTTTGAACTCTGGGCTTTGCACTTGTTAAGCAAGTCTTTCTACTTTAGCCAGGCCTCCTACCCCTTTAACACTAGTTACTTTTTTGTGCTGATACTGGGGCTTGAACTTAGCCTTGTACGATCACTTAGTGTGTTTTTTCTTTTCTTTTTTCTTCTATGTGTGTTTGTGTTGGTACTGGGGCTTGAATTCCAGGCTTGACCACTGTCACTTAGCTTCCACTTGACTTTCTTGATTATATCTGATGCTCTACCACTTGAGCCACACCTGCAAGTCATTTTGCTGATTAATTGGAGAAAACTTTTCTGACTAGGGTTGGTCTCAGTCCATCAGGCCTCAAACTCCTGAGCAGCTAGAATTACAGGTGTGAGTCACTAGCACTTGGCTTTAGTTCTAGGTGTGCATGTATGTGCATGTTGTGTGTGTGTGTGTTTTGCCAGTCCTAAGGGTTAAACTTAGGGGCTAGGCACTCACTGCTCAAGGCTGGTACTCTCCCACTTAAGCCACACCTCCACTTCTGGCTTTTTTGTTTTCGAGTGGTTGGTTAACTGGAGATAAAAAGTCTCACAGACTTTATTTGCCCAGTCCTGAGGCTTGAACTCAGAGCCTGGGCACTGTCCCTGAGCTTCTTTTTTTTTTTTTTTTGGGTCCGGTTGTGGGGCCTGAACTCTGGGCCTGGGCGCTGTCCCTCAGCTCTTCAGCTCAAGGCTAGCACGCTAGTACTTGAGCCATAGCACCACTTCCGGCTTTTTTTTTTCTGCTTATGTGGTGCTGAGGAATCGAACCCAGGGCCTCATGCATGCAAGGCAAGCGCTCTACCACCTTCCCAGCCCCTGAGCTTCTTTTTTGTACAAGGATAGCACTCTACTACCTGAGCCAAAGTGCCACTTCTGGCTTTTTCTTTTCTTTTTTTTTTTTTTAAATGCTGGTACTGAGGAATTGAACCCCAGGCTTCATGCATGCTAGGCAAGCACTCTACCACTAAGCCACATTCCCTAGTCCCTCTCAAAGACTTTTCTACCTGGTGTTGTACCACGATCCTCAGCTCTTAACTGCCTGAGTAGCTAGGACACGGGCATGAGCTAGACACCCAGCTAGGTTACACATTTTCAACTAAAGTACCACCAGAATGGTATGGTGTCATCAGTAAACTCTATCAGGAGTTTCAGGATATCCTTAACACATTGTTATTTTCACTTCAAGTGTTTCTTGAAACAGATAACCGTAAGATGTCACACAGTACTTATTACTAGTCAGATTGATTCATGTATTGAGTGCTAATTGGTAATTTGAGTTGTTTTAAAATGTATAGGATTTACATCGACATAAATATATAAATGAATTTGACAGATTATCTATGTGATATTTTATTTCATTAGTTCTACTATTCTAATATGGTTGGGGTTATTTTATACTGTAAGAACTCCTTGTAAGGGTTGTCAAAAGGAAACTCCCATGCAGTTCAGGCAGAAGAGAGTATATTAGGAAAGAGAGAGAAAAACCAAACTATCAGCCTGTGCAAGGTGGAGGCATGAGGAGCAAGAGAGCTAATGAAGGGAAGAGAGAGACTATATAGGGGAAGGTGGGGGAAGATGGGGGGATGGGTGTGGCCACAACAGATGTGGAGGTGTGCTCAGAGGATGGGGAAATGACCTCAGAGCCTTGGGGACCTCCCACTGCCCCAAGCATGCCAGTTGCCTGGGTTACATATGCTGGGCAGGGACTTACAGGGTACACTAGGAGAAAACCAAGGGAAGGGGTCATTTTTCCTGGGCAGACCTAACACTCCTTATACATTAGTGCTACTAATCCTTTGGCATGAATGTAAATATTTTCCCCGGTTATTCTTTGCTCTTTTATTTTCATGGTTTTTAAAAAAAAAATCTCCAAGTTTTAACTTTTTACGTAAATATAACTTTTTCTCATATGGACCCACTTTTGGTATCATACTTAGGAAAGACTTTCTTCTAGGATTATAAATACTGATTTTCTTTTTATCTTTTCCAAATAGGTACGTTTACAGGAGCACATGGGTGAAAAGTATACCACTTACAGTGCAAAAGCTCGTCAGTTGAAATTTTTTGAAGAAAACATGAATTTTTGAGAATTTTGTTACAATCTGCTAGAACTAAAGCTATTCTCAAAGGTTTTGTCTTAAAAAGCAAACTATTACAGTTTAGGTAGCATTCACCATTCTTTTATATCTCTTTGGGATTTTCTTATGGAAAAGAACAAAGTAATATAAAGCAAGTTCAAAGACAGTAAAAAAAAAGCTTTTGATTTTCATACTCTTTTTATGAGGAAAAAATGTTACATTTGTTTGGTTACTGTTTACTGAGCCGAAACCAATTTTATATTTTAACTTTATTTTTTTAAGGTACTAATTAGCTTGAAAACAGTGCCAGAAAGCATTGGTTTCAGTTATTTTATTATAGTAATAATACAACAGTAGAAACAAGTGACATGGCCAGTGATAATATCTGCTATTGTTAGGAAGTACTGTGTGTGCAATATATACATATACATATACATATATATACACACACACATATATATGTTATATATATATTGCACACACAGAGTAGTTGAGATATATATATGTATATTGTCAATTTACTATTCTGGGAATAGATTTAAAGAATATGAAGTTCTATGTAGTATTTGAGAAACTGGTTTTCTTTTTACATAATGATGAACTGTTAATATTTTACTTACTATGAATCCCATTTAGGTATATGAGAATTGGATCTAAAGTATTAAAATACTTTGTAAATCATGTTTTCATATATTAGTTTTATTAGATTTATATTTCTACCAGCAAGAAGTCTCTTAAACACTCCTTTTTCAATTAAGCAATTTGTGAGTAAAGTCCAGGTCCTTTACTTATATTGAGCACATGTAATGTTTGTCTGCTGAAATACGTCTTCATGTACATCAAAATAGTTTCCTTTCTATGTATGGCTGTATATCACATCATTTGTTTGATAAGAAATACTGCCTACACAGGAAATAGTTTTTATAAAGTAAAATACAAGACCTAGCCAGTAAATTTTCACTTTGTATTTAAATGACTCTAGAAATAAATACTCCAGATGTTCTTAGTTTCTTATAAAAATACTTTCTTCAAAATTTACACACACACAAAAATACTCTAATGAAATTTTCTTTTAGTCAGTTGTTTTTATTATGTGCTAGGTGCTTTGCCAGGAGCTGATATAGCAGTGAATAAAACAACACTTCCTTGCTCTTACAGTGCACAGTCTAGTTTCTGAGACCTTTTACATTGAAGAGCTTATTAGAACTCATTTGTAAAACTATCAAGCTCCAGTGCCAGTTGGGGAAAAATCTTTGACAAATGGCTGGTCTATGTTTTGGAAATCTGCATCTTTCTGGATAATTTTAATTACATTTTTTAATAATTATTTTCTTAGACTTAAATATCCATGCTGTGTTTTTGTTTAAACATTGACTCAGTTTTCAATCTACTCTCTTGCGGCTCTTCATTTTTATCTTAACTTTTTCCCCCTCTAGTACTGTAGATTGAACTTGGGACCTTATTACACACTTGTTAGGCAGATGATCTACCATCAGAGCCAAAATGACACTCCAGCCCCCATCCCTTTGTTGTTGTTGTTGTTGCATTGTCTCCAAGGTAGGCTCTTTCTGTATACCTGGGCTGTGACCCTCCTACTTATGCTTCCCTCTGTCACGGGATAACAGAGTACAAGTTGTGCCATGCCACTGTGCTTCCTGGCATCACCATGTCCGGGTTAAGATGGAGTCTCTTGAACAAAGCCAAGATCTTTTTTCCATAGAGCAGATGTTCTAATTGACAATTAACAGGTAAGCTACTGTTTTTTTGTTTTGTTTTTTGGTCTGGTTGTGGGACCTGAACTGTGGGCCTGCATGCTGTCCCTCAGCTCTTCAGCTCAAGGCTAGCACTCTACCACTTCAGCCACAGTGCCACTTCTTTTTTCTTTTTGCTTATGTGGTGCTGAGGAATCGAACCCAGGGCCTCATGCATGCAAGGCAAGCGCTCTACCACTGAGCCACCTTCCCAGCCCGTAACCTACTGTTAATGAGATACGTTATGAAACTCAGCAGACTTAAGTGATAGGCATTATACTTCATTTCAACAGATGGTCAGAATATTTATTTTTCATCTGAGACTAGGCCCAGACTTGGTATCTGATGCTTATTGGTTAGTGCTCTACCATCTGAGCCACACCTCCAATCCCTGGAATTTTTTTTATAGTAACAGTAGGTAGAGATCTCAACAAAATTTTTATACCTGCTAAAAGACATTCCAGGAATGAGGAATTATGCAAAGAAAAAGGGTTAAAAAGTTGGTCTACCAAGACTGAAATTTTGCCAAACTCATATGTAACTGTCTTCTACAATTCACAATTTTTTGGCACTACTGGGATTTGAACTCAGAGCCTTAACACTCAGTCAGCTTGCTTGACAGGCACTCTTCTGATTATTGTGGAGATGCAGTCTCAAATCCTATGGACTTTTGTGTGTGTGCCAGTCCTAGGGCTTGAACTCAAGGCCTGGGCACTGTCCCTGAACTTCTTTTGCTCAAGGCTAGCAATCTACCACTTGAGCCACAGCACCACTTCTAGCCTTTTCTATTTATGTGCTACTGAGGAACTGAACCCAGAGCTTCATGCATGCTAGACAAGTACGCTACCAGTAAACCACATTCCCAGCCCAATCCTATGGGCTTTTCTTACCAGAGATGGCCTCAAACCTTAATCCAGACGCTAGTCTCCTAAGTAGCAAAGATTTTAGGTATGATCCAACAGTGTCTGAATCATAGATGTATCATTGCTTCTCTTTTCAGCCTTTCAATTTCATCTTGAGAACAGAGGCAACTTGATTTTTAACTACATCTGGGAACTTCTAACTTTTTAGTCACATTCATTATCAATGAGTCTTAGTTTGGTTACTTAATTTCTCAATCTTTAAAAGATTCTTTCCTAAGTTTTGCTATGCTAATGTCTTTGCTTTCTTTCTTTTTTGATGATGTACAGAGAATTACAGTTATATAAGTCAGGTAATGAGTACATTGCTTTTTGAACAACGTCACTTCTTTCCTCATTTTTTCCCAGCTTTTCCCCTCCCAATTCCCCCCACAAGTTGTGCAAGTTCATTTTCAATAATAGTGTCTAGTGAGTATCACTACTGGATTTGTTCACCCTTTGTCTATTTTTGTATTCCTTCTTACCCTCCCCCAGATAAATTTATATACAAGACAAAGGTACAGAAAACAAAACAGTAACAAGGGAGGGAAAAAAACCAAAACGCAAAATAAAAACCTCTTATTTCCATTTCTTGGAGTTAATTTTGATAAACATCATTTTATGTGCTCATATGTACATAGCTATTGAGCCTTTTTGATTCTAAGAATAATATCCTCCTTCTTCAGTCTCACTGTGTGAATGTCTAGAGGCCTGTATAACTTATCATAGTAAAAGTAAAAGAATACACTTGGACATGCTACCTTCTCTTAACAAGCTCACAGTCTGGTAGCTCTGCATCCCACTACTGAGAAATATAACATTACTTGTAATCCTCCAACTAGCTAGGTGTGGTGGTGCGTTTCTGTAATTTCAGCACTCGGGAAAGTGAAGCAAAAAATTATAAGTGCAAGGCCAGCCTGAGCTGCAGAGTGAGACTGTCTCAAAACAATAAAAATAAAATTCCAAGGCAGGCACCAGTGGCTCATGGCTATAATCCTTGGCTGCTCAGGAGACTGAGATCTGGGCAGGAAAGTCTGTGAGATTCTTATCTCCAATTAACCATCAAAAAACCAAAAGAAGTGGAGCTGTGGCTCAAGTAGTAGAGTGTTAGCCTTGAGCAGGAAAGTTAAGGGACAGTGCCTAGGCCCTAAATTCAAGTACCAGGACTGGCACACAAACACAAAAAAATGTTCCCTTTTGCTCTGGAAAAATTGTTGTGTCACAAGTTTACATTCATACAATTTTTTTAAAAGGTGTTTGATGTAGTTAAAAATGTACCAGGAACAGGCTGGAGACATGGCTTAAGTAGTACTGCCACACCTATACCAACATACTTCCACGTGAAGTTACAGTGACAACAGTAAAAATGGTGCTTACATTTCCAGAATCACAAGCTCTTGTCTTTTACTAAGTCTTACAGACTATTCAAAGAGACCCTTTAGGTATAGACTTGCACTGAATTTTAATTAGAAAAGTCTAAAATAACTTAATGATTCATAATGAATTATAAAACCTAGTTAAATTGCACTAGCAAGCCAAGTATATGCCTATAGTCCCAGCACTGAGGAGCTGAGGAAAGTGAGTCCATGGCCAGCCCAAGTTACATAGTAAGATTCAAAAAACATGAAAAAATTGTGCTGTCATTTATGAGGCATTTATTATTTATACCTGGAAGAAACATTGCATACTTGTTTTTGTTTTCCATTTCATAAGATTATGAGGAGTTGGTCTAAAATATAAGTCAAACACAACTGAGTTATTTCTGTCTTTGAAATATAAAGAAAACTAAATCAATATGCAATTGTGTTTATGAGCATAGGGAGTTTTAAGCTCATTATTTGGTTATGATAGCAATTTAGCTCATCTCAGAGAAAACGAAAAGTGGGTGTTGAGTCATGAAAACCCCAATCAATTATTCTTAGCATGCCTCTTAATTTTTCTATCCCCTGTTTTCTTGTCTTCTGTTCCTGAGTCTTGAACAGGTAGCCATTTGAGGGGATGTCGTCGATAGATGGGCCATGGAGGAAGTGTCAGCTAGACCAAAACAGAAAAAGTGCATCTGTTATATCGATTATAAAATCATTATGCATTTAAAATTTTTTGTGTGTGTATGTGTGTGCCAGCTGTGGGGCTTGAACTCAGGGCACTGTCCCTGAGCTTTTGTGCTGAAGGGTAGCACTCTACCACTTGAGCCACAGCTCCACTTCAGGTTTTCTGTTGGTTAATTGGAGGGAAGTCTCACAGACTTTACTGCCAAGGCTAGCTATGAACGATAGATCTCAGATTTCAGCCTCCTGAGTAGCTAAGAATTACAGACTTGAGTCACCAGTGCCTGCTTTTTTTTTAAGTAGTGGTACAAAGGAGTTGCCATTTAACAAAGCAGATTATGTATTCAATATCTAGATTAATGTCACCCTTTTAAACATTCTCACCCACTCCCCCCCTCCTTTTTTTTTTTTTTGGTCGGTCATGGGCCTGAACTTTGGGCCTGGGCCCTGTCCCTCAGCTCTTCAGCTCAAGGCATGGGCTCTACCACTTGAACCCCAATGCCACTTCCGGCTTTTTCTGCTTATGTAGTACTGAGGAATCGAACCCAGGGCCTCATGCATGCAAGGCAAGCACTTTACTACTGTGCCACCTCCCCAGCCCACTCTTCATTCTGTAGAACATTGGATTCTTGTCTGCATTTTCCCCTTCTTTTAATCATATATGTTTTTAAAATTACTTCAATGCTAACGTCAACAAAACAAGACCCACAGAAAATACGGTCATGTAAATGAAACAAGCCTTAGTGTTTACACATAGGGCTTTGAGACTTAAGAGAAGGGCGAGAGGCAATGGTGAGCACCATGAGAAATTAATTCATACTAGCTTTGATCTCACTGCAGAAGAAAATAAGCGGTAAGGTTCTTCGCAGCTCACCACATCTGACACTATTTAACATGCCATTGTCCCAGTGATATTAAAGAGAAACGCTGACAGGAAAAATAGAGTTCACTGTGGTTCTCACTGCTAAGTCCAATCAGAGCAACCCAATTCTGAAAGCTTAACGTTCCTGCTCACCCAAGCACCCACAAATTTCTTACCAAACACGAAAAAGCAAATCCGGCCATAACTATATAGACTGTCCACCCGAACTGTTCGGCCACGTACCCATAGATAAATCCAACTATCTAGAGACAAACAGAATATATGAAAATACAGTCCAACTAGGGAGGAAAAAAAAAAGACTCAAATGTAAAACCAATACTTACTGCAGAAAAAAGAATAATTCCTTGAAACATCTGTTCAGCTAGCTTTTGTCCTTTGTAATCCTAGAAGTGGGGGGGGGGGGGGGGAGATGTGAGAGAGATTTGGTTCCGCTCCGAAGGGTTGCAGTTTCGGAACAGGACTCACATGGCAGCAAAAACGCATCTCCCCCGGCCCCTGCCCAGTAAGCAATCAGATCCCGGGCTCCTATGGGCCTGTCAGCATCCTGACAGCGCGCGGGCGCCTGGAGAGGAGGGTGGACGGGAGCCCAGGGGTTGGGGGCCGCGCGCGGAGGAGGCTCGAGGCCACCGGGTCCGTGTGGCGGACGAGGACCCCAGGCCAGACCCTCACCATCTGTGTGGGGAGCGCGCTGAGATGTTCCAGCATGGTTAGCTCCGAAGGCGGGCAGCGAGGCGAGGGCGAGCAGCAGTGACGAGCTGCAGCGGTCCGAATCGGACACCCAGAGTCGCCTGGCGGGCCGGACAAATCCCTACGTGCGACTGCCGCGGCCCCGGAAGCGGATGTATCAGAAGGGCGGGGATAACCCCTGGCCTCGCCCTGCGCCATCGCTAGGCGACGTGCGCTTTCGCACCTGGTGGTAGCCCGGCGTCCAGCCCGCGAGGGCTGTGGAGGTGGTCGAGCCGCGGCATCGCGCACCCGTGAATGGTTCGCCGTCAGGGGAACTGGGGCCACGAGCCGAGGCTCCGGTCCGATAAATTGTTCTAAGCCACGCTTTCGCGGCCTAACGGCTGCCTACGCGCGCTGCGTCTCCATGGCGACGGCGTTTTCTCAGCGAGGACCCCGGCGGCGAGGCTGCCCCGCGGCGCCTGCTGGGCACCTCGCTCTCGCTGCTAGAGCCACACCGTCGGGCTGGGGGCTGTGGTTGTGGCACTGGGCGGCTGCCGCGGAGGTCCTGGGCGAGCAGGTGAGCGAGCTTGGCTCCGAGTGCTGGGGACGCGGGCGGCCTTGCGGAGGGCTGGGGCCTGGGACCTGCGGCGCGGGCGCTGAGCTGGCGGGGCGGGCCGGGGCGCGGGCAGTGGCGGCTCCTCCTCTTCTCAGGGAAGGTAAGGGCGGCCGTGACTAGGGGGGAGGGGGCTGGCTTGTCGGACCTGGCCTTTACCCCATGTGACAGCCTGGCGGGACCCCCATAACGTCACCTCTCCATTCCCCCTGAGCGTAGTAGAGGCCGTAGTTAGAATTAGTAGATCCCCGAGCCGCATCTTTGCAAGAAAAGGCTCGGTCGCATCTCACACCGCTTGGGGAAAGCTGGGTCCCCAGCGGGGGTCCCAAGCTTGGCCCACCGCCCTGTCAGCCAGCTTATCTGATCACAAACCCAGGTTGGGCCTCCCAATGGAGACTGGTTGCCTTAGCCCGTTACAAGGCTGGTGTTTGACTGATCTCAAAAGCTTAGGTCCTCTCGGACATGTGAGGTAGGCGGAGTGGCCATGACCTGTGAACGTCCTCGGAGAATCCAGCCCTTGCTCTCTGCCCTCTGCCATCTATAGGGTCCATCCCTTCGCGCGGGGAGGCCTGTGGTTGCTGCCTGCGTTCACTCTGCCTGCCAGTTCTCCTGGCACGTAGTGTCAGCCGGTGGATCCGGCTGTGACCCAGAGACGGCTCTTGCCTAGAGCACTCAAAAGGAGACGGCCACGTCACTCCCCAAAATCTGCCACGGCTGGATTAGCCTCTGGGGAAATTGGAGGCCTGGTGCTCTGGGAGATGCAGCTCCGCGTGAGGGACGGGTCAAGTTTGTGTTGTAGAGTGGCTGTCACTACTCATGCCTCCAGTAATATGCAGAACCTTTTGTTGCTTTTCTGGTCTCAAAGGAGCCAGTGCAGGGAAGGGCTAGAGTTTATGCTGTCTCCTTCCTTCTTCCCTTGTATTATGCATTTGAAGTGTTTCTCTGTTGTATGTATAAGCAGGTGTATTCCAGCCCTCTTCAAGTGCATTTCGTGGGATGTCAGTTGGTGTAAAGAAGTAAGTTATTAGCCGGGCGCTGGTGGCTCACGCCTGTAATCCTAGCTACTCAGGAGGCTGAGATCTGAGGATCGCGGTTCAAAGCCAGCCCAGGCAAGAAAGACCGTGAGACTCCTATCTCCAATAAGCCACCAGAAAACCGGGAGTGGCGCTGTAGCTCAAGTGGTAGAGCGCTCTCCTTGAGCTGAAGCGCTGAGGGACAGCGCCCAGGCCCAGAGTTCAAGCCCCACGACCGACAAAAAAAAAAAAAAAAGAAGTAAGTTATTTCAACTATAAAATTTAAAGAAAAGGAGAGGTGTGTGTGTTAGGCCTGCCGCTTGAACTCAGAGTCTGGGCTCTGTCCCTGAGCTTTCTTGCTCAAGGCTAGCACTCTTACCATTTGAACCACACCCCCACTTAGGCTTTCTGGTTGTTAATTGGAGATTAGAGTTTCACAGATTTTCTTGCCCATGCTGCTTCTAACAATAAACCTCTGATCTCAGCTTCCTGGGTAACTAGGATTACAGGCGTGAGCCACGGGATCCTAGTTGGCAGATTTCTTTTGAAAGTGAGTGCATACTCCACTGTGGAAAAGGGTTCTAAACGCTAGTGGTTTCTGCTTTGCTCACCTATTTAAGTGCTAGAATTGGGTGTAGGGTTTGGGGTGGTTCCCCTCCTAACTGGAATAGCACAAATTCATGTGTCTCTCAATGCATATTTGTTCTTTTATCTGCCACTAAAAGTGAACCAGCTTTGTACTAGTATGTAACTGGGATTTATTGGAATGAAATTGTTTTATCAAGTCTTGGTGGAAGTTGTCTAAAAACAGATGTTAGAATTTTATCTGAGTTACTCTCAATCTGCTAGCTTCTGTAGGTAAGAGCTCACAATGAGAGACACATGTTATAGGGTATATAATGTGTATGCTTTAGAGATAAAGTTCATTGTTATACTTGAATATGTATTTCTCTGGAAAGAAATGTTTTAAATTGTTCTTTAGGCATACTTTCGCTCGTGTACTCAACACACCCACACTTTACACGCCTTTGGCAATACTAGAACCACATTCTCAGCCCTTTTGGCTTTAGTTTTCAAATAGTATTTTGCATTTATGTCCCACCTGGCCTGGCCTAAGATCCTCCTATTTATGATTTCTGTTTATCTAGGATGACAGGCATGATAATACTACTATGGTATTATCATATCTTCTTGCCATATAGCCTATGTTGGTCTAGAACCTTCCCCTTCCATCTCCTAAGAGATGGGATTACAGGTGTGCATCTTCATACCTGGTTAAATACAACCTTCTTACAAGATGGACAGTCAAGAGAGGAAGGTCAGAAAAAATTCCGTTTTTTTAAAAAGCAGTTTTAGGGCTGGGATGTAGCTCAGTGGCAAAGCGCTTGCCTAGCAAGTGCAACGTCCTGGGTTCGGTCCCCAGTACCAAAAAAGAAAAGACAAAAAAAAAAAAAATACAGTTAAAAAGCAGTTTTAAATTTTTTGAAAGTAACACTTTTACCTTCACATTACTTTGTCATAGACATCTGTGTCTTTTGTGTTCTAACTTAAGGTCTAGGCACTGTCCCTGAGATTTTTTTTTTTTTTGCTCAAGGCTAGGGCTCTACCACTTGAGCCACAGCTCCACTATAGCTTTTTGGTGGTTAACTGGAGATAAGAGTCTCATGGAGTTTCCTGCCTGGACTAGCTTTGAACCCCAGTCCTTAAATCACAGCCTTCTGAGTATCATGAACTACCGGCACCAGGCCATGCCTAAATTGAAGTAAGAATCTTGAGTAAAAATTTATTCCGAAATTAAAAACTCCAGGCTTTTTCCCCTAATAGTGTTTCTTTTGCTTTTCATGTGGTGTCATAGCTAAGGCTATGTATTTTCCCAAGGTATTTGGAAGTTATTTTCCAAGTTCTTAGGAATATCATAAAATTTTCAGACCTAAAAATTGGATTCTTGTAAACTTACTAGTTCAAACAAGTTTCTGGAAGAATAATGTACTTTGTTCCTATGTGAATAAGTGTGTAGGCATTTTGATGACCATTCTTTTGTTTTACAGGATTAATAACTAATATTTATATAAGACAGAAGAAAAAGATGTCGTTCCGTAAAGGTATGTTTGTTCTATCTCTCAATGTTGGTTTTATATTAATCAAAGGCAAGGAGATGTAATTTAGGTTTTTCTCATCTGTTTCAGTAAACATCGTCATCTTGATCTTGGCTGTTGTTCTCTTCTTACTGGTTTTGCATCATAACTTCCTCAGCCTGAGCAGTCTGCTAAGGAATGAGGTTTCAGGTACAGGTACCTTATTAATGCCTTATAAACTGTTGAGAACTTGGGGTTCCTTGTGTCCCATATATTAACTCACATCTCTATGTTAAAAACAACCACCACCACAACAAAACCTTGTTTCTAGGCCTTAGAAGTGCTATAGAAGATTCAAAGGCATGGGTACTTTTTCTATTCTTGGATGCCTTGTACAATATAGTCACTAGCTAAGGATTTGAGCTGACAAAATATTCCTTTCCACCAAATCAAGAACATTACAGAACTTGCTCAGCAGGCTGGGCTTCAGAAGATGGGCAGGAAAGTCTGTCTTTTTTATTTTTTTGGGGTATGGTCGTGGGGCCTGAACTCTGGGCCTGGGTGCTGTCCCTCAGCTGTTCAGCTCAAGGCTAGCGCTCCACCAGTTGAGCCACAGCGCCACTCCTGGCTTTTTTCTTTTTTGCTTATGTGGTGCTCAGGAATCGAACTCAGGGCCTCATGCACGCAAGGCAAACGCTCTACCACTGAGCCACCTTCCCAGCCCAAGTCTGTGAGTCTTATCTCCAGTTAACCAGCAGAAAACCAGAAGCAGCTGTAGCTCAAAAGTGGTAGAGTACTAGCCTTGAGCACAAGCTCAAGGACAGGACCACGTGCTCTGTCACTAGTGTTAAGTCTAGCTACTTTCCTTCAACTGCAACTTTACTTTAACTTGAGCAATCACATCAGGACAGTAGTAATACTACAGAAATCATAAAGGCTTATCAGCTGTTTAAATTATTTATTGTATAATTGTACTGCAAGTTGCTTTAGTTGTTCATACTGCCCCACCTTAATATTGAGAAATGTTTGAGGCATCTGGGTATTTATCAAAATCTTTTTTTTTTTTTTTTGCTGGTTGTGGAGCTTGGCCTGTGGGCTGTCCCTCAGCTCTTCAGCTCAAGGCTAGCGCTCTACCACTTGAGCAACAGCATCACTTCCGGTTTTCTGTTGGTTTATTGGAGAGAAGAGTCTCACAAACTTTCCTGCCTGGGCTGGCTTTGAACTGCAGTCCTCAGATCTCAGTCTTCTGAGTAGCTAGGTATACAAGCATAAGCTACCAGCACCCAGCCTGTCAAGATCATTTTGAAGCCAAGTATGGGGGAACATGCCTGTAATCTCAGCACTCAGGAGGCTGATGCAGGAGGAAGTTTCAGCCTGGGCTACACAGGGAGTCCTTGCCTCAAATAACAAAAAGCCCAAGAGCATTTTTGAATTGCTAATTACCACAGTTGACCAAAGCAAGAAAAGAATAGTAACTTTCCCTAACTTTCTTTTAGTGCTGGTAGAATGCTTGTTTTGTTTTGCTTTGTTTTTGGTGCTGGGGATTAAATTGCAGGCTCTTGTTTATACTAAGCATGTACTATACCACTGAGCTTCAGCTCCAGCTCTGATAGCTTGTTTCATAATTAAAAATGCATGCTTTTGGGCTGGGAATGTAAGCTTAGTGGTAGACTGTTTGTCTAGCATGAATGAAGCCCTGGGTGTGATTCCTCAGTACCATAGAAAAAGCCAGAAGTGGCATTGTGGCTCAAGTGGTAGAGCACTAGCCTTGAGCAAAAACAGCTTAGGGACAGTGCCCAGGCCCTAAGGTCAAGTCCCAGACTGGCAAAAAACCAAAAATTTTTTTAAAAAACTTACATGCTTCTGGTGGAAGTAGTAATGCGGGTACTTTGTTCACTGCTTTATCCCCCTTGCCCAAGAATGATTGCTGACACACTGGTTGTATTCAATAATAGAGTGAATAACTTAATTGACTCAAGATAACCATTATAAAAAATTTAGCCTGGTACCTCCAGTCTCTTTCTTTATGTACATATTTTTTTTCCTGTATAGTTGAGACTATACTAAATTATAATGACATGTTTTTCCTTATGATTTTGCATAAGTATATCATAAGTATATATGATAGTAAAAACTCTTCATACGTGATTTTAGTACCAATAAGATCTCTTGTGTCCAAGGAAATTAACTTATGGTATAATAACTCCCATGCTTTTTAAAACATACAATATTATATATAATATACACATGACTCCCTACCATATAATGCAGAATGCACAGTATGTATGAATATGCTACATATAATTAAAAAGTCTGAGAATCATACCGGAAGGAAGGTTATAAACAATTGTAAATAAAGAAGGAAGTGTGGCTTTTGCCTATAATCCTAGCTACTCAAGAAGTTGAGATTTGAGGATTGAAGTTTGACCCAGCCTGGGCAGGAAAGTTCCATGATACTCTTTATCTCCAATTAAGCACCCAAAGTGGAGCTGTGGCTCAAGTGGTAGAGCACTATCCTTCAGCTAAAATGCTTAAGAGACAGCACCCAGGCCCTGAGTTGATGCCCCAGTTACCAGGACAATAAAAAGGTTACCGAGCAAATTTTTTCAGATGTGCTCATGCACTTTTTCAAAATGTGGTTTGAACTTATTGCTAGGCAAGCAGTCTCCCACTTGACACTCTCCCAGACCTATTTCCTTATTTTTTATGTTTGCTTAGGGCCAGCGTCAGACAGCTATTCTTGCACAGCTGTGATTATACTCCTGGCTTGTTTTTTTTGCAATAAGGTCTTGCTGTTTAACTTTTATTTTTTGCCCATCTCTGCCTCCCTTGTAGCCAGTATTACATATACACACTATCATACCTGGCCCTGCTCTCGTCTAATCCAGAAACTTCTATTAATTTCATGTCTACTTAGGTTTAAAAATAAATATTTCTATGTTTACAAATATAGCAAGCCCTCTACTGCTTAAGCCATGCTCTTAACCCATTTGATGCTTCCAATATTGTCCTTAAAAGAAATAACGACGTGATGATTAGGTCAAAGACCATGTACTTATTTATGATTCTTCATACAAATGGCCACAATATATTTTAGAAAGGTTCTGTTAACTTTTCTAATGCTGTATCAAAGTGTTACATGCCTTTTTTAAATCCTTCCACTTTTCCAAAAGCTTGACTAGAAAAACATAATTTGAGGCTGGTCTAGATACTGAAATTTAATAAGTTAAATTGTCACCATAATCTTCACCATTCCTCTTTCCATGTCTGTCCAAAGCTCATGAGAACCAGGTGCCCAGTGGCTTATGTGTTTCACTCTAGCTACTTAGGAGTCTGAGATCTAGTGGATCAAGATTCATGGTCAGCTCAGGCAGAAAAGCACCCTAAACTCATTCTATGAGCCCAGCAAAAACTGGCTCAAAGAGTAGTACACCAGCTATCAAGTGCTAAAGTTCAAAACCTCTTACTGCAAAAAAAAAACCCAAAAACAAAAAACAAACAAACAAAAAAACCCCACGAGATTGTTTTATCCTAGTGCCTGCTTTTGTATGCTCTTTTCAGATTCAGGAATTCTGGGGCTTCAGCCTATTGCCTTTGTCCCCAATGCTCCTCGACATCTGGTAGATAGGAGAGGAGAGGAGATTCCTGTGGTCATTGCTGCATCTGAAGACAGGCTTGGAGGGGCCATTGCAGCCATAAACAGTGTTCAGCACAACACTCACTCCAATGTGATTTTCTACATTGTTACCCTAAACAACACAGCAGACCATCTGCGGTGAGTTTTCATTGCATGATTCAGCTTCTAATGGATGCTCTAGAGTAGGCCAGCTGCCAATTCATGAACTGTCTTAGAGTATACGTGTTTACATAATTGAGGTTATGACAATGTAAGATGCATGGGACATTTTTCCACATGACTGTATAAACAGGAATACTGTAAAGAACTTATGCCAAGAAGTAAACAAATTATCACTATTCCTATTACTACTGAGTTGCTGTTTCAGCAATAAGACTGATGGTTTCATGCTAATGTGGTGAGGTTGCAAGCAAATACTGATCCAAGTCTTAGAGTGTATTGATTAGGGGAACCTTGTAGCCCATTTTTCCTCCGCAATTAGAGTAAAAATACTCAATTTAGAGGTTGTGGCAAATGAAAGAGAAATTAGATAGAATACTTAGTTGGGCAAGATGGCTTAAGCCTGTAATTCTAGCTAGCCACTTGGGAGGCAGAGATCAGGGGACTATAGTTGAAGGTCAGCTGAGGCAAAATGGTGGGCATGAGCTTTCAGGGGAAGCACATCTGGGTTATTCCCTAGCAACATGGGGAAATCACAAGCAGAAGGACCAGCCAAAGCTGGCCTGGAACCTATCTATAAAACAACAAATGCTACTTAAACCCAAGTGAGAGTATTCATGCTTTGGTACTGGCACCAAAAGAAAAGACTAGAAGTGTGTTAACATGGTAGAGTGCTTTGCACAGCCTCTGTTCTACCCAGTACTAACAAAAACACACCTACCTCATAGTAATTGCTTGTAAGTCTTAACATTTTACTTATAGTTAATGCAAACACAATGGACTCTCATTTGTGAAAATTAAAGTTTATTACAAGAAACTGCTTAACATTTACCTGTGTTCTGAAACATGAACTATCATATGGCTATCTCCATGGCTCATGTTTAGTTTATGAAAGCTACTGTGACTTCAGAACCCTTGGAAGATGTAGAACCATACTGCATTAAAATACACCATAGAAATGACACTAAATGTTCCCCAAATGCTTACTTAAAATAGATGACAAGAAATGTGTTTACTTCTTCAGGTTCTTAACAGAGCTTCAGACTTCAGTGAAGCACGAATTACTTAGGGTTGTCATGGTGAATTAATTCATTATATAGGTAACAGACTACTTGCTAGCCTGTTACCTTTCACTACCATTGCAATTTGGGGGCAAGTACTGAATTTGAACTCAAGATCTTGTACTTGCTAGGCAGGCACTCTTGAACCACAACTCCTTTTTTTTGCACTGATTATTTTTTGACAGGGTCTTTTTTAAAACCTTGTCCCATGTTTGGACTATGATTTTTACTTTTTTGGGGGTGGGGGTTCACAGGCTTGAACTCAGGGCCTAGGCCCTGTTCCTAAGCTTTTTCACTCAAGGCTAGCACTCTAGCACTTCTTTCAGGAATATAATTTTCTTGCACTTGCTGGATTCTTGTATGAGATTCCCATGCCCAGCTTTTTTCTTTTGGGGGTGGGAAATGGTACTTCAGTACTGTCTTGGTCTCCTCATTACAGGATCCAGCCACTGGTATCTACCACTACCACTACTCTTTGACTTTTTTTTTCCCCAGGGTATTTGGAAAGTTAAGAATTGAATCTCTGGGGGCTGGGAAGGTGGCTCAGTGGTAGAGCGCTTGCCTTGTATGCCAAAGGCACCACATAAGCAAAAAAAGAAAAAAGCCCGAAGTGGCGCTGTGGCTCAAGTGGTAGAGCGCTAGCCTTGAGCTGAAGAGCTGAGGGACAGCACCCAGGCCCAGAGTTCAGGCCCCACGACCGGACCAAAAAAAAAAAAACAAACAAAAAATAACAAAGAATTGAATCTCTGGCCAGGCATGGTAGTGCACATTTGTAATTCCAGTACTTGGTAGATTGAGGCAGGTGGCTTGAAATACTGGATACATATGTAGCCTGGGCAGTGCCATAACCTACGCTCCCCAAAATTGAGTCATCCATGTGTTGGTGGCTACAGAGTCTTAGTTGACAGCCAATTATGGTAGCAATACCTACATTTCAGATAAAAAACCAAGGAAGGAACATGGAAACACGTTTGTTACTACTGAATTTTAAAGCATAGTGTATGCCCTCATTAGAAAAGGATAAGGTTATGTATGGCTTGGAAATATGACTATTTAAAGCTGAAATGCAGCCCTCACCCCCTTTTTTTAAAATCAGGTCCTGGCTCAACAGTGGTTCTCTGAAAAGCATCAAGTACAAAATTGTGAATTTTGACACTAAACTTTTGGAAGGGAAAATAAAGGAGGATCCTGACCAGGGGGAATCTATGAAACCAGTGAGTTCCCTGTATCTGTTAGTACGTGGGCATTATTTTAGAATACTGTGGGTATAGTACAAGTCAGTCCCTGGGGACCAAATCCAGAGGGTGCTAAGATTCCTTTAGTTATGCAAGGTCTCAGATGTCTTTGTAGCTTCTATGTAAATAAAAGTATAGCCACTAGATCCTATGTCAATGTTCCTTTCCTTTTCTAGTTAATCTTTGCAAGATTCTACTTGCCAATCCTGGTGCCCAGTGCAAAGAAGGCCATATACATGGATGATGATGTGATTGTGCAAGGTATTAAAGATGGGAGGAACAGGGAATCTTAAGGGACTGCGGAATGTCTTAACCATATCCATTTCAGGTGATATTCTTGCCCTGTACAATACACCACTGAAGCCAGGACACGCTGCTGCATTTTCAGATGACTGTGATTCAACTTCCACTAAAGTTCTCATCCGTGGAGCAGGGAACCAGGTATACAACTTTAATGTGAAGGAATGGCAAATTTAGGGAACTCATTTCTGATATATCACTTATTTCATAATTATTTCCCCTCCAAACTCGTTTTCCTGTTGTTTCATTTATAAACACAACAACCTAATTCTTGAACATCTGTTTTGTGAAGCCAGTCCTAAAAGTCACTTTTGTTAGTAAAAACCCAAGAAGCCAATTTTTAGCCAGCTTATTTTTGCTAGCTAGAAACTATTTTTGTTCCTGTTTGTGTTTTCAGTACAATTACATTGGCTATCTTGACTATAGAAAGGAAAGAATTCGGAAGCTTTCCATGAAAGCCAGCACATGTTCCTTTAATCCTGGAGTTTTTGTTGCAAATCTGACAGAATGGAAGAGACAGAATATAACTAACCAGCTGGAAAAATGGATGAAACTCAATGTAGAGTAAGTAACTGGAATTTTCAAACTCTTGGATTTCAACTAACAGGATTTGGTCAGTATTGTTCACTAACATTTGTTGTCTGCTCCACCAAGAGAGGGACTCTACAGAACACTGGCTGGCAGCATTACAACACCTCCTCTGCTTATTGTATTTTATCAACAGCACTCCACAATTGACCCCATGTGGAATGTCCGGCACCTTGGTAAGTACAAGTAAAATCAGCAATTAGTATGTAAAGACAGGCCTGTCCTGAGATGAAAAATGTGTAGTTATCTTAAATTTTTGGTAGCTTAGTATGGCTGCCTAATGAGTGGTACAATCACATTGTTCTTTCTCTCAACTGTAAGGTTCCAGTGCTGGAAAACGGTATTCGCCCCAGTTTGTAAAGGCTGCCAAGTTACTCCATTGGAATGGACACTTTAAGCCATGGGGAAGAACTGCTTCATACATAGACATATGGGAAAAATGGTACATTCCAGATCCAACAGGCAAATTCAGCCTAATCCGAAGACATACAGAGATGTCAAACATAAAGTAAAATAGAATAAACTATAACCATTTCTCAGGAAATCCTGTTGGATCCATGTGTGGCCATGCTAGGCTTCCATGCCTATGTGGAGCAATCCACAAATGAGATGTTTCAGAAGTTCAGTAAAAATACCAAATTGCCTTGTTTGGCAAAGACTGTCCATCTCTGTCTCACCAAGTGTTGCCTACCACAATGCTCATTGACCAGAATGGACTAAGGCTGGTAACTAAGTATAAAGCTAATTTAAGAACTGCTGCTTGGTTTTAATTTTGTAACCTGTGGCCTCATCTGTAAATAAAACCTACTTTTTTTCCCCCCCAAGACTGTGCTTCCAGGAGACTTCTTTTTATGCAGAAGACACTTTTTAAACAGTTTTGATTGTTTAATGTCATATATACACCATGATCCATATTAACAAAATTACAGCCCATGTCATACCAAAATAGAAAAGAACAAAGTTCCTTTCCTGGGCAAAGGGTAGATGGCTGAAATCCCAACACTTCATAGATATAGGCAGGAAGATCACAATTTGGGGAAACCCTAGGCTACAGTCTCCAAAAACTAAAATTAAGACCATGAGCCAAGCCCCAGAGGCTCCTAATTCTAGCTACTCTACAGGCTGAGAGCTAGGGAATTATGATTTGAGTTCATCTCCATAAATAAAGAGATGAGTTGTTTATACATAATCTGTGCTGAAGTCATAAGCATCATCCTCTTTAGTAATTTTATCCAAAACAAATGATCTTGCAGATGGTTCACCTAAATTGGAGAAAAATAAAATGAAGCTTTATACAAAAAAGTAAAACCAATTTGTGTCAATGGGCTGCTTTCTTGCAATCGACTCACCTGCTAAAGATTTTTCAGGCAGTAGTTCCTCTGTTATCTCTTTCACAGGAGACTTGTTGGAGATCTCTTCCTGTGAGACACAGAAATGATTAAGGATTGGCAGATCATAGTCTCATCTGTACCAATTAGTACCTAAAAAAAAATTAGTCAAAATACAAAACAATTTGTATTGTCAAAGCTCATGGAATTCACAAACTATATAGACCATGATGATAACGATGTGCCTTGTAAAGGTTAAAATGTGTTTGTGACTCTATCACTATTGCACAATATTGTGAAACGTGGAATTTACGTAATCACCTAATCTCAATTTAACGAAAAAAAAAAAAAAATGGAGAGAAGGATGGGTTAGGAGGGATGGCTGACAATGTTGTCAGATACCTTGTATTCATATACTATTTTGTAAAACAGGAACTTTTTTGTGTGACTACTTAAAGATAGCAGTAACTACAAAGTCTCACAGACTTCCTGCCCCAGCTGGCTTCAAACTGCTATGCTCACATTTCATCCTCTCAAGTAGCTAAAGATTACAGTGGTGCCTAACAAACACATACAGGTACTTAAGTACAATGCACCCCTTTCATTTTTCTCTCCCATCCCTCCCCAGGTTGAGAATCAAATACGTAGTAATCAAATCTGTAGTAAACTATGTAACATTTGAAAATGTCCAGTAAAAATATATGCCAGTGAAAAATGCACTACTAAAACTGGCAGAATAAAACAAAAAAACCCAAAAACAATTAGTCTTGGAAGGTTATACATATCAGGTAAACTTCAGACTAGTGATTTAAAAAAAAAAAAGCCCTCAAATATCTAAGTTTTACAGTATTTTCTAGCTGATTAAAAATTTGTCTCTAGCCTTTCACATCACACATTTATTCTACAAAATTTGAGCTTACATCAACTTCTTTGTTGTGCACACTCTCCTGGCCATTGACTATGTTATCCTTCTGTTTGCTCTCTTTCTGTTTTGGCAATTCTTCAGCTATGTCAGTTTCCTCTGTTATTCCATTTGTCAAACCCGAAGAGCAGAAAAGGATGCTGTTGGCTAAACTGGGGTTCCTAATGGCTACAAAAAGAACAAAGTCCACATAAATAGGTAAAGTCTATTTTGCCAGCAGATAAAAAGAGCAGTGAAACACAAATCTCACCTTGTATACTATGTGCATTGTTCTTCTCTAGTTCTTCCAGATTAAAGCCCTTTCTCATGTTTGCCACAGTATTCTCATTAAAATGTGGAGAAAGAGTCCAGGATGCAGGAGGATGGCAATGGTAACCTAATGATGCACTGGTATTAAAAACAGTATGTCAAAAAAAATTTTTTTTTGGTGGGCACCAAAATACCACCAAAATGAGGCCTTACCCTGTCCATTCAGACCATAGCAGCTTAGCAGCAGCTTCAATATTCAGGCTTCCACCTTTTTGGTGCAGACCTCTTCTCTGAGCAAGTGTTGCAAAAAACTCCTGCGAATTCTTATAGTTTGGGACAGTGTATTTTAGGACTACCTTAAAAACACAACACAAAATTTTCACTTATCTGCTACAGTGATAGGTTGTAAGATTTACAGGAAATTGGCGATGTCAAGCGAAATAGGGAGTTCTTTTACCTGCCGAGCATCAGCCTGGGACAGGATGGCACTGGCAAATTCCACTGGTTTTAGCGATTCAATGCTTGTTGGACTCCGAAGAGCAAGTGCAGCAGAGGAGTTAAGTGGTGAGACGATGAAACTTGGACTGTCTATGACAGTGATTTGTTTGTCCAACGGCACAATTTGCATGTTTCTGAAACAACAATGGAATTAATGGCACTGGTTTATAGAGGGCAAAAGACATAACATGAAGCTCAGGGTTGGATTGAACAAAACTCAACACAGCGAGTCAGATCCAATTTATCATCATTTGCTTCATGATTTTGTCCTTGCTTGGCAGGTGCTCTTATACTTGAGCCATAATCCCCAGCCTAAACTTTATTTCTTGAGGCAATTCCCCACCACTTACATGACAGGTGCTAAGTTTGCTTGCCAGTATGCTAGTAAACTTATTTGCGCTATGCCACCAGCTTCCTTCTCCTTAGAGAACAGTATGAATGAAAAAGCTTTGTCTTTGCAAAGGCTGAACTGTAACTTGTGTTCTTCTGTTTCTGCTTTTTAAGCAGTGGGGATTACAGTTGTACATCATATCCAGCTTCAGTTTTTAATTTTTCTCTCAAACTAAATTGTGGGCAGCCAAGACTTTATTAGCTCTTTACTTTTTAAAAGCTTTCCTCAATAGAACCAAAATAAAGTCTTTTTTACAATAAAAAAAATTTAAATTATTAAAACAGCTCAATTTACCTTGTAAGCCCCATAGCTATACCAACATTACATATCCGTTCTTGTTTCAAGCTATTAATGATGCTGCTTTTCCCCACATTTGGGAAACCTACAATTAAATGGAAATACACATGTATATTAGTCTGAAATTTATAAATTTTCCATTGCAAAATTCTATTTGCCTGGTGTTCGGAACTGGATTAGTATCCTCACTTCAGTCCAATCATCTTTTTTTTTTTGGGGGGGGGCCTATACTAGGGGTTTGAATTTGAGACCAAATACTCTTGTTGGTATTCTACCAATTGAATCATGCCTCCACTTTCAGCTGTTACTGGTTATACTGCAAAGAAGCTCATCTGTTATGCCCAGGCTGGCCTCAAATCCAGATTTCTCAAGTCTGTCACCTGAGCAGCTAGGATTATAGGCATGAGCCATGGGCACCCAGCAACTCCTTAATTTCTTGCACATTAACTTGTGAAAGGGCAAGAAAGGCTTAAACCAAGAATATGCATATATTCACTTGTAGAGCTGGGGATCAAATCCAATACCCCACTAATGCTAGGCAAATACTTCACCACTGATCTACACTCCAGCTACCAAGTTTTTGGGTTTTTTTTTTTGTCGGTCATGGGGCTTGACTCTGGGCCTCAGTGCTGTCCCTCAGCTCTTCAGTTCAAGGCTAGATTACCACTTGAGCCACTTCTGGCCTTTTCTGCTTATGTGGTGCTGAGGAATTAAACCCAGGGACTCATGCATGCAAGGCAAGCACTCTACCACTGAGCTACCTTCCCAGCCCCTACCATTACTTAGGAGGCTGCAGAAAGTCTAAAAGACTCTTCTCTCCAATAAACTAAAAAAGCCAGAAGTCTATCTGTGGCTCAAGTGGTAGAACTCAATAAGGAAAAAAGCTCAGGAGCAGTGCCCAGCCCCAGGATTAATGGGGGGTGGGGGAGGGAGGATAAACTTTTTTTTTGGGGGGGGGGGGGGGGGGGTCCAGTCGTGGGTCCTGAACTCTGGGCCTGGGCGCTGTCCCTCAGCTCTTCAGCTCAAGGCCAGTGCTCTACCACTTGAGCCACAATGCCACTTCCGGCTTTTTTCTTTTTTGCTTATGTGGTGCTGAGGAATTGAACCCAGGGCCTCATGCATGCAAGGCAAGCGCTCTACCACTGAGCCACCTTCCCAGCCCGGATAAACTCTTTTCAATGCCTAATCTTAACAAAGAAATGAACCTAGTAGCAATTAGGCCCCCCCCCTTTTGTGTCTGTCCTGGGGCTCAAACTCAGGGCTATAAGCTTTTTTTGCTCAAGTTAAGTGCTTTACCACTTTCAAGCTCCACTTTGAAGACCTTGGTTTCACAATAGACATTCTTATTTAACCTGGTAAAAATCTTTAAGAGGTAAACTATTATAAAACTCACCAATCACTCCAACTTGAATAGCTCTGCCGTAAGTCTCCTGTAAACTTCCAAGAAGTTTCCAAAGGCTTTCTCTACCAAAGCAGACCTTGCTTTTGAATGGAGCCGTTTTTTTCTTTACCTTGAAACATTATTCCAATTAGGTTAATTATTGTGTTAACTCATAGGTAAATGGACAAAGTCAAGCATCAGAGCCTAGCTCTTAAATGTCTAGCTGAAATCAGAGTTGGATCTTACTATTTTTTCACTTTAAAATCAATATTTTGTTTCACATCATATTTCAACCATCCAAATTCTGAAAGAACCACCTTTCCCATCCCTAACATTAAAAGTATATACCTTGGTTATTTTTTTGTTCTTCGGAATTGTTGAGGCTTTGAACACCACTGTTGGTAATTCTTTCTTCAAATAATTTAGCCAGTTCTCCAAATTCTCCTTTGGTACTAGATCTAATAGGAATTAAGGATAAGACAAATGGCTTCAAGCTAGGCATTTTTGTCAAATACAGATTTGAATATTATTTACCTTATCCCAGGCTTTCCACCACAAAAGAACTAATTACAAAACGAGGACAGGGTAAGTTTCCTATTATGCTGTCCAAACAAGATCAACATCTATACTACACTCGTATATTTCAATTCCTACACAACTCATGCATTATAATCCTACAGCTGTTTTCTGGATTTACCCTCAGCTAAAAAAAAAATCTTGTTTCTTGACTAGTGACTTTTCATCTTGTCCCCACATTGTGCCACAAGTCTCTTGAGTTTTTCTAAATATTTGTCACCCAAATCCCTTGACTACATAACACTGGTCAGATGGGAGATTCTGGCACATCATCATTTTTTATTGAAATAAGACTACATGGCAAACAGGATGAACAAGCTCACATCCTTAAAGTGTTAAAAGTACTGAATGGCAAACAATATACCAGCTGAATCACTTGTAGAAACCACCTTCTTCCCAATGCCCAGCACTGTCTTTGGCATACAAGAGGACACACACTGGTTTGTTGAGGTCAGAGTTGGATCTTATCAGTCTTCAGTGATAGTCAAGACTGTTCAGATGTTTTCCTCATACCTCAATCAGTGTACTCACAAGGACTCACAATGAAGATCCCCTTTCCTCACCTGATTTATTTAATACAAGTACTAGCTTTTTAAGTCCATTCTGAACAACAGCCTCTTCTACCTGAGGACACCTGCAACCAAGAGGATCTCTGGCATCCAATACCTCCAACAGAACATCTGAGACTTCAATTACCTGTCAAAGAATAAACAATCAGAACAGCATTCCTGTGGGAACACTCAAATTTAGCTCTCTGCTATCATCTACCTGGCAACAAAGTGAGTTCAGAGTTGGATCTCATATCTTCATTTTGGTATGAAGAATGTGCACACTCATCATTTCTCACAGGAAAAGTAAAGTATGTAAGCATCTTAGAAACCTGATAGATATGGATTTACAAATGTAAATAACCCCAACTCTATAGTTTGATAGACCTTCTGGCCTTCCTGAGAGGTCTGAGGAATAATTATGCTAAGATTATATCACCTACTTCCTTCAATTAGTTTTCAACATTTCCTCCTTTACATGGCTGGTGTCAGGTCAAGGAATGACCCATGTCAATTTTCAATATCTCATTACCATTATTAGACACTGACCTAGACTGAGATACCTTTTTAAGTTCCTGACAGTGTAACTTCTTTGGATTCTGTTTGGCCAACTTGGCTTTCTTTGTTTTGCACTGTCCAAATTCCTAAAAGGGCACAAAGATTAGAAGGAAACACACAATTAAGACTATATCAGTTGCAAGTTATATCTTCACATTTTTCTTTAATAGCTTAGAGTCTGAGGGTCTGCACATGGTGGCGGCACCTCTGCAATCCCAATTATTTGGGAGGCATAGGTAGGACAATCCCAGGGCACCCTTGGCAAAAATATTCTTAACAATATCTACAAAATAAGCAAAAGCAAAAAGGGATAGGTGTGGCTTAAGTGCTAAAGCACTTACCTTGTAAATGTTAAAGGTTCTGAAATCAAACCCAAGTCTAGTGCTCTCCTCGATAGAGTCTATCTTCTGCCCAAGACCCACTAGACTACATGTAAGTTTTTATTTGTGCCTCAAAACTCATCTTCCACTTTTAGAAGGATACCTTACCTCCTCTGGCTTCTCATCAGATGGCTTCTCATCAGGGTTAGTTTCAAGTTTCCTTTTCATTCCTTGTTCTTTCTGTCTATCAAGTTTCTCCTGCTGTTTTAGTTCTTCAAGCTGTGTCCAAACAGTAAGAAAAATGAGTCAGTGTTTTTACTTTGAAAAAAACTCACCCACACATGATTACTTAAAATTTCAGCTAACTTACCAGTTGTTTCCTTAGCTCCGCCTCCCGAAGAACAGCCTCTTTAAAAGGAGCACTGTTTGGAACTCCTAAGTCTTTCTTAGGTTTCTTGTGACCCCGTTTTTTAGCTTCTTTCCTTAATTTTCGATGGTGTTCTCTAATCTATTAGGAAAACAATCATTTTGCAAAAGTATTTTTAAACAGGAGTAAATGATCTAGCTACAGTTATGACTCTAAAATGAGAAAAATGGAGCTTTAATTGGCACAATAAAGTATGCATGTAATAAAGCCACAAAAAAAAGAACGTTAAAAAGAGGCTCTCCTCCCACATGCTGGGGACTATACTTCTAGGTACTTAGAAGGCAGATCTAAAAATTGAGCCAGGAGCAGCAAAGTCTATGAGACTCATCTCCAATTACCCACTAAAAAGCCAGGGAACTTGGCTCAAGTGGTAGAGCATCAGCCTTGAGGGGGAAAAGCTAAAATGAATCATTAATTTAGTTTTACCTTCAGAGGAGAAACGAGACAGAAATCAGTAGAATGATATACTGGGTATGACGCTCTAAACAACAATACGTACCTTTTTTTGGATTTTATACCGCTTATGGCAGGTCATTCGTTTACTTGCTTTCTTCAACTCTATATTTAAAAAAAATAGACCAGTCACAAATGATCTGTAAGTGGTTTTCGGTGATTCCACTATGCTATTATGTCCAGTCCTGTGTTATTACATTAGTTATTGATCTAACGTTAAGAACTGAGAAGTGCGGAATACAAACATGAATGTCATTTTCAAATCCCAAGATGATACAGCCGATCGGAGCCGGTTTCCCCACAACGACCCTTCCTCTATTAGAATGGGATCACACGCAGAAGCGTTGAGTCCCAAGCGGCAGCCACTCGTGCTAAACGCGTCGGCGAGGGGGCTCATAGCTTCAACCCCCAAAGCAAAAAGCGGCCTGAAATCAGGCTCGGACGGTATCTCACAAAAACTGGCCCTTGGCCTCCCCCATCCTCCGGACCCCGGTCTTCCTCCCACAAAGGAAATCCGCAGTTGACCATCGGATTGGCGAAGCGCCGCGCCGTTCCACCCCACAGAGAGAAGGCCTCCCCCCAATTCCACAGCCTATTTTCGCAGAGCCCAAACCAAAGAGCGCCACACTGCGCGGCCGACTACCAGAAATCAACAGATACAGGGTCTCTCCAAACCCGCCATTGGCCTCCACTCACTCGGCCGCTTCATGGTGGCTGGGAAGTAGCAGGGGCAGCAACCTCGAGAACGTTCCTCCGCCTGCGCCACGTGCGAACTGAAGATGGGGCCGGGGAGGAACGAACGTCACGCACTTACGCTACTGCCGTAAAGTGCGGCTCCGTCCTTCCGCGTGCACGCGCACGTAGTGTCGCTAAGTCTCAGGCTCGCTTGGCGGCCCGGGGCTGGTTTTGCGACGGCACTGGGAGGGGTGAGGGTTGTGAGGGCGGCGGGTGCCGGAGCTACGGCAGCGGCCGCGACCGGAGGAGCAATAGTAGCAGCCGTGGCGGCCACGGGGCGGGGCGCGGCGGCCGGTGACCGCGGCCGGGGCTGCAGACGGCGGAGCGGCTGGGTAAGGCCGGGCCTGGGGCGGGCGGAACTATTCCCCTTCGGCCAGTTGCCGGGCCTTTGTGTGGGCCCTGACGAGCGGGAGCTTCGGCGGAGGCCCCGCCCTGGCCGTAGGGACGCGCCGGTCGGGCCGGGCGCGGGGCGGGGCGCGGCGGCGGGCCTCGAGATGGGCCCAGCAACCTAGCCGCACCTGCCGGCCGGGACAAAGGCGCGCCACGGCCCGGAAACTCCCCGCGCTGTTCTTTCCCGCTCGTCGTGGGGCGGCTTCGCAGCTGTCAACGTTTCCCTTAGACTCCCGTACCAATGACAGGTCGGGAAAGTCCGTCCTCTCCTCGGCCGCTCAGGGCCTCCTTTTTTTGTTGTTCCTTTTGGATTCGACACAAACTCTAATGCTTTTCTCCTGCTTAACGTATGTTTTGTTCACGCCTGGTATTTTTTTTTTTTATTAGTGAGACATATTTAATAGAGGCAAGATAGTTCAGCTTCTCATCTGCAACATCACGGAGAATCGGGGTTTCCAGGACTACATTATTTCCTGGATTTGAAACATTTTCCCAAGTTTTTTTTTTTTTTTTTAACTTTCTAAAAGGAAAGCATAGTTTTGCTATTGTAAGAAAGCAATTTTGTTATAAAAAAATAGCAAAAATATAGAAGAAATTCCTAGTAGAGTAGTAAAAATATAGAAGTCCTGAAAAGCAAATGACAAATACACAGAAAAGTGGGTTAAAATTCTTAACAGTAAATATGAAAGCATGTGTTGGAATAAAATATTTTAACGTGGACTCCTCAAAACTGATTTTGGGTGTTTTCCCTCCTGTTTAGTATACTTTTTTTATACTATCGCTAGAAATCATATTGTACTCAATACAAATATTAAGAGCATAATTTTTGCTTTAGTAATTGTAAAATACAGGTCGGTTATTTCGGATCTGAAGATCTCAAATGGAATGAATATCTTGAAGTATTTCAGATTAAAACAGCAACAATTATGTTTGATGATGAATGGGAGAACCTTGTCTACTTTCTTTGGCTTGTGGAGTGTACAAAAATATTTCAACAATAATTTACAATAATTCTAAGTAAATTGTAGTATATTGATATAGTAGACTATCAAACGTGGAAAAATGTTTATTTGGAAAAATTTCTGAGTTTAAACAGACGATAAAATAATTTGTATGTTTTTTTTTTTTAACCACTTTTGTGTGTGTGTAATTACTGGGGTTTGAACTTAGGACATTGTGCTTGTTAAGCAGATCCTCTACTATTTGAGCCGTGCCCCGAGCCCTTTTAATCATGTTTGTTAATAATTTTTAAAAAGATACACATAATTAAGGCATAAATAGAAAGTCTCTGGATATAAATGGTAAGAGTAGTTTTTCTGTGATAGGTAGGATTATAGTTGCCTTTTTTTCTGTCTTTGAGTCTTCGGTTTTCCATGAGTTTTATTTTAAATGTACTACAGACTAAACATCTAGAAACACAGGAGAACACAAAAAGGTTTTCTCTCTGAAAAGTAAATAAATGCTGAAGGGATGCCTACAGGCCTTTGAAACCATGGATCTGAAAATTTAAGGCCTTATTTAAGTTCACTTTCATTGAACTTTTTTTGTTTTTAATCTTTAAAAGATGAATTGGGCATCCAACCTGTACCTAGCACTATTTTATAGGTTAGAACTGAAAAAATAAAGAGAACCCTGTTTTTGTGCCCAGGAAGCATGTAGTCTAGAGTTGTCCTTGAAGTTTCAAAGCCATTTCATGTATATGGTCTCTTATTGTCAGAGCAGTCCAAAAGATTGTGTGTGTGTGTGTGTATTTTCATTTTCAATTTAGAGATGGAGTAGATTTGAGAGGTTATAACTCAGGCAACATCAAATAGATAATTAGAGCTGGAACCTCAGGGACTTCTAATCTTCTTCATATGGATCCTGTTGCTTCTTTTGCCTCAGAACATTGCCTTGGTAGCTGGGTGTTGTGGGTCATGGCCAGTTAGTGCCAGCTACTGAGAAAGTGAATGCAGGAGTCTTTTTGGTTTGAGGCCAGCTCTAGCAAAGTTAGCTATACCCTCCCTCAAAATCAAAATGTAAAATAAAAGGACTGAGAGCATGGCTCAAGAGGTAGAGCATTTGTGTAGCAAGCTGGAAGGCCCTGAGATCAATTTCCAGTAATGTAAGAATGTTTTCTTTGTTGTCAAACTTCCATATGACATATTAAAATGTGTCCTTTGCCCCACAAAGGCACAAAAGATAAAAGTATACCTAAGTTACATATTTTTCTTATATTACCAAAGGGAATTAATGATTCAAGGATTTTTGGATATTGTATCATAAGCTATAAACAACAGTCACTTACATTTTTTTGTCATTTGATTTTCAGGGAATTTTTTTTTTTAATTGAACTGCCAAAATAGTTGAAGACTTCTAAAACCTTGCTAAACTTATTTGATGTCTTTCTGATGCAGATAGGACTTTTGGAAAGAAATGTTGTTTTTCTCTGAATGGGGGGGGATGGGTGGGAGTTTTCCAAACTCTGCTCACATGAGCCATTCTTGGTTTGTTCCAGCTTGCCAACACTTGGTGTCACATGTGAGCCTCCCACATGTGTTCACTCTTCATCCCAGCTCTGTGATTGAACTCTGCTCTTATTGAATAGGGGGCAATTGGGCAGGCATGCTTCATTCCTGGAGTTGACAGTCGTTCCATGTGAGTAAGGGGAACCTCAGTGAGACGTCTTAAACATATAAAAAAGCATTTGGTTTTAAAATGGAAATGTCAGGTGCTAAAGACAACTGGTATGCCTGGTTTGTTATTGTTTTCTTTAGCAATTCTATTTGAATGTTTTCTGTCTATTCATATTTATTGTTAATCTCTTCTATTTCTCCTTTCTGTGCCTTGTTCTTCTCTTTCAGTTTTGAATAGATTAACACTGAATCTAAAGTCCTACCTTCTCTCATTGGTTTTACTTGGCCTTCAGACATAATGAGGAGACTGGCTTTTCGAGGTGCTGGTTGTGCTCTGGTAAAGCTGGTAAATTACTGATAATCTACAACCTTACCCTTTTCTGTCACACCTTGTCCTTTCCCTTCCCCCTTCTTAAATTTTTATTAGACTCCTCCTGTGTTCATCAAATTCACCTGTGTCCTTGTCAAAGATTGTAATGAAGATTTCTTAATTTCTAAGATAATGAATGGAAGTTAGTTTATCAGCTTTTTGTAAAGTAAAAACCTAGCCAGATGCCTGGCTTGTGCTTGAAATCCTAGCTACTCGAGAGGCTGAGATTTGAGGATTGCAGTTTAAAGCCAGCCTGGGCAGTAAAGTCCATGAGACACTTATCTCCAATGAACTACTTAGAAAAGTCAGAAGTGGCACTGTGGCTCAAGTGGTAGCGCGCTGACCTTGAGCAAAAGAAGCTCAGGAACAGCACCCAAGGTTCAGGCCCCGGACAACCCCCCCTTCCTCCCCCCTGCCCCAAAGAAAAGAACAAAAATCAACAAAGCTATGTTTGGTCCAAACTCTTAGAAGCTTTTAACCAATGTCCAACTAAGAATATAACAAACCAGTGCCTAAAGAAAAAGAAACTTGATCATTGTAGGTTCTGTTTTTGTTTTGTTTTGTTTTGTTTTGGTGTCAGTACTGAGGCTTGAACTCACTAGGGCCCTGAGCTTTCCCTGAACTTTTTTGCTCAGTGCTAGTACTCTATCACTTGAGCCACAGCTCCACTTTTGGCTTTTTGGTGGTTAATTGGACATAAGAGTCTCACTTTCCTGATTGGTTGGTTTCAGACCACTGTCCTCAGATCTTAGCCTCTTGAGTAGCTAGGGTTACAGGTGTGAGGGGCAGGTGCCCAGCTATTCCTGGAGATCTCCCCCACCCCTAGCTTTTCTCTCTGTGCTATTGGCAACCAGTGCTTTTCTCATTCTATCCATTCAGCTACTAGCATATTAATTTCTTGATATTGAATGTGGATGACTAAATTTGGGATTCATTTTTCTTTTAGCTTTCAAGCTTTAGAAAAGACCTTTGAAGGGCTGGGAAGGTGGCTCAGTGGTAGAGCGCTTGCCTTGCATGCGTGAGGCCCTGGGTTCGATTCCTCAGCACCACATAAGCAAAAAGAAAAAAGCCGGAAGTGGTGCTGTGGCTCAAGTGGGAGAGCGCTAGCCTTGAGCTGAAGAGCTGAGGGGCAGCGCTCAGGCCCAGAGTTCAGGCCCCACGACCGGAAAAAAAAAGAAAAGACCTTTGAAATCACAATAAACTAATACTGTTCTTAAATTTTGTAGGACTTCTACTGTATACTGTTTGTAGCAGTGGTTATATTTCTAGTGTTACAGTCAAAACACATAGATTTGTAAAATAGTGTTTTAATTGTCTTAACAGTTAGCCTAAGTCCGAGAACAAATATAATGTATTTCTGAATGTCCAAACAGGACCTAAAAGCTTATATATGAGGTGGTCTTCTGGATTATCTAGAGCAATTTAAAACTTATTTGTGGGTATAGAGTATATTACGTAATTGAAAGGTAACTTATTCTGCATTTAGAGAACTTTCAAAGCACAGCTGTGCTATATCTGCCTACGTATGGACATTAAGTGTCTCACAGAGACACTTAATCTTGTGGATTCTGTTCATTTTCAGGGATTAATTTTTGGGTAGAAAGATTATGGTCCTCTGTCCCTTTGTTTTTACATTATACATTTGCCTTAGACAGTGCTTTTTAACCTTTTCCATATCATGGCCCACAATAAAGCAAATGAGGCTGCTCACTCTTATCTCCCAGGTCTGCCTAGCTGTTCCAGAGGTTTAGGGATTAATATCTGTGTACCTATTACAGTCTCTATACATGGGTTGGTAAACTCTAGTCTAGGGTAAATTTGAGACCAGAAGTGGTTGAATCATTCAGTATTTGTGGTACACAAATGAAAATAATTTTGTTGAAATTATCCCGTCAAAATTAGTAGTGTAGCATTTTGGTAAGTGAAAGGTCCAGGAATTTTTTTATTTTCCCTTAAGAATTATAGCTAGTTTAGCGGGCGCCTATGGCTCATGCCTGTAATCCTAGCTACTCAGGAGGCTGAGATCTGAGAACTGCAGTTCAAAGCCAAAGCAGGAAAGTCTGTGAGACTCTTATCTCCAATAAACCACCAGTAAATGGGAAGTGGCACTGTGGCCCAAATGGTAGAGCACTTGCCTTGAGCTGAAGAGCTCAGGGACAGCATCCAGGCTCAGATTTCAAGCCCCATGACTGACAAAACAAAAAGAGTTATAACTAGTTTAACTCCCTTCGGAACAGTTAAAATATCCTCAAGCAGAAATTTTGGTGGTAGGTGACCAGCTGAGGGCTTGGTGACAGTTGTAGTTTATATATAAGAATATGGCTAATTATTTCTTATAGAAGAAGTTGGATTCCATGGGTTCCAAGAGAAGAAGAGCTACATCCCCTTCCAGCAGTGTCAGTGGGGATTTTGATGATGGGCACCATTCTATACCTACACCAGGCCCAAGCAGGAAAAGGCGGAGACTTTCCAATCTTCCAACTGTAGATCCTGTGAGTAGCTTGGGCTGCATGGTTTCTACCCTTCATTTCCTTCTTGTTCCTTTCATGATGAAGCAACTGACATGCAAGCCTTCACTACTGTCTTTGGCTTAATGAGCTTAGCCTTTCTCTTATGGAAAGTGATATTATCCAAAGTTTTACAGTAATAGTAAAATAGTATGAAACAAGAATATCTGTGTGCTACCATGCCATGTACTCATTCAGTAGTTGTGTACCTGTTATATGCTAAGCACTGATATAGTATTGAAATGTAGTTGTGAATATCCAGCCCATTTTTCACAAGATTCCATTGTAGGAGAAGCAGAATTTTAAAAAGAAAATAAATAACAATAAAGTACTATGAGCCAATAAGTGCTATGAAGAAAAGGTTGGATGATTTGGGCTACTTGGGCTTTGGTCTTCTAGAAGATTCTCTGTGATGCTAAGAAGGCACTAGCCATGCTGGGTCAGAGATGGGTTATTTTATTGTGTTTGCATACAAATGGTCAGGAAGGAGAAGGAGATGGTTATACTCCACCCAGCCAGAGTGCACAGCCCTTCACAGGCTATGTTAAGAAAAGGGTGAATGAAAAAGTGCTTCAGTGGAATTCACTGTACACTGATAAAGTGAACTACGATTCATGGGTGGAGATGGGAGGGAGGGACTGGGAGAGTGAGGGAACAGAAGATACTATATGAAAGAAAATGTACTCATTACCTGACTCATGTAATTATAACTCTTTAAATAACCTTTAAAACAACAAATAAGTAAATTTTTAAAAAAAATTTAGGTTTTCAAAGCCAGATTCCCATGGCTCATCCCTATAATCTTAGCAACTCAGGAGGCTGAGGCCTGAGGATCATGGTTCAAAGCCAGCCCAGGCATGAAAGTCAGTGAGACTCTCATCCCCAATTAACCATCAGAAAAGTTGAAATGGGCACTGTGGCTCAAAGTGATAGTGTGATATCCTTGAGTGAAAAAGCCTCAGTGTCTAGACCCTGAGTTCAAGCCCCACTACCAAAAAAAAAAAACCCGTAGGTTCTTGGGCCTACCCAGTAGCCTGTAGCCTGATCTGAGAAACGCAGCTCAAAGCCAGCCCAGGCAGAAAAGTGTGAGAGACTCCTCTTATGTCCAGTTAACCACCAAAAAGCTAGAAGTGGAGCTGTGGCTTAAGTGATAGATGCTAGCCTTCAGCAGAAAAGCTAAGGGAAAATGTTCAGGTCCTGAGTTCAAGACCTACTACTGGCACATATAAACAAACAAAGAATTTAGATTTTGTTTTGTCTTTCTAAAAAGCACAGCTATTGGGTGATTCTTTCCTCCCTCACATTTTTTATTAGCTTCAGTTAGTTGTATCAGGGTGTTTCATTATGGTATGTGTGTATGTACATAGAATTAGTCACAGATGATTTTTTTTTTTTTTTGGTCAGTCGTGGGGCCTGAACTCTGGGCCTGGGCACTGTCCCTCAGCTCTTCAGCTCAAGGCTAGTGTTCTACCACTTGAGCCATAGTGCCACTTCTGGCTTTTTCTGCTTATGTAGAGCTGAGGAATGGAACCCAGGGCCTCATGCATGCAAGGCAAGACTCTACCACTGAGCTACCTTCCCAGCCCTACAGATGATTTTTTTTTTTTTTTAATTTTTTTTAAATTTTGAGATAGCATCTTACTATGTAGCCCAGGCTGGCCTCCAACTCATGATCCTCCTCCTTCAGCCTCCTGAGTGCCAAGATTACAGGTGTGTAATACTGGCTCTTTGAATGATTTTAAACACGAGAATGACATCAACTAATTTATTTAAAAGAAAGTCACTAGTAATGCAAATTTAATCAAAAATACCAAAAACTCAGTTATTTTGAAGGAGAAGTTCTGGAATTAGAGATATGGCTCAGTTGATAGAGCACTAGCCAGTGAGTAAAAATGTCAAGTACTAAGTTCAAATCTCCATCTTGGATCCCCAAAAAAGAGAAATCCTGTCAACATATTTCAGACTTCACGTCCCATCTGAAATTGAGTATTGATCTTTTGTGGGGTTGGGGGTTGGGGGGAATATCAGTCCTGGAGCTTGAACTCAAAGCCTGGGTGTTGCCCCGAGCTGTTTTGCTCAAAGCTAGCCCTCTTAACACTTCAGCCACTTGAGCCACAGCTCTATTCTAGCCTTTTGGTAGTTAATTAATTGGAGATAAGAGTCTCACAGTCTTTCCTGCCCAGGCTGGTGTTGAACTATGACCTTCAGATCTCAGCCTCTTGAGTAGCTAGGATTACAGGCATGAGCCACCAGCACCTGAAAACTTTCTGTTAACCTTTAAGTGATTTTTCTTTTTCCTATATATAGATTGCTGTGTGCCATGAACTCTACAACACCATCCGAGACTATAAGGATGAGCAGGGTAGACTCCTCTGTGAGCTCTTCATCAGGGCACCAAAACGAAGGTGAGTTAGAAACATCAAGACAAAGGGAAGATTTGGTCCAGGGTCCATGTTTAAAGTGTTTGGTAATTGAGTATTCCTTTGGCAGGAATGGCTTTAATGATACTGGGTCTAATTTTAGTCCTGTTTGCCAAAAGACAGTATGGTTTTTATTTTAAAAAAATATTGGGCTGGGAAGATGGCTCAGTGGTAGAGCGCTTGCCTTGCATGCTTGAGGCCCTGGGTTCGATTCCTCAGCACCACATAAGCAGAAAAAAGAAAAGCCGGAAGTGGCGCTGTGGCTCAAGTGGTAGAGCGCTAGCCTTGAGCTGAAGAGCTGAGGGACAGCGCCCAGGCCCAGAATTCAGGCCCCACGACCGGACCCAAAAAATTAAAAATTAAAAAAAAAATTAAAATATTGCCAGGTGCCAGTGGCTCATGCCTGTAATCCTAGCTACTCAGGAGGCGGAGACTTGAGGATCATGGTTCAAAGCCAGCCCAGGCAGGAAAGCCATGAGACTCTTATTTCTGATAAACCACCAGAAAACTGGAAGTGGCTCTGTTGCTCAAGTGGTAGAACGCTCGCCTTGAGCTAGAGTGCAGGGACAGTGCTCAGGCCCTGAGCTCAAGCCCCACAACTGACAAATAAATAAATAAAATAAAATATTTTAAATTAGAACAACATATAAATTAGACTTAGTCATTTTCATTATATAGTGCAAAAATAAGAATATTAACATTTGTGTAACAACCTCTAGACTTTTTTACATCTTTCTTAAAATTACACTCACTAAACAGCACTCCTATTTCCCCTTTCTCCCAGCTCCTTGCAAACACATTTTGTTTCTATGAATTTGACTATTTTAGCTACTTCATATGAATAGAAGAACAATTTACCTTTTTTTTTTTTTTCTTTTTTTTTTTCAATTTACCTTTTTATAACTGGTTTATTTCCCTTAACATGGTGCCTTCAAGATTATTAGTCTATATTGTGCTATGTGACAGGATTTCCTTCCTTTTTTGAAGCTGAATAATACTCCATTGTGTGTGTAAATAACATTCTTCTGTTAATAGATTGTATGGTTGCTTATAATTCCTGTTGTTGTGAATAATGCTACTGTGAGCCTTGATATGCAAATCCATATTTGAGATTCTGCTTTCAACTTTTATATATAATATATATTATATATATAAATCTCCAGATTGTTGGATCATATGGTAATTCTTCTGGTTCTTTGTGTAAGTACTGCATTATGATCAAATGTGGCTATACTGGTTTACACTCCCATCAGTAGTATACAGGAGTTCCAATCTTTCCACACTGCTGCCAGTAATAAGTGGTAAAAGAAAAATGCATTTGTCAGAATCTATTGCTCATAAGCTGTGAGTCTCTGTTCTTTTTTGCTTTCCTTCTCATCCTTTCCCTTTGTGCTAGGGATTGAACCCTGGACCTCATGCTTGTTTTATGCAAACACTACCACATGAGCTATGTTTCTGTTTATATTTAGTTTGAGGCGAGGGCTGGGTGTGGAACCCAAGGCATCATGTGTACTAAGGAGTGCTTTACCAAGGAGCTACATTTCCAGACCTATAGCAAGTTTTGAAATGAAGTGTGAATCATTTAGCTTTGTCCTATTTCAAGATCATTTTGAGTATTTAGTGCTTTTTGAAATTCTATATGAGCTTTATGATGCCTTTTTTGTTTCTGTAAAACATACCATGGGGATTTTGGTTTGCATTGAATATATAGACTGCTTTGAGTAATAGTAGCATTTTGTTGTCTTCTAATCCATATATATAGAATATCTTTTCCTTTTCTTGGATTTTCTTTAGTTTTTTTTTTCTCACAGATGTTGATGTCGTTATGGTGTATATGGTTTAACTTTGGGTATTTTAGTGTCTAAATATTTTTATTTTTTATTCAATTGTAAATTGACTTTTCTTAATTTTCTTTTTAGGTTATTCAGAGTTTTGATATAGAAATGTACCTCATTTTCATGTATGTTCATTTTCTTTTCATTTTTTTGGCTATAGCAAAGTTTGATCTGATGACGCTCACACTTGCTAGACAAGTGCTCTACTACTTGAGCCATGCAACCAGCCCTTCTGCTTTAGTTATTTTCTCAGAGTCTCAATCTTTTTGCCCAGCTTGGACTTACTTGAGCCATGCAACCAGCCCTTCTGCTTTAGTTATTTTCTCAGAGTCTCAATCTTTTTGCCCAGCTTGGACTGCAGTCTTCCTATCTACTGATCTTGCATTGCTTGGATTACAGACATATACCACTATTCTTGGCTTATTTGTTGAAATCAGAGTTTTGCCTAATTTCTTCTTACACTAGCCTCAAACCACCATCCTTCCAATCTGTACCTCCAGAGTAATTGGGATAACAAGAATAAGTCAACATAGCCAGTTATGTGTTGATTTTATATCTTAGAGCTTTGATGATACCAGTTATTCTCACATTTTTGTGTGTATATTTGTTGTTTGTGTGAAATCTTTAGGATTATCTGTGTAAAAGATCAAGTCATCTCTAAACAGTATTGTTTTTCTCCTTCCTATCCAATTGGATGCCTCTTGTTACTTTCTTTTTGCGGTTGGGGGTGGGGGTTGTCTATACTGGGCTTGAACTCTGAGGGCCTGGGCATTATCCCTTAGCTTTTTCACTCAAGGCTAATGCTCTGCCATTTGAGCCACAGCTCCATTTCTAGTTTTTTGGGAGTTAATTGGAGATGAGAGTCTTACAGACTTTTGGACTGGCTTCAAACTGTGATCCTCAGATCACAGCCTCCTCAGTGGCTAGGATTACAGGCTTGAGCCAGTGGTGCTTGGCCAAAGAGCTGTTTTTAAAATGAGGTAACTGTCTCCAGATTTACGTTGCTTTATCAATAGTAGGGTTTTATTTTTTTTTTTTTTTTGGGTCCAGTCATGGGGCCTGAACTCTGGGCCTGGGCACTGTCCCTCAGCTCTTCAGCTCAGGGCTAGCGCTCTACCACTTGAGCCACAGCGCCACTTCCGGCTTTTTTCTTTTTTGCTTATGTGGTGCTGAGGAATCGAACCCAGGGCCTCAGGCATGCAAGGCAAGCACTCTACCACTGAGCCACCTTCCCAGCCCCAATAGTAGGGTTTTAAACATTGTAATCTAAGCATAAAACAAAAGCTGTATTTATTGTTTTATCATGTGCTGACACAATGCCATGCACTTCCAGACTACGTTTTTTTTTTTTTTTCTTTATTGGTTGTGGGGCTTAAATTCTAGGGCTACACGCTGTTCATGAGCTCCTCAGCTTAAGGCAAGCTCTCTGTCACTTGAGCCACAGTACCACTTCTAGTTTTCTGGTAGTTAATTGGAGATATGAATCTCGTCGACTTTCCTTGCCCAGGCTGGCTTTGAACCACGATCCTCATATCTCAACCTTCTGAGTACCTAGGGTTACAGGTGTGAGCCACCAGTGCTAGCTCAGACCATGTGTTCTTTTTTTTTTTTTTTTTTTTTTTGTCAGTCATGGGCTTGAACTCTGGGCCTGAGCACTGTCCCTCAGCTCTTCAGCTCAAGGCTAGTGCTCTACCACTTAAGCCACAGCACCACTTCTGGTTTTCTGGTGATTTGTTGGAGATAAAGAGTCTCAAGGTCTTTCCTGCCTGGGCTGGCTTTGAACCGTGATGGTCAAATCTCAGCCTCCTGAGTTGCTAGGATTATAGACATGAGCCACCAGCGCTCATTGCCCCTCCCCCCTCCCCGACTTCAGACTATGTGTTCTTTAAAGTTGATTTGTTAGCTTAGTTTTTCAGTTGAGAACTTGCACAAGTATTCAGAATTTGTAAATAGTAGCCAACAATGTCTGAACAACATGGCTAATGTGTCTCAGTACTCTGGTTGAAATTTTTAAAGTTGTGCTTTGTGTGTTTTGTGATCATATTATGGCAGAGTGCGAGAAATCTGTTAGGAAAGATTATGTACTATGTAGTCCTATTCATGTTAAACTTTGTTTGTATGTACATGTAGAAAGAAGCCTGGAACATAGAGACTATTTTACTTATTTGTGCTGTTCTGTTTGTGTGGGGAGGGGGTACTCCTGAACCCTTTTACACTATTTGGTATGTTTGATTTAAATAGAGAAATCAGTTGTGCTTTTGCATTTTGAAAGTAGAGGTTTTGACCATATTTTATTTCGGAATCCTGATCTTTTTGTATGTGGGATAATTCTGAAATTGTTAATGAGGAACCTTGTAGTAGAGATCCCATGGGCATAGTGTGTTCTCTCTAGGTACATGTCTTCTCAGGATTCTTGATAGTCTACAAATAATCCTCCAAGACTGAAAGGATACTGAGGTCCAACCTCAGCAAAAAGACTATGGACCAGGAGGCCTGAAGAGGGCCATATTAGATATCAAATTAGCAATTGTTTATTCTAAGAAGTCCAGGGTGGATCTTTGTTATTATCCTCTAGTACCCTTAAACTCTAAACACATAATGTGATCATTAAACTGACAAGTACCTAAAAACAAAATTTATTTTCTCTTCATTTCCTGAAGAATTCAGTTAAGTATTAAATGAGGTTGAGCAGAAGCAGGAATGTCAAGAGTAGAAAAGAATCTTGGAAATAGAGGGGATATAGATAGCAGTGGTGTTGTTGCATCATGGAGTGTTAGAGCCTGGGCATGGTTAAGAAGGTGTTCAAGTAGACCTCTCTGGCACAAATTATTGGACCTAAGTGGAGAAGTGAAGGCTCCTGTTTGGGTGTGGAGTAGAGTAGTAGCAATGATCTATTATGGGATGTTAAAGTCTGACTGATCCTGGGCACCAGTGGCTTATGCCTGTAATCCTAGCTACTCAGAAGACTTAGATCTAAGGACCATGGTTCAAAGCCAGCCTGGGTGGGAAAGTCTGTGACACTCTTATCTGCTGTTAAATACTTATAGAGCTGAAAGTAGAACTGTGAGTCAAATGGCAGCACACTGGCCTTGAGCAAAAAAGCTTAGGGATAGTGTCCGGGCCCTGAGTTCAAGCCCCAGGACTAGCACAAGAAAAACAAAAACAACACCTGACTGTTCTGGGGGTCTATGTAGGGATCTACATAGATTTTGAAAAAGATGAGGAAAGCAATATGGGACAGAAGTAAGATAACAGCAAAAGGAAACTGCTTATATGCAGAACCTCAGTCACGCATGTAAATATGTTGAATATAATGGGAACCAGGTTTTCATTATCTGAGAGGGAGAATATAAATAGGGATAGAAACCTGGAATGAGTCCTATGATTAAAATGAATCCTGTTGGGGCTGGGAAGGTGGCTCAGTCGCAGAGTGCTTGCCTTGCATGCCTGAGGCCCTGGGTTCGATTCCTCAGCACCACATTAGCAAAAAAGAAAAAGGCTGGAAGTGGCGCTGTGGCTCAAGTGGTAGAGTGCTAGCCTTGAGCTGAAGAGCTGAGGGACAGCACCTAGGCCCAGAGTTCAGGCCCCACGACCGGACCCCCCCCAAAAAAATGAATCCTGTATTGGGTTGGAATTATTAGTATTGGTGTGAATTTAGGTTTCCAATATATGAAGATAAAAAATATAAGCATAATCACACACACAAACACAATAATTCTCTAGCTCTGTCTATTGAGACAACTTAGGAACAATCCTAATAGAAATGGTCACATCTTGTACTCAGATCTTGTGTGTGTGTGTGAGTGTTGGTCCTGGGGCTTGGAGCTTGAACATAGTGTTATCCCTGAGCTTTTCACTCAAAGCTAGTGCTCTACCACTTGAGCCACAGTTCCACTTCGGCTTTTTTGGTAATTAATTGGAGATTAGAGTACTTAATTGGAGATTAGAGCCAGTGCACAGCATCAGATTTTTCTTTTTAAATACCCTTTACTATTAAAAGAAACTAAAAGAAAGGTGCTGGTGGCTCTGGTGGCTCATGCCTATAATCCTAGCTACTTAGAAGGCTGAGATATGAGGATCCTGGTTCAAAACCAGCCCAAACAGTAAAGTCTGTGATACTCTAATCTCTAGTTAACTACCAAAAAAGCCAAAATGTCTCAATGGTAGAGCACTAGCTTTGAGCAAAAAAGCTCAGGGATAGTAGTCAGGACCTGAGCTTTAGTCCCAAGAGTTCAAGCCCTATGACTGACAAAAACAAACAAACAAAAAACAACTCTCATAAGCTAGGTGCAATTGTCTTAATGTTAGCTACTCCAGGAGGCTGAGATCTGAGGATCTTAGTTCAAAACCAGCATAAGCAGGAAAGCCTGTGAGACTTTTATTTCCAATTAATCACCAAAAAGCTAGAAATGGAGCTATAGCTTTGAGCTAGCCTTGAGCAAAAAAAGCTCAGGGACAGCACCTAGGCCCCTGAGTTGAAGTCCCAGGACTGTCGCACGTGCGCGCGCGCACACACACACATACGTAAAGATCTTCAATCCTCATAAGTTCCTAGAAGCTCATATTAAAATAATAACTTTAAAGTATGATTACTGGAAATTTAGAATGAGTACTTGTATCTTGCATGAGAAGATTTCAGGCAAGGCAGTAATGTAAAAGTGATAAGAAAGCCAGGTGCTGGTGGCATTATGCCTGGTGTAGTTGTTGCTGTTCAGGAGGCTGAGATCTGAAAATCCTGGTTCAAAACCAGCTTAGGCTGACAAATCTGAGCTTATTTGTCTTCAGTTAACCACCAAAAAAGCTGCAAAGTGGAGTTGTGGCTCAAGTGGTTGAGCACCAATCTTGAAGAAAAAAGCCAAGCAAAAACATGAGGCCCCAAGTTGAATCTTCAGTGCCAGCAAACAAAGTAATAGGAAAGTTTATTAGGAAAGAAGTGTGGAAGAGAAAGCGATTCCACAGCATGTGGCTTAGTTGGAAGATAGCTTGTTAGGCCATTTTTTAATCTATCTTTTTCTCTATAGTAAAAAAATAAAAATTAAAAAAAATTTAAAAATAGAATGACAGTAGATAAAATAGGCTCTGTTGGGAGGTGGATACCTTCTGGAAGGGCAGTGTGAATGAGGATGAATATGATCAAGTGTTTCATGTATGTATATGAAAGTAGAACATTAAAGCCAGTTGAAATTGTTTTAAGAGGAGGAGGATAGGGAGAATTTTAGAGGAGAGGTACATTACATGCAAGTATGGAAATGTCACAATGAAACTAATTGAACAACTAATATATGTTATTTGTTTGTTTATGTTGGTTCTGACTCTCACTGTCCCTGAGCCTCTTTGTGTTCAAGGTTAGTATTCCACCACTTGAGCCACTTGGCTCTACCACTTTGCTTTTTCTAAGTAGTTTATTGGAGATAAGAATCTCCTGTCATGGACTTTTCTGCCAGGTCTGGCTTCCCACTATGCTTCTCAGCTGTCAGAATCCTGAGTAGCTAGGATTACAGGGATGAGACACTGGTTGGTGCCTGACTTTAAAATGATAATCTTTTTCTTTTGCTTAAAATTAACACATGCTGGGCACCAGTGGTTCAAGCCTGTAATCCTAGCTACTCAGGACGCTGAGATCTGAGAATGGTGCCCTGTCAGGACAGTCTGTAATATTCTTGTTTCCAATTAATCACTAGAAAAAAAAAAACGGAAGTGGTGCTGTGGCTCAAAGTGATAGAACTCTAGCCTTGAGTGGAAAAAGCTCAAAGACAGTGCTCAGGCCCTGAATTCAAGCCCCCTGATCAACAACAACAAAATTACCATTATAATTGCCTTTGAAGTTCCCTTGAGTGTCTCCATATACTTCCTTCCACCTTAACAACCTCTATCCTGAATTTTTCCATCTTTCCTTTTTTTTTTTGAGGATTGAATCCCAGGCATGTGAGCCAACTGCTCCATTACAGAACTACATCCTTAGTCCCACTGTCCTAAGTTTTTTTTTGTTTTTGTTTTTTTTCTCGGTCAAGGGGCTTGGATTCTGGGCCTGGGTGCTGTCCCTGTGCTCTTCAGCTCAAGGCGAGCGCTCTACCGCTTGAACCACAGTGTCACTTCTGTTTTTCTAGGGGTTTATTGGCGATAAGAGTCTCACGGACTTTCCTGCCCAGGCTGCCTTTGAACCATGATCCTCAGATCTCAGCCTCCTGAGTAGCTAGGATTACAGGCGTGAGCCACCAGTGCCCAGCTAAATTTTTTTTTTTTTTTTGGTCAGTCGTGGGGCCTGAACTCGGGGCCTGGGCTCTGTCCCTAAACTCTTCAGCGCAAGGCTAGTTAGTGCTCTACCACTTCAGCCACAGCTCCACTTCTGTCTTTTTCTGCTTATGTGGTGCTGAGGAATGGAACCCAGGGCCTCATGCATGCAAGGCAAGCACTCTACCACCGAGCCACCTTCCCAGCCCTGTCCTAAATTTTTAGTCTAGTATTTCTATACCTTTTTAAATATAGTTTGGTCACATTTGACTATACCCTTGCCACCTTCCCAGCCCTGTCCTAAATTTTTAGTCTAGTATTTCTATACCTTTTTAAATATAGTTTGGTCACATTTGAATATACCCTTTCTTTTTTTTTTGGGGGGGGGGGTCCAGTCGTGGGGCCTGAACTCTGGGCCTGGGCGCTGTCCCTCAGCTCTTCAGCTCAAGGCTAGTGCTCTACCGCTTGAGCCACAGTGCCACTTGCGGCTTTTTTCTTTTTGCTTATGTGGTGCTGAGGAATCGAACCCAGGGCCTCAGGCATGCAAGGCAAGCGCTCTACCACTGAGCCACCTTCCCAGCCCCTTAAATATACCCTTTCATGTTTGATAAATTCCTTAAGCCAAAAAATTTGCCTTTCTCTTTTGTACCCTTTTTTTTTTTTTTTTTTTGGTCAGTCGTGGGGCTTGAAATTGGCCCAGGCACTGTTCCTGAGTTCTTTTTGCTCAAGGCTAGTGCTCTGCCACTTTGAGCCACAACTCCACTTTAGGTTTTTTTTGTTTATTGGGGGGGTCGGTCATTGAACTGGCCTGGGCGCTGTCACTCAGCTTTTCAGTTCAAGGCTAGAGCTCTACCACTTTGAACCACAGTGCCACTTCCAGTTTTCTGGTGGTTTATTGGAGATAAGAGTCTCATGAACTTTCCTGCCTGGGCTGGCTTCAAACCACAATCCTCAGATTGTAGCTGGGATTGCAGGGTGTGATCCACTAGCTCCTGGCTTCCTTTGTAACTTTATTAGTTGATATTAGAGTAAAATATTAATAATAGGTACTTGAGAGAACTTGACAAGAAAAGATTCTGTGGTCATTAAATTGAGAAAGATAATCTATTTTGGAAGTTTATAATGAGCTTTAAATCTTTATCTGATATTAGCTACTTTTGGACTCTAGGAAAGGTAAGTCATCTTTATTTACAGAAGGTATCATTGATGTGGGCTTAATTCTGATGTCTTAAACTTTACATATTTAGCCCATCACATGTTAAATAAAGGTTTTTATAACATTAAATTTATGCTGTGGAAAGATAACACATCTGTACCTTGCTTTTTAAATTTTTAGTTCTGATAATGGGAGTAAATCTGATGGCAAATTCTAATTTGGTCTATCAAATGGAATGCTGTATGCTACCACAAATTTCAAAGTATAACTTTTTATGTACTTTATATTATTATCATTAAAAAATATTTAAATTGTAACAGAAATCAGCCAGACTATTATGAAGTGGTTTCTCAGCCCATTGACTTGATGAAAATTCAACAGAAACTAAAAATGGAAGAGTATGATGATGTTAATCTGCTGACTGCTGACTTCCAGCTGCTTTTTAACAATGCAAAGGCTTATTATAAGGTAAGAATACATCACAAATGGAAGGTATCCACCTTGATCATTGTTTAACTTTTTAATAGTAGTGATTAGTAGTGATTTCTCTTTGAATTTGTCATTTCTACTCCCTATGTTGGAGCTTGAATTCAGGGCTTTGAGCTTGGATTCTCTTGCTCATAGTTAATGGTTTAGCATTTGAGTCAATACTCCAGTTCCAATTTTTTGCTGATTAGTTGGAGATTTTTCTGCTCTGGATGCTTTGAACCACGATCTTCATATCTCAGTCTCCTGAGTAGAGTAGTTAGCATTATAGGTGTGAGCTACTGGCACCCAACTTTTAATTTTTTTGTAATGGGGCTTGAAATTTGAGCTTCTTGCTCTTGCTCAGCTTTCTTCCTCACTATTTGTCTATCTTATGTCTTTTTTTCTTGAGTGCTAGGGATTGAATCGAGGGCCTCAAGCACTAAGCATACATTATACCACTGAGCTAAACCCCCACCTCTATTTTATGGTATCTTTATTGATGAACAGACATTTTTTTATTTTTATGTGGTATTGGGAGCTAGATTTTTTTCCAAAAGGTATGGTAGGAACCATCCTCTACTTTTGTCTGCAGTATCAGTACTAGCTTCATTTCTGTGTCTTTATGGAGCTGCTTTTGTTCCTCAGACTAGTTTATTACTGTGGCTTCAAAATTCTTTTTTTTGGTCAGTAGTAGGGCTTGTACTCTGGGCCTGGGTGCTGTCCCTGAGCTCTTCTGCTCAAGGCAAGTGCTTTACCACTTGAGCCACAGCACCACTTTTGGTTTTCTGGTGGTCAGTTGGAGATAAGAGTCTCATGAACTTTCCTGCCCAGGCTCTTTGATCTGCGATACTTAGATCTCAGCCTCCTGAGTAGCTAGGATTACAGTCATGAGCCACCGGGCACCTGGACAATTCTTTATCTGATAAAGAAAACATCTTAACTAGACTCTACCCTTTGCCTTTTTCTGTACTGGGCTGGGGAACCTTTTTTCTGCAAGGACCATTTGGGGTTTATAACATCATTCACAAGCCATACAAAGTTTTCAATACAGGCAGATGGCCTTGGGCAGTCCAAGAAAAACACACAAAACATGTCTGCTCCATCATGAACCAAAAGATTTCTCAGGACTTAACTCAGGCTAGAAGTTCCTGCTCCTGCCTTGAACATTTTACAATTAATATATTAAGTCAATACGTTTAAAAAAAAATGTTGACATTGCCTTGTCTCTATTGAACATATTAGGAAGAATTGACATAATACTGATGTGAACTATTCCAATCTGTGAATTTAGTATATCTTCAATTATTTTCTTAATGTACTATTGTAAAGTGTTAAACATTTCTTTTCAAAGACAATATGAATATGTCATTAGATTTACTTTTAAGATTTATCTATCTTAAGATATATTTTTGAATGACATAGAATTCACATACATTCTTAAAATACAGAACTAAGATCTATTTAGTTATTTACAAAATTGTGTATCCATTACCACTATCTTAACTCTAGAATGTTTTCATTAACCCCCAAAGAAAAATCATTCTTAGTAGGAGGCATTTCCTATTCCCCCCTCTACTCTTTGGCAGCCACTATCTACTTTCTGTGTGGATTTTCCTGTTAGGATATTGCAAGATCATTCACGTTTTGATATGTATCAGTACCTCATTCTTTTTATGACTGAATATTACTGTATTGTATGGATGTCAACATGTTTATTCTCTAGTTATTAGACATCTGAACCTCACTTTTGCCTTTCATAAATAATGCTACTATGAATTTTACAAATTTTACAAAAATGTCATTTGTTAGATAAAAAGCTATGCATGTCTTCATTAGGTCATATTCTCTGCCTGTTAATACCATTGTTAAATCTTTTCTATCCTTACTGATGTACCCATTTCTATCCAATTACTGGATGGAATGAAGTATATTAAAATCTCTTATGTCCGATATATATTTTTCGTTGTTGTTGGTCATGGGGCTTGACCTCTGGGCCTTGGTGCTGTCCCTCAGCTCTTCAGCTCAAGGCTAGCTAGCACTCTACCACTTGAGCCATAATGCCACTACCGGTTTTCTGGTGGTTTATTGGAGATAAGAGTCTCACTTGCCCAGACTTTTCCTGGCTTTGAACTATGATCCTCAGATCTCAGCCTCTTGAATAGTTAGGATTACAGGTGTGTCCTTTATATATTTTGAAACTATGCAAATAGGAACAAACTTGCTTTACATTGTTATATTGACCTAAAACTTAGACTTTTTTTTAACCATTGTGATATTCCCTTACATTGCTAGTAATGCCTTTTATTTGAAGTCTAGTTAATCTGATACTGACATAGTTATATCAGCTTTAAGTTAGTGTTTATTAGGTTTTTCTATTATACTTGGAACTTGTCATATTCTTTGAATGCTGATGTGTATCTTACAAACAGTATATGGAAATTTCTTTTAATGAAAAATACTTCCATTTTTTAAAATATGTTTTATCCTTTAAATTGGCTTTCATAATACATTAGTAATCTTTTTTAATTTTTATTTTTTAATTGTTCTTATAAAAGTAGTATACAGAGGGATTATGTAAAATAATCATTTTTCATTTAGCAAATCTCTTATCTTCAACTTCGTCCTCCTGTAATTGAATAGGACATAAATAATTTGATTTTAGAATGCTTTTAAAACATTCAGTTTAATGTTGTTTTTTTCTCTCTGTGTGTGAATATTTCAAGAAGCTGAAATGTGATGGGAAAAAAGAAATATGAAAATCTGAAACCTCATATGAATACATGAGTACACTTAACTATAGTGGTGGAATCAAACCTAAAGGGAATTATTTCTAGAGTGCTTATGAAATCTATTTCATTCATTCATTTCCAGCTCTGAATGAATTGGTTTCATTCATTTGTTTCATTAGATCCAGTTGGATCTGCAACTAGTGATTTAACTACTTGAGGGCCAGAATGAAAGTTTTAGCTGTTTCTTGTGCATCACGTGCTAAACACAGGCATAGATCTGTGCATCAGGATTAGCCAGTCCTGCCTTTTCTCTGTACAGTCTTTAATCCAATAATGGTTGTCAGTTGTTTAGTGTTGGGAGCAAGGGATAAAAAGGAAAGTGATATTTCAGGCCATGGAAGTGCTATGAAATTCAAAGTTTAGGGTCCTATGAGGAGGCTACATTGGAACCCATGCATGCACATTGCTTATGAGTCACCTCTGTCTGCTTTTGTGCTACAAGGAGAGTTGAATAGCTATAACAGCTACCATTTGTACTACAAGACCTAAAACATTGGCTCTCAGACCCTGAAAAGAAAAGTGTTAAGGCCACTCACATCTGTAATCCTCAGGAAACTGACATCTGACAATCACAGTTCAAAGCCAGCCTGAGCAGAAAGATGAGTCTCAGGGACTCTTATTTCCAATTAACCAGCTTGAAGTGGAGGTGTGGCTCAAGTAGTAGATTGCCAACCTTTAGGAAAAAGTAAACAATAGTAGCAGTAGACACTATGTTGAAAATGAACTACTCAACTTGTGGGTGGAGACAGGAAGGAAAACCTGGGAGAGTGAGGGGAAGGGGTGACATTGTCCATAAAGAAATATATTCTTTACCTAACATACATAACTGTAACCCCTCTATATATCACCTCTATAATAACAATAAAAATTAAAAAAATATGCAGTTTAGCCAAGTGTTGGTGGCTCATGCCTATAATCCTAGCTACTCAGGAGGCTGAGGTCCAAGATTTGCTGTTTCTGTGGGCAGGAAAGTCCATATAACACTCTAATCTCTAGGAAAACTACTCAGAAAAGGCAGAAGTGGTACTGTGGCTCAAGTGGTAGAAAGCTAGCCTTGAGCACAAGCTCAGGGACAGCATCCAGGCCCTGAGTTCAAGCCCCAGGACCATCAAAAACAACAACAGAAAAAAACAAAACAAAAACATATAGTTTGTTGGGTGCCATTTGCTACTCAGGAGACTTAAGATAGGAGGATCAAAGTTCTTAGCCAACCCCAGCAGGAAACTCCATAAGACTCTTATCTCCAATTAACAACCCAAAAACTGGAAATGGCCTATGGCTAAAGCGATAGAACAGTAGCCTTGAGTGAAAATACTAAGGGGCATCACTTAGGCCCAGAGTTCAATTCCAAGTATCACCAAAAAAAGAAAAAAAAATTACCATGCCCTCCCTCCCTCCCTCCCTTCCTCCCTCCCTCCTTTCTTTCCTTTTCTTTTCTTTCCTCTTCTTTTCATTTTGGTCGGTCATGGGGCTTGAACTCTGGGCTTGGGCTCTATCCCTGTGCTCTTCAGCTCAAGGCGAGCGCTCTACAGGCTTGAGCCACAGCACCACTTCCGGTTTTCTAGTGGTTTTTATTGGAGATAAGAGTTTCATGGACTTACCTGCCTGGGCTGGCTTTGAACCAAACCACACCGCAATCCTTAGATCTCAGCCTCCTGAGTAGCTAGGATTACAGACGTGAGCCGCTGCTTAAGAGGAAATAAACCTCATTCATCTTCTCATCATAATCATTTTACAGTTTATAGATAACCACTTTTTCAAAATGGTGCCTTAAAAAAAAAGTACCAATTTCTAATTCGCCACACCAGCAGAGCCAAAGGCAGATACAACATCCATTTATCTTAAAAGCTTCGGAGCTCACACCTGTAATCCTAGCTACTCAGGAGGCTGAGATCTGAGGATCTCAGTTCAAAGCTAGCCTGGGCAGGAAAGGCCATGAGACTCTTATCTCCAATAAACCACTCAGAAAACCAGAAGTGGTGCTGTGGCTCAAGTGGTAGGGTACTCGCCTTGAGCTGAAGAGCTGAGGGATAGCACCCAGTCCCAGAGTTCAAGCCCCACGGCAGACCAAAAAAAAAAAAAAAAGCTTTGGAGAAGTTAGGAATAGAAGGAACATTCCTTAATAAAGGCTGTATATGACAGAGCAACAGCCAACATCATACTGAATGGGAAAAAACTAAAACCATTTCCCCAAAAATCAGGAACATGGCAAGGATGTCCACTCTCTCCATTCCTCTTCTATATAGTTCTGGAATTCCTAGCCAGTGCAACAAGGCAAGAAAAGGACATAAAAGAGATTCACATAGGGAAAAAAGAAATCAAACTCCCTATTTGCAGATGACATGATCTTACACTTAAAGGACCAAAAAACTCCCATCTCCAAGCTCCTAGAGCTGATCAATCATTCTGGCAAAGTAGCAGGATACAAAATTAACCCATAAAAATCAATAGTTTTTTCTGTACACCAACAATGTACAAGCAAAAAGGGAAATCATGAAAACAATTCCATTTGTAATAGTCTCAAAAAAAAAAACAAAACACCTAGGAATTAACCTAGTCAAATACAGGAAAGTTTTTTTTAGCAAAAATTATAAAAATCTGAAGAAAGAAATCAAAGAGGACCCCAAGAAATGGAAAGATTTTCCATGTTCATAGATAGGTAGAATCAATATTGTGAAAATGGCCGTACTGCCAGAAGTGATATGCAATGCAATCCCCATCAAAATCCCAGTGATGTTCTTTACTGAGATAGAGACAGCCATCCAAAAATTCATCTGAAACAACAAAAGACCTAGAATAGCCAGAGCAATACTAGGCAAGGAAAAAAAAGCAATGTGGGTAGTATCACAATACTGGATCTCAAACTCTTACTGTAGAGCCATAATAACGAAAACAGCTTGGTATTGGCACATAGACCTGTAGACCAATGGAATAGATTAGAAGACCCAAAAATAAAACCATATACTTAATTATCTGATATTTGATAAGGGATTCAAAGGCATACAGTGGGGGGAAAATAGCCTTTTCAATAGTTGGTGTTGGGAAAACTGGACATCCATGTGCAGAAAACTAAAAGTGAATCCCTGTTTGTTTTTTTTGTTTTTGTTTTTATTTTTTTTTGGGTCCGGTCGTGGGGCCTGAACTTGGCCTGGGCGCTGTCCCTCAGCTCTTCAGCTCAAGGCTAGCGCTCTACCACTTGAGCCACAGCGCCACTTCCGGCTTTTTTCTTTTTGCTTATGTGGTGCTGAGGAATCAAACCCAGGGCCTCATGCATACAAGGCAAGCGCTCTACCACTGAGCCACCTTCCCAGCCCCAGTCCCTTTTTGTTATCATGCACTAATATCAATTTAAAGTGGATCAAAGACTTCTGTGTTAGACTTGAAACTTTGAACTACTGCATAAGAGAGTAGGAGGAACATTAGAACTTACTAGGTATAGATAGAAACTTCCTGAAGAGTCCCAGGAGCACAACAAATAGGAAAGAGACTTGACACGTGGGACTACATGAAAATAAAAATTTTCTGCACAGCTAAGCACATAGTACTAACCTAGAAAGGCAGTCAAGCAACTGGGAAATTATCTTTACCAACAGTATATCAGACAAAGGCCTTATATCCAATACAAGGAGTTTAAGAAACTAGCTTCTCCTAAACCTAATAAGCCAATCACTAAATGGGCAAGGAAGCTAAGGAGAGACTTCTCAAAAGAAGAGGTAAGAATGGCAAGAAAAAATACATAAGGAAAAGAAATGCATATGCCATAAAAGAAATGCAAGTCAAAACAACTCTTGAGATTCTCACCCCAGTTAGATTGGCCAACATTGTGAAGGCTGACAACAAATGTTGGTAGGGATGCAGGGAAAAAGGAATCCTATTGCATTGTTGGTGGGAATATAAACTAGTACAGCCACTCTGGATAGCAGTCTGGAGGTTCCTAAAAAAAGCTAAACCTAGATCTTCCCAGCCATACCACTCCTGAGCATCTACCCTGACATCATGAGCCAGGCTATGATAAAGACACCTGAACATCCATGTTCATTGCAGCACTATTCATAGTAGCTAAGATTTGAAAACAGCCCAGGTACACCACAATAGACGAGGCATCCAAAACGATGTGGTACCTATATACAATGGAATTTTACACAGGCATAGCAATAAAATAATGTCATTTGCGAGGAAATGAATGGAACTAGAACAAATTATGTTAAGTGAGGTAAGCCAAGCTTACCAAGACAATGCATGTTCTCTCTAGTATGCTGAATGAGATCTAAAATACACAGGATATGATAAATTATACAGGAGTCTAGATATACACAGTGAGACTCAAAAGAGGGTACTGTAATGCCTAAGTGCATCTTCATATTTATATAAAATAATAAACATACTGAAATGAACTCCAAAATATGGAAATGATTTTTTCTTAGTTTTTATTTTTTGATGATTCTGTCTTCTTTACCTTACGTATGATGTATTCATGTATATATTTTCAGGAGGGTGGCGGGGAGGGCACAGAACTCAAGGGAAAAAGGTTGAAAAAGTACAGTAGTGGAGCTCACTGGACATTGATAGAAGTATACAACTCGTGAGTGGAGAAGGAAGGAAGAAACTGGGAGAGTGAGGGAACAGAAGATACTGTAGGAAAGGAAATATGCTTATTACCTGACTCAGGTAATTGTAATCCCCTCTGTATAACCCCTCTATAATAACAATAAAGTAAATTAATTAAAAATACCAATTTCTAATGGAACATATTTTAGCTTTATTTGCTTATTTATTTAGCTAGTCCAGGGACACTGTCCCTGACCTTTTTTTGATCAAGGTTAGCACTATCACTTGAGCCACAGCACCACTTCGGGCTTTTTCTGTTTATGTGGTACTGAGGAATTGAACCCAGGGCTTCATGCATGCTAGGCAAGCACTCTGCTACATTCCTAGCCCTGCTTATTTATTTATTTTTTAATTTTAATTTTTACTTTTTGTGAACATACTGTACAGAGGGGTTACAATTATATGGGCAAGATAATGAGTACATTTCTTATCAAGAATTGCAGCCCTGCTTATTTAATTTTGTGCGGATCCTGGGTTTTGAACTCAGGGTCTGGGCATGGTCCCTAAGCTCTTTTTGTTAAGAGTAACTCTCCCTGTAATCCTAGCTATTCAGGAGGCTGAGATGTGAGGATTGCGGTTCAAAGCCAGCCTGGGCAGGACAGTCCATGAGACTCTTATCTTCAATAAACCACTAGAAAACCGGAAGTGGCACTGTAGCTCAAGTGGAAGAGCGCTCACCTTGAGCTGAAGAGCGCAGGGACAGCGCCCAAGCCCAGAGTTCAAGCCCCATGACCGACCCCACTACCCCCGTCCCCCAAAACAAACCAAAATAACTGTCTACCACTTTTGCCACAGCTCTGCTTCAGGCTTTTTGCCAGCTAACTGGAGATGATTCTTGTGTATTTGGCCTGCCCGGGCTGGCTTCAGACCATGTTCCTCGGTTCTCAGCTTCCTGAGTAGTTAGGATTACAGGTGTGAGCCACCTACACTAGGCTTACGATTTAACTTTATTGATTTGCAATAAAATACTAAAATGATTTTTCCCCCTTTTTCTCTTTACTAATATTCAGCCAGATTCTCCTGAATATAAAGCTGCTTGCAAACTCTGGGATTTGTATCTTCGAACAAGAAATGAATTTGTTCAGAAAGGAGAAGCAGATGATGAAGATGATGATGATGATGGGCAAGATAATCGAGGCACAGTGACTGAAGGAGTAAGTTTGAAGCTCAAACCAGTGATGGATTGGCTATGATAGTGATTAGGAACACTGCCTATGATTCCCTCTCAGTTGTTATGCAGAGCTATGTTTTCTCTGCTGTTGTATTGGTAACTGGGTGGGTTAAATGGACATGTAGAGAGCCTGACTCTCAGTGATCTTGGGCAGTGTGTGCCATACAGGTTTTTAGTAGAATCATCTTAAGCAGATTTTTGTTGTTGTTGTTGTTGTTGTTTGGTCAGTTGTGAGGCTTGAACTCAGGGCTTGGATACTATCCCTGAAACTCTGTGCTCAAGGCTAGTGCTCTACCACTTGAGCCACAGCGCTGCTTCCATTTTTGAGTGGCTAATTGAAGATAGTCTCACAGGGACTTTTCTGCCCCAGCTGGCTTCGAACCGTGATCCTCAGAGCTCAGTCTCCTGAGTATAGCTAGGATTACTGGCGTGAGCCACCAGCACCTGGCACCTTAACAGTATTTTTAAATTTTAAGACTAATCCTGGGATGGGAAGGTGGCTCGGTGGTAGAGTGCTTGCCTTGCATGCATGAGGCCCTGGGTTTGATTCCTCAGTACCACATAATCAGAAAACACTGGAAGTGGCACTGTGGCTCAAGTGGTAGAGTGCTCACCTTGAGGTGAAGAGCTAGGGACAGTGCCCAGGCCCAGAGTTCAAGCCCCATGACCAACAAAAAAAGACTAATCCTAGGACATGCTAGAAGTGTTCCTTCCTCTGAAATGTTGTAGTCATTTTTACCTCTCCTTAGAATGTGACTCCTTTGGCTTTTCCTATGACTGACTTTTTAAATCATTCCAACTGTGAAAATCATGTCAATTGAAAGGGGACTTTACTGATTACCCTGTTTCAAATGGTCTCCATTTCTCCCTTTTTACTCTTATATTGCCTCATTATCACATTATTCTGTTCTGTAGTTCTCAGTTTTTAATCGCCATATGTGAAATAACTTACTAGTTTACATGTTTATTTTCTGTCATCTCAAAAATATCGTGATAGTTACTCAAATGCACCTTGTAGGTATATGCCTGTAATTCCAGTGCTTAGGAGGTAGAGAAAGAAGAATCATGAATTTCAGTTAGCCTGAGCTATGTGGTGAGACCCTGTCTCATAAAAGGACACAAATATTTCTCCATCTATCTTTGGTGTCTAGGTTATGCTTTATGTAGGTAGGGGTAAATATTTTCAGAAAGAAAAAATGTTTAGGAATCAAAAAAAAAAAGCCAGGCACTGGTGGCTCATGCCTGTAATCCTAGCTACTCAGGATGCTGATATCTGAGGATTTCAGTTCAAAGCCAGCCCAGGCAGAAAAGTCTGTAAGACTCTTATCTCTAGTTTACCACCAGAAAACTGGAAAGTAGCACTGTGGCTCAAGTGGTAGAGAGCTGACCTTGAGCTGAAGAGCTCAGGGACAGTGCCCAGGCCCAGAGTTCAAGCCCTACAACGGACAAAAAGAAAAGAAAAGAAAAATAGAATCACAATAGAATCTCTTCAGCAGATAAATGATAAACACAATACACGACATTTTACTTTCTCCAAAAAATTACCTAGATAGGCCTGTTTTGGAACTCCAGCACCAAAAGAAATATTAAGTGGATAAATTTCTCAAACTTCTTGGGGGTCTCAAACTATAATTGTGGTACTTTTTTAATTTCTTTGAAGAAATTAAGTGATTAGAACTAGTTAGATGACAACAAACAATAGGTATTTCCTGGAATTTTACTCTTAGTTATGAACATTGCCTGGTTAGGCAGACCTTACTATAGTTAATAAAAATAATGATTAAAAACGCCTATATTTAGGACTTGTCTATATTTATTTTGTATTTTATTTGTATAATTGATGAGACATTCAGAGTATCTTAAACATTTACTAGCCCTCCAAGCATCTTCCTAGCCCAAAAGTTTTTGTAAAAGGCAAAGGAGTTTTCAAGCTTTTTTTTTTTTCTTTTCTTTTTTTGGTCAGTTGTGGGGCTTAAATTCTGGGTATGGACACTGTCCCTGAGCTTTTCAGCTTAAGGCTAGTACTCTACCACTTTGAGCCACAGCGCCACTTCTGGTTTTCTGGTGGTTAATGGGAGATAAGAGTCTCATGGACTTTTTTGCTGTGGCTGGCTTTGAGCTGTGATCCTCAGATCTCAGCCTCCTGAGTAGCTAGGATTACAGGCATGAGCTACTGGCACTTGACAAGCTTCTTATTTATGAGACAAGATTTGCTTTGTTGGAATGTGGATTGATTGTATAGATAGATTGTATTAAAATTGTTAAAACCTACTCTCTGGTTACCTGTAACATGTTTCTAAAGGAGCTAGTTGGTTTAAGAGGAAAGAACTATTACTGCAGAACATTGCTCTCTTCTCCCTCCCCCTCTTTTTTTATGCCAGTCTTGGAGCTTAAACTTGGTCTGGGTGCTGTCCTTGAGCTTTTTTACTTAAGGGTAGCACTCTACCACTTAAACCACTTGGGCTATATTGGTAATTAATTGGAGAATCTCATGATTTTTCTCCCCAGGCTGGCTTGGAACCATAATCCTCACATCTCAGCCTCCTCAGTAGCTGGGATTATAAGTGTGAGCCACTGGCAATACCAGTGCTTTTATAATTCAAAAGAACCAGGTATGGTGGTTCACATCATAATTCCAGCTACTTGGGAAATAGAAATGAGAAGATCCCTGTTCAATGCCAGTTTAGGCAAAAAAAATTAATGAGATTCCTTCTTAACAAATAATCCATGTATGGTACTGTATACCCATAGTCAAAACTGCTTAGGTATAGGTAGGAGGATAATAAATCTGAGGTAAGTTCTGGACAAAAATTTTGAGATGCTATCTGGAAAATAAAAGCAAAATGAGGTAGAACAAGGCTTTGAGATTGAATCTCAGTATAGGACCTTAAAGCACAGATAAATATCAAAGTTTTAATTTCATTTTCACACAACAGTCAGACACCGGTGGCTTATGCCTATAATCCTAACTACTCAAGTGGCTGAGATCTGAGGATTGTGGTTGGAAGCCAACCCAGACAGGAAAATCTGTGACACTAAACTCTAGTTAACCTCCAAAAAGCCAGAAGTGGAGCTGTGGCTCAAGTGGTAGAGTAGTAGTAGCCTTGAGCACAAACTGTAAGGAGAGGGTTCAGGCCCTAAGTTCAAGCCCCAGAACCAGCATGTGTGTTCCTGTGCGTGCACAAATGCGAGCGCACATACACACACAATAAATAAATAAATAAATAACATAGTTTGAATATGAAGTGCCATTCATTATAAACCTTGACAGTGATATCCCATTGCACACTAGAAACTTGCTTCAAATTTAGACTTTCTTGGCCAAGTACTCTGTTAGACTTAAACTAAGTGTAACTATGTGTAGCCCAGTCAGTTTGAAGAGCAGAAATGGTGTACATCTCTACTCAGTTTTGTTTGTTTTGTTTTGTTTTGTTTTGTGGTCTGGTCGTGGGGCCTGTACTCTGGGCCTGGGCGCTGTCCCTCAGCTCTTCAGCTCAAGGCTAGCGCTCTACCACTTGAGCCGCAGCACCACTTCTGGCTTTTTTCTTTTTGCTTATGTGGTGCTGAGGAATCGAATCCAGGGCCTTAGGCATGCAAGGCAAGCGCTCTACCACTGAGCCACCTTCCCAGCCCTTTCTTTCTTTTTTTTTTTTTTCTACTCAGTTTTGACTTAACTTGAATTCAGTTATTAGTCCTAGCAGAGCACTGATTACTAGTTTTTAAGCCCAACTCTGTTTGTAATTATTGTCTTACTAGAATACCATCATATCAGTATATGGAAATGACCAAGTATTATATGGCATGTTTTCTCTAACTCAGTTACTAATATCCTAAAAATGTATATAAACATTTTCATTATTTCACATGTGGTGCTTGAACTTTGTTTTTTTGTTTTTTTGTTTTTGCCAGTCATGGGGCCTGAACTCTGGGCCTGGGCACTGTCCCTCAGCTCTTCAGCTCAAGGCTAGCGCTCTACCACTTGAGCCACAGTGCCACTTCTAGCTTTTTCTGCTTATGTGGTGCTGAAGAATTGAAGCCAGGGCCTCATGCATGCAAAGCAAGCACTCTACCACTGAGCTACCTTCCCAGCCCTGAACTTTGTTTTTAAAATGTTTATTGTGGAATAGAGTTCAGTAAAGGATCTGATCCAAGTGGTTTAGTTACAGAAATAAAATAGAGAACATCACTAGTTTTCATATAAGCTATTTTAGGGATGCAATTCTATGTAAAGCATTAAAGCATGCTTTTTTGTTTGTTTTGGTAATACTGGGGTTTGAACTTAGGGCCTTTTGATTGGCAGTACATGTTCAACTGCTTAGCCTCATTTCTCAGCCCTTTATTTTGGTTTTTGCCTATGTGTACATGTGGGCCATAATCTGCCTATTTTAGGCTTTTGGTCATAGTTAGGATAACAAGATAACACCAGGTCAACTTCTCAGTTAAGTAAGGGGTCTTGTAAACTCTTCAGTCCAAGCTGATCTTGAACTGTAGTCTTTCTATCAGTCCTACAGGCATGAACCTCCAATGTTCAGCTAGCATTGGAGCTTTTCATGGTATTACTGAAAGTTAAATTTAATATTACTTAGAAGTTGGTCTTCTTCTCTCATAAAGTACTTTTTTCTCCCCTCCTTTTCCCTTGCCCTTATAAGTCTTCTCCAAGTTACCTGAAGGAGATCTTGGAGCAGCTTCTTGAAGCCATAGTTGTAGCCACAAATCCATCAGGACGGCTCATCAGTGAACTTTTTCAGAAACTGCCTTCTAAAGTGGTAAGTGATATGATTAAGTGATATGACTGGTTATTTTTCAGATAGACTTCTCCCCTGCCCTTTGGGTAGGCTCAATGCAGCTACTTTAGGCTTCCCATTGTTGCTGGAATCACAAGTAACTATAGCCAGCTTCCTTCCATGGAAATGGAGTTGAACTGAAAACCACAGTCCTTCAATCTAAATCTCATATGGGTTGGAATGCCAGACAGAGTTGAGGAGAGTTCTCTGGAATATTTTTGCTTGCATTAGTTACAATCTCAGTCCTCACGTTCTCAGCCTTCCAAATAGGTAGGATTACAGGCATGACACCTAGCCATTGTCACCTGGCTAGCTATTAGGTTTTTGTTGTTTTTTTAAATTTTACATTATTATAAATCTCCAAATCTGAATCTCCATACCCACTAGGTACCAAGTCCACTTCTTTCATCCCCAAGTTCCTAAACTATCATTCTACTTTTGCCATGATTTTTTTCTATTGTATATATTTTTAAATTATAACTTACTTAAATTCTATTCTAATTATATAGTTCCTTCTGCTTTCTTTGGACTTTGTTGAATATTTTCCAAATTTAAAGTATATATAATACAATAATCATTCATATAATAGGGTATTTTTTATGTGTTTCATGTTGTTTCACGATTTTAACTACTCTTTAAGTACTCCATATAAGAAAAGCCAAGGCGGGGGGAGGCTCGGAAGGGATGTGAAGGATAAACAAAGGAGGAGGCTGCAGTGCTTGATAAGAAATGTACGCATTATCCTGCCCATGTAATTGTAACCCCTCTGTACAGTATGTTCACAAAAAAAAAATAAAATAAAATTTAATTTAAAAAAAAAAAAGGAAAAGAAAAGCCAAGGTTGGAGATGTGGCCTTGTCTAACATACTGAAGGCTCTGAGTTCAGTGTCCATTGGAGAGCTGGGGGAACCAATTCTGTATTTGTCTTTATGATTACTTATCTTACCATAATATTTTTAGGAGTTATCTTTGTTATGAGGTCAGACTTCCTTCTTTTTGAGGATGAATGATATTCCACAGTGTCAATGTATCACATTTTGCTTAACTATTATGTCATATTTGGATTGTTTCCATGTTTAGATATTGTGAATAATGCTGTTCTAAATGTGGGTGCACACATCTCAAGATCCTACTTCTTTTACTTATTTACTTATTATATATACCAAAGTGGCATTGTCCTTATACACCAATTCTATGTTTAGTTTTCTGAAGACTTGTTATATTTTTTTGTCTTAAAATTTTAAGTCATACTATGAATAGTTTATTACATGAATACCTATGATAGCAATGATTATATATTGTATTGCTAATATGTTCTAACTGTTCTACACCAATCAAGATACCCTATTATTTTATTTATTTATTTTTTGTACAGTTTTTATCCCATTATTTTAAATAACTAGTTTTGTCAGTGACTCATACGAAAAGCTGCATGCCATTCATCAGTTGCAAGTACTTTTTTTTTAACAAAGTTAGAATCTTTGTCCTCAGGAAATTCAGTGGGTTAGGAAAGAAGTAGATACAGAAGTAAATGATCACAATGAGAGTTAAGTGCTATCCCAAGGAAATACTTCATAATGTACACTGTTTCTTAGATATTTAAAAATGCTGGAGCCATGGAAATTTTTGGTTGTTTCACAGGCTAGATGTGAGTTAGATCTGTAGCCATTTTAATTGTTCTTGGATGTGAAACAAGGCACAGTTTGACTTCCCTGAACTTCTTTAATCTGGGGAAAAAAACAAGTTTTGATTTTTTTTGTTAACATCAGGTATTTTCTCCAAAGAACAAAATTTGTAGAAGAGCTCCAGATAATAAATGTCTCCAGGGCTGGGAAGGTGGCTCAGTGGTAGAGCGCTTGCCTTGCATGCATGAGGCCCTGGATTTGATTCCTCAGCACCACATAAGCAAAAAGAAAAAAGCCAGAAGTGGCGCTGTGGCTCAAGTGGTAGAGCGCTAGCCTTGAGCTGAAGAGCTGAGGGACAGCGGCCAGGCCCAGAGTTCAGGCCCCACAACTGGACCAAAAAACAAAAAACAAAACAAAAAATAAATGTCTCTGAACCAATAATGGATGTCTCAGGGATATCCCTCAATATGTGCAGTTTGTTAGGATGAGCTAAGATGTGGTCAATCAGAAATTGCTTAGAGAAGTGTCTGATGGCATACACCTATAATCTCATCCACTCAGAAAGCTGAGGTAGGAGAAGGAGAAGTTGGAAGGGAACTTGGAGATCCCATCTCAAAGAAAGAAAGGGTAGAGGCCTGGGGACCATAGTTCGTGCCTATAATTCTAGCTACTTAGGATTGCAGTTTGATGCTAGCCTATACAAAAATTTAATGAGACTCTAATCTCAACAACTAAACTATGATGATATGTGCCTATAATCCCAGCTATGTAGAAGACTGTAAGTAGGAAAATCAGGCAGGCCCCAATCCAAAACTTAAGGCTATCCTAAAATCACAAGAGCAAAAGGGCTGGAGCTTGGCTCAAATGGTACAAGGCCTGAATTCATACCTCAATACTGCTTCCAATCCCACAAAAAATGCCTAAAGGCTTGGTTCAAAGGGTTCTCCCTGAGTTTAGTCCCCAGTAAGCTCCCCTCCCACCCCCACCTCACATAGGAGTTTTATTTTGGCTCAGTACCAGGGGCTTATGTCCATAGATCTCAGAAAGCTGAGATCTGATTACTATGGATCAAAGCCAGTCCAGGTAGAAAAGTTTGCAAGGCCCACCATCAATTAACCAGAAAAATGCCAAAGTATAGTTGTTCTTCAATTGGTAGAGTAACAGCCTTGGGCAAAACAAAGCTGGTCAAGAGTGAAAGGCCCTGAATTCAGACTCTGTTATTTACACCAAAAAAAAGTTTCATTTTGAAAGGCCTTGCCTTAACTGAATGACTAATGCAGTAAACATAACATTAACAAAATTTGAACCTGATTTTTGATGGATGCTTCTGAATGCTTGTAAATATACATTTATATTATTTAGGTTGCAAAATTACAAAGGCTTGTAACGGGTGTTACAAATAACTTTCTTTTTCTAAGCTGGGCACTGGTGACTCACATCTGTAATTCTAGTTACTCAGGAGGCTCAGATCTGAGGATCGAGGTTTGAAGCCAGCATAAGCACACAAATCTAAGAGACTCTTATCTCCATTTAAGCAACAAAAAGTCAGAAGTTGAGCTATGGCTCAAAATGACAGTCTTGAATGAAAAAGCCAAGCAATAGGTCATGGTTCTGAGTTTAAGACCAGAACCATCATTCCCTCTCCTTCCCTCCAAAAAAGTACTTCATTCTTTTTTCCATGAATAGATTGTCTTTGGCCCTTAAAATTTTTGCAATTCAAGCTGGGCACCTGTGGCTCATGCTTGTAATCCTAGCTACTCAGCAAGGCTGAGATCTGAGGATTGCAGTTCAAAGCTAGCCTGGGCGGGAAAAGTCAGTAAGACTTTTATCCCCAATTAAGCATAGAAAAAGCTGGAAGTGGTACTCTGGCTCAAATGATAGTGTACTAACCTTGAGCAAAAGGAGCTCGGAGACAGTTCTAAGTCCCAGAGTTCGAGCCATAGGACTAGCACCCAAAAAACATTTTTTAAGTGTAATTTTATTTAGAAATTTTTTAGCTTAACATTTTAAAAAGATACTGTGTTTAGTGGGGTTCATTCCTGTAATCCTAGCTACTTAGGAAATTAAGATGGATCATGGTTCGAAGCCAGGTAGGCAGGAAAAGCCATGACACTTTTATTTATTTTTATTTATTTATTTTTTGGGTCCGGTCATGGGCCTGAACTCTGGGCCTGGGCGCTGTCCCTCAGCTCTTCAGCTCAAGGCTAGCACTCTACCACTTGAGCCATAGCACCACTTCTGGCTTTTTTTTTTTTCTGGTTATGTGATGCTAAGGAATCGAACTCAGGGCCTCATGCATGCAAGGCAAGCGCTCTACCACTGAGCCACCTTCCCAGCCCCAACACTTTTATTTTTAATATTTTTATTAGCTTTAAGTTGTTGTACAAAGGAGTTTTCATTCACCGAAGCAGTTTATGAATACAGTGTGTCTTGATCACCTTTCATCACCCACATCTCTCAACCTATCCCTTTTCTTGCTTATCTTAATTTGAGATTATATATCGAATTTTTTGCAATTGAACAAAGCAGTTTATGTGTTCAGTATCTTGATCTGTGTCACCACTTCAACATCTTCACTACTTCAACATCTTCACCCCTCTTTGACCCACCCCTTCTCTTATATTTCTCAGTTCTCTGGTACATGCAGTGAATTCTTGCCTGCATTCTTCCCACTTTCCTTTTTCATTCTTCTACTCCCCTCCACTCTGCCCCACTCTCCCCTCTTGCAAGTACCCATTTTCTGGTACTTATTTTGTTGGACTTTGACTTAGTCTTTTTAAATTATTAAATTTAAATTATAATATTTAATTAATTAAATTATAATAGTTGCACTCTCATAGAGTCTTGTACACTTAATTAATTTGTAACCTCTTGTTTACCACCCAGTGTGATTACTTGTAGATTTATAGGCATATTCTAGCTACCATAAATGGGAAAAACATGTAATCTATGTTTCTCTGGGTCTAGCTTACATTCGCTTAATACAATTTTTTTTTCCAAGTCTTTCCATTTTCCATGAGACTCTTATCTTTAATTAACCACCAAAAAGCCAGAAATGGTAGCGTACCAGCCTTAAGCACAATAGATCAGGGATAGTGCCAGGCCCTGAGTTTAAGGCCCAGGACCAGGACTTATGTTATAGCAAATTGTTTGTATAATGATAACTATCAGATACCAAATATAAACTCCTGTAACCTGCTATTGAGCGTTTAATGAAGCTTCTTAAAATTATATTAATAGCCAAACATGGTAGTAGTAAATATTAGTGATCTAATCACTCTAGAAGCTAAGGCAGGTGGACAGAGAGTTTGAAGCCAGCATGGTCTACATAGTGAGACCCTGTGTAAAAATAATGATAAAAGTAGCTAGATGCCAATGTTTTATGCCTTTAATCCTACTTATTCAGGAGGCTAAGATCTGAGGATCAAAGTTTAAAGCCAGCTAGACAGGAAAGTCTTGGAGACTGATTGTCTATTAACTACCAAAAAAAGCCAGAAGTGGAGCTGTGACTCCAATGATAGAGCACTAGCCTTGAGAGGGGAAAAAAAAAAAAAAGCTCAAGCAAGCAGGTCCTGATTTTAAGCCCCAAAACAAACACACACACACACACACACACACACACACACACACACACACACACACACACACACACACACACACACACACACACACACACACACACACACACACACACACACACACACACACACACACACACACACACACACACATCATCTTTTACATAAAATGTAGCAATAGGCTATATAGCTTAGTCTTTAGACACACACACACACACAAATCATCTTTTACATAAAATGTAGCAATAGGCTATATAGCTTAGTCTTTAGCCATGCAATTCATAAGGCTGTTCATGCAGGTTGAAGAACGGATTGTTACTTCATTTGAATTCAATTGGGTAATTTAACTCATTGAGCATACCTGGTTTTTGTCTTCCAGCAATATCCAGACTATTATGCAATAATTAAGGAACCTATAGATCTCAAGACCATTGCCCAGAGGATACAGGTATGAAAGTAACCAATTGTAATTATATGTTTTAGAGCAGATTTGCCATAGACTTTCTAGGAGCTTTTACAAAGCAAAGAAACAGATGTTTCTGTTTAAGGGGTTTTGTTATCAGCAAATAATAAAAACAAGATCATTGCTAATTGTAGCTTTGGCTTGTGTCTTAGGACAAAAATTAGGACTTGAGGTTGAGCCTTTGCCTAATATGAGCATAATTTTAGGTGTTAGTCTTTGCCATGGGGGTCAGGTGAATAGTGGATTAATTGGATTAATTGTAGACATTTGTGACTATGAAAGGTATTTTGGCAATAAAAGCTTGTTTATTTTATCTACCTCCAAATAGCTTTAGGATATCTTAGAATAAGAGTTACAGCAGATTAATAGAGTATAAGGTCAATGAACATAAATACTTCTTTTCTGTCTTCCTCCTCATCACTATTTCTCCTCAGTAGTTATAACTAGCATTCATATACATTTACTATATATCTAGCACTGTTTTAAGTGCTTTGTGTATATTAACTAAGTCATTCTTACAACTCCATGGGCTAGATAAACCATTATGATTCTCATTTTACAGGTTAAAAAGCAAGGCTGGAGAAGTTAGCCTGCTCAAGAGCTAGAATTTGAAACTAGACAGTCTAGCTTCAGTGTTTATGCTCTTAACTCTTATCTATATTTACTGTCCCCATGGAATACTTAATAAATATTAACTGAGTAATGAGTGATTGTCATTTACAGCTTGATAATCAGGGTTAAAGGAAGGTATGCTGAGAAATCATGTGAGAGTAGTTTGTTTTAGGGAATACTGGAGTTTTGAACTCAAGGGCCTAGTGCTTATTAGGAATTTCTTGATGTAAAGCCCAATAACTAAAGTTTTTTAAAACTAAAAAGCTTTATCTCCTGCTTTATCTAAAGTTTGTTTTTTTTTTTAAACCTATAAAACATGCAGTGGCTCCTGCCTGTAATCTTAGCTACTCAGGAGGCTGATATTTGAGGATTACAGTTCAAAGCCAGCTCAATCAGACACGTCCATAAGACTCTTATCTCCAATTAACCACCTGAAAGGCCAGAAGTGGAACTGTGGCTCTAGTAGTGGAGTACTAGCCTTGAGCGGATAAAGCTCAGGGACAGCACCCAAGTCTTGAATTCAAGCCCAAGGACTTGGACAAAAATTTTTTCTGTTACTTTTTAGATAGAGTCTTGTGCATTTTGCCTGGGCCATTCACATTGTGATCCTCCTGGAGTTAAAGGTGTACACTATTTTGCCTGGCCATTTAGAAATGTAGTTTTTATGTTATAGTTCTTTTTCCCAGCTCTGTATATCACTGTCACTGGTCAGCTGCCCTGTTTGCTGAGTCATGGAGGTCTATGGTGATATATGTAAACCAGCTCATATAGCCCTATAGGATGAGACCCTAGTCAGTGTGTCACTCATCCTTGGGATAAGAAGGGTTTGTTGTGGCTGGGAAGGTGGCTCAGTGGTAGAGCGCTTGCCTTGCATGCATAAGGCCCTGGGTTCGATTCCTCAGCACCACATAAGCAGGAAAAGAAAAGCCAGAAGTGGTGCTGTGGCTCAAGTGGTAGAGTGCTAGTCTTGAGCTGAAGAGCTGAGGAACAGTGCCCAGGCCCAGAATTCAGGCCCCACAGCCGGACCAAAAAAAAAAAAAAGAACATTTATGGACTGGGAATGTGGCTCAGTGGTAGAGTGCTTGCCTTGCATGCATGAGGCCCTGGGTTCTATTCCTCAGCACCACATAAGCAAAAAGAAAAAAGCCAGAAGTGGCGCTGTGGCTCAAGTGGTAGAGCACTTCAGCCTTGAGCTGAAGAGCTGAGGGACAGCACCCAGGCCCAGAGTTCAGACCCCACAACCAGACCCAAAAAAAAAAGGATTTGTTACTTGCAGGAGATAAAGCAAAAAGGAAGACTTGATGTATTTATTAGTCTCATTGAGCAAGGAAACTGATTATATAGCGATTTGGCAAAAGGGAGCAACTTCCTTGGCATTGAAGTTTCTAACATCTATCTATGGAGATGATATCTTTATAATACTAAAAATTAGATTTTTTTTTTTTTTATCAGTAGTGGGGCTTGAACTTCTGGGCCTGGGTGCTGTCCCTGAGCTCTTCACCTGAAAGCAAGCACACTACCACTTGAGCCACAGTGCCACTTCTGATTTTCTGGTGTTTATTGGAGATAAAGAGTCTCATAGATTTTCCTTCCTGGGCTGTCTTTGAACCCTGATCCTCAGATCTCAGCTTCCTAAGTAACTAGGGTTGCCAGGATGAGCCACCAGTGCCTGGCTTAAAAAATCAGATTTTAAATGCCTCTAAGTCAGCTCTTATCTTCTCTCTCTTGCTTATCATCTTCTTTCTTTCAAAAGGCCTACAGTCACGTCACCTTCTTTTATTATTACCCTTATGTACTATTTTAATTTTTATTTTTTGTCGGTCGTCGGTCTGGGCCTGGGCACTCTCCCTCAGCTCTTTAGCTCAAGGCAAGCACTCTACCACTTGAGCCACAGTGCCACTTCTGGTGTTCTGGTGGTTTATTGTAGATAAGACTCACGGACTTTACTGCCTGGGCTGGCTTTGAACCACGATCCTCAGATCTCAGCCTCTCGAGTAGCTAGGATTACAGACATGAGCCACCAGCACCCAACTCTATTATCATTATTTTATGTACTAATTATTGGTATAATCTTTCCTGCTACACTGATGAGAGGCTGTCTAGTCCTTTCTACAACTTGCTTTTTGATCCTGGCTTTCTTCCTGCTATCCCACTGTTCAGAGACTTAACTCATTTCCTAATCCTTGAACCAAATAATCAACTCTGACTACCTTTGGCAAAAAGGGAATTTATGAAAAATATATTGACTATCTTATGGAATTGTTAAAGTAGATGACTGGGGAACTACCCTTCAGAAAATGGGCAGAACAGGGATATGCACAGAGTCTTTGTGCCATTTCTGTTACCACTGTCATTTTCCACTGTTGGTCTTAGATGCTTTCTAGTCCACTGTTAGAATACTCCTACTCTGCAGAAGTCAGGAATGAATTTCTGCCATTCTCTGGCCATTGCTTTAGTCTTTTCAGGCTAATGTGAACTAGCTGGCCCATGGGTATTTCTCTTTGCCATGCTGCCAGACTTCTGGTAAAGCAGTCGTCTTTTATTCTTATTACTCCTACCTTCCATCCATTCTGGATTCTCTCCAAATAAGATGAATGTTCTGATACCGGGTAGAAAATAACTTGCCTTGGGCTGGGATGTAGCTCAGTGGCAAAGCGCTTGCCTAGCAAGTGCAACGTCTTGGGTTCGATCCCCAGTACCAAAAAAGAAAAGACAAAAAAAATACAGTTAAAAATAAAAAAAGAAAAAAGAACTTGCCTGGTTTTTGGATTCTGCCTCTTTTGGCCTTGTATATACAGTTCTACCATTCACCATGCCCCAGGTTATTTTTTCTAGAACCTGTCCTGTTTTATTCTGTGTATTATCATTTGTCATGTATGCCTTTTACATAGCGTGTGTACCTCCTTACTTTCCCTTGTAAATTGAGGCCAACTATATGCGTGTCCTACAGTTATTTTTGACTGACTGAGGTTTGGAATGTCACAGCTCTGTGACATAGTAAGTACTCTTTGCTGGATTCATTTTATGTTTTACTTCAAATGGCCTGGAGGGAATTTTACATCATATTGAATGAATGATTTAATATGAATTAATGAATTAATGTGTGAAACATCTAAAATAGCACTTGGCACATAGTAACCACTGGGAACTAGTAATAATTTATAAAAGAGAAAATTAGGGCTGGGATGTAGCTCAGTGGCAAAAGTGCTTGCCTAGCAAATGCAACATCCTGGGTTCGATCCCCAGTACCAAAAAAGGAAAGACAAAAAAGAATAAAATAATAGAGAAAATTACTTCATACATTGTTCACATATGTATTTTCCAATGAAGTCTTACAATATGTTGATAATTTAAAACTATATGGATTTCTTTACTTTCTTTTTTTAAGTTCTATTTATTTAACTTTCATTAAGAGAAATTGCTCTATTTTATTGTTTACTATAGAATGGAAGCTACAAAAGTATTCACGCAATGGCCAAAGATATAGATCTCCTAGCAAAAAATGCCAAAACTTACAATGAGCCTGGTTCTCAAGTATTCAAGGTTAGTTTTTTGTTGTTATTTTCATTGATAAGAGTAGATACTTTAAGTTAGGATCAATAATTTTTATATAACAACTTCACTGAATTATAATTCACATATCATACATTTCATTCATTTAAAATGTAATCATTTTTAGCATATTCACAATGTTGTATGCCCATTACTCCAATCAGTTTCAGTCACTCTTCATTTTTCTCCAACTTCCCCACCCTTTAGACAGCCACTTTCTGTCTCTGTACATTTGTCCATTCTGGATATGTTATAAAAATGTCTAGTATATGGCATGGATACCTTTGTGACAAGATTTCTTCATTTAGCATAATGTTTTTAAGGTACATCCATATAGTACTTGTGTCAGTACTTCTTTTTTGTGTGTATGTGCCAGTCCTGGGGCTTGATCTCAAGGCTGGGTGCTGTCCCTAGGTTTTCTGCTCAAAGCTAGTGCTCTGCCACTTGCCAGAACTCCACTTCTGACTTTTTGGTGGTTAATTGGAGCTAAGAGTCTCACAGACTTTCTAGCCCAGGTTGGCTTTGAGCTGTCATCCCCAGATCTCAGCCTCCTGAGTAGCTAAGATTATAGGCATGAGCCACCAGCACTTGGTTAGTGCTTTTTTTTTTTTTGGTCAGTCGTGGGGCTTGAACTTGGGCTTGGGCCCTGTCCCTGAGCTCTTCAGCTCAAGGCGAGCGCTCTACTTGTTGGGCCACAGCACCACTTCCGGTTTTCTAGTGGCGTATTAGAGATAAGAGTCTTATGGACTTTCTTGCCTGGGCTGGCTTTGAACCGCAATCCTCAGATCTCAGCCTCCTGAGTAGCTAGGATTACAGGTGTGAGCCATCAGTGCCTGGCTAGTACTTCTTTTTATTGCTGAATAATATTCTTTCTTGTAAATATATTTAATAATTTGTTGGTAGACCATTGAATTATTTGCATTTTTGGCTATTATAAATAATGTGCTATAAACATTCACATGTAAATCTATATGTACTTTATTATATCTATATGTGTATATACATTTGTTTACATTCATATGCTTCATAGATTTACTTCCTAGAAATGGAATTGCTTGGTTTTATGATATGTATATGTTAAGTTTTTCCAAAATAACTATGCTGTTTCACATTCCTACCAACAGTGTACAAATGTTGCAGTTTCTTCACATTCTTAAGAACAGGTTTTTCACTTTTGTTTTTATTACAGCCATTCTATTGGGTATGATGTGGTATGTTGTTCTAATTTTGACTTCCCTTTCCCTAAAATTTCCCTAATATACTCAACATCTTTTCATGTGTGTATGTGTATTTTTTTTGGAGCGATGTCTATTCTTTTGCCCATTTTTAAATTGAATTACTTCTCTTTTTATTGTTGCATTTTAATAATCCTTTATATATTCTGTATATCATACCCCGGTTTCGTTTTTAAGAATTTTATAGTTTTAGGCCTCTCAGCATCATTGGCTGCTGCCATGTATGTGGGGGGACCAAGCTCGAGCTTGCAATAAAGACTCCTTTGTTTTGTTTTTTTTTTTTGTTTTGTTTTTTAAAAAAAAGAATTTTGTAGTTTTAGCTCTTAGATCCTTTCATTCAGTTTTTTCTTTTGGTCAGTTGTGGGGCTTGAACTCTGGGCTTGGGCGCTGTCCCTGCGCTCTTCAGCTCAAGGCAAGCACTCTACCACTGAGCCACAGCACCACTTCCAGTTTTCTAGTGGTTTTTATTGGAGATAAGAGTCTCACGGGGGGCTGGGAAGATGGCTCAGTGGTAGAGTGCTTGCCTTGCATGCCTGAGGCCCTGGGTTCGATTCCTCAGCACCACATAAGCAAAAAGAAAAAAGCCGGAAGTGGCGCTGTGGCTCAAGTGGTAGAGCGCTAGCCTTGAGCTGAAGAGCTGAGGGACAGTGTCCAGGTCCAGAGTTCAGGCCCCACGACTGGACCCAAAAAAAAAAAAAAGTCTCACGGACTTTCCTGCCTGGGCTGGCTTTAAACCACAATCTTCAGATCTCAGCCTCCTGCATAGCTAGGATTACAGGCATGAGCCATCAGTGCCTGGCTTTTCATGCAGTTTTTGATCCAAAAATTTCTGTTTGCTTGGTAGAAGTCCAGATTTATTTGTTTACATGGGATACTATCCCAACACAATAGATTATAAAAAGATTATTCTTTCTCAATTGAAGTTTCTCAGCATTCTTATTGAAAATCCAAATCACCATATAGGGATTTAAATCTAATTTCTTGTTTCTGTTCTAGTAGTCATCTAAATGTTTGTTCTTAGGCCAGACAATTCATTTTTTTATCCTCTTAAAAATATTGATTTATTCTTTGCATTAACCTTTGTATATATAAAAAGTAGCCTATGTACTGTAGTATACAATGTAAAATAATTATTTCATTGTGTTGCTATTGCCTCTTAGAAATTTTGTAGTCACTATTCTAATGAATAGTTGCTTCTAGAAGTTTCTGCATTAGTCATACATTAGGAATTTATAAAAGATTACTCAGAAAATCTTTCAGCTTTAAAATTATTAGACTTTTTTGACTGCTGACCCAGTACTCAAAATTCTGTTGTTAGCTAATATTAGCTTTTTGTTTATTTTTAATTTTTTGAGACAAGAAGTCACTATATAATCCAAGCTAGCCTCAATTTTACAATCCTTTTGCCCTCTTGGATTACAGGTGTATGTCACTATACATATGTATATTAACATTTCATATTGAGAACTTTTGAGGAAAAATCAAGAATAAATTATGAAGTCCTTGTAGTCTTAGTCCTTATAGAATATTTTAAAAATATAGTACTAGTTGTTGGTTGATATATATAATAATTTTCTTTTTGCTCTAATTAGTTTTCTTTAACTGAGTTTTAAAGAGAAAGGACACTTTCAATGTGTTATGTTAGTGTCCTGTTAATTTAAATAAGTATATAAACTGGAAATTTCTTTAAATTTTTAGGTCAGGATACAATAGAATTCATTATATTTTGCCATTGGATCTTTATGTATTGCTTGACTAATTAGTAAAGGACTAGGAATCTTTTTAGCTTATTTTTAATTAGTGACAACTTTATGAAAATATTTTCAGAAGTCTGTAAAAAGGTTAGAGATGGAGTTTAATGGGTATTAAATGGGAAGAGGGCCATAAAAAGGGCTTAGGGCCTGAGTGAGGGCAATTCTAGCTATATATCTATAAAAACGTCTTTTTTTATTTGTTTGGGATTGATTGATTTTTTTCCTACTCCGTTTATAAGTCAATTAATTTTAACCATTTTTTGTTTGTTTGATTTTTCCTGTTCTTTTTTTAAGCCAAGTAATTTTATCTTGACAGGATGCAAATTCAATTAAAAAAATATTTTATATGAAAAAGGCAGAAATAGAACATCATGAAATGGCTAAGTCAAGTCTTCGGATAAGGTTGGTTAAAAATGTTTAAGAGCTTTGTGTCTTTAAATTTGGTGATTTTTTTTTTTTAAGTAAATGAAATCAGTACAATGGAAAATAAGATTTATGTTACATTTAAGATCTTATTTATAATTGACTACGTAAATCTGAAAAGAATAGAGGTAATTTATTTAGCCCCTTAAATGCAACTTTATTGAGAACTTTATTTAGAAAGAAACGTTTTGGACCTGGAAACATAGCTCAAGTGGTAAAATACCTGCCTATCAAGTATTATAGAAATTAGAAGTATTGTTAAGATTTCTAACACCACTACATATTTTATTTCCTTATGAGTACAAACATATGTATATAATACTATACATGTAACATATATAATAAATGAATATGTAAATTATGGTTGTGTATAATTTACAACACTATATATTTTCAATAACTATATTTAGCCAGGAGATCTGGAAGTTTTATTTTGTCTTTCCCTTCACTAGCACTGTAACTTAGAACAGGCCTCAGTTTGGGGATTCTTATTCCTCTTACCTGGAATGGGAAGGTTGGGTGACTACTTCCAAACCTTTCTTTTGGCTCTCCATTTGTTCTAATATCATGTCCTATGGTTCTGCAGTAACCATAAGCTCTCAAGGACTAACCCTAGTCTGTTTTCTTCTATAGACTCCAGATCCCAAAGCAATTCCTGCTTACCTAGTTGAAGCTCAGAAATGTTTTGTTATTTCTGTTAGAAAAAAATAAAATGATTGTCTTGTTTTACCCAACATTCTATTTTTAGCTATCAAGTTTCTGAGCTTTATTTATATGTATATATATACACATACATACATACATACATACATATTGTCTTTGGATAGGACTGCATCAAATTTGGCTGCAGCCAGGCTGACTGGTCCTTCTCATAGTAAAGGAAGCCTTGGTGAAGAAAGAAATCCTACTAGCAAGTATTACCGGTGAGCAGAAGAGGGTTTAATCTTAAAGTTGACCCATGCTTCTGATTGTAGACAAACTACTATTTGCCTGATAGGTATCTTGAAGTAATATGTTTAGGTTATTAGGAGAATTGATTATCAAGTGCTTTAAAAAGTTGAAGTATGAGCTGGGTGCCAGTGGCTCATGCCTGTAATCCTAGCTACTCCAGAGGCTGAGATCTGAGGATCACGGTTCAAAGCCAGCCCGGGCAGGAAAGTCCATAAGACCACCAGAAAACCGGAAGTGGTACTATGGCTCAAGTGGTAGAGTGCTAGCCTTGAGCTGAAAAGCTCAGGGACAGCACCCAGTCCCAGAGTTTAAGCCCCATGACCGACCAAAAAAAAGCTGAAGTATGGGTTGGGAGTGTGTCTCAAGCGGTTGAACAAGGGCTGGGAAGGTGGCTCAGTGGTAGAGCACTTGCCTTGCAAGCCTGAGGCCCTGGGTTCGATTCCTCAGCACCACATAAGCGAAAAGAAAAAAGCCGGAAGTGGCGCTGTGGCTCAAGTGGTAGAGCACTAGCCTTGAGCTGAAGAGCTGAGGGACAGCGCCCAGGCCCAGAGTTCAGGCCCCACGACCGGACCTAAAAAAAAAAAAGAAAGAAAAAAAGAGGTTGAACAACTGCCTAGCCAGCTCAAGGCTATAGGTCAAACTCTAATACCACCAAAAAAAAAAAAGGTTAAGGTATGAGCTGGGCATGGGTACATCCCTGTATTCCCAGCACTTGGGCTTAAAAGAAGGGAATCACAAGTTCAAAGCTAGTCTAGCCTACATCATTTTCCTTGTCACATTAGGGGGAAAAAATAGCTAGGCACTAGTGGCTTTTGCCTGTAATCCCAACTACTCAGGGGGCTAAGATCTGAGGATCAGTTTGAAGTCACCCTGGACAGGAAAGTTAGTGAGACTCTTTATCTCTAACTACCAAAAAAAAAGCCAGAATGGAGCTGTGGCTCAGGCTTTGAGCTGGACTTCAAAAGCCTGGAGCAACAAAAGCTCAAAAACAGCATGTAGGGGCTGGGAAGGTGGCTCAGTGGTAGAGCGCTTGCCTTGCATGCTCGAGGCCCTGGGTTCGATTCCTCAGCACCACATAAGCAAAAAGAAAAAAAAAGCTGGAAGTGGCGCTGTGGCTCAAGTGGTAGAGCACTAGCCTTGAGCTGAAGAGCTGAGGGACAGCGCCCAGGCCCAGAGTTCAGGCCCCACAACCGGACCCAAAAAAACAACAACAACAACAACAACAACAACAAAAACAGCATGTAGGCCCTGTGTTGAAGCCCCAGGACTGACACCAAAAAAAAAAAAAAAAGATTGAGATACCGTAGTAGACCTTACCTCACCTTTCAGACAAGGCCTCCACTTTGATTATTAGGTAGTGTTATAAAAAAAAATAGAGGATTAAATACGTATTTATATTAAGTTTTGTGATCATAATAGAATTTGTTATTAGGACATATAAATGTCTTAGAAAATAATAACTAGTAACTGTGACTAAATCATTTCCATAAAATAGTGGTATGCTACATTTTTGTTTAAAAAAACAAATTTCAAAGCCAGATGCTTGTGGCTCACGCCTATAATCCTAGCTACTCAGGAGGCTGAGATGATAGTGGTTTGAAGCCAGCCCAGACAGGACTGTCTGTGAGACTCAATCACCAGAAAACTAGAAGTGGTGCTATGGCTAGAGCACTGGCCTTGAGTGAAGTTACTCAAGGAGAGTGCCCAGGCTCTGAGTTCAAGTCCCACAACAGACAACAAGGACAACAAAAATTGTATTAGCCTGTTCTAGGCTTTATACCACCACTTCTTTTCTGAGAGGGAAAAACAGAACCCTGTTTTCTTTCATAAGACTGATTATAAGGAATATTAGTAGTGCATAGAGAGGGAAATAATAAAAATTATTTTTCTTTGATATTAGTGCTTTGCTAATAGTTGGTATCTCATTTAAAGTAGTCAATTATTGTAACATTATTCCATGTCTTATAGTTGCTTTTTTTTCCTTATAGTAATAAAAGAGCAGTCCAAGGGGGTCGTTTATCAGCAATTACCATGGCACTTCAATATGGCTCAGAAAGTGAAGAGGATGCTGCATTAGCTGGTAGGCATTAGGTTGTGCCTAGTTAAATGCTTTCTAAGTGGATCTTTCTAGCTAGGAGTTGCAGTGGTCTGATCTAGAATTTGTTGGTGTGTGAAGAAACATGCTGAGTTTTTTTGCATTTAATTGCTCTCTGATTGGCAAATTTATCAAATGCTAATTGCTTTATGTTGTGATAAAGCTCTTAGGGTAAATATTAAAACATAGGAAAGTTGAACATGAAAAGATAGAAAAATATAGTAGACAATGTCAGTATGTTTGTATTAACTTGTTTCAATAGCAGTAGGAAACATATACAAAGAAATCTGTCTGTCTGGGTACCAGTGGCTCACACCTGTAATCCTAGCTAAGATCTGAGGATCACAGTTCAAAGCCAGCCCAGGCAGGGAAAGTTCATGAGACTGTTACCTCCAATAAACTGCCAGAAAACTGTAAGTGGTGGAGTTGCTCAAGTGGTTGAGTGCTCACCTTGAACTGAATTGCTCAGGGACAGCACCAAGACCCAGACCCAGAGTTCAAGCTCCTTGACCGACCAAAAAAAAAAAAGTCTGTTTAAATCTTTAAATCTTCTGTATCTTTATTAGTTTACTGTCTGCTTATCTAATAATTGAGAGATAAAGACTCCTGTTCAAAGGTTTTCTATTTTTTAGTTCCATTTGTTTATGTTACATATGTAGAGCTCTTTGATAATTTAATTACATACTTGTTATCTCGGTATTCTGGAAGTTGAGATAGGAGGATCTCAAAATCTGGAAGCATAGGATTTTGATTATCTTCAAAACCAAACAAAGGGTGGATGCTGGTATCTCAGGCCATTAATACTAGGTATGAGGAGGCTAAAATCTGAGGATCATGGGTTCAGAAGCCAGCCTGGGCAGAAATGTTTGTAAGAGGGCTGGGAAGGTGGCTCAGTGGTAGAGCGCTTGCCTTGCATGCATGAGGCTCTGGGTTCGATTCCTCAGCACCACATAAGCAAAAAGAAAAAAGCCAGAAGTGGCGCTGTGGCTCAAGTGGTAGAGCGCTAGCCTTGAGCTGAAGAGCTGAGGGATAGCGCCCAGGCCCAGAGTTCAGGCCCCACGACCGGACCCAAAAAAAAAAAAAAAAAAGAAATGTTTGTAAGATTCTTATCTATCTCTTATTAACTTCAAGTGGTAGAGCCACAGTCTTGAGCAGAAAAGCTGAACAAGAATGCAAGGAGCTCAAGCCCTGTACCAGCATGCATGCATACGTGTGTGTGTGTGTGTGTGTGTGTGTGTGTGTGTGTGTGTGTGTGTGTGTGTGTGTGTGTGTGTGTGTGTGTGTGCGCGTGCGCGCGCGCGCATGCGTGTATGTGCGTGTGCATGCCAGCAGTGTATATATATATGAAAGATATGATGACCCACTTATTAGCTCTGTTGACTTCCAGTGAGATGGACTTTAAACATAGATATTTAGAAAAGCAAAAAGGGATTTACCTCATAGTGGTAAAAGATAAAAGGAAAAATTGTTTCATTGGAAAGATGAATTATAAGAGAGCTCCAAATATGTAAAGTAAGCAGATGGAACTTTATGGAGATAGTGAAAACACCATCTTAGAAGTGAGGCGCTTTCTCACAGTTGGTACATAAGCAGAAAGTAAACCAGTGAAGACACAGAAGATTTGAAGACACATCTTTATATTTGTTTTCTATTGCTGTTGAAATAAAGTAACACAAATGTAGTGACTTAAAGCTACCCAACTTTATTTTCTTACAGTTATGAAGTTCAGAAAAAATAAAGTCAGGGTATCAACATGCTAGTGTTCCATCTAATTGCTCTAGAGGAAAATCTATTCCTTGGCTTTTGTAGCTTCTAGAGGTTACCTGTATCTCTTCACTTATGGCCCTTTCTTCCATCTTCAAACTGCACCTCTCCAGCCTTTTACCTTCTTTGAACTTCTTCCTTCTTAGTGTGTCCTTTATGATTGCTTTTAACTACCTACTCACATAATTTTAAATTAATTCAGATTCTTTTCCTTATGTCTCATCTGGAAAGTCTCTTTTACTATGTAAAGTCACAATCACTGGTTCTGTGAGTTCAGACATGAATGTTCTGTTCTCATGGTTATTACACAGCTTATTATAGCAAGCTTAATATATTACATTTAGAAAATACACATTCTAGCAAGGTGCCAGCGGCCTATGCCTAACTACTCAGAAGACTGGAAGATCAGCCAGTCCAGGACAGAAAAGTCTGTGAGATTCCATCTCTATTAGCCAGCAAAAGGCCAGATTAAAACATGGCTTAAATGGTAGAATACCACCCGCCACGGGCAAAGAAGGGCATGAGGCCTTGACTCAAGCATTGACATCAGCGCGCATACACACAGACACAAAAGAAAATGTATAGTCTTCCCAGGTACATATTTATTAGAACTACTTATCTATAAAACAAATTTCAATAGATTTGAATAATTCAGAATTTAAATATAGAACACATTTCTGACTATAGTACAGCTAAGTTATCACCTAATAAGGAAAAGATAAAATTTTAAAGCCTAAATGTTTGGAAATTTTAAACGTTAAAGAAATATCAGAGAAATTTTCAAGTACCTAAAAGTGAACATTAGCATGATGAAAATAACGTTTGCCAAAAGTAGTAGATAGGTAGCATACTGGATTGGCAGCACAGACCTGTAATCAGTATTAATATGTAAGTAGCCTAGGCTGGCCTCAAATTCCTCATAATCCTTCTCCCTTAACTTTCTTTGTGCTTGAATTATAGACATGCAATACCACAAATAGTTGAGATTTTTATTTTTAAGAAGAATGTTAGCAACATTTCATATTGTTTATTCTAGATGGTTGTTGGAAAAACATTAAAGTTCATTCTTCTCTCATAAATACTATTTTTTTGTCTTCCCAGCTGCACGTTATGAAGAAGGAGAGTCAGAAGCAGAGAGCATCACGTCCTTTATGGATGTTTCAAATCCTTTTTATCAGCTTTATGATACAGTTAGGAACTGTCGGAATAACCAAGGGCAGTTAATAGCTGAACCTTTTTTTCATTTGCCTTCAAAGAAAAAATACCCTGATTATTATCAGCAAATTAAAATGCCCATATCACTTCAACAAATCAGGTAAGATTAGATCTATATTACTCAATGCAAATTTGTTTTTCTTTTTTGTGGCTGACTCTGCACACATATATTTCTTAAAGTAGATAAAGATACTAAATGTTAAAAAAAAGCCCTCAAAATGTAACCATTTGTCTTACAACTGACTAAAGTTAAAAGATTGCCTATACCCTTTCATTGATATTTTAATTTTTATCTGTATTTAAATTCTATATCTATAGTTGAACCCCCAGAATAAATATAGCAGTTCTTAGAGAATTTATACTTGAAACTGTACATGAAAGGTAATGTATTGCCATGAAAGGTAATGTATTGCCATGTATGTTAGTACAATCCTATAATCCTGACTACTTAGGAGGTGGCCATTAGTAGTATTGTAGCTAAGGCCAGCCCAGGCAATAAGTTAGTATGAACCCATCTCATAAAACAAGCTGGGTATGGAAAAACATATCTGTAATCCCAATTAATGGGAGAAATATTTAGGAGAATTGTGTTCCAAGGCTGACCCTATTCAAGAAACATCAGACCTAATCTGAAAAATAATTAAAGCAATAAAAGACTTGGTACATGATTCAAATGGTAAAGCATGGGCTAGGAATGTGGCTTAGTGATAGAGTGCTTGCCTAGCATGCGTGAAGCCCTGGGTTCAATTCCTCAGTACCACATAAACAGAAAAAGTCAAAAGTAGCACTATGGCTTAAATGGTAGAGTGCTATTCTTGAGCAAAAGAAGCTCAGGGATAGTACCCAGGGCCTGAGTTCAAGCCCAAGACTGGCAAAAAAAAAAAATTCTAATTTTCCACAACACTCTTGTTTTTTGAGTAGACATCTCACTATGTTGGCTAGAGTGGTCTCAAACCCATGTGCCCAAGTTAGAAAATGCAAAAGAAATTGTTTGGAATTCAGCCACCATTGTCTCATTAAAAAACTGTAGCAAAACAAAACAAACTCTTTACCAGGTATGGTAGCACATACTTATAATCCCAGGACTTGGGAAACTGGAGCAAAATGATTAAGAGTTTAATTCCACCTTTATCTAAAAACAAAAAAAAAAATCAAACATTAAAGTATAAAGTGGTTACAATTTGTGGAAAACAAGCATGGCAGTTCTTTAAAAAATTAAATATTAAACTCATATTAGGAAAAAGAAAAGTAGTACTATATGATCTAACAATTCCAATTTGAGCAGATAACCAAAGGAACTGAAAGCAGGGTTTCTTTTTTTTCAAATTTTTTATCGTGATTAAGTGGTTACATAATTTCCCAAATTTCACAGTATTGTGGGATAGTGAAGCTTAGTTAAAGTCACAAACACATTCTAACTGAAAGCAGGGTTTCAAAAAGGTATTTGTAGGGGCTGGGAAGGTGGCTCAGTGGTAGAGTGCTTGCCTTGCAATGCATGAGGCCCTGGGTTCGATTCCCCAGCACCACATAAGCAAAAAGAAAAAAGCCGGAAGTGGCGCTGTGGCTCAAGTGGTAGAGTGCTAGCCTTGAGCTGAAGAGCTGAGGGACAGTACCCAGGCCCAGAGTTCAGGCCCCACAACCGGACCCAAAAAAAAAAAACAAAAAGGTATTTGTAAACCTGTGTTCACAGCAGTATTTTTTATATTAACTAAAACATGGAAGTATCTCAGGTATCCATTAGCAGATAAGTGGATAAGTAAAATGTGGTATGTATGTACCAAGAAAAAACAGTCTTGAAAGGAGATTCTGACATGTTACATCTTGTATGAACCTTGAGAACATTATACTAATGAAACAAAACAGTCATAAAAAGAAATATACTATATCCTTCTGCTTATATGAGGTACTTAATCTTAGTCAGAATCAAGGAAACAAAAAGTAGAATGCTGGTGGTAAAAGGAAACAGGATTAATGTTGAACAGGTACAAGTTTCAGGGGTTTTACTTGTTTATTTTGGGGGTGGTTGTTTTGTTTTTTATTTTGTGTAGCTTAGGGTTGAATCCAAAGCCTTGCACATGCTAGGTAAGTGCTTACTGCTGAGCTATACCTCAAAGTCTCAGCTTTGATTTTTCAAGAAAGATTTCTGGAGATGGGAGTGGTTATGACTGCATAACACAGGTGTATATAATGCCCCTGAATTGTATCCTTAAAAACAGTATGTCATAAAAAATCTCTAAGCTGTTGATCAATAGATGTTTGTGGGGAGGGCAAGGAAAGGGAAAGCAGTAGAGAATTGTTCTGAGCAAAACAATATATTCATGTCTGAAATACGATGGTGCAATTAAAACACGAAAAAAAAAAAAAGAATGACAGGAAAGCAAAACAGGGAAGTAGACACCAGAAGGTAGGGGTTGGGCTAACAAGGGTGTTGATTAAGGTTGAAGTATTTTGTTAGCATGTACAAAAATAGAACTGTGAAGCCTGTTGAAATTGTTTTAAGAAAAGGGAAGGGAGCAGCAATAGAGGGGAAAAGATTGTGGAAATGATCCCCTTGCTCCCTTGTACAATGTAGGCTAATAAATAAAAATTTAAAAATACATAATCCGTAGATGGGGAAAATGTTAAATTAGTATGACTATAACAAGCAAATATTTGATGGAAAAAAATTTGGTGAAGGTGGTAAATTTTATGTGTATTTTACTACAGTGAAAAAATTGGGAGTAGAGTAGTATAGTGTTTTGCTAGAATGTGCACAGATTCATCCTCTGGACAATAACAACCGTAACAACAAAAGAATCAAGTAGGAATGGTAGCCTTTTGCTCAATGCTAGTTTTCTACCAATATCAGATTTACTTCTTTTCCCCCCAAATTTTATTGGGGGAAAACTACAAAACATTACAGTACAATGTTTACAGTCACAATTTGTGTTGAACTGATTCCCCAAAATATAACTCAAGTTGACTTATCCTGTTACTTTTTAATCTCTTGTGTGACCACTAAAACTGTCAGTGATACAATGAAGTATATATTTGAGCTCTTTATGACATTTGTGTAAGTCAAAAACTCCCTTCCAGATAAGCACAAAATTAATGTGGCCCATCCATAGTATAGATAGAAGGAAGAACATGAACTTTTTGCCCAGATCTCTGGCTCCTAAATAGCTAGGTTTAAAAGTTGGAGCCATAGCACTTGGCCCTTTGTGGATTTTTAAGAGCACATAGTACTTCACACTTTGAATTGACAGGAATAAATTTGGGTCTGTTTGTTTGTTTTACTGCATACTGAGGTTTGAGCCCAGATTCTTGCACTTAGCTCACTCAACTGGTACTCTACTATTTGAACCACACCTACAGTCTACCATTTTGCTGGTTAATTGGAAATGGAGTCTTATGGACTTTTCTGCCCAGGCTGGCTTTGAACCTTGGTCCTCCAGGTCTCAGCTTCCTGAGTAGCTAGGGTTACACGTATGAGCCACAAGCACCAACCTGAGGCTGTAATTTAACTCTGGTGCTAGCTATATAAGCTGATACTGAGAACTACATTTGTGCTTAGTTGTCTGTTTTTCTTCATTCCAGAGACTTCTCTAATATTTAATATTTAATTACTATATGAAATCTGAATATGATTTTGGTAAATTTCAAGTAAAACTTTACATATAAAGTGAACATTTCCATTCTGTTTATTTTTGTGGTTTTAATGATTAGCAGGTAAGTAGTTTAATCAAAAGATTTAAAACTTCTGTCTAAATTCATACAGGGGGACTGGGAAGGTGGCTCAGTGGTAGAGTGCTTGCCTTGCATGCATGAGGTCCAGGGTTCGATTCCGAAGCACCACATAAACAGAAAAAGCCGGAAATGGCACTGTGGCTCAAGTGATAGAGCACTGGCCTTGAGCTGAAAAGCTCAGGGACAGCTAGCTCCCAGGCCCAGAGTTCAAGCCCCATGACCGACAAAAAAATAAATAAATTCATACAGAATTAAAACTAGCAGAGATTAATCACTTTGTATAAAGAACAGAGGCCTGAGTGTTCTTATTTGTCACTAGCAATAGCTATCTGCATTCTTTGGAGTTGCAAGTAAAATAAGCATATCCTTGCTTTTAAACCACTTATAACCTTCCTTACAAATGAGTACATTGGAGGACTAATAATAAATAGGCTCTGATAAATGTGTTTCTTATTTACCATGGGGAGAGTTCTCCTTCACTCTATATATGTTTCTCCCCTAGAGGTAAATATATTATTCTAAATGCTTCCTGATGGTATTGTATTATTACTTTCTTTTTTTATCTCTCATGAACTTCAGTAACCTCATTTTCAGAGATGAGTAGGTCGTGATTCTTCATTGAGATAGCTTAAAAATCTAATTTTTGTTTTTCCTTCAGGTTCACTTCTTAGGCATTTATTAGAATTTTATTCCTAGTGTATTAGCTTGCTTGCTTGCTTTATTTATGTGTTTATTTGCTTATTTATTTATTATTAGTCATGGAACTTGAACTCAGGATGTGGGTGCTGCCCCTGCACTCCTTTGCTCAATGCTAGAGCTCTACCACTTTGACCCATAGCTCCACTTCCAGCTTTTGAGTAGTTAGAGATGAGTCTGGCTTCAAACTGAGATCCTCAGATCTCAGTGTCCTGAGTAGCTAGTGAGCCACCAGTGCATGGCCATGTGTTATTTGCTTTATAATTGACCACTCTACTAAGTCCTTTCATTTTTCCTGTTTTAATTTATTCTTCTAGATTTTTCAGGCAAACATATTGCTTAAATGTAATGATGCTTTTAGCTCCTTTCTTTTTATCTTGAAAGTCAAAGTCCTCTAATCACTATCCATAGTCCCCACATGCCTATGAAAAGTTTTGTTCAAGTCCAATGTTTTGTGAGTGTTTTGTAACTTTCATAGTAGAAAGTTCTAGCCCTTTGTTTGTCTTTCACAGAACAAAGCTAAAGAACCAAGAGTATGAAACTTTAGATCATTTGGAATGTGATCTGAATTTAATGTTTGAAAATGCTAAACGCTATAATGTTCCCAATTCAGCCATCTATAAGCGAGTTCTAAAATTGCAGCAAGTCATGCAGGTATGATTTCTTAGTTTTGCCAAGTTTGTTATTTGTGTCATTGAAATAATTTCATGTGTTTTTAAATAAGTTATTTTTTAAGTTGTTGGGATGTGTTTTGTTTCCGTTTCATCTTGAGGAGGCAGTGTAAAAGACTTTAACTAAGGGCCTGACACTTGCTAGGTTGGCACTCTACCATTTGCACCACTGCTTCAGCCAAAGTATGTTGTTTTTAAGATGTATGAATTCATCCCAGTAATGTCACCTCATTCATTTTAACCACAAGTACTACTGAATATATTTTCAGATTTCTCAAAACCTTATAGAGGGAAATGTAATAGCTTTGCTACTGGAAGAAGCAGAAAGGGGATAAATTGGGAGGTGATACCTTTGGCATTCTCATATCCCCCCCCCACTCACCCACAAGAATCCTAGATGATAGTCTTACCAATCCAGTTTTATACTTGAATTCTAGATTTGGTCTCTAATAAGAGACTCTAATAAGAGACCAACAGGCTACCAAGCTAAGATTACAAGTCTGTAATCTTAGCACTCAGGAAGTTAAGGCAGGAAGATGATGAGTTCAAGGTCACTCTGGGCTAAATAGCAAGACTCTCTCACATAAAAACAAAAATGAAAGATCGAATTGGTCTAGGAAAAAGAGTATCTGAAAATTATTTAATCAACATATAAGGCCCAAGAGTTTATCAGCTCCTTTGAGGGCATATTATGCAGGAAATCTTTATATCACTAGTTATCTGGGATTTTAAGGTTAAAAGGTTGTTAGGAAATATAAAGTGGGCCTTATAGTTTCTGGTAGACTATTTCAAAAAGATAATCTTAGAGTAAGAATAAAGCAAAGGCAATTTTTGATCACCTATAGAAAAGTCTTCATTTTGTGTGATCAGCAGTACATACTCTTTATATACATTCTCTAAGCCTGATGAGTTCATCTTTGTTTGGCAGAAGGTCTTTGAAAATGCAGGTGTTGAACAGTAGATTTTTCTGTCAGGGTTACAAAGGCACTCTTGGAATTGGTGTGATCTAAATAATGGCTACAAGGTCAAGCTGACCCTACAACTAGCCTCAATTCTTTTAACCAATTTATATCATTCAGAACTTTAAATGCTTATTCTAAAATTAATTCTTTAACCATCTGGATCTATTTTGTTAACTTTTCTGTCATTCAAGCTTTTACTAAATTAGATTAATTACTTTAATTTTATGCAGCTACATGCGATTGTACCTTTCTAAATGAATCTCAATATGTCTGGCTTTTTAATTTATTGATTAATATTAGTTACACAGGGAACACGGGTTCATTGTTGTATCCACCAAACATATTAATTAATCCAATTAATAAATCCATTCAGTTTCATCACCTCCATCACATTCTTTGCTATATCTAGTTTTTTAAATAATTTTTATTGAGATTAAGTGATTACATAAATTTTACAAATTTCACAGTATTGTGGGATAGTGATACTTAAAGTCAGAAACACATTTTAACCTTTTCAAGGCAAATTGTCATTTTCATGGTCAATAATGTTTGTGAATTCTATGAGCTTTGACAATACAACTATTTCTTTGTATCTAGCTTATTAATGTTTATAGATTCATAGGAATGCTTGGCAAAGTGAGCGTAAGTCCTGGGATCTGCTCTGTTGTAGGCAAAGAAGAAAGAGATTGCCAGGAGAGACGACATTGAAGATGGAGACAGCATGATCTCTTCAGCGACCTCTGATACTGGTAGCGCCAAAAGAAAAAGGTATATGTTCATCTCAGTTCCTAATTACTTTAAATAAGTACAAAAAGAATGCTTTAAACTGTAAAGTACAAATTCAAAACATGTTCTCTTTTAAAATTCATTTGTAAATTGGATAATTAGCTTAAAAAGTAAAAGTTTCATATTGCTTTCAGATGTCAAAGAAGAATGTCTTACACAGGTAGTTTGGCCAAACAGGATATTCCTTTTATTATCCAGTAACATTTAATTTAGTTAATTTCTATGTAATGAATTACAAAAACCAAATATGAATTAGAGAAGGAAAGATGAAAATTGATGTTCTGTCACTGAAGTGAAGAAAGTCATTGCTCTGACCCTTTGGTTTTCTTTGTTAACTTGATCTTTATTTCTGGCTTTAAGAATATCTAATCATGGACTAGGAATGTGGCTTAGTGGTAGAGTGCTTGCCTAGCATGCATGAAGCCTTGGTTTGATTCCTCAATACCATATAAACAGAAAAAGTCAGAAGTGGTGCTGTGGCTCAAGTGGTAGAGCGCTATCCTTGAGCTGAAGAGCTGAGGAGCCTTGAGCAAAAGAAGCTCAGTGACAGTGCCTAGATCCTGAGTTCAAGCCCAGGACTGTCAACAAAAACAAATTACAAAAAAGAATATCTAATCAGCTAGGCCTGATGGCTGACACCTGTAATCCTAGTTACTCAAGAGATTGAGGCACAAAGGATCTTCATTCAAAGCCAGCCCAGGCAGAAAAGTCTATGAAACTACATATCAAATTAAACAGCAAAATGTCAGATTGATGGCATGGCTAAAGTAGGTAAGCTCTAGTTGTGAGCAAACAAGCTGATCAGTTTGAGCCCTTGAGTTCAAATCCTGGTACTAGAGAAAAAAAGTGTATCAAATCAAAACTTATAGTTCATAAACTGTTAAGCTAGATGTTTGAGTGCTCTGTTTTTGCCTTTTCCTTTGTAACTTTTCTGCCAGTTTCCCTGACCCTTTCTTTCTCTACTGGATTTTGTGAAAGGGGACCTTATTGTGAGATTCTGAAGCTGGGCTCCTGTAAGGAATTGTGTAAGACCCATCTCTCTTATCTATGTCTCCCACATGGAGTTTCTCTGTCTTGATCATTGTAGAATACTATATTCTCCCTAACTACCATAAAATCTTTGCAGCAGCAGTCAATCCAAGGAGGATACCTTAAACAAGAAGTAATCTAATCACTAATAGTAGGGCTTGACAAATTAGAAATTGAATGAAGTTATTAGCAATTGACACCATTCTGTATATGTGTTAAAAGATCCACTAAGGCTAGGCGCCGAGGGCTCACGCCTGTAATCCTAGCTACTCAGAAGGCTGAGATCTGAGGATCACAGTTCAAAGCCAGCCCGGTAGCAAAGTCCGTGAGACTCTTATCTCCAATTAACCACCAGAAAACCAGAAGTGGTGGTGCTGTGGCTCAAGTGGTAGAGAGCTTGCTTTGAGCTGAAGAGCTCAGAGACAGCGCCCAGGCCCAGAGTTCAAACCCCACAACAAACCCAAAAAAAAAAAAACAGATCCACTAAGATTGGAAGTGCTTTAGAAAAGAGAAGCTGTCCTGTTTTTCCTTCTCTTCAAGAGCATATGGGGAAAAAAATTAGATTTGAAAATAACTTTGCAATGCTATGCCAAGGTAACTAAATTGATTGGTGTATCCTGAGTCTCCTCCATTACTGGCCTATGAATTTCATCCTTCCAAGTTCTCAATTCCTTGTTATACCAGGGACAACGGAGGAAAATAAAAGTGAAACCAGATCAGAGACATCAAATCAAGAACATCTTTGAGTGTAATTATATAACTACTTCAGCATCACCTGTGTTTTCCAGATCAGTCACCAGGCAAAGATAAAAACTTCTCAGGCAAAAGAAGGTAATGGAGGCAAAGTGATGGTACAGTTGGTACCACACTAGCTGAAAGAGAGATCTTAAATTAGTTGAGTATTAAGAAAACAGTTACAAGGAAGCATTAATTAGCCCAGACCAGATCCTTAGAAGTTACATATTTCTATGGCCTTTAGTTTGTGAGACACTCAAGTAGATTAAGTTAAAGTTATTGCCCTTGGAACTCCTGTAGAAAGAAAACAAAGCTCTGTGTTCTTACAATAATAAAATACTATTTCAGACAAAAAGTCTCATTTATAAGCAGGTTTCCTTGAAAATTATTTATGTAACAAAGTGATAAACACAAAATATCAATGAAAGAACAAACCCAGATTTCAGACACAGGCACAAATGGACATTAAAAGACTGAGAGAGTTAAGTCTTACCTGATGAACTTCCTAGAAAGTTGAGAAGTTTTCATAGTAAGAAACGGGCAAACTGCAATCTGTAAGGTAAAATATGGCCAGAGAAGACAGGGTCAAGTTTTCCAAGTACTTCTTGACTTGACTCATAAGTAGTGTATATGATTCTTTCACTACAGTGTGGAAAGTTTTGATTATTGGTATATTCAATATTGGAATGCATTCTTTCTCTTCCGCTCCCCAAAAATCTTTGTTTTTTTATTGTTGAAATGTTCCAACTATTATGATCTTACATCCTTTGGACTAAAAAAATCCTCTTTTCTCAACCATGTTTGGTTTATGCATGCCCTCCAATGTTACTTATATTGTTTTTCTTCACATGTAATGTTTGTTTCTGCTTTCCCAGGAACACTCATGACAGTGAGATGTTGGGTCTCAGGAGGCTCTCCAGGTGTGCAGTCCTTTTTTATGCATAAACATACTTTGAAAAATGTAACTTTTGTGGCATGGTCAGTAATAACAAGATGAAAGCTAATGCCTTAAACATATGAAAAAAGTATTTGGGATGCCAATTTCTTTCTTGAATATAGCAAGTAGTTCAGAAATCTAGTTACATCAGAATTAGCTAGCTTCTGTAATGTTCAGTGCTACCCTTAATTTGTTGCTAGCTCCTCCAGGAACAGAAAGTCCCTTCACCAATCTTTGTGGCTATGCTTCTGTTGCAAAAGGTACTTGGCATTGCTAGTAACTAGCTGGTGGGTGCTGATTCCTTCCCAGCAATGTCTTTTACTGATCAAAATCAACATTGTCAATCCAGATAGTGTCAATAAAAGTGGACACTCAGACATTGTGTTGACTTTGTGCTTCTTGTCATTTCTTCAGTCTCTGATCCTGTCATCTTATTTCTTTAAAGTAGCCATTCTTGCCAGGCGCTAGTGGCTCACGCCTGTAATCCTAGCCACTGAGGAGGCTGAGATCCGAGGATCATGGTTCAAAGCCAGCCTGGGTAGGAAAGTCTCTAGAAGACTCTTATCTCTAACCACTCAAAAACAGAAGTGGCCCTGTGATTCAAAGTGGTAGAGTACTAGCCTTGAGCAGAAATTGCTCAGGGGCAGTGCCCAGGCCCTGAGTTCAAGCCCTACTACTGACTCAAAAAACAAAAGTATTCATTTTTGGAGCTCATGCCTATAATCCTAGGTACTCAGGCAGCTGAGATCTGAGAATTGTAATTCAAAGCAACATGGACAGTAAAGTCCATGTGACTTTTATCTCTAACTACCAAAGAGCTGGAGCTAGAATTGTGGCTCCAATTTCCTCAGCTTTAAGGAAAAGAAAAAAATAAAGCTCAAGGACAGCACTCAGGCCCTGAGTGGAAGCCTCAGGACTGGCACACACACAAAAAAAGGTATCCATTCTTTAGTATGTTACTACATGATTTTTAGAACAGCCTGTGAGTTTTCCTGTTACAGTGCTAATGATAATTGTTTAGTGCTTTTGTTTTCATATTTGTCATGACATCTTACATTGATAGAGTGTTAGTTGCTTACAGAATATCAGACTTCTCTAAAAGGTGAACATTGAATGATCTTTTCTACTTGTAAGCAATTTAGTGGCCAGGAACGGAGGCAAGTTGGACATTATGTGAGAACAGTGTAGTAAAACAATTGCATAAGTCATGATACATATATAGATATAAATGTGTGACTTAAATAGCTTTAGGAAAGATTATTTCTCCACCTACTTTCCCCTTGCAAGATGTGATCTATACATTGATACCATAAGCTATTCAGAGTTAATTACAGTGGTATATAACCATTGACTTAGTAGTATACTCTTTAAGTATGGCCTCTTGAGTGCACAATAATGAATGACTCTAGTTTTGAGCTTCCTTAAGATTTATTTTAGCCAGATGTGACATGCACTTGTAATTTCAGAAGTCAGGAGGCTGAGGCAGGAGGATCGTGTTTTTGAGGCTGGCTTGAGCTACATATTAAGACCTTGTTTCCAAAAAAAAAAAAAAAAGAAAAAATTTCTTTTACTTTAGTATGTTCAAAGGTGATGATTTAAAATAAAAAGAAGAGCCAAACACTTGACGTATACCTATAATCTTATCTATTCAGAAAGAAGAGATGGGAGAACTGCACCACATGGTTAGCCCTGGCAAAAGGTAGCATGACACTATCTCAAAAAAAAACAAACTTAAAGCATTTAATTCAAGTCCCTAATTATTGATTACTATGCCAATTTTTATGTATCTTTCCAAAAATGGAGAAGACTCAATGTTAACAGTAAATGCTTTGAAGGAGATAGAGGATAACTACAAGGCTTCTAAGAAGAATCTGAAAATCAAAGTGACATTGAAAATGGAAGCCAGAAAGAATCAAATAGAGAACTATCATTTTGTAATGAAGTTTGCTTCATTCAAAAAGTATAAGAAGCATTTGGAAGTCATATATAATAAGGTGTACTGTCTGTATTGGAAAGATACAAAGTAAACATACTAGCCATCAAAGCTAATCTAATTATTATGAATGAGTATGAAATTTAGCTGTGAATTTTTCCTGGTAGCCAAGTTAAAATGAATGACAGTAGTTCTCAGTACCAAAGGCAACATAAAAATCTAGAAAAACAGTAACAAAATTGGATTTGTTTGGAGGAGATCATAAGTGATCCTCATAATAGAAGTTTTGCGTGCTTTTGAGGATAGAGACCTTTTTGAGGATGAAAGACACTTACACAAAACACTTATACAGCCAGGCACTGGTGGATCCCACCTGTAATCCTGGCTACTTAGGAAGCTGAGATTGGAGAATCACGGTTCAAAACCAGCCCGGGCAGGAAAGTCCATGAGATTGTAATGTCCAATTAAGCACCAGAAAACCGGAGGTGGTGCTGTGACTCAATCGGTAGAGCACTCACTTTGAGCAGAAGAACTCAGGGACAGTGCCTAGGCCACAGTTCAAGCTCCATTATGAACACACACACACACAAAACAAGAAACTATTTACATATTATCTAATTATGCATCACATCATCATTCTCTTATACAAATGGAGAAAGGATACCATGGTACTATGAGTATCAAAATAGTGAAGTATAGTAACTAGATTAAAACAATTTCTTACACATAATAGATTTCATATTCTGCTTATTTCTCATTAAAAACTGCCAAGTGTTGCCGTGCACCGGTGGCTCATGACTGTAACCCTAGCTACTCAGGAGGCTGAGATTTGAGGATCATGGTTCAAAGCCAGCCCGGGCAAGAAAGTCCACATAAGACTCTCATCTCCGATAAGACACTAGAAAACCAGAAGTGGCGCTGTGACTCAAGTTCACGTTGAACTGAAGAGCACAGGGACAGCACCCAAGCCCAGAGTTCAAGCCCTACAACTGACAAAAAAAAAAAAAAAACACAAAACTACCAAGTGTTAGTATTATTGGCATTCGAAGAATGGACATCATGCTATTGTTTATTGGCAAAATTCAGCTTAAAATTTGCCCTTCTCTTTAAAACCTCATAAAGATGTGCCCTAGGTTCAGTCCCAGGTTAGAATATTTGTTACTTCATACAGAAAAGACTACATAGTGGAGGTGGTACTCAAGTGGTAGAATGCTGAAAGAAAAAGCCAAGTGAGAGTACAAGGCCATGGCACATGGTGGGGTAGAGCTGGGACAAGGGTAGATATACGTATAGAAAAATCTAATGGTAATTGAGAGTGGTATGGAGAATCCTAGAAGGGAATAGAGCTGATTCCTGGTCTAAAGCTATCTTTTTTTCAGCCAGTCCTGGGCTTAAACCCAAGGCTTGGGCACTGTACCTGGGCTGCTTTTTGCTCAAGGCCAGCTCTCTACCACTTGAGCCAGTGTTACTTCCAGCTTTTTTTGAGTAGTTTATTGGACATAAGAGTCTCATGGACTTTCTGGCCATGGCTGGCTTCTAACTGGCTTCGAACCCTGATCCTCAGATCTCAGCCTCCTGAGTAGCTAGGATTATAGACGAGAGCCACCAGCACCAGACTGAGTCAATCTTTCATTGATGTGTTTATGCCTGGAATTCTTGTAATGTGGATGATTTCATTCTGACTTGATTGGTGAGATCTGATAAATTTAGTACTTCAGCACTAAATTTTTGAGTCTTACTTTAAGTCAGTCCCCATAATCAAACCATGTCATTAGCAAATATTTGTTGAATAGAAAGTAATGTCATTGTTTAATAGGTTCCTATTACTTGGAAACATCTGGTTCGAATCTGGCTAGAATTCTTTATCAGTGTCCAGAAGATATAAGAACAGTTGACCCAGAAGTCTTATTGGAAAATCATCTTTAATAATTAACTCACCAACTCTTCTTAGGCATTATCATTTAGCCTCTTTGAGTCAGCTTTCTCTACTATTTGGACATGTAATCATCTGCCTTGTTTGAATTCTAGTGCCCAGCTGTGGTCCATCATATTTATTCTATACTAATATCAGGTTCTTAGCATCATACCTCATTTGGGGGAAATTCAGGGCAGTGTGTACAGTGCAAGTGGTAGAGGACTTGCTTATTAGGCCTAGCATAGGAGAGACCTTGGATTCAATCCCCATTACCACCAAAAAAAGAGAAATATTTATGTTTAAGGATGAAAATTTACTCTATAGAGACCTCTTACATGAGTCATAGGCTACTCCAAGCTAAGTTGGTATTGTATGATGATGATGGTAGAAGGAAAATGTTGAAACTGACCCTCACATGACCAAAGCAAAAGAGATTTATACCTACTATTCAGACACCAAGCTGGTGGACAGTCTTGTGTTTTCTGGCAACTGGAATATCTTGATTGGGAGTGGCTGCCTTAAGACATGGAACACTTTCATTGTTAGGTTGTTTTTTGCTTTGTTTTGTGCTGGAGATGAAGATGAGTTTGTTTGTTTGTTTTAATCTTTCTTGGAGATTAAGATGGTTGTAGTAATAGGAAATAGCAAATTTTATTGCACTTTTGCTTTAGTTATCTTAACAAAAATTTTAGTCGATTATAGGACATCATTTTCTTTTGGTGTCAGACAAGATGTTTTCAATACTACATTTCATGAAATTCTAAACAGGTTTGTCTAATGGTCTGTCTGCCAGGATCAGTATATTTTAACTATTTTAAAAATTTACCTGATGTTTGCTTATAGCTTCCAGCATTTTTACTATATTTGTGACACGTGTAATTATTGCAATAGTCATTGTGAAGCACCTGCCCAAAAAATTAATTTGTTTTATTTCACATTTATCCTGTATAAAGAGAACTGAACATGTCATTTCCCCCTTTTCTACCTCCCCCCTTCAACAGTAAAAAGAACATAAGAAAACAGCGAATGAAAATTTTATTCAATGTTGTTCTTGAAGCTCGAGAGCCAGGTTCGGGCAGAAGACTTTGTGATCTCTTTATGGTTAAGCCATCCAAGAAGGACTATCCTGATTATTATAAAATCATCTTAGAGCCAATGGACTTGAAAATAATTGAGCATAATATTCGTAATGACAAATACTCAGGTGAAGAGGGAATGATAGAAGACATGAAACTCATGTTCCGCAATGCTAGGCACTATAATGAGGAGGGCTCCCAGGTAAGGATTGGAGGTGTTTCTAAAGTACATATATTTTCTTTTTTTTTTTTTAATTTTTTGAGAAGGGATTGCAGTTACATAAATTAGGTAAACAGGGCTGGGAAGTTGGCTCAGTGGTGGAGCGCTTGCCTTGCATGCCTGAGGCCCTGGGTTTGATTCCTCAGCACCACATAAGCAAAAAGAAAAAAGCCGGGAGTGGCGCTGTGACTCAAGTAGTAGAACCCTAGCCTTGAGCTGAAGAGCTGAGGGACAGCGCCCAGGCCCAGAGTTCAGGCCCCACAACCGGACCCCCCAAAAAATAAATAAATAAATAAATAAATTAGGTAAACAATACATTTCTTTTTGAACAATGTTACCCCTTCCCTCACTCTCAGTTTTTCCATCCCATGCCTATATTTTCTTTGAATGCTAGTACAGTAATGCATTTTATAAGACCCGCTCTATACCTACATTATTATTACTTTTGGGGGTGGGGGGCGCTGTCCCTCAGCTCTTCAGTTCAAGGCTAGCACTCTACCACTTTCTACTTTTCTGCTTATGTAGTGCTGAGGAGTTGAACCCAGGTCCTCATGCATGCAAGGCAAGCACTCTACTACTGAGCCACCTTCCCAGCCCCCACCTACATTATACTTGATGACTAGGTATTAATATATGATCTTTGTTGCTTAAAATGGGAGAGAGTACATTTTAAAGCGTAAAACTTCAGAAATTGTAATTTGCTTTGCCAGTCCCTATGTAAGTAATTTATCTTTCCTGAATTTCAGTTTCCTTGTCTATACTTTTGGAATACTAGTACCATGTGTCCTAGTGTTGATAGTATATACTGGTATTTAGAACAGTGCATGATACCAAATAAGCCATCAAAGGAAAAACAGTTATTTATTATTAAAAAGCTGTCTTATTTTTATTTTTTCTTCTGGGGATCAAGACCAGGGCTTTGTTTAGAATAAGCATGTTCTACCAACCACACAGCTATATTCCCAGACCATGATTTCAGTTCTCTATCAGTATAGTTAAGTAAGTCTTCCTTTTTTGATATATTGTTTTGATTTGTTGATATGTATTTCATATCTCTTGTCTACTTTAAATCTCTCAAATTAACATTTTCAAATCATTCTAATACATTCATATATTAAAATATATATCATAGGGCTGGGAAGGTGGCTCAGTGGTCGAGCGCTTGCCTTGCATGCATGCATTCCTCAGCATCACATAAGCATAAAAAAAAAAGCTGGAAGTGGCGCTGTGGCTCAAGTGGTAGAGCGCTAGCCTTGAGCTGAAAAGCTGAGGGACAGCGCCTAGGCCCAGAGTTCAGGCCCCATGACGGGACCCAAAAAATTAAAAAATTAAAAAATAAAACATACATCATAAAGATATTTGTAGATAAAAAGATGGTCCTCCATATAAAATAGGGGTTTATACTACCCTCAAAAATCACTGATTCCGACCCCACCTTGCTATATCTGGTTTAAATAAAAGCTCTCCCTACAAAAGGTGGCCAGAGAAGAGATAGCACTTCTTCCTTCAATCACTATTCTGGTGGGTAGTCAAGGGAAGGTAGGAGGAGGCAGTTGTGGCAGCAGGACCATTAGGTGAGTAAACTTGTTCATAGGCACATAATACTGCCCTTGACTTGGTCTTTAGAGAGATATTTTTAATCTCTAATTTACTTTGGGTTAGGTCAGCTACCTTGAAGGTCCAGAGGAAAAGATACATCTTTTAAGAAAATAACACATATAAGTGTATTTTGGAATTTCTGCTAAAACTGGAAAAATTCTAACAATGGTTCTCAGACATTAGCATGTTTATCTGCACAATAGAATCACATAGGAAGCTTAAAAACAGTATCATTCACTGCTTAGATCTTCCCATGAGGTAGTGATGATATTGTTTTACAGAGAGCCTAAGCAGTTCATAGCTACAGCTATTCTAAATCATGTATTTAAAATCTATTTCTTATTTTTAATTTAATTTTGTCATTTTGCTTTTTGTTGCTTTTTGAGAAAGGTCTCAATATGTAACCCAGACCATCCTTCAGTTCAAAACCTTCTTGCCTCTAGCCTCCCAAGTGCTGGGGTTGCAGGCATGTACCATCATTCCCAGCAAAATATACTCTGCTTTACAGGTGTATATGACCTTAACAGAAGTTTTTTAAAGAAAATTATCTTAAATATATTTTTGGAATGTAGGTTTACAATGATGCGCATATCCTGGAGAAGTTACTCAAGGATAAGAGGAAAGAGCTGGGCCCTCTGCCTGATGATGACGACATGGCTTCTCCCAAACTCAAGCTGAGTAAGGCTCCCTCAGAGTTTGTTATTTCGTTTAGTCTATCAAGATATTATTTCTGAAATAATATTTAGTTAAACAGTGAATATATTTTATACACTGAAATTCTAGCATGAAGCTTCTTTTCTCAATCACTGTCTTTTACTGTGTTGTAAGTAAACTGTGAAGGGGTAGGGAGGGAGAAGGTTAGTTAAGTATTTTCTTGCTGTGACCAAATACCTAAGAGGAGGATTTATTTTGGCTCAGTTTCAAGGGTTTTAGTCCATGGAGAGTAACACCATTGCTTCTGGGCCACAGTGAGAATATCATGGCAAAAGTGCATGGAGGAGAAAAGTTTCCTTGTAACAGGAAAAAGAGAAAGACTTGGAGAAGCTAGGGACAAGATATCCTTCACAAAGGCGTGTACCCAGTGACATACTTCCTTAAACCAGCCTCTATCTTAAATCCTCTCCCAATAACGCCACCAAAGTTTGACCCCATCTGGTCTAGTCAACTCTAAGTGGTTGTATCATCACCTAGACTAACAGTTAATGTCCAAACCATAATAGTGGGAGAGGAAGACCAGAATATGATGTCAGGTTTTACTTGCTTTCTTGAATGTAATGAGCATTTTATAAGCATTAAGTAGGAAGAACATACATTCTATATTAGATATCTACCTAAAAGTGTATTGTGGAAGTATTTTGTTGTTTGTACAGTAATTACTAGAATGAAATATTAATCACAGCAGCTGCTATTAAACAGAATTTGAGAAGTTACACACTGACCTACTTACTATTTAAGTGCACTCTGGATAGTGATTATATTAAAAAATTGTAGCCGGGCTCTGGTGGCTCACGCCTGTAATCCTAGCTACTCAGGAGGCTGAGATCTGAGTATCACGGTTCAAAGCCAGCCCGGGCAGGAGAGACCGTGAGACTCCTATCTCCAATAAACCACCAGAAAACCGGAAGTGGCGCTGTAGCTCAAGTGGTAGAGCGCTCGCCTTGAGCTGAAGAGCTGAGGGACAGCGCCCAGGCCCAGAGTTCAAGCCCCACGGCCGACAAAAAATAAAAAAATAAAAATAAAAAATTGTAAAGGAAGGGGCTGGGAAGGTAGCTCATTGGTAGAGTGCTTGCCTTGCATGCATAAGGCCCTGGGTTCTATTCCTCAGCACCACATAAACAGAAAAAGCCAGAAATGATGGTGGGGTTCAAGTGGTAGAGCACTAGCCTTGAGTTTGAAGAGCTGAGGGACAATGCCCAGACCAAGTTCAAGCCTCATGACTGACAAAAAAAAAAAAATTGTAAAGAAAGACAGCAAAAGTAATTAAATCTAGTGAACTACTTTTTTGCCTTATTGAAAGTATAAAAATAAAGCTAAAGATAGGTATTCTTTGGAGTTATATGTGCTGAAAAGGAGAAAGTTAACATCTTTTTCTATGAAATAACTTTAAAGTGAATTTCACATTTGCTTTGGGGAATTACTAAGTGATGACTCCTTGCTGTTAAGGCATTTATCTTTTCATGAAATTGTAAAAGCATACATAGGTTTGCAAAAAATCAATACTAAGACTTGAACCCAGGGTTTCATAGGCAAGCACTTTGCCACTTGAGACATACCCTGGCTGGCCTTGAACTGGAGACTTTCCTACATCTGAGTCCCAAGTAGCTAAGATTATAGATATGGTACACCACGCCCAGCTCACAGTATCTTTAAAAGCTAGAATTCCATAAATGGAGTTAGGAAAGTAATCTAACTAATTATCTAAATAATATATTTACAGGAAAAGGCAATTTTGATAGGGAATGATAATTTTTAGCTTCTGTTTTCTTGTAAAAACAATCTTGAAATATATACAATATAAAGTAAAGTACAATGGATTTATATTTCCCTGTTATTCAGCATTTCCAGGATTGTGCTACATTTATTTCCTATATCCTTTTTCTGTTCTTTTTTTCTAAATTATTTTTAAAACAAATCCAATCATGTTGTTTTCACTTCTATATAATTTGGTACATGTTTTATTTAATGCCTGGCAAATTTTCAGATTTTTCAGATTGTCTCACTAATTTTTTTTTTGGGGGGGGGGGGTCCAGTCGTGGGGCCTGAACTCGGCCTGGGCGCTGTCCCTCAGCTCTTCAGCTCAAGGCTAGCGCTTTACCACTTGAGCCACAGCACCACTTCCAGCTTTTTTCTTTTTGCTTATGTGGTGCTAAGGAATCAAACCCAGGGCCTCATGCATGCAAGGCAAGCGCTCTACCACTGAGCCACCTTCCCAGCCCATCACTAATATTTTTTAACTGTTGGTTTAAGCAAATCAGGATCTAATTAAATTCAATGTATTATATTTGATTGTGGTGCTCTTAAGACCATAATCTAGAACAATCACCTTTTTTTCTCCCTCATGCCACTCATAGAAGAAAACAGGTTACTTTACATAGTGTCCAAAGTTCTCAGTACATTTCCTTGTCAGTTAACTTTTTTTTTTTTTTTTTTTTTTGCTGATCCTAGGGCTTGAACTCTGGGCTTGGGCACTTTTCCTGAGCTCCTTTTTGCTCAAAGCTAGCACTCTACCACTTGAGCCACAGCACCACTAATGGCTTTTTCTGTGATTAATTAGAGACAAAGAGTCTCATGGACTTTCTTGCCTAGGCTAGCTTTGAACCAGTATCGTCGGATATCAGCCTCCTCAGTAGCTAGGATTACAGCTATGAGTCACCAGTGCAAGGCTGTTGATTAACTTTTTTTTTTTTTTTAATCACCCTTACTTCCTGAAAATATGTTAACTTTAAAGGCTTCATTAGATTGGGTTTCAGTTTGGCAAGGTTTTTTTTTTGGTCAGTCATGGGGCTTGAACTCTGCACCTAGGTGCTATCACTGAGCTCTTCGGCTCAAGGCTAGTACTCTACTACTTTGAGCCACAGTACCACTTTTGGTTTTCTAGTAGTTAATTGAAGATAAGAGTCTCACAGACTTTCCTTTCTGGGCTGGCTTTGAACTGCAATCTCAGCCTCTTGAGTAGCTAAGATTACAGATGTGAGCCACCAGCTCCCAGCTATGCAAGAATTATTTTATAGGACATTTTCTGCACTTTATTTCATTATGTCTTAAAACAATTACTGGTGGAGATAGACTCTAAATAAGACCTCATACTGCATTTGATTGAGATTTCTTTTGGTATATTAGCTTTTCTATTGAAGAAATTGTGTCTGTACTATAGTTTATACAGTTTGAGTTTTGTGAGTTTTATTTCTGTTTTGCAGTTTAAGATATCCCTGGGGTTTTGGGTTTTTTTTCCTGTTTCCTACAAATGAGTAGGTTCAACTAGGGGATTTGATTAGATTGAATTTTGATTCTCTATACTCTCTGTTTTCTACAAAAACCAACTTTATAGGTTATTAAGTGGCATACGTCTGCTGAGCCATGTCTTTCTGTTATTTGAACAGATATTGATGCTCACTTCACTGATTCATTGAAGAGCCATAAAATATTTCTTGACCATTTATTAGTTGGAATATTTCAATCAACCACTAGAAGCCAGACTATAATCCTAGTTACTCAGAAAGCAGAGATCTGAGGATCATGGTTCAAAGTTAGCACAGACAGAAAAGTTCTTAGGACTCTTATCTCCAATTAACCAGCAAAAAGCCAGAAGTGGAACTATGGCTCAAGTGGTAGAGTATAAGTATTGAGTGGGAAAAGATAAGAACAGTGCTTAAGCCTTGGTATCAGCACAAAAAAAATAAAAAAAGAAAACCAGATTTGCCAGGCACTGGTGGCTCATCCCTGTAATCTTACTTACTGAGGAGGCTAAAATCTGAGAATCATGCTTTGAAGCCAAACCAGACAACAAAGTCTGTGAGACTCTTAACTCCAGTTAAGCACCACCCCCCCCAAAAAAAAAAAAAAAAGCTGGCTGCTGAGTTGTGGCTCAAGTGGTTAAGCACCAGCCTTAAGCAAAAAGAGTTCATGGGACCTGGGCACCAATGGCTTATGCCATATCCTAGCTACTCAGGAGGCTAAGATCTTAGGATTAAGGTTCAAAGTCAGCCCAGGCAGGAAAGTTCTTGAGACCACTAAAAAGCCAGAAGTGGAGCTGTGGCTCAAATGGTCGAGCACTAGCCTTGAGCAAAAAAATAGCTCAGGAAGGTTGTCCAGGATCCAAGTTCAAGTTCCAGGACTGGCACGTGCACTTGTGCACACACACAAGCACGCATGTGCGCACTGTGGGATAGTGACCAGGCCCTCAGTTCAAACCTCTGTACCAGCCCCCTGCCTCAAAGAAAGAATTATTAGACTCAAACATATTGCTGAGTTTAATATTACAGTTACTGTCCTTATTGATAGATTGTTTTAGATTGTTTTAAATTGACGATCAGAAGTTACTGGTAAATTATTTAATTCTAGAGTTTTATGATATACCAGACTGGAAATCAGATGTTTTACAAAGAGTCACAATCTTTTTGTGTTCTATTAAAAAATAAATAAAAAGGTAAGGTCTCCTTGATGATAATGTTTGAAATTAGTATTTTTAAATTATAGTGTTGTCTGGGAATATGGCTCAGTGGTAGAGTGCTTGCGTTGCATGCATGAAGCCCTGGGTTAATTCCTTAGTACCACATACACAGAAAAAGACGCAAGTGATGCTGTAGCTCAAGTGGTAGAGTGCAAGCCTTGAGCAAAAAGAAGCTCGGTGACAGTGCCCAGGCCCAGAGTTCAAGCCCCGGGACTGGCAAAAGAATTAAAAATTAAAAAAAATATATAAATATAGTGTAGGCTATACTGATACTGACCTGGTCATTGTTTCTAACTGTTTAGTAAATAGACCTAGAAAAATAATTTGTGTGTGTGTGTGTGTGTGTGTGTGTGTGTGTGTGTGTGTGTGTGAGTGAGAGAGAGAGAGAAAGAGAGAGGGAGTGTGTGTGTAATATAAGCTTATAAGCTCAATTAAAACTTTCAATTTTGATTCAAGTCTACAAGGTTTTTATCAGTGTCTTCTGCATCTTTCTTTAATTCAAAAATTAAATCTCTGAGATTGAGATAGCAGAGATGATGGACTTAGTATGTCACTCACTTAGTGATTGTCTTTACCTGTTCACAGATACTTCAACCTAACAGCACTTACTTTTCTTCAAAAATATGATTGCTCTAAATATTTAAAATTTTCTTCCTGGTCTTTTTTTTTTCTGTCTAGGGGACTTGAAATGCTCAAGTGTTGAGCACCTGGTTTTAATAACAAGTACAAGACCTTAAGTTCAATCCCCAGTACCACCCAACCCAATTAATTTGGGGGAGGGGGAGGTTCGAGATTGGGGGATCAGTCATGGGGCTTGAACTCGGCTAGGGCACTGTCCCTGAGCTCTTCAGCTCAAGGTTAGCGCTCTACCACTCTTGGTTTTCTGGTGGTTAATTGGAGATCAAGAGTCTCATGGACTTTCCTGCCTGGGCTGGCTTTGAACTGTGATCCTCAGATCTCAGTCTCCTAAGTAGCTAGAATTATAGGCGTGAGCCATCAGCTCCCAGCTCAATTAATTAATTTTAATTAATTTTTAAAAAGCTATCTTACTAGAACATGTTGATTATTATGTTTACAAATCATTTGAAATAGTTCCTTTGTTGTGATTATACTGTCAGCAAACAAATTTAAGTTTGTTTAAGTTTGCTTATCCATTTACTATTACATCTTTTTCTTCAGGTAGGAAAAGTGGTGTTTCTCCTAAAAAATCAAAGTACATGACTCCAATGCAGCAGAAACTAAATGAAGTGTATGAAGCTGTAAAGAACTATACTGATAAGAGGGGTCGCCGCCTCAGTGCCATATTTCTGAGGCTTCCTTCTCGATCTGAGCTACCTGACTACTATCTGACCATTAAAAAGCCCATGGATATGGAAAAAATTCGAAGTCACATGATGGCAAACAAGTACCAAGATATAGACTCTATGGTTGAAGACTTTGTCATGATGTTTAACAATGCCTGCACATACAATGAACCTGAATCTTTAATCTACAAAGATGCCCTTGTCCTTCACAAAGTTTTGCTTGAAACTCGGAGAGACCTAGAAGGAGATGAGGACTCTCATGTCCCAAACGTGACCTTGCTGATTCAGGAGCTTATCCATAATCTTTTTGTGTCAGTCATGAGTCATCAGGATGATGAGGGAAGATGCTACAGTGATTCCTTAGCAGAAATTCCTGCTGTGGATCCCAACTTCCCTAATAAACCTCCCCTTACTTTTGACATTATTAGGAAGAATGTTGAAAATAATCGCTACCGGCGGCTTGATTTATTTCAAGAGCATATGTTTGAAGTATTAGAAAGGGCCAGAAGGATGAATCGGTATGTTTTCAAAGCCATTTCTATTTGAAGCCATATGATACTTAATGCAATACAGACAGAGGAATACTGCTCTAATAGTGCTATTTCAACATAGATATATCATTAAAGTTGATAGGATAGGATCCTAAATCCTAAAGTTTTAGCAGAAGCTAAAACTTCTACTTTTTGTTTGTTTGTTTTTGTAGTACTGGGTACCAAAATCCTCTAAAGAAGAGAAGGCAGCCTCCTGAGTCTAGATTAGGGCTGAGTAGAAGGAAGACAAAACTGAAGAATTTGTGAAAGGCACTTAAAGGATAAGTGCTTGTAATTTGAAATGCAAGAAAACTTCAGTTTGTTTCTGTTCTGAAGTTAGACTCATGTAAAAAAAGCTTGTTAGCTTTTATATTTTACTTTTTTAATCTAGATTCTTCAATTTAACAGCTTACGATAGACATTAAATGTTTTAAAAGAAGTAATTGAATTTAATTTTTTAAATTTTATCTACAGTGTCTTTGCTCCATAACAGTAGCTTATTTAGCTAAATTAAGCAATTACAAGTTAGATGCCTTTTGTGAGCTCTTAGAGTCACTTAAAAGAGTATAAGAATTTAAAATTACAAGTCCTACAATTCTGGACCTTACAGGCTGTTGGGCCAAAATCTAACTCTTACTCTGGATCTTGAAGGAAAAAGAAATAGTAATATTTGCTACTGCTGAGTATCTGCTCTTTGGTAAAGCACCATGCTAAGTACTTCATGTACTTACATAGTGCCTTTCTACAGAAAAAAAAAATCATTTTCCCAGTTTACATGTGAAGAATTGTAGACATAAACAGAAATTACCCAAAGTCACATAGCTACTAAGTGGTATGACATGTGATGTTTTCCACTACAGAGCACTGGTGGTCACCAGTCATGTAACACAGCCATTAAGCCTTGAGTTCTGTGCTCTTTAAGGCTTGAAGTCTCTCTCATGTATAGGACAGTTTATGCTTAGAGAAAAATAATTCCAGATGTGAGTCAGTATCTCAAAATCTGATATTTAGGAAATGTGGTGGTTTGATGAACTCTGTAGACCAGAGAATGTGGGAGAATAGGAAGTTGGGTAGGATTGATATGAATTAAGGGGAAGTCTAAGCAGAGGCAGAGTTAGGAAATTATTATGGCACATTCCAGGGGCAATTAGGCTCTTCAGTGACTTTTTTAGGAAATGGCCCTTGTTCTTTGACAGTAGAGATAGAAGGAAATAAGGGGAACATAGGAAAATACCTTGCAATCAGAATCTTCAGGAATTCATCATTCAACAAATTTTTATTGGTTACTGCCAGTTAAGGATAAGGTTCTAGATACATGGTAATACCAATGCTTTCATGAGCTTAGATACTGATTTTAACCCTTGGTTTATTTAAATGGTCCTTAATTCTAAAGCCATTCTGCTCTCACCATCTATCTCCAGTGACATTATTATCTTGGGCCAGTTCTATAAGACTTCCAAAGAGCATTTTTCTATTTGTTTGGCAGTATTGTTTATGTTGTATAAACATGTTTAAGAATTAAGCAGATTTGCCAAGCACTGGTGGCTGACACTTGTAACCCTAGCTACTTTTAGGGTGAAATCCAGAGAACCAAAGTTTGAAGTCAGCCTAGCTAGAAAAGTCTGCCAGACTCCATCTCCAAAATAACCTGCAGAAAGCAGGGCTGGAGGTATATGGCTTAACAAGGAACCTGAGTGAGAAACCTCAGTACCACCAAAGAAAAATAAAAATTTAAAAACAAATTAGCAGGCTAGTACGGTTAAGGAATGAGTTATTTTCATTTTTCCATTGTTGAATTGATGGTCATTTGTTTTTGAGAGCTGGAAAATGATAGACTTTATTGTGTATTAATGTAAGACAAATACAGTTTTTCTAACCCAGGGTTTTGCTGAAAAGCATAGAGGAAACTATTTATCTTTGTAAATGAAGATAGTGTTATGACTGCTTGCAGTACTTAATGTGAATTACAGATAAGCAATAATTGATGGAAATGCATCTGTTTCATGACTAACAAGCCATATCTTTATCTGTTTTGCATTGCCGGTAATGAAGGTAGGCAATCCACATGTATAGGCATTCATGGATGGATTCATTTAATGAAGCAGTAGATTTCTAGTCTAATCTCTTAAGTGTGCCAATGCTTAATACCAATTATCCTTATCTACCACTGCCACCCAACAACCAGGACCTTGACACTCTGAAGGAATCTGTAGATTTTTGCTACAGTTTTTAATATATTGCCTAACCTGTTCACAGATTAGTTAGCAGAAGGAGAATCCTTATGAATTACAGGAAACTTGTGGCAGTTGTTTGTCCATCAGCATTTAGTAACAGCATAGTGCTACCTCACATGAATTGACTACTTACTGGATTTACTAATCTGCTGGCATATTCTTGGATTCATGTTCTGACTCCCTTGTTGGTGGTAGGAAGAATTCTTGGGGGACGAGGGCAAAGAAAGAATCAAGATTCTCTTACAATCTTTTTTTTTTTTTTTTTTGCTGAATATCTGCCTTGTATAGAAAAGCCAGTTGAGGAAAATTAATGTTAGTTGTTTTTCCATCTTGAGGTTTTATTCTCATACATTCAGTGAACACCTGGCCCCTTAGGTTAACAACTTCTTCATAGTACTTTGTTTGAATAACCAAAATTTAAAGAGGTTTTTTTATATTTTTTAAATTTTATTGTAAAGCTGCTGTGTATAGTTACATTAGTAAGATAATGAGTACATTTCTTGTTGAACAAAATTCTTTTATCTACATTCCATTTCATCTTTTACTTAGACAACCTGCCTTTCCATCTCTACTGTATGTGGGCTAAATGCTTACTGATCTTAAGATTTACCAGATGTTTTATGACTTGTACAAATTCATTAAAACATGAAACTGTATTTCATGGTTGAATTATGAATCTGCCTTTTGAATGCAAATGTGTGTTTCTTAAAATTTTATATTTCGACGTTACTCTAAAATGAATTTAATTTTAAGAAAACAGACTTCAGAATCTGTATTCAGGAAAATAGGTCAAGATCTGGCAGAGTAACTGAAGTGGTAAAGTGCCTTCCAAGAAAGCAGTAGTCCCTTAAGTCAAACAAAAAAAGAAGGAAAACAGATCAAAATGATGTCTTTCCTATGGTTTTATTTGTATTGCTTTCCTACAAATATTAGAATTTCTATAACTTCAGTGCATGTTTCAAACCTCTCTAGAAATACTCATTTTGTTTATTGGCAGTGTTAACTGTTTGCTGGTTCCCTTTTCTGAGAGAGGCATCTGGAGGCTTTTTTGAAGTGATGTTCCAATGATATATGTCAACCAATGGCCAACTGGCCTTTGCTTGCGACACCCTCTTTACCAGAATACTACTAATTGTTAATAAGATATCATTTCTGGTTAGGCTTCTGAATAAACTTTTAGACTTTAATATTCTTAGTAGAATTATATTCATACATTCCTCTAAATACAGTAGATTAAGGATGATAATAATAAAATACTACCTTTATTTTGCCCATTTCTTTTTTTTACAAGTGGGGAAGAAAGAAAGCTCAGAAAAGTTCTGCATATGCCACACAATTTTTTTCATCTTTCAGTGTATTGCCTCTGTTAATTCTTCAGAATTAGTTATTTCTCAGAAATTTTCAAGTCTGTAACTGTTACAGGATACACTCATAGCTTTTCAGTTTAAATATAGACAACAATAATATATAGGTCTAATTGGAGGAATGTGGACATCACCTAAATATTTTGCTAATACTTTTTATAATATTTTAGTCTGCAATTAAGAGAATGTAAAAGTTAATCCAAAGATTAGATGGTCTGGAATTTAAAGATGGTTTATTTGGTGTGGAGCCAATTCTTGATTCTTCATAAGCTACCTTCTACTACAGTCAGTTGATACATATACTTTTTATGTCAGAGAAAAAATGCTAGACCTTTCCTTTTACATGAGCTGGACAAGGAGTGAGGCTTGAGGTAAAGGAAACTAACTGGTGGGCATGGTAAAGTGTCACCTCAGATACTGTGTTCTAACAGACCTCAAGGGGATAAACTTTTTAGAAATATACAGAAAAAGCATAGCAATTAACTTAGCATTTAATAAAATTTAACATAGAATTCACCTATTTAAAATAAGCAATTTATGTATCAATGGATATTCTTAATGCTCTTATAGGACAGATTCTGAAATATATGAGGATGCAGTAGAACTTCAGCAATTTTTTATTAAAATTCGTGATGAACTCTGCAAAAATGGAGAGATCCTTCTTTCTCCAGCACTCAGCTATACCACAAAACATTTGCATAATGATGTGGAGAAAGAAAAAAAGGAAAAATTACCAAAAGAAATAGAAGAAGATAAACTAAAAAGAGAAGAAGAAAAAAGAGGTTGGTTTCTTTTCCTGTTATTATGAAGAAATATACTTTGTTCTAGCTGGAGAAGAGTCTATTATGAAGTCTTTGGTTGTTGGTATTTTATATTAGATATGAGATGGAAATGCTTTTATCATGATCATTTTGGTTGTCAGACTGAATAAGATTGAAAGTTACAGAGCAAGGCATAGTGGTTCATGCCCATAATCTCAGTAATCACAGATCTGAAGATAAAAGTTTGAAGCCAATTGGGGCAGACAAATTTGAGAGATTCTTGTCTATAATTAACCAGCCAAAAGCCAGAGTGGAGCTGTGGCTCAAGTTACAGAATATCACATCAGCAAAAAAAGCTAAGGAAAAATACCCCAACCCCAGTACAGGCATTAAAAAAAAAAAAAGATTAAAAGTTACCTGTAACACAACTGTTCTAAGGAATAGTTAGTTAATTCACAAGTATGAGAACCTAATACCTCTTCATACTGTTAGTAAATACAACTTGAGGGGCCCAGCTAGAGCTAGCGTGCATTCTCTACTTCAAGTTACTACCACATCGAATAGCATAGCTTTCATTTTAGATACTGTATGCAAAATAAGTAGATAATACTTGTTTTAACCTCATATCTTGATTTTATTCATATAAATTTAGAAACTTTACTTTGAGCCAGGCACTAGTGGCTCATACCTGTATTCCTAGCTACTCAGGAGGCTGAGATCTCAGGATTGTGGTTCAAAGCCAGCCCAGGCAGGAAAGACGGTGAGACTTTTATTCCAATTAACCACCCAAAATCCAGAAGAAGAGCTGTGACTCAAGTGTTAGAGCATTAGCCTTGAGCATAAAAGGTCAAAAACAGTGCCTAGGCCCTGAGTTCAAGCCCCAGGACTGGCACGCGTGCGCGCGCACAAACACACACACACACACAAATCTAACTTTGAGTCATTCATCAGACTTATTATTTTGATAATGAGACCTTATTGTTACAAATTGGATCATTTTGGACATTTGTATTTGAGTTTATATAAATACTTAGAAATATGTAGTTTTTACTAATGTTAAATTTGTTTTTAGCATTAAACTTCATTAGATTTTTTTCCTCTTAGGCAATAAAACAAAATTAATTTATTTGAAGCAATTTCTGATAACTGATGGTATATATCCATAATGGAAGCTGGTTAGTGAAAATAGTCATTTTCCCAGGACAGAGCTACTCTAGTTTCTATTCAGAATAATAACGGGAGATGTAGGGGAGCATTGTAGGAGATAGTTTCTACATCTTTGCCAGCTGAAAGTGGTAAATTTGGAAATAAATGGAGTAAATCTACAGCTTTGCTGACCTAAAGTACACGTTAAGGATTATACTGAAAACTAGAGAGCTATAGAAGGCATTTGAGATAAACCCTGTTTTGTATATTCCTGAGTGGCTGGGAAACCTGGTGAAGAAAACCAGGTAAAATCCAAGAGATATATGAAAAGTGGTGGTTAAGAGGTAGAATGCCTGCCTAGAAAGCACAGGACCTAAATTTAAAACCCATTACCTCTGAGGAGAGAGGGGAGGAGATTAGATAGATTTTTTTGCTACGATTTGGAATGCATCTCCTAATCTATTCATAGATTACTTAGCCAAAGGAGAAGCCTTATGGGTTTAAGGTTTGAGCCCAACCTTTTCCTTACCCCTAGCTGTAGGGGTTAGGGTTAGCTTTGGCTATCCCCTAGCTATAGCTAGTTCTAGTGCTAGTTCTAAAACCTAGTATCAAATCTCTTAGTATACCTGATAAAATAATAGCAAAGGAGAGAAGAGAGAAAACTTGTCAAGTTTAGTGAAAGATTATTAACCTATATATCCCAAAACCTCAAGTAAGATAGACACAAAGAGAACCATGTTTAGAAACAACAAAAACTGCAAGAAGAGTCTTAAAAATAACACAACTCATCACATAAAAAGTAAACAATAATAGAATTAAAGGCTTTTCATATAATGGAGGCCAGAATGATACTAAAAAAATTGAGGGGAAAAAATAATAGATTTGTATATCCAGTGAGACTGCCCTATAAAAATGAAGTTGTCTGGGTATTGGTTACTCTTGCCTGTAATCCTAGCTACTAAGGAGGCTGAGATCTGAGGATTGTGGTTAGGCAGAAAGTCCCCTAAAACTCTTACTTCCAGCTAACTAGCAAAAAGCCAAAAGTGTTGCCAGGCACTGGTGTCTCACATTTGTAATCCTAGCTACTAAGGAGGCTGAGATCTGAGGATCCCAGTTCAAAGTCATGAACCACCAGAAGACTGGAAATGGCACTGTAGCTCAAGGAGTAGAGCACTAGCCTTGAGCTGAAGAGCTGAGGGACAGTACCCAGGCCCAGATTTCAAGACCTAAGACTAACAAAAAAAAAAAAGAAAAGAAAAAGAAGAAAGAAAGAAAAAAAAAAAGCCAAAAGTTGGAGATGTTGCTCAAGAGGTAGAGGTACCAGCCTTGAGGGAAAAAAGCTCTAAATAAGCAAGAATGTGAGACCCTGAGTTTTAAGACCTAGTGCATGCACCAATAAAAAAAAAAGTTGAAGGCTGAGACAGGAAGAGTGAGTTGAAGGCCAGCTCGGCTAAGTAATACCTTAACCTCAAAAGAAAAAGAGCCAGGTTATATTTCACAGGATTGCCTGGAATCCTAGCTACTCAGGCGGCTGGAATCTGGAAGCTTGTAGTTAGAGGCCATCCCAGGCAGAAAAGCTTGCTAGATTCCATCTGTAAAATAACCAGCAAGAAGCAGGGTTGGAGAGGTGACTCAAGTGTTAACATGCCAGCAGGTGTGAGGCCTAGCTCAAGCCCCAGTACCACTATTGAAAAACAAAAAAAGCTGGGCACCAGTGGCTCATGTATACTACCTAAGAGGCTGAAATTTGAAGATTGAGGTTTGAAGCCAGTCCAGGAAGACAAATCCAAGAGACTCTTATCTCCAACTAACCAACAAAAAGCTGTAAGTGAAATGTGGCTATAGTGGTACAAAAAAGTGAACAAAAAAGCTAAGGGAGAGTGTGGGACTCTTTGAGTCCCACAGTACAGTACAGCACCCACAAAAAACACAAGTAAGTCTTAAGTAGGACAATTAAAATATATTTTTTAAAAATGGAATTCTACATTACCAGAAAGAGAATGTAATGTGGTATAGCCTCTGTGGAAGAAAATTATAGTTTCTCGGTATGCTAAGTTTCATATTCCCATAAGGTCCACTCCTGAGTATAAAGGACTTAAAGCAGAGATTTGAAAAATATTTGTGCACCCACTCTATAGTAGCCAAAGGATGTAAACAGCTTAAATGTTCATGAACAGATAACTGACTAAACAGATTGTGGTATAGTCATTGTTGAACCATAAAAACAAATGAAATACACATGCTGTCTGGATGCGCTTAAAAACATATTATGTGTTAGGCACTGATAGAAACAAATCCTGAAATCTCTAATCTCCATTTAACCAGCAAAAAAGACAATTAGGTTAGTGCCCTTTGAACAATCAAAAAAAAGTTTTTTTTAAGAATTTTTTTTTCCTTTTGTCTATGGGGCTTGAAATCGGGGCCTGGGCACTGTCCCTGAGCTTTTTCACTCTACCACTTTGAACCACAGCGCCACTTCCGGTTTTCTAATGATTAAGGAGATAAATGTCTCATGGACTTTCTTGCCCTAGCTAGTTTTGAACTGCTTTCTTCAGATTGCAGCCTCCAAAGTAGCTAGGATTACAGTGTGACCCAATGGTACCTGGCAAAAAAAAAAAAAAGTAAATTTTGTGTTACATATTTTACCATAGTTTCTTTAAATTAATAATATTCTAAAGGTCATTAGATTCTATACTTTAAATTAAAGCTGGACATAGTGAAGTCTACTTGTGATCCCAGGTATTAGGAGGCTTAGGCAAGAAGATTGGGGGTTGGAAGCTGGCCTGAGCTACATAGCAAAAGCCAAGCTAGCCTGAGCTGCAGTGACACTTTGTCTCAAAACAAAACAACAAGCTGGATGCTGCTGGTCTGTGCCTGTAATCTTAGCTATGCAGTAGATTTCAGGAGGCAGAGATCTGAGGGTCCCAGTTCTGCCAGACCAGGCAGAAAAATCTATAAGACATGTAGCTCCAGTTAGCCAGCAAAAATCCAGAAGTGAAGGTGTGGCTCAAGCGGTAGAACAAAAAAGGCTGAAAAAATTAAGCAAGAATATGAGGCCCCTGTGTTCAAGCCCCAGTATTCACACAGATACACACAAAGTGAAAGATATAATGTGTTCATTATATCTCAGTACAATTTTTAAAATAGGTCATAAAGGAAACATTCAAAAAATAAAGAATATTAATTTGAAGAAAGCACCCAAAAAGTAGGATGACAAAAACAAATAAAGATAACTAAAAGAACAGCCCAAAAAAGCAGAGAAAGAATCCTAATAACTTCAGGATGCAATTCCAATTAGGTTTTTGCCACTGTATAGTAAGAATTTTCTTTTCTCCATATCTCATACATGTGGAAATTCTCCATTTCTTTTTAGCTTTCAGCTGCCAAGTTTTTAATGTCCATTTTTCTACTAGACTGTTCTAGGCAATAGGCTTTGTCTGTTATGCTTCTCAAATTTTTCCAGTCTCTGCTTGCTTCCCAATTTCAAAGTCACTTCCACGTGTTTTAGGCATGTGCTACAACCATATCATTCTGACAACAAAACCTCACCTTAAGGATCTTCAGCTTAGAAATCCCAAATCTCACCATCTAAATCATTTGCAGTATGTGTATGGATGAGACTGTGGTCTGATCCATCCTGGTTCACCATTTCTCTCTATACTTGTAAAAACAAAATGTCCTCTACTAAATTCAATGAGACGTATAGGATAACAATTACAGATATTCCTATTTAAAAGAAAAGATGGAAGAAAGTGTTGCTAATCAAGTTTTAAATCCATTGGATAAATACCCATTGGTCTTCTAACCCCAAAACACACTTCTGTGGTTCAGCACTCTGCCCTCAGAATCGTAGTTTTCCAAGGAGGTATTTGTTTTGTATTCTGCCCCTTTCAGTCCAATTGACTATTTGTACTAGTATCAAATTCTCAGGAACCTTCTGGATCTGTTATCTGAGATTTGCCAAGTCATCTACTTGATATTTTCCACCAAAATTATGATGCTAGTATCCAAGCATTTAGAGACTTAAATTGCTGTAGCCAATTAGAGGTTATTTTGGAATGTGCTTTTTTTTTCAATTGTCTCAACAAGGCAAAATTAACTTCTGTTTAAGAGTTCATTGACAAGCTGGGCGCTGGTGGCTCATGCCTGTAATCCTAGCTACTCAGGAGGCTGAGATGTGAGGATCGAGGTTCAAAGCCAGCCCAGGCAGGAAAGACCGTGAGACTCCTATCTTCAATAAACCACTAGAAAACTGGAAGTGGCGCTGTAGCTCAAGTGGTAGAGCGCTCGCCTTGAGCTGAAGAGCTGAGGGACAGCACCCAAGCCCAGAGTTCAAGCCCCACGACCGACCAAAAAAAAAAAAAAAAAAGAGTTCATTGACAGCCAGAAATCTGGCAAGCAAGCACTCAGAGCAGGCAAGCTGCTCTTCTATTTCTCCATAACACAGCATGCCCTGCCCCTCTGCTCAGATTGGTTGAGCTCTGGTTCAGAATCTGCTTGTGATTGGCTAGTTTGATTTTGAAATAAGGTTAACAATACACAAGTAATCTCAAAATATACCTGCACCCTCTACTTTTCCTGAACAATTTCAAGTGTGTCTTAATCCCATCTTGAAAAAAAAATCAGTTTAAGACAAAACCTTAGATCCCAAAAATCCTTCCTTATCCACTTCCTGTTTTCCTTAACAAGAACCGAGCCACCAGGCCAAAACAGGAATTTTTAAGCCACACTTTGATAGAAAAGACTTTTTTTTTAAGATTCCCCCTCTTTTATTTGCTATTCTTCAAACTCTTTAAACATTAGTCATCATAGGAATTAGTCCCACAGCAACCGATTACAGCCACTGTTCAAATTACAACAAAGAGGGACATTAGAATTGAGGTCAGCACTCCCTTCCAAAGCAAGGGAGCCATTTACCGCTGAATTTTTAGTTGATGGTCCTATCTGGGGTTGTATGTATTAGGATGAAGGTTCAACCTTCACTTCTCCCCACCCCCCACCCCCAATTAGGACACATACCCCTCTTTTCCTGCTAGAATAATAATAGGAGCCACCCCAGTTTTTCTATGCCATCTTTGCTAGAGGGATTTAATTGTTCCTGGCCTTAGGTTCATCAGGAACTCCTCATTGGACCATGATGGCTTTTAAGTAAACCTGAAGGTCAGATGACTCACTGACATTGAGATCTGTTTTTGTCTGTTGTTTGTAATCATAATTACTCAGGAGGAAGAGATTGGGAGAATTGTTTTAAAGCTATCCAGGGCAAAAGAATTATGAAATCCCCATTTCAACCAGTAAGAAAAAAAGGTGGACAGGGTAAGAGTGCCTATCATTCCTCTTATACAAGAAGAGATCATAGTCTAGGCTGAGCCAAAACAAAAAGTGAGACCTTATTAGAAAAAGAGGGGATAGGGATGTGGCTCAATCTTTGAATTTAAACCCCAGTATTGGCCCTTAAGGGTCAGAAGATCCACCATGGGACCCTATCCAAATTAGTGGAATCAAAGGGTTTTATTGTACACATAAGGGAACTCACCCAAATTTGGCTAAGGTGTCTTGATCTTTATTTAGATCTACCTTCCCCCCAACATTTTTCTTTAACAGCAACTGCCTACCAGGGAGAAAATGGGAGTTCCCTGGAGCTAATCTGGCTCTGGCAGCTGCTTGAACAAGTCTTTAGTCTCTTCTTCTTCCTGCTTTCCATTGTATCTATCCCAGAGTTGAGAGGGAGGTGTTCCTACAAACCTCTGTTCCCCAGTGTCTGTGGAATCAGGGTGAGAAACCTTCTCAGATACCTTTATGATCACTAAGCTTGATACCAGACATTCAGTCTGCTCTATCAATGCCAATTTACAAATAATGAGATCCAAGTTTTGGAGAAAATAAAGATATATATATATTGGCAAGGCAAAATAAGGACTTCTTGAGGTATTATCTCAGAAAGAAGCACACTTATATGTGTGCGGGGGCGGGGGGGGGGTGACAAATAGAAAGTCCCAGGCTTTTCCTTAAGTGTGTGTGCTAAGGCATGATTACAGTGTTGGACACCCTTCCCCCTTATTTTCTGATGTGGTGGTAAGTCTCCAGAGTTATATTCCTAACTGTCCTGTATGTTCTTTCACTCCTGTGGTCAGCAGTATTAAGAGGAGTGTAGTGTTCTTCTTGAAACTATAAAGACATCCTAACTACCCTCATACAGAGAATGATGTGTGGAGGGATATAAGAGAACAAGAAAGAAAAGCGGGGCATGCAGATGTCTTTTTAAAATGTATACCTGAGCCGGGCGCTGGTGGCTCACGCCTGTAATCCTAGCTACTCAGGAGGCTGAGATCTGAGGATCGCGGTTCAAAGCCAGCCCGGGCAGGAGAGACCGTGAGACTCCTATCTCCAATAAACCACCAGAAAACCGGAAGTGGCGCTGTAGCTCAAGTGGTAGAGCGCTCGCCTTGAGCTGAAGAGCTGAGGGACAGCGCCCAGGCCCAGAGTTCAAGCCCCACGGCCGACCAAAAAAAATAAATAAATAAAATGTATACCTGAAAGCATCGTGATTAGGTCTGTCGTCAGTGGCTCACATCCTTAATCCTAGCTACTCAAGTGGCTGAGATCTTAGGATTATAGTTCAATGCTAGTCCAGGCAAGAAAGTCCATTAGACTATGATCACCAGTTAACTGGCAAAAAGCCAGAGTTGTGGCTCAAGTGGTGGAGTTCTAGCAAAAAAGCTAAGACAGTGGTCAGGCCCTGAATTCAAGTCCCAGTACCAGCACCAAAAAAAAAGTATCCTGGTTGATTATTGATTTAAAACTGCAGTTGTGGGGCTGGGAAGGTGGCTCAGTGGTAGAGCGCTTGCCTTGCATGCCTGAGGCCCTGGGTTCGATTCCCCAGCACCACATAAGCAAAAAGAAAAAAGCCGGAAGTGGCATTGTGGCTCAAGTGGTAGAGCGCTAGCCTTGAGCTGAAGAGCTGAGAGACAGCGCCCAGGCCCAGAGTTCAGGCCCCATGACCGGACCCAAAAAAAATAAGTAAATAAAACTGCAGTTGTATTTAGGTGTCTGTTCCTGTTAACAGAACTACCAAAAGGGTGGGGGGCGGACAGTTCTTGGGGGAAATATATTTATGTGTATGTGTGTACATGTGTGTGTATTATGGTTTCTTAGTACATTGTGTGATGTATATATATTCCCTTTCTGAATTATTAAAAATGACTATATGAGGCTTGAACTCAAGGCCTGTCCACTGTCCCTGAGCTTTCTTTTGCTATGGCTAGTGTTCTACAACTTGAGTGACAGAACCACTTCCAACTTTTTGTTATTGGTGGTGGTCGTGGGGGTTAAACTCGACCTGGGCGCTGTCCCTGTGTGCTTCAGCTCAAGGCAAGCTCTCTACCACTTGAACCACACTGTCACTACCAGTTTTCTAGTGGTTTTATTGGAGTTAAGAGTCTCACAGACTTCCCTGCCCAGGCTGGCTTTCAACCAAAATCCTCAGATCTCAGTCTCCAGAGTAGCTAGGACTATAGGCGTAAGCCACCGGCACCCAGCTTCACTTCCAACTTTTTGATAATTAAATTGGACATAGAGTCTCACAGACTTTCCTGTACCTGCAGGCTTCCAACTTCTATCCATAGATCTTACCCTTCTGAGTAGCCAAGATTATAGGCGTAAGCCACCTGCACCCAATTCTCTAGAATCTTTATGTATTTATTTAAATTATGGTTATGATTCAAAAAGGCAATTTTGAAGCTATATTTGGTAGCACACACCTTTTAACACCTTTACTTCTCAGCTACTTGGCTGATTTCTTGAGCCTGTGAGTTTGAGACTCTGCTGGACAACATAGCAAGACCTTTATCTCAAAACAAAAAAAAAAAGCAATTTTGGATAGAATGTATAAATCATACTGTTTTTCTTTTCTTAATTATATTTTATTTTTATTGAAAAGGTGATGAGCAGAAGGGTTACAATTACATAAGTAAGGTAATGAGTACATTTGTTTTTAATCATTGTTACCCCATCCCTCATTATCTCCCACTTATCCCTCCCTATTCCCCTTCCTCCCCCACATACTATTTTTCTCGACATACCTCTTTGGAAGTCACACAAAGAATTAAATGTAACCAGGCATGGTGGGTCCCGCCTTTAATCTTAGCAACTGGAAAGTCTGAGCAAGAAAATCAGCCTGGACTATATATCTTTAAAAGAGGGATGAAGGAATTAGGATATAATATTTGAATCTATGTCTGATTCTGTTTTATTGAGTATCTTTTTCTTTTTTTAACCCAAGAAGCTGAAAAGAGTGAAGATTCCTCTGGTGCTACAGGCCTCTCAGGCTTACATCGCACATACAGCCAAGACTGTAGCTTTAAGAACAGCATGTACCATGTTGGAGATTATGTCTATGTGGAACCTGCAGAAGCCAACCTACAACCACATATAGTCTGTATTGAGAGACTATGGGAAGATTCAGCTGGTAGGCTTATTTGATAAAATATGTCTTTTACTGTGCTTTGCTCCTTAGGGAAGAAAAAAATATTTTTAGTGTATGTGTATGTTGGTCCTGGGGCCTGAACTCAGGCACTGTCCTAAGATTTTTTTTTTTTTTCTCGAGGCTAATGCTCTGCCACTAGAGCTACAACTCCACTTCTGGCTTTTTTTTTTTTTTTTTTTTTTTTGGTAGTTAATTAGCAATAAGAGTCTCATAGTCATTCTTACCTAAGATGGTTTCAAACTGAAATCCTCAGCTCTTAGCCTCCTGAGTAGTTAAGAATACAGGCATGAACCATTAGAGCCTGGCAAGAGGAAAATTTTAACTCACATATTTTATACCTTCTAATGATAGTTCTGTTGTGACAGTGAATATAGTTCAGTGTGTCAATAAATACAATTAAGCACCCATCATGAAAAAAAGATCTGCCAAGTGTTTGTGACTCGCCTAAAATGTCCATAGGACTCTTATCTCCAATTAACCAGCAAACAGCTGGAAAAGATTCTGTGATAGAGCATCAGCCTTGATTGGAAAACAAACGAGACTGAGAGATCTTGAATTTAAGCCCCATTACAAGGCACCAAAACAAACATAAGATCTAACACTATTTGGCAGTTGTCAGAAGAACTGCAAAGTCTAAGTTTAATTGACATTCGTTTATTCAGATGATTCTTATTTAAAGCTCACTTGAGCTGGGTGCCAGTGGCTCATGCCTGTAATCCTAACTATTTAGGAGGCTGAGATTTGAGGATTGTGGTTCAAAACCAGCCAGGGCAGAAAAGTCTTTGACACTGTTATCTCTAATAAACTATAAAAAGTCAGAAGTGGAGCTGTGGCTCAAGTGGTAAAGTGCTAGCCTTGAAGCTCAAAGCAACACCCAGACTCTGGAGTTTCAAACCCCAGGACTGGCACCAATATGTACATACATACATACATACATACATACATACATACATAAATGTACACACTGTGCATTGGTCATTACTGGCTTTAAATTTGTTATTGAAAAGACTTCCTAGGAAAAATACCCTTAATGATTCATGTGCTTGAGAATCTGGCTAGCAAGTGTGATACCCCACATCATTACCTCCCCAGAAAGGAAGAGGAGGACATCACTACTACCCAAAAAAAAAGAAAAAAATGGGCATATATAGTAGCACATCTCAGTACTCAAGAGACTGAGGCAAGAGGATCCTGAGTTTAAGACCAGCCTGGGTTACATAATGAAGTCTTGTCTAGAGACAGAAATGGGCAAGAAAATGGCCTTTCATACTACTAAAGTTTGCTAAGTAACAAGTAGAAGTTAATGAAACCAGAGCAGGTGAGAGTATGATCCAGGTTTTCCAGGTTTTTTTTAGTTGCCAGTCAAGTGCTATAAATGTCCTTTATTATGTCCTAATCCTTAACTGAAGCACACACAGCAGTCTAGGTGTATGTTTATCAATATATTTTCTTTTTATGTATTATGTACCTTTTAATGTTAGGGGAAAATTAGCACTTTTAGACCCTCATGATGGATTTCATTAGTAGCAGTAGTAGTAGTAATTAGATTAAAAATAGTTGCCTAGAAAGCAGTGGCATAATGACTTGATGGAGTATTTCCTTATTTTGTAAAGAATGTATGCTGGGCGCCGGTAGTTCACGCCTGTAATCCTAGCTACTCAGGAGGCTGAGATATGAGGATCCTGGTTCAAAGCCAGCCCAGGCAGGAAAGTCCGTAAGACTCTCATCTCCAATAAACCACTAGAAAACTGGAAGTGGCGCTGTGGCTCAAGTGGTAGAGTGCTCGCCTTGAGCTGAAGAGCTGAGGGACAGTACCCAAGCCCAGAGTTCAAGCCCCACGACTGACAAAAAAACAAAAAAAGAATGTGTGATTTCTGTTAATGATTATTCTCTCTGTCTGTTTTTGAGGTGAAAAATGGTTATATGGCTGTTGGTTTTATCGACCAAATGAAACATTCCATCTGGCTACAAGAAAATTTCTAGAAAAAGAAGTATTTAAGAGTGACTATTACAATAAAGTTCCTGTTAGTAAAATTCTAGGCAAATGTGTGGTCATGTTTGTCAAGGTAAGAAAATCATTAGTTCCCAAAGTATTGATAATTTCCTTGGAATAAAATTTAAAAACACAGCCAGGCACCAGTGGCTCATACCTGTAATCCTAGCTACTAAGGAGGCTGAGATCTAAGGATCAAGGTTTAAGGCCCAGGCAGGAAAGCCTATGAGACTTACCTACAGTTAACTACCCCCTCCCCCCCCCCCCCAAAAAAAAAAACAGAAATGGAGCTGCAACTCAAGTGGTAGAGTGCTAGCCATGAGCACAAAAGCTCAGGGACAGCAACTAGGCCTTGAGTTCAAGCCCCAATACCAAAAATAAAAATAAACAATTAAAAATTCAAAAAACAGTATTTACAAAATTAGAATAGAACTCTACTTAAATAGAATTCTATTTTAACTGAGTTTTGTTGTTTTGGTTTTTGAATTGTGTCTATATAGCTATATATAAATATTTTGGAAGAAATTTACCTCAATAAGGCTTTGTAATATCATTTACTGCCTACACTGTTTAACTATACTCAATTAACTTAATTTTAATCGATTGTGGGGCCTGAACTCTGGGCCCGGGCACTGTCCCTCAGCTCTTCAGCTCAAAGCGAGCACTCTACCACTTGATCCACAGCGCCACTTCTGGCTTTTTTTTTCTGCTTATGTGGTGCTGAGGAATTGAACCCAGGGCCTCATGCATGCAAGGCAAGCGCTCTAACACTGAGCCACCTTCCCAGCCCCACTATTGGCTAATTTTTAAGATTATTTTGGTTCTTCTTGCCTTTTTTTTTTTTTTTTTTTTTTTTTGCCTGGCACCAGTCTAAGACTATGACCTTGTTTGTATCTGAGACCCCTGGAACAAGCTGCCACATGTTGCTTATTCATTGATAAGAGCACTTGCTAGCTTTTTGACTAGGTTTGCCTTAAACTGTGAGCTTCCTGATCACTACTCCCCAAGTAACTGTAATTACAGGCGTGAACCTCTGTGCCCAGTAACAATGATATTTTCTGAAAAATAATCATTATAAATTTATCAGCTTGGTATTCAAGTAATAAATTATACATTTTGAATGACTGTCTGGTATAAAGTACAGAAGGCCTACCCAGAGCTTTAAGGAACTATAATTATGTGAAATATTAATATATTTTCAAAGGGTAATTAGTAAACTAAATGAAATTTTTTCATACTTATAAATTAATGAATATATTGTTAATAAATTCTGTGGCTAAGAAAGTATCTCTGAGTCAAACATTAGTGATTCACATCTATATTCCTAGCTACTCAGCAGGCTGAGACCTGAAGATTGCAGTTCAAAGCCAGCCCAGTCAGGAAAGCCAGTAGTGGGTTGTGGATCAAGTGATAGAATGTTAGCCTTGAGCAAGAAGGAGCTCAGGGAATGTGTCCAGGCACAGAGTTCAAGCCCCAGGACCAACAAAAAAAAAAAAAAGAAAGAAAATTATCTCTAGCCATTTCCCCCTTATTTCTAGAAAGTCAGTAGTTTAACCTTTGATGGATTGGTAATTATTTGCTTTTGTCTTTTATGTTGGTCTTCAGATAAATTTACTTAAGGATTAGTTCTGTTCTTATGTTCTCTCCCGTCTCCCACCTTACTCTTAGGAATACTTTAAATTATGCCCAGAAAACTTTCGAGATGAGGATGTTTTTGTCTGTGAATCACGGTATTCTGCCAAAACCAAATCTTTTAAGAAAATTAAATTGTGGACCATGCCCATCAGCTCAGTCAGGTTTGTTCCTCGAGATGTGCCCCTTCCTGTGGTCCGAGTAGCCTCTGTATTTGCAAATGCAGATAAAGGGGATGATGAGAAGAATACAGACATCTCAGAGGATAGTCGAGTAGAAGACAATTTCAACTTGGAAAAGGTATGTGAACAATAGTCATACAGAAAATAATTTTATACTTAAAAATATAATAAAATATTCATAACTCAAACATATATTATGAATGTAATACCTTAGGCCAAATAAGATGAAACTAAAAGGATATAGAATTGAAACCTCTTTGTATAAGTACTTCAAAAGAAATATAAAACTTAAAGAAAAACTTAAAGAAAAACTAAAAAGAAAGGAAAATATGAGCAGAAAACGTTTCCAGGTACCTATAATCCCTATACTTAGGAGGCTGAGGCAGTTTGATGCCAAGTTTGAGGCAAAGTTGGGCTCCATTTCAAGACCTTGTTTCAAAAACAAATATTGTAAAAGGATAGTTGGGAGTTACCTCATTAAACTTGTCAAAGAATTAGTTCTTGGATTCGCTTTTAGTTTATGATAGGATTACTGTGTGTGCTGTCATATCTCACCCTAGCTCTCTTAATAAAAAAAAAAAAAGTGAGTGGTTAGGCTCACAAAAATGTGGAAGAAAATGTATTTTCACTAATAAATTTGAAGACATAGATTAAATGAATATTTTTAGGATATTACAAATTATCAAAATAGAATCAAGAAGAGACATAGCATGTAAGTGGACAACAACATGAAGAAATTGAAAATGTGTGCAAGAGTTAACCTAAAGGGCATTAAGCTTCCATATGTGAATGCTTTAAAACTCTTTGAGTGGCTACTATAACTACAGTGTGTTGATTTAACTGTTACAGAGCATGAGAACAAAGAAAAATTCCACATTCGCTTTATAAGCCCATTCACTTTGTAAACCCAGGACAATCTGGATTCTACAATCTGGCAAAAACTAAAAACTACTTTGTCTTATATATGAATATTAGTGTGAAAATTTCTTGGGAGAAAAAGTATTTTTGTAAATGAAATCAAACTTTTTCTTTGTGGCTTAAACTTGGCCTGTGCTTTTCACAACTTTTTTTGAGCCACACCTCTAGTTTAAGCTTACTGCTAGTTAATTAGAAATAAAGAGTCTTTCAGGTAATATCTATCTAAGCTGGCTATGAATCAGGATCCTCAAATCTCAGCCTCTTGAGTCGTTAAGATTATAGACATGAGCCAGCAAAGTACTTCTTTTAAAACAAAATGACCAAGGAAAGAGAAGTTCATTCTAAGAATGCAGTGATTGTTCAAAATGAGGAAAGTTTTTACATTTTATTTTATTAATAGTCCTGTATGCTTAAGCATGGATTGTGTCATTTAGTCTTTCTAACAATAATGTGATGGGCACACTATTACCTTCATTTTATACATGAAGAAACTAAAGCAGAAGAAGTCAGGTAACTTCCCTGATGATGTGTGTTTGTGTATTTGAGTGGCTATATTACAGGCCATACAATATGTTATCAAGTCCTACTTATTTTGAATAAAAATATAGTAAAACATTTTAATCTATCAATTGTTCTAACTAAAAAAATCTGAATAAAGTATAATAGAAGTAATAATGATTCAACTGTTCATTCTTGTTTTAATTGTACATTACACTAATGTATATACCATACAATAGGAGAAAATTCTACAGAGGTATATAGAAGGCTTTCTACTAAGTTTACAAAATTATTTGTAACTAAAAATTTTTTTAACTTTATTTATAAAATATCTTTGGAGCCAGGCATTGGTAGTTTACACCTGTAATCCTAGCTACTTAGGAAGATGAGATCTGAGGATTGTGGTTCAAAGCCAGCCTGGGCAGGAAAGTTTGTGAGACGCTTATCTCCATCCAGTAAAGTACCAAAAACCTAGAAGTGGAGCTGTGGATCAAGTGATAGAGCACTAGCCTTGAGCAAAAGAAGCTCAGGGTCAGCACCTAGGCCCTGAGTTCAAGATGGGCATATACACACAAAAATGTCTTTAGAGCCATTCATGGTTGTGCATGCCTGCCCCCTGCCAAAAAAAGAAAAAGAAAAGAAATGAAGGGATGTTTTATTCACCTATAAAGAGGAATGAAGTTCATTTGCAGGAAAATGGTAGCAGATCATTGTATTAAATGAAATCTCATTCAGAATCTATATTTGTAAAAAGGACTTGAAAGTAGAAGTCAGAGAGAATGAGGAGGTAAGAGAATATGGGGCATTGAATATATAATGAAACTTACTCTTTCGTTCAAAGTGATATAGGCTAATAATATATAAATGTATGGAATTTTAAAAGAAATGAAGGAGGTATACTTGTACGCAAGGGGAAGCACTTAGCTCTCTTCTTCTTTTTTTTTTTTTTTTTTCCTTTTTTTTTTTGTCATGGGGCCTGAACTCTGGGCCTGGGCACTGTCCCTGAGCTCTTCAGCTCAAGGCCAGTGCTCTACCACTTGAGCCACAGCATCACTTCCAGTTTTCCTGTGGTTAATTAGAGATAGGTAAGAGTCTTATGGACTTTCCTGCTTGGGCTGGTTTTGAACCATGATCCTCAGAGCTCAGCCTCCTCAGTACCTAGGATTATAGGCATGAGCCATCAGCACCCAGCTCCAACTCTCTTCTTTTTCAGAGGTTTGAATGTAGGATTTGATGCTTATTAGGCAAAGTACTTAACCCTTCAATCATGCCCAGCCTTCAAACTTTATTCTTAACATCCTTCTCTCTCCTTTTTCTTGCCTGCAGTAGAAAAGGTACATTCCTTGAGGTGGATGAGAAGAGGCAGGGATGGAAGGATTAGCAGGCCTTTCAGAGCGGAGGGGCAGAGGGAAGGTTCTGTACAAGAAGAATGACTTCTTGCCTAGACCCGCTTCCTTCCCACTTATCCTGGGTTTTGTGGTTCCTGGCAGTCTCTTTGCTTCCTGTACCTCCAGCATGTGCTCTTTTACCTTCCCATAAGAGCAGGTTGGGAAAAATATAGGGTTGCAATTCAACCCTATAGGGTTACACCTTTTAGAAGATGATGTCAACTTCTCACTCTGACATGTCTCCTGCAGTTTATCTGTTCTGCTTCTCTTTCCCATCTGCTAAATGCATCTGTAGTATGAGGAGTAAACCTTTGTTTTTATTTCTGTTGTGCTGATGAATAACTGCCCTTTTTGAGGGAGTTCCCTGAGTTTGGATTTCACCAGTGTCTGAATCAGTGACTGGGATGGAAAAGATGAAATAGAGAGAGAGAGATTTTTTGTTGTTGTTGGTCATGGGGCCCGAACTCTGGGCCTGGGCACTATCCCTTAGCTCTTCAGCTCAAGGCTAGTGCCCTACCACTTGAGCCATAGCACCACTTCTGGCTTTTCCTGCTTATGTGGTGCTGAGGAATAGAACCCAAAGCCTCATGGATGCGAGACTCTTATCACTGAGCCACCCTCCTAGCCCGGAGAAAGACATTCTTTGTGTATTACACAGATAGATAACAGAGGCAGGTCAAGCTGCTAACTTGTGTAATATCTAGAGACTGGAGAGGTCACAAAGGAAATGTTGCTTTCCAGAGCAAGCAATAAGTAAATGAATTTTCCCATCCTGAGAGATTGTAGATTGAGTTTATTTATTTTTATTTTTTTTTTGTGTGACTGTCTTTTTTTATTTTTTTTTTAATTGTAAAGATACTATACAGAGGGTTACAGTTACATGAGTGAGGTAATGAGTACACTTCCTCTTGAACATTGTTACCCCCTCCATTGTTTTCCCCCTACCATCCCCTCCTTACCCTACCTTACCCGAGGTTCTTTTTTTTTTTTTTTGATTGTGATTAAGTGATTACATAATTTCCGGAATTTCACAGTATTGTGGAATAATGATGCTCATTTAAAGTCACAAGTTCATTCTAACTTTCCTGGAGCAAATTGTCTATCACAGTCTGTAACATAAACAGGATCTTACTATGTAATCCACGCTGTCCTTAAATTCAACAGTCTTTCTTCAGCATCTAGAATGCTGGGATTATAAACATGTGCCAGTATGCCCAACTGAGTAGACTGAATTTATAAAGAGAAAAGAAGCTAGCATAGAATTTGCTCTTTATATCCATGTGTTATTGAATATATCTGCTTCTGAATACTGATAACTGCTCTCCATTATTTTTCCCTTAAAACTTATTGGAATAGGAAGGAGAGAAAAGAGATAAGTAGCATTATGTCATTAAAATTATAAATTTAGGGCTGGGAAGATGGCTCAGTGGTAGAGCGCTTGCCTTGCATGTCTGAGGCCCTGGGTTCGATTCCTCAGCACCACATAAGCAAAAAGAACAAAGCCGGAAGTGGCGCTGTGGCTCAAGTGGTAGAGTGGTAGCCTTGAAGTGAAGAGCTGAGGGACAGCGCCCAGGCCCAGAGTTCAGGCCCCATGACTGGACCCAAAAATAAATAAATAAATAAAATTATAAATTTAAAGTAAGTACAGGGGGTTGGAGGTCTGGGTCAGTTTATAGAACGCTAGCCAGTAAATGAAAGTTTCAGGTAGATACCAAGTTCAAGTGCTGAGGTAAAAATAAATATAATATTTTATATGAGAGGGTTTTTTCCTTTCTTTTCTTCCTCTGTGTGTGTGTGTGTATGTGTGTATGCGTGTGTGTGCATGTGCACATGCGCGGAAGAGAGAGAGAGGAACAGAGACAGAGAGATAGAGAGCACTTGCGTGCTAGTCCTGGAGCTTGAATTTAAGGTCTAGGCACTGCACGAGCTTTTTTGCTCAAGGATAGTATTTTACCACTTGAGCTACAGCTCTACTTCTGACTTTTTAGTAGTTAATTGGAAGTAAGAAACTCATAGACTTCCTTCCCTTGCTGGCTTCCAACCTCAGCCCTCAGATCTTAGCATTCTGATAGTTTTGTTACAACCACCTAAATTTTTGGTTTCTTAACCATCAGTTATCAAAACTTTTTATGGTTGTTTTTCCTTTTAATGTAAAGGAAAATATTCTTTTCTTTTTTTCTTACTCCTGATTGTTAGCTTCCTTTCTAAAACCAGTTTCCTTTACCACAGGAAAAAGAAGATGTCCCTGTGGAAATGTCCAATGGTGAACCTGGTTGCCACTACTTTGAACAGCTCCATTACAATGATATGTGGTTGAAGGTTGGCGACTGTGTCTTCATCAAGTCCCATGGCCTGGTGCGCCCTCGTGTGGGCAGGTAAGTGTCATTGATGTAGGGAAGACATGGTTGGGACTAAGATTTAAGGCTAAGATTTAGACTAATCCATCAAGCCAACTCCTACCACACTACCCATGCTTTCACATCTAATCATCACACTTTCTTTAAATTCTCCCCATGGATTTTTTTTCTTTATTCTTTTTCTTTCTTTCTTTTTTTTTTTTTTTTTTTTGATCATGGTTCTTGACCTCAAGGCCTGATCCCTGAGCTTTTTCTGCTCAAGGCTAGTGTTCTACCACTTGAAATTACAGCTCCACTTCTGGTTTTATGATGATTAGTTGGAGGAAAGAGTCTCACACAAACTTTCCTACCCAGGCTGGCTTTGAACCATGATCCTCAGCTCTCAGCCCCCTGAGTAGCTAAGATTATAGGCGTGAACCTTGGTATCCAGTATGAATTATTTATTTATTTATTTTCCTTACTTATTTGTGATAGTTCTAGGTCTTAAACTCAGGGCCTGGGCATTGTCCCAGGACTTTTTTGCTCAAGGCTAGTACTCTACTACTTGAGCCACAGTGCCACTTAAGGCTTTTTCTGTGTATGTGGTACTAAGGAATCAAACCCAGGGCTTTATGCATGCTAGGCAAGCACACTACCACTAAGCCATAAGCTCATCCTGAAATGACTTTTTGTTGTTGTTGTTACTAGTCATTGGGCTTGAACTCTGGGCCTGAGCACTATTCCTCAGCTCTTCAGCTCAAGGCAAGCACTCTACCACTTGAGCCACAGCACCACTTCTGTTGTTTTTTGTTTTTTTTTTACTTTCCTGCCCAGGCTGGCCTTAAACCGTGATCCTCAAATCTTAGCCTCCTTAGCAGTTAGAATTACAGGCGTGAGCCACCAGTGCCTGGCCCATGACATGACATTTCTTAAAGAAGCCTTTTCTCCTCTTTGCTAAGTAGGTTAAGTCTTCTTATTTCCTACTCCTTAGACTATATATGATATATTGATGTTCTCTTAGGGTTTCCATAGCTTGAATTTTCAACTGCTCTGAGACTAGGAACTTTTCTTTTTCTCAACCTCATATTCCCTATTCACATCATATTATTTGAAACATAGGAGATCAGATATTTGATGAACAAGTAAATTGGTAAAAGAATGTCAGTATGGTTGGGTGACAGTCACAGCAATAATGGAGTCAGATAGTGGTTGAGCGGTGGAGGATAGTGATTAAGACTATCTGTCACATGTCAAGAAAATGAACCCTTAGATGTGTATTTTAATGTTTTTTTTTCTTTCATGCATGTGTTTCTAACACATTTATAAGATTATCTCTTTGTTGCTTTGTATGTCCCTCCTCCACAGTATAACCCCTGCTTTCACTATATTTGATGTCAGTATAACTTGTGGAGGAGATGGGGAAAAACCAGTTGTTTATGGATACAGGTGGACCTGTTGCAACAATGAGAAGTACAAGTTGTCATGTCCAAAACGAGCTTTACAACGTTGGTGTGGGGGGGGGGGGAGGGGGAAGGAGAAGGATTGGGATTAGGGGGGGAGGGGGGAGGCTGGGAAGGGATGTGAAGGGTAAACAAAGGAGGAGGCTGCAATGCTTGGTAAGAAATGTACGCATTATCCTGCCCATGTAACTGTAACTCCTCTGTACAGTATGTTCACAAATAAAATTAAATTAAATTAAAAAAAAAAAAAAAAAAGACTATCTGTCACTAACTGGAGTTATGGCTCAAAGTGGTAGAGTGCCAGCTGTGATAGAAAAGCTGCCGAGCAAGAGCTTGAGGCCTGAGTAAAAGCCATAGTACTGATACGTACACACACTACAACAATCAAACTGGAGGTGTAGTTCAAGTGGCAGAACAACTGCCTAGCAAGGGACCTAAATTCAAATCCCAGTACTGCAAAAAATACATTTTAAAAAGAACATCAGTTGAGGACTAAGAGTATATCCCAGTGGTTGAATACTTGCCTAGCATGGGAAAGGTCCTGGATTTGGTCCCCCCGGGCCATAAAAATAAATAATAGTTGGTTCTAGGAGATTTGGGGTCAAATCCCTGTTGTATAGCCTTAGAAAAATGATTTATTTCCTTAGGTTTCTGTTTCCTTATGCTTGTTCATCACTCAACAATCATTTTACTATTTGCCACTACTTCGAACAGCTCCAAGGATACATTAATGAATAAAGCAGACAAACATTTTTAGTTCCGTAGAGGTTTGTTTTAATGAGAAGACACAGTAAACACCTTGAATAAGTTGTTGATGTTAGATCCTGATACATGCTGATGAAAAAAAATGGAGCATAGTAAGGAGAGTAGACTTGGTCAGATCTTAGGAGACTGGTTTGTATAGGCCTCACTCAGAAACTGGCATTGAGCCAACACTTGAAGAAACAAAGTGAGAATTATGAATATCCAAGGAAAAGGACAGTGATTAGTAGGTATAAGAAATGTGTCAGGTCTGTTCATACCAGTAGTTTGTTACTAACAGAATGAGCCATTCATGAGTTAGGTTTAATAGGTGAGAGCCAAAGAGTAACTTGCAAATCATATAAGGCTTTTATGGGGTTATATGGGATTGTTTCAAGCATCTAAGTATCATTTGATTTAGGACTTAAGGATTATGCTACCTATTGGTTGAGTAGACTTGAAGAGTCAAAAGTAGAAGCAAGAGCTGGGAATGTGGCTTAGGGGTAGAGTGCATGCTGGCATGCATAATGTCCCAGGTTTGATTCCTCATTACCACATAAACAGAAAAAGCTGACTCAAATGGTAGAGTGATAGTCTTGAGCAAAAGAAACTCAGGGACAGTGGCCAGGTCCTGAGTTCAAGCCCCAGGACTGGCAAACACAAAGCAAATCGAAACAAAAAAAAAAGAGTGTAAGAAAGGAGATCTGATAGGAGATATTACAATTATCTAGGCAAGAATGATGGTGACTTAACTGAGGTTGATTGACAAAAGTACTATTTTGAAGGTCAAGTTAATGGCATTCCTAATGAGGGAGCAGTCAAAGGTAATGATCCTTCAAGAATGAAATTATTTTCAATATCATTTCTCAATTGTTTTTCTCCCAAGAATTGAAAAAGTATGGGTCCGAGATGGAGCTGCATATTTTTATGGCCCAATCTTCATTCACCCAGAAGAAACAGAACATGAGCCCACAAAAATGTTCTACAAAAAAGAAGTGTTTCTGAGTAATCTGGAAGAGACCTGCCCTATGACATGTATTCTGGGTATGTATTTATGCCTTTTCATTTAATCATATCACTTGGAATACTGCTTCTGTGCTAGACCCTGTTCTAGATTTAATAGCCATAGCAGTGGCTAAAATGAAGTCTTAAACTTGTAAAGACTTAAATTTAGGCAGAGGCAAGATCCTGTGGTCAGCAAAAGCTTTGTTAATAAGTACCATGTAAGTAAAGTTTTGAAGAAGACAAGAAGGAAACTATTTAAATATTAGCTTTTATTCCCTATAAGGCACAGCTTAAATTAGAGTATCTAGGCTTTATTGAAACATAATAGAAGTGTTGGGTAGCAGGAGGAGGGTAGAGAATGTGGCAAGAAATGAGCCTTATGAGGTAGCTGGTGCAGCAACTGGCTGACTCAGAATAAATAGGAAATCATTGTGTGGGAAGGGGAGGCACAAAGTAGAATGGAATGTGAACTGACATACACATTGGGAGTAGGAATCATTGTGGCTGCTGATGGAGATAGTATGGATTAAGGAAGAGAATGGGGAGAATAGTCAAAAGACTGTTGGACTGAGTATTCACTGTGGCATTGCACTTCTTAGATAGTATTGTGTATCATTGGATACTGGCGTTGCTTTCAGCTCTTATATTTCTAGTAGTCCTGGGTTGCCTCTGTTTACTTGTACCAGCTACAGTACTATCTTTTAGAATGGTTTCCTAAAAGAGTGCTGGTTATAAGCTTTACCCTATGGTTTCTGTCTTGGGGTTTTTTAGTTTCTAGTTTTGTTTTGTTTTTAAATTTCTAGTACTGAACTTGGGGCTCTGCACATATTGAGCACACACTGCCACTGAATCAAACCTCTAATTCCTGATCATTCATGATTTTAACGAAGCCACAATGAAAAGTAAAAAAAATAAAAAGGCTCATTCCTATAATCCTTCCTAATTACTGGTGAGGGTGATGAAAGTTGAGGTTCAAAGGTAGCCCAAGTTACCTTTTGATTAACAAGCAAAAAGTTGCAAGTGGAGGTATGACTTAAATAGTAAAGCATCAGTCTTGAGCAAAAAGCTAAGGGAGAACAAGAGGTCCTAAATTCAGTACTATCATTAAAAAATATATATATATTTAAGCCACAGAAAAGTTTGTTGCCAGGAGCTGATGGCTCATGCCTATGATCCTAGCTACACAGGAGACAAAAATCTAGGTTTGAAGTCAGCCAGTGCAGACAAATCTGAGATTCTTATCTTCAGTTAACCAGGAAAAAGCTGTAAGTAGAGAAGTAGCTTAAGTGGTAGAGCATCAACTGTGAACCAGAAAAGTTGAGCCAGAGTTTAAGGCCTTGAGTTCAAGGCCCATGCTTAGATCATCTAGGATCTGCTCTGAGTAGATTAATGCAAAGGGCTCAGGCTCTTTTGCACTCTTGCCCTTCTAAAGCTCCCACTTTGCTACAGATGACTAGAATCATCCAGATGCTGGTGCCTTGATTTGGGACTTACCAGCTTCCAAAAGTAGGAGAAAATAGATTTTTGGTCTTTATAAATTACCTAGTTGATATTTTTATAGCAATAGAAATAGATCAAGACAAAAATGTTTTTAACAAAAATACTTTGGCCATGTCTCCATGAGAGAATTCCAAGTTTGGCAAAAACAAAGGCAAATGCTTTCAAAGTTTGTCTTTCCAAGAAACTCACTACCAGGTCAAAACAAAGACTGTTCTGTTATCTTTTATTACCAGAAACTCACACAAAGAACAAAGACTGTCATCTTTAGGACTAAAGCTGAGTTTCTCCTTTGTGGCTCAGATCATCAGTTGGTTTCCAGCCACATGAGGCACTTAAATGTAAAGAAAGTACCAACAATAGTAAGCAGGACAGCAGGTATAGACAGTTATCAAGATAACTCCTAGAGGAAAATACATCTAATGATCACAAAGTGAGATTTCACCTCTGCTTATGGAGTTTCAGATCCCCCAACTACCAAGGAAAAAGAGTCCTTGTTTCATAAGCTTTAGAGGACTTATATTAATTTTATACAGTATTGAATGTAAATCTTTCGTACCTTTTTGTCTTTCTGAAACAAAAGTTTTGTTGTTCTCTAATAGAGACCTGGAGGCATATTTCACTTAGGCAACAATCTTGCTTTCCTGCTTCAACTATGCTATTCACTTTAAGAAGAATTGTATCCAGTCATTTAAAAAGTAATCAAATGGCTACAGGGAAATTACTTTTTACAATGAATATGGCAGTATCTGGCAAAGAGCATGTTCACTCCATGCTTTCAGGATACTGGTCTTTTGAAATGTCCAGTTGCTAATATATTTATTTTCTTCACTGTAGATTTCTCTCATGCTTCATCATTTGAAAATCCTCAGTAAGGCAAGGAAAATAAAAGGTTTAAAGATGTGAAAGGGTAGGTTTTTCTTAAAGACTTTGTTAGGCACAGAAAATATCCAAGAGATAGTCAGATAAACTATTTAAAATTAATAAAATACCAACATTTGTATTTTAAGCAATTATTAAGTTAAATATACCCTGTACATTGTTTACATTTAGTACCTAAGAATTTTTTTAAGATGCTTAATGTATATACACACAGGAATAAAGAAGTCATTAAGGCTGTGTGTAGAGGTCCAACAGGACCCTAAGTCAAGGCACAGAAGCAGCACATTTATTATAGGACCACCAGTCACTCTCACTCTTTAGCTGTGGACATTAATCCTAGCTGTAATCCTAGCTACTCGAGAGGCTGAGATCCGAGGATTGCAGTTCGAAGCTAGCTCAGGCAGGAAAGTCCATGAGACTCTTAATCTCCAATTAACCACAGAAAACCAGAAGTGGTGGTGTGGCTCAAAGTGGGAGAGTGCTAGCCTTAAGTAAAAAAGCTCAGGGACAGTACCTAGGATCTGAGTTCAGGCCCCACGAACTATAAAAATAAAGTAGAATAATAAAAAATATAAAATATTTTGAGATAAATGTAATGAGCTTCTTGCTAGTTAAGGGTAAGAATCTCAAGGACTTTTGTACCTGGACTAAGCTTCAAACTTGGACCCTCATATTTCAACCTCCTAAGTAAGTAGAATTATAGTCATGACTCATCTGCCCATCACCAGTTTAGCTTTAATAATAAGAGGGTTTGAACTCAGGGACATGAATTTGCTAGGTTAGACACTCTGCTAGTTGAGCCTTTTTTGTTTTTATTTTTTCTAATAGCATCTTCATTTATGACCAGGCTGGCCTGGACCTCCTATTTATGCTTTCTGGGATAGCTGATATGACATATTGATCACCATATTCAGCTTTTATTATTTGAAACAGGGTCTCACAAAAGTCTGGCTTCAAACTGATTTGCCTCTTAAATCTGAGATTACAGGTATAATTCTTAAGTAATTCTTAAGTGAGAATACTTCCAACTGTAACCAAAGCAATACTGTACAACTTTAAAGTGTTCAGACATTAAGGATTAGGGCAATTGTTGCTAGTTAACAAAAGCATCAAAAGTATGGGGAAGGGCTGGGCACTGGTTGCTCATGCCTATAATACTAGCTACTCAGGAGGCTGATATCTAAGAATCTGTTCAAAGCCAGCCCTGGCAGGAAAGTCCATGAGACTCCTGTCTCCAATAAACTACTCAGAAAAAGCCAGAAATAATGTTGTGGCTGAAGTGGTAGAGTGCAAGCTTTGAGCAAAAGAAGCTCAGGGACAGCGCCCAGGTCCTGAGTTCAAGCCCCAGGACTGACACAAAATATATATAGAGAGAAATCTCTCTCTATATATATATACACATACATTTATGGAAGAGGGTAGGCATGGTAGTATATGCCTGTAATCTCAGCACTCAGGAAGCATAGTCAGTGGTAGAATACTAGCTTATTAAGCACAGGCCCTGAGTTCAAACCCAGTAACTACCAAACAATAAAATAAATCCAGCTAGGCACTGGTGGCTCATGCCTGTAATCCTAATTACTCAGGAAGCTACTATCTCTGAGGATCGTGGTTTGATGCTGGCCCTGGCAGGAAAGTTCATGAGACTCTTTATCAGTTAACCACCAGAAAACTGGAAGTTGTGGCTCAAGATGTTAGAGTGCTAGCCTTGAACAAAAAAGCTCAGGGACAGTGCCCAGGCTCTGAGTTCAAGTCCCACAACTGACAAAATGACAGACAGACAGAATATCCAAATGTCCATCTGCAGATGAATGGAGGATTACAAGTTCTAGACATACATGCGTTACATAGTTCAAAACTCATCTGAACTACATAGTGAGACCCTGTTTCAAACAAAATGAAATTTAAAAAGAGCATAGGGTATCAGTATTCACCTACTTTTCACTGTTGTATAAATTTATTATAACCTCTATGGAAGATAATTTGAAATACCTGTAAAAGTGAAGGTGTACTTACACTTCATTCCAGATTTTGTACTTTTAGAAATGTATACTTCAGACCTGGACACCAGTGGCTCACGCCTGTAATCCTAGCTACTCAAGAGTCTGAGATCTGAGGATCACAGTTCAAAGTGAGCGACCAGGCCCAGGGTTCAAGCCCCATGACAGACCAAAAAACAGTGTGTTTGTACTCACACTGCAAATTTATATGTGTTAGTTACTTCAGCAGAACTTCAGTGAACAACCTAAGTATCCATTAGTAATTAGCTAAACAAATACAAATAGGGATACCCGAGATAGATTGTAACAAAATTTAGATTCAAAACATTGTACATAATGTGCTATAATTTGTGAGAGCTTTATTATTTCTATAAGTAGCATAAAAGTAACCATTTTAACTTTTTATATGTGTGCCTATAGTGGGGCTTGAACTTGGGGCCTGCAATTCTCACTGGACTATTTTTGCTCATAGTTAGTGCTCTACCACTTGAGCAATGTCTCTAGTTCCAGTTTTAGCCTCTTTTATCCTAGTCCTGGAGCTTGAATTTAGTGCCTGAGTGATGTCCCTGAGCTTTTTCACTCAAGGCTAAGACTCTACCACCTGAGAGCTCTACTTCTGGCCTTTTTTTTTTTTTTTTTTAAGCTGTTAATTGGAGATGAGAGTTTATTGGATTGTCTGCCCAGACTGGCTTCAAACAATGATCCTTAGATCTCAGCCTCCTGAGTTTGTGTGATTATAGGCACAAGCTAATAGTGTCCTACCCAGTTTTAACTGTTTTTTAGTGTACAGTTTAGTAGCATTAAGTCCATTGACAGTATTATATGATTATTACCTATTTCTGGGAATTTTCTACTATTCCAAATAGAAATTTTTTATAGTTCATGGGGCTTGAATTCAGGACCTGGGTGCTATCCCTGAACTCTTTTGCTCAAAGCTAGTGTTTTACCACTTTGACCACAGCACCACTTTCAGTTTTCTGGTAATTAATTGGAGATAAGAGTCACAGACTTTCCTTCCCCAAACTTTGACCCTCAGATCTCAAACTCCTGAGTAGTAAGGATTACAGGGTTGAGCCACAAGCACCCAACCCAAACAGAAACTATGTATCCATTAACAGTAACTATTTCTTCTTTTTCTCTTCCTGACCCTAGTAATCTCTGCTTCCTGTCTATATGAGATTTGTATATTCTATCTTCTACATAAGTGGAATTGTGATACTTTCCCTTTGTGTCTGGCTTATTTTACTTAACATTATGATTTTTTTTTTTTTTTTTTTTTTTGTCACACATGGGGCTTGAACTCTGGGCCTCCGCGATGTCCCTGAGCTCTTCAGCTCAAGACTAGCTCTCTACCACTTGAAGGCTAGCTCTCTACCACTTGAAGGCTAGCTCTTTACCACTTGAGCCACAGCACTACTTCCGTCTTTGTTTATGTGGTGCTGAGTAATCAAACCCAGGTCCTCATGCATGCGAGGCAAGCACTCTACCATTGAGCCGCCTTCTCAGCCAGCATTATGATTTTTTTTAATATATTTTTATTGTGAAAATACTGTACAGAGGGGTTACAATTACATGGGTAAGATAATGAGCACATTTCTTATCAAGCATTGTAACCTCCTGCTTTGTTTCCCCTTCCCATCCCTTCGTATCCTCCCCCGCCCCCCGTCCCCCCCCCCCCCACCAAAGTTGTAAAGTTTGTTTTTTGACATAACGACTTATACATCTCATTGTTGCAATGGGTCCTCCTGTATCCCTGTTTTAACAATTTGTTTTTTCCCTTCCCCTCCACATATACCAACATCATATATAGTGAAAGCAGGGGTTGTACCATGCGGGAGGGACATACAAGGCAACAAAGACATAATCTTATAAATACAGCATCATGATTTTTAAGATCTGTTCATGTAGACAAAATTGTTACTGGTTATTTCGGAGATGGAGACTTTCTAACTTCTCTCTCTGGGCTGATGTCAAACCATTATCATTTTGCTAGGATTACAGGCATGAGGCACCTGCACCTAGTTTTGTGCATGTTTAGGTACTGTGAATCACGTTACTATAATCATTGGTATACAGATAACCCTTTGAGCCTCTGTTTTCAGTGTGTGTGTGTGTGTGTGTGTGTATGTGTGTGTGTGTGTGTATGTGTGTGTGTGTGTGTGTGTGCGCGCGCACACACGAGTGCACAACAGTCCTAGGACTTGAACTCAGGACGTTGACATTGTCCCTTAGTTTCTTTTATGCCCAAGGCTGATACACTTGAGTCACAGCTCCACTTCTTAATTTTTGGTGGTTAATTGGAAATAAAAGTCTCATGAACTTTCCTGCTCCTGCTGGCCTCCAACCTCAATCTTCAGATGTCAGTACCATGAGTGGCTAGGGTTACAGGCTTGAGCCACCAGCATCCAGCCTGTTTCCAGTTCTTTTAGATATATTCCTAGAAGCAGAATTGCAGTCATACAATAATTATTTAGCTTCTTTGAGGACTTGCCAAACTGTTGTGTACCACAGATGCATGATTTTATATTTCTCCAGCTATATATAAGGGTTCCAGTTTCTCCACATCTGTGCCACCACTTATTATTTTTTGTTTGTTCATTTTTTTGTCCTAATGTTGTAAAATCTTATTGTAGTTTGATGGGCATTTGCCCACTGATTAATGATGTTAAACATTGTCTTATGTGTGTTTATTTACCTCTCTCATACCTTTGGAATAATGTCCGTTAAGATTCTTTGCCCATTTTTTATCTTAAAATTGTTAAATTGTAGTCTATTATATGTTCTAGAGACTAAACTCTGGATACCAGATACTATTTTCTTGTATAGTTTGTCTTTTTTACTTTTCTTTTTTTTTTTTTGTCGGTCATGGAACTCTAGGCCTAGGTGCTGTCCCTGAGTTCTTCAGCTCAAGGCTAGCACTTGAGCCACAGTACCACTTCCGGTTTTCTGAGTGGTTTATTGGAGATAAGAGTCTCATGGGTCTTTCCTGCCCGGGCTGGCTTTGAACCACGATCCGCAGATCTCAGCCTCCTGAGTAGCTAGGATTACAGGCGTGGCCACCGGTGCCCAGCTGTCTTTTTTACTTTTTAATAGAATCCTTTAGATCACAAAGTTTTTAATTTTGATGATGTCTAGTTTTTTTTTCTATAGTTTATGTTGCTTTTCTGATTTCACATTTAAGAAATCATTGCCTGGTCAGAGGTCATAAAGATTTACACTTAGGTCTTCTGAGAGTTTTATAGTTGTACCTCTCATATCTAAGTCTGTGATCATTCTGAGTTAATTTTTGTAGATGATACAAAGTAACAGTCCAACTTCATTCTTTTGTAGTTATCTAATATGATTTTAATCCTGTACTTCAAATTGAATTCTATTCTGTTGACCTGAGTGTCTATATATCTTCATGTAAATATATACCCTTTTATCTTTTTTATTTAATTTTCAGATGTGAACATTTGTGTGTGCGTGTGCGTGTGTGTGTGTGTGTGTGTGTGTGTGTGTGTGTGTATGTATGCGTGCGCGTGCGCGCCCCCGCATATGTGTGCATATGTCAGTTTTGGGGCTTGACCTCAGGGGCTAGACACTACCCCTGAGCTTTTTGCTCAAGGCTAGTATTTTACCACTTGAGTCACAGCTCTATCTCTGGCTTTTTAGTTGTTAATTGGAAATGAGAGTCTCATGAACCTTCCTGCCTTGACTGGCTTCCAAACACAGTTATCAGATATTAGCCTCCTCAATAGATAGGATTACAGGTGTGAGCCACCAGCACCCAGCTGAACATATTATTTTTTAAATAATAGAAAATTTAAAACAAGTGTTAACTGTGACCTAAGTTTGTTCCTTTAATTCCTCTCCAACTTACTCTTTCAGGAAAGTGTGCTGTGTTGTCATTCAAGGACTTCCTGTCCTGTAGGCCAACTGAAATACCAGAAAATGACATTCTGCTTTGTGAGAGCCGCTACAATGAGAGTGACAAGCAGATGAAGAAATTCAAGGGACTCAAGAGGTTTTCACTCTCTGCTAAAGTGGTAGATGATGAAATATACTACTTCAGGTAAACCTTGAAAACTGTAGGAACAAAGAGTACTTTGTCTAACTCATTTCAGAACAAGGTAGCCCAGACAGGTACTGATGGCTCACACCTGTAATCCTAGCTACTGAGAAGGCTGAGATTTGAGAATCAAGGCTTGAAGCCATCTCAGTAGGAAACTGTGAGCCCTTATCTCCAACTAACCAGCAAAAAGTCAGAAGTAGGAATATGGTTCAAGTAGTAGAGTGCTAGCCTTGAGTAAAAAAGCCACATGAGAATGTGAGACCCTGAGTTCAAGCTTCAGTACCAACACATACAGAAATAAAAGACAAAAAACAAGCTGGGTACTGGTGGGTCACTCTTATAGTCCTACCTACTCAGGAGGCTGAGATCTGAGGATCACGGTTCAAACCCAGCCTAGGCAGGAAAGTCCATGAGACTCTTAACTGCAATTGCAGAAAACCGGAAATAGCACTGTGGCTCAAGTAGAGCGCTAGACTTGAGCTGAAGAGCTCAGGGACAATGCCCAGGCCCCAGAGTTCAAGCCCCACTACTGAAAAAAAAAAAAAAGAAGAAGCAGTATAGCCCATTGTTTTCACTTTTTAAAATTATTAAATGTTAAACTAGAACAATATAAAGCCAGGTGCCAGTGGCTCACGCCTGTAATCCTAGCTACTACTCAGGAGGCTGAGATCAAGGAGGCCCAGAGTTCAAACCCTATGACAAAAAAAAAAAAAAAAATTAATTCAGTTAAATACTAAAGAAAATGTTGGAACTAGAGACATAGCTCCAGTAGTAGAGTGTCAGCTATGAGTGAAAATGCTGAAGGAGAGTGTGAGGCCCTGAATTCTTGCCTAGTACCAACACAAAAAAGAAAAAATAATGTTCATAATCTACTAGAACCTGGTAACCTAATAGTGTCCTTTGCTTAGACTCCAGTAATTACAGAATAGAGAAGAAATACTTGGTTCTAGATCATATCCTATTTCTTAGCAGATTGCTCAGTTCTACAGAATGTGAAACTCTTCATCATATATAGTCAACTAGATCTTACCCAGTACTTCCTCTTTTTTTCTACCTTAAAATGTATCGTGTGTATATGTGTGTGTGTATATATATATATATATATATATATATATTTTTTTTTTTTTTTTATTGTGGGAATACCATACAGAGGAGTTACAATTACATGGGCAAGATAATGAGTACATTTCTTATCAAGCATTGTTGCCTCCTCTTTGTTTTCCCTTCCCCTCCCTTCCCATACTTCCCCCACCTCCCCCCCATCCTCCCCACCCCACCAAAGTTGTGAAGTTCATTTTTCGACGTAATGACTTGTACATCTCATTGTTACAATGGGTCCATCTGTATTCCTAGTTAAACGATTTGTTTTTGCCCTTGCCCTCCACAAATTATACCAATATCAAATACAATGAAAGCAGGGGTTATACCGTGGGGGAGGGACATACAAAGCAACATAGAAATCATCTTATAAATATGTTAGAAACAATTGCATGAAAGAAAAAAAAACACTTGAATACTTATCTTGGGGTTCATTCCCCTAACATCAACTTATCTGACCTTTTTCATCAAAATTCTTAAAAAACAAAAAAAAAACTTCTGAACCAGGCACCGAGACTTACACTTATAATCCTAGCTTCAGGAGGCTGATATCTGAGGATCACAGTTCAGAGCCAGCCCAGACAAGAAAGTCCATGAGACTCTTGTCTTCAGTTACCACCAAGTGGTAGAGCATAAGCTTTGAGCACAAAAACTCAGGAACAGGGGCTGGAGATGAAGATTAGTGGTAGAGTACTTGCCTAGCATGCCTAGCCCTGAATTCAGTTCCTGAGTACCACATAAACAGAAAAGGCTGGAAGTGGCGCTGTGGTTCAAGTGGTAGAGTGCTAGCCTTGAGCAAAAGAAGCTCAAGGACTGTGCCCAGACCCTGAATTCAAGCCCCAGGACTGGCAAAACAACAACAACAAAAAATAAAACCCTCAGGAACAGCATCCAAGCCCTGAGTTCAAGCCTTAGGACAGGCACACCAAAAACAAACAAAAAGCCTAGCTTTGTAAGTAGAAGTAACTTCAGAAACAATCAATTAAGCTTTCTTACTGTCCTTAGAATGGACAGTACACATCACAGGAAGTTATTTCTAGACTTTAAGGTAAAACACTTTTTCTGACCAATCCTGGAGTGGTGTTAGGTGACTTTATTTTCTTATGTCACTTCTTTCAGAAAGCCAATTGTTCCTCAGAAAGAGCCTTCACCTTTGTTGGAAAAAAAGATTCAATTGCTAGAAGCTAAATTTGCTGAGTTAGAAGGCGGAGATGATGATATTGAAGAGATGGGAGAAGAAGACAGTGAGGTCATTGAACCTCCTTCTCTACCTCAACTTCAGACTCCCTTGGCCAGTGAGCTGGACCTTATGCCCTACACTCCCCCACAGGTGAAGCTAACATGTCCTGTTACTTACCTTTTTCACAGCTGTGGTTTGTAGTAAACACAAACCAAACTAAGGAGACCTCTGCCTCTTCCATATGTGAGCTTCCACCCAGAAATTTGCAGGAAGGAACAAGTTGTTTGGTTTTGTTGCTTGGTTGAGTTTGGGGGGATTTTTTTTGTCAGGTTCTTTTTCATATTTCTTTTAAAAAAATTGATTATATGCCTGTAATCCTAGCTACTCAGGAGGCTGATCTGAGGATCACAGTTTAAAGCCAGCCCGGCAAGAAAGTTCATGAGACTCTTGTGTCCCATTTAATCACAGAAAAAGCCAGACGTGACATGCTGTGGCTCAAGTGGTAGAGTGCTAGCCCTGGCGCATATATATATATATATATATATATATATATATATATATATATATATATATATATATATATATATATGCGCCAGGTGTCATTGGCTCACACTTATAATCCTAGTTACTAAGTTACTAAGAAGGCTGAAATCTGAGGATCTTAGTTTGAAGCCAGCCCTGGCAGGAAAGTCCATGAGATTCTTATCTCCAGTTAACTACCCAAAAAAGCCAGATGTGGAACTGTGGCTCAAGTAGTAAAATAGTAGCATTGAATAAAACAGCTCAAGGCCAGTGCCAAAGCCCTGAGTTCAAGCTCCAGGACTGGCACTTACACACATAACAAAGTATATATTTAGCAGGGTGCTGGAGGCTCATGCTTGTAATCCTAGGTGCTCAGGAGGCAGAGATCTGAGGATTGGGGTTCAAAGCCAGGCCAGGCAGGAAAGACTATGAGACTCTTATCTCCCCTAAAGCACCAAAAGCCAGAAGTGAAGCTGTAGTTCAGCACTAACCTTGAACAAAAGAATTTCAGGGACAGCGCCAGGCCCTGAGTTCAAGCCCCAGGACCATCACAAAAAAAAAAGTATATATTTGTCATGTCATTAAGCCACTAATGATTTAAATTTTAATCTCTTAGATTGTATAGAATTGTTTTATTTGCACTTTACTTAGAAAGCTTTCCTTGCCTTGTATGGAAGAAAAGTAGTAAGGAAAGGCATCATCCTATTGCTTCTCAGTTTTCATTATCTGTCTTTTTTGGTTTTGTGGGGGGTTTTGTTTGTTTGGGTTTTTCGTTTGTTTTGAGAAAGGGTGTCAGTATGTAGCTTAGGCTGATCTCAAACCTATGGTCTTCTGCTTTTGCCTCCCAGGTGCTGGGATTACAGGCATGCTCTACCATACTGATCACCTATGTATGTCTTTCAAATCTCTTCTTCCTTAGGACCTTATCTTTTATTGAGGTGATCATCATTGGTATTTTTTCTTATTTAGAGCCTCAGGATTTGTGAAGTCACTATTATATATTATAGTAGTATAGTCATGGAACTCAGTGAAACTTTCATTTATTTCTTGTTTTGAGGCAAACAAGAAGTATATTTTGACCAAGAAATGGCCAACTACAAACTAAATGTGTCTATAAAACAGTAACTGTCTTGTGTTCCTGGCTTCCATAATTCCTAAGCAATTAATCAGGTGCAGTGTTCTGATCCACTATAAGAGCTTTCTGTCTTACAGTCTACCCCAAAGTCTGCCAAAGGCAGTGCAAAGAAAGAAGGCTCCAAGCGAAAAATCAACATGAGTGGCTACATCCTGTTCAGCAGTGAAATGAGAGCTGTGATTAAGGCTCAGCACCCAGACTACTCTTTTGGGGAGCTCAGCCGACTAGTAGGAACAGAATGGAGGAACCTTGAGACAGCCAAGAAAGCAGAATATGAAGGTAAATAGAGACTAGGCACAACTGTCCAAGCTTTCTAAGCAAGGGAGTGTTTTCAGGGATGCATATGTGTAAATGATCTTGCCACATGCACATGAACTTTTTGTTAAGGACTGCTTCAGAGGGTACTCACTCAATAGTTTACATGTGAGACATTTTCTTGGTCCTGATTAAGCACAGTGCTTCCCTGACTTTGCTTGTGATCCTGGTGTTGCAGCCTCCTTCATCCCCACCCCAGAATTTCTCAGTATATTTTGCTGCCAAAAATTGCATGGTTTTCTTCATTTTCTTTCATTTAGCCCTATAAACACATACATCTTGAGTTGGGAAATTAATATACAGTGATGTTAAATATAATTTTGATATTCATCCAAAAGGAGCCTTTTAAAATCAGTAATCAGCTATGGCTCTTGATAAGTTTATACATGTATAAACTCTTAAGCTGCAGATTGGTGGAAGTACCTGGTTTGCTAGTCCAGACCCGGCCTCTGATGTGTCTGTATTCCTAGCTACTGTTACGGTACCTGGGGTTGATAAAGCCCAGCTGTCTTTATTTTCCTTTTATTCTGATTAAATCACTTTGGGCCATGAGCTATCATTTAAGGATTTGGTGATTCTTAGCCATTAGGTACAAATACTCGAGTTTTGGTTGTTTTTGTTTATTTTCGTTATTGTTAATTTCAGGCTTTCTTTAATAAATATGTATAAACATTAGCTTGGAAGGACTTTTGCCTTTGAGCTGTATTTTTTTCCATTTGGAATTTTATAGCAGTCAATTCTTAGTCTTATTGGCTTGGTCCAAATACTTTACTTTCCCTCAAATAAATTACTAAGGCTGCCTGCTTTGTTGAAATTTGTTAGAGTTGATTGATTATTAAAAATTATCTGGCAGGCTTCCCTAAGAATCTTCTGCGAAAGCCTAATCCTGTAAGATACTCAGTCAAGAAACATTCGTGGAAACCTGCTTGAGAGTATGCCAAACTCTGTGTCTTAGGAACTTACAATGTATATTTCATGCTAAAGTCTCTCAGAGCTAAAAAGAAAAAAATAGTTTTTATCTAGAATTTTCTGAAATTTGACCAGGTGTTCATGTAATATCTATTACTATCCTGAAAAAACATGTTATAGAACATCCTTTGAGAAATCCTAGAACTAGAACTTTAGAGTTTTAGTATTTATACTTAGAGTAAGAAATTAACATAGTTTTAAAGTCTGTTCCAAAACAAATAAAGCCAATACTTGGGTGGCTGATTATTTAGGGAGTGATCAGGAGAGAGAAAAATGTGGAGATAATGTGAAACATGGGAGTATGGCTGAGGAAGGAAAAGATGTTGGCTTAAAGGAAATTCTACCAGATTCAACAAGGAATCTGAAATTCAGAATGATCTTAAGGGAGTTAAACAACTCAGAAACATCTGAACTTTTGGTGTTCTTCACCTATTGAGCTACACAGATAGGAGTTTGACTTGACTTAGATACAGTTTGGCTTTCCAGGACAGCTTAGTTAGGCTTCTCCTAGAAAGAGACACCAGTAGCCCATCCAGTATTTGACCCACAGGCCTGAATGTTTTCTGTTTTTCCATCTTCTTTCCTGTTTTTTTTTTCTTTGCTCTCTCATTTACTGTGTCATTTGTATAATGAAAATACTAGAATTTAATGTGGGGTCTAAATCATTGATGTTTTTGTTTTATTGTGAGCTCAGGAAAATAAGTTGTTCAAATGGCCTTTGTCCCTCACACTCATTGTACTCAGTTTGCAGTGGGTATGTCAATTGGGACAGTGCTAGTGGTGGATGACAAATCTCTGCTGACAACTGTGTCACAGCTAAGGAGTGTTGGACTTACTTGACTTTCATATCCTTACCCTAAAAGAGGACTGGAGCTGTTGCTTCTTGTTTCTCTTTAAAGCCATGTAACCTCAAGCTGTTATCCCCCTCTTCAGATAGAGGAGCCTTTTGAGTTCCATATTGGAGGGTTAATGTGTGGTAGTTGGAGTATATGATATCAGGAGTCAGAGCCATCGGTTGCTGGTTCTCTCTACATTCTTGGGCAAATCATTACTATCTCCCAGTCTCCATTTTCCCATATGAAGAGTGGGGAGGGCTTCCTACCTATAAATGGTGAAAATAGAATAAACCCTGTGTGGTGGGAGCTTTGATAATATCCCTCTAGCATAATATATAAGGGTTTACCTGCTAGAAACATGATTGTTGGAGCTGTTGGCTGTGGAGATGCAGAATAGCTCAAGAGAGTGAAAGAAGTTTTCAGGTAAAAGCCCAGAAGTTCCACAAACAAATGCTCATCTTGCATTTTATATGAAGTAAGAGTAGATTCTGGAATTCATATGGATTTAGGATTGATTTATGATCAGCTTTGAAGTACACAGCTGTAGGCAATGTGGTTCTTTTCAGAACATTGTCCTTTGCTACATACATACATGTATTAGTTCCCTGATTCTGATGACTGTAGCCTAGAGTATCATGCATTTTTCCCTTGGGTTTATTAAACAATGGCCTCTTTGCTTCACTAGAATATAGAAAGTGGCTGTTTACTTTCCCTAAAATCTTGTGGAAGAGGTAGTAAGCTACTTTTCCCTTACAGAGTTAATTTTCTTCAGCTGCTAAACCTGTGATACTAATGATAAAGAGTCCTCAAATCTTTGTAAAATTGGGTACAAGGAATCAGGAAAATAGAGTAAGTAACAATTGTATCAAAAATTATAATGGGCCATGGAATTGCTTCATGTTAAAATTATAAACTATAATGCTATTAATACTAGAATAATGGTAGTGCTTCTCATCTTCAGGGTGCCTCATGAGATTAACCACGGTGGTTACGCTGGTGATGTGTTTAAATAAAACTTGTGCTTTCTGAATGTGTGTTGCAGTCTTAACATTCTTGAAATCTTTGCAGACCAGTTCTCAAGATGGGATAGGAAAGCTGGATTCTAGGTTACCAAGTGAAATCGGCCCGACTCTTCCTGTGTTGAGACTAGTCAACTACTGTTCCTTCCATTGAGACAGAACTGTTGCCTGTGTTTTTACTAGTCCTGTTGAATGCAATGGATGGTATTTTGAATTCCTGGGTTAAAAACAGAATTGAAAATCTGAAATGCCTTTACAGAGCGGGCAGCTAAAGTTGCTGAGCAGCAGGAGAGAGAGCGAGCAGCACAGCAACAGCAGCCGAGTGCTTCTCCCCGAGCAGGCACCCCTGTGGGGGCTCTCATGGGGGTGGTGCCACCACCAACACCAATGGGGATGCTCAATCAGCAGTTGACACCTGTTGCAGGTAAAAACAGGAGCTAAGACCATTTTTTTCCACTTTAAGAAATTCCTTCATTTTTTTTTCTCCAAGAGGAGTAGGCCACAGCCTGTAGCCTTTTCTCATGACAGATTTAAAGTTTGAAGTCATTCATGTCGTCCTATATTGCCTTTCCCATATGGGCAGTGTCTCCTCTCTGCCCCAGATATGGGCCCTGGGCATAATCCAGGGAATTGGTAGGGACCAGTTCTTCCCTGGCTGTGGGCATGGTCTGGCAATGTTCTTACCCCAGACTGCTCTAAATAGAGCACTACAGCAGATAATATAAATAAACCCTGAATTCTGTTCTGAAGAACTTCCAAGAGAAAACACAAACCAGTCTTTAGGTAGTGTTGATTTTCCTTCTTGTGCCAGTATTCAGTTTGCCTTGTTCTGCTGCAGCCATACTTAAAAGTCTGACCATTTAAAAGGATTTTTGACAATGAATTATAAATCCTTTCCTGGTCACCAGTGTGCATGACTGCTAAATTAAAAAAAAAAAAAAAAGTCCTTATTCAATTCATTGTGCCCACTCTGTAATGCTTTTCTATTTAATTACATTAAACTGCATTTTCTGTTAGTATCCCAGTCACATATTAAACAAAAAGAAAGAAAATGATGAATGTGGTTTGCTTGCTTGTGTGTGTTGTCTCTGGTTCTGGTAGCCATAGTGAATTTGACTATTCTTGAATTCAGTATCTTGTCTGATATGTCTCCAATGAGAAACCTGCATACCACCTCTCTGGCCCCACCTTTGTAATCCCCCCAAGTCTGATGAGATCTGTACAAGCCACCTATGTTTTTTCTTAATTCAATAGCTTGACCTCTGTCACAGGGAGTCCAAGACAGTGTTGTTCAAGGCAGGTTTGTTGGGATGTCGTTTTTGTTTTTGCTTTTTAAGGAAGAGCAGTGTAGGATACTTTTCCATTGTCGCTCTTAACTTTTGTGATGGCAAGTTCTCAAATGCACTGTCGCTGAACTTAGCAGTTGCACTCGCCAAAGCACTTGTGAATCATGGCTTTCAGTACTTTCAGTGTAACTGATGTTGATCTAACAAATTTCATAATCCGCCTGCTCTATTCCATGGCCCATTTTGGAATTAATGGGGTTCCAGAGGTTTTAGAAATCAGGCCTTGAACATGGGGACTTTGAAAGTTAGACTTCCTTCATTGATATTCTGTATTGTTCTAATTGATGTGTGATATTGTGGCACTGTGCCCTTGACTGCAAAACCCAGGGACATATTAACAAAATGAAATTTTGAAAAACAGCAGCTGCAGCATTTTAGCTCCCTGTTGGGGAATAACATAGAGCTCTGTGGTTGAGGATGGTGGACCCTCTAGAAAGCCCCTGCTCTTGTTACTGAGGGTGTGCTACCCATACTTCTAGGTCATGGGAGTTAAGGGCAAGCATTCTCCACAGTAACGGTCTTTGATCCACAGTGGGAACTTTGCAGCCAAGAGGATGATTTTTCATGGGTTTACAGGTTGCTTAGGGCCTGATTCTTAGCCTTGTTGCTGTCTGAGACCAGCTTTGCTTACAAGCATTGAAGCTCATTTGAACACATGTGACTGGGATAATAAATGCCAAAGTACAGTTTAATGAAGACAAGTGTCATGTCTTTCAGTGCTTAATAATTTAATCTTCAATCACAGCCCACGAAGGCTGCGTTCAGATGGGCTTTTGTAATTGAAAGCAAAGCCTCCCAACATTCTTACATTTCTCACGTACTTCACACCTAAAAGCTCAACCTGGTGGTGTGGTTAAAAGGCAGTTTGGCAGCATTGGATGTCCTCATGTTTAAGATGCTGGTGTCTGGTCAAAAGTAGTTTTTTCTCTGAACTCTCATTTCTTTAAAAAAAATTTTAAAAACCTTTATGCATTAAAGATAATGTTTCAGATTTCTTTCATCAGCTAGGTAATTGTAACTTTTGTAGTCAGTTTAGATATGGAAGCAGGGTGAATCAGTCTCAGAGTTTTCAATAATGTCATAGATTTAAGAGGTTTGTACAAGAGTCATGAGCAAATAAATGCCTTTCGATTAATTCTTAAGGGAAAGCCAAAAAGGGGAAAAAAATCTCAGAATCTGGAGTTCTGTACACTCTCTCAGAATCCCTCTCCAAAGAATATTTTATCAGAATGAGGTTTGACACTACTAATCTTCCCTTTGTGAAATGCTAAAGTACTTCAAGGGGAGCTTTGAGTTCTTGTTCATCATGATCATTACAAATCACTGAAAAGCTTAAATAAATAATGCCATGTGGTTTTAAAACTCTTTAGATAGGTGGAATCTTATCACTCCCTTTGCCAAAACTATTTGCTTAAACTCTTCTTAGTCATCACATGTGTTGTTACATGAAGATAGGCTTTGAAGATGAAGGAATAAAAACTGTTCACAGAAATTCTGTACCTCAGTTGAAATACCCCTTATCGACTGAAGATGTATATGAGGACATTAGTGAACCTGACAGCAGTCAGTGATGAACACTGACATTTTCTCATATCAGCAGAGCCTGATTCTCCAGCCATTCCTCCTTAAGGCATTCATGAAAGTTTTTGTGTGACCTGGGCTTTAGTTGATTGGGAAGGTTTGGATTTGTTTTTAAACATGTTTTAAGATCTAAAGGTGAAAGATCATTTTTGCAATGGCTGTTAGAAGCTACTTCCCAGCTCAAACCCTAGCTCATACCATTATTACCAGTAGTGGTGGGACTGGGAAGAGTAGAACTCTTGAACATTTCAAGCTGGAGAACCATGCTTTGTGATCAGGACTGTGTGATCATTTCCCTCCATTCCAATTTCCCCTCATATGTACCCATGATAGACATGAGTATAAGCAGAGTAGAATGGGGAGCCGTGTACTGTTCAGCTGTAGTTGTAGTTGCTCTGCTTGAACAGCTTGCAACAGTTCTGACCCTGGAAAGGCTATTATTCAAACGTCTTCTTATGAAAACATGCAGCATATTTATTCCAGTAAGAATAACTATGAACAATAATGTACTAAGTACTAATTTATCCAGAAATGTTGGGTATTCATACTTGTAACTTTTTATTTTGTTCATTATTGCAACAAAATAATTGCACTAATTACCATTATATCATGCAGTACTAAGGGTGCTTTATTCATTGGTAGTGCATGGGGGGGGTTGTTATTACTTAGCTCATGTTGCATGTTAATGATGCATGTCTGAAATTTGTTGTGTCCTTCAAGGCATGATGGGTGGCTATCCGCCAGGCCTTCCACCTTTGCAGGGCCCAGTTGATGGCCTTGTTAGCATGGGCAGCATGCAGCCACTTCACCCTGGGGGGCCTCCACCCCACCATCTTCCGCCAGGTGTGCCCGGCCTCCCGGGCATCCCACCACCGGGTAAGAACTTCATCTTCATTCACTCATTAATCTCATCTTAATATCTTTTTTTTTTTTTTTTCTCCCTAAGCCAGTTGTTCTGGAAGGAAATACCTGTTGCCTATTCTGCCAGGCCTACCTCACTGAGAATTCTGTGTGTTGAACAGAACGCTTAGCATCTGTGCTCTTTGTCAGGCAACAGCCCAGGGTGCATAGCAAAGGTCAGATTCTGCCCAAGGGGGCAGAAAACATACTCCATAATCACTTATACAGTATAATATGTACTTATAAGGTCAGGTAGCCTAGAGGGCTGCATCCTCTTTATCAGTGAATGAAGTTTCCTAAATTGCTAGCTCAGAGTAATATATTAAAAATAGTACAGATTTTCCCTTAGTACATTTCTTCATCTGATGCGATTCTTATCTCACAGGGTGTTCAGTATATCTCTTCCTTCTTAAGCAGCCCATCTAAAAGGACTATAGAATCGATTATGTAAAACTCTTCAGAAATCCTTCACTTTGTTTTGGGAACAAAAAGGGGGGAAAGAGAGGTTTTGTATATCTAACTCCCATAAGAAGTATGACATAGCCAGGCACCTGTGGTTCGTACTGGTACTCTTAGCTACTGAGGCTGAGATCTCAAGGATCAAAATTTAAAGATAGCCCAGGTAGAAAAGTCTGTGAGACTCCATCTCCAAAATAACCAGTAAAAACTAGAGCTAGAGGCCTGGTTCAAATGGTAGAGACCAGCTTGGCAAGCACAAAGCTCTGAGTTCAAACATATAATAATAAAAACAGCCTAGCCCATCCTGACTATAGACACCAGTCTATCACCACAAGCTCGTTCTTTCATGTAGACATATATAAATGGAATCTAGAAATTGTTATACTTAGTTTCACTTTACAATGAATTATAAATTGAAATTTTATTCTAATACCTAAAGGAGCCGGGCTGTGGTGGCTCGCACCTGTAATCCTAGCAACTCAGCTGAAGATTGTGGTTTGAAGCCATCCTGGGCAGGAGAGTTTGTGAGACTCTTATCTCTAGCTAACCACCAAAAAATTCAGAAATGGAGCTGTGTTTCAAGTAGTAGAGTGCTTTGAGGAAAAAAAAAAAAACCTCAGGAGCAGCACCCAGGCCCTGAGATCAAGCCCTAGAACTAGTATAAAAGAAAAGAAACTTAGCCCAAGCACTCATGCCTGTAATCCTAGCTACTCAGGAGGATGAGAGCTAAAGATTGCAGTTCAAAACCAGCCCTGGCATGGAAGTTCGTGAGACTCTTATCTCCAGTTAGCCACCAGAAAACTGGAAGTGGCACTGTGGTTGAAAGTGATAGAGCACTAGCCTTGAACAAAAAAGTTCAGGGACAATGCCCAGGCCCTGAGTTCAAGCCCCATGACAAAAGGAAGGAAGGAAAGGAGAGAAAGGGAAGAAAGAAAGAGAAAGGAGAGGAGAAAGGAAAGGGGGAAAGAAAGAGGGGGTGGAGGGAGAGAGACAGAAGAGGAGAAAGAAAGGAAACCTAAAGGAAAATTCCAAGTTCCCATACTTGTTGTCATCATATGTAAGAGAACTAAGTCTTGGCTATAATCTAGTCAGAGGTAATGCTTCTTTTTTAGGTGAGTTTGAGTACTATTTGTCCATTACTTAAAAATATCATCTAAGGAAACACACTGTATATACACGTATATATATAGATGTATACACCTAGATAAAATATGGATAAAAACTAATCAAGTTGGCTTACAATAGCATTGGATCTACCGACCATAGAGTTTTGCAGAGTTCCAGACAATGCTTCAGAGAATGGACCTAGCAGTGTGTAGGGTGAACAAGCCTAGTAGCCTGGCTTGAAACCTCCAGCTTACACTTTTTTTTTTTTTTTTAAAAACAGTGTTGCTGTATAACCCAGGCCAACCTTAAGTTTATGGTCCTTCAGCCTCAGCCTCCTGAGTCATGGAATTACAAAGGTGCACCACTGTGCCTGACTGTCCAGCCATACTCTGTAAATGTTGCTTAGAGAATGGCCATAGTTACATCAAATAATTTTTCCCAGATATCCCTAGAGGAGGTAATGTTTGCAGAGTGAATGAAGCATTATGGAAATAGTAACTTGGGTAAATCGTAGTGGCAACAGGAATCAATTATAAAATAATTGTTCCCCTAGTTCTATGTTCTCATTCATTAGCACATGGTATTTTTGGAGCAGTAAGACTGCATTTGGACATGACAATTTCTAGATGCATGTAATACTCAATGGGAGCCCTGTCTTAAGGCCAGTGGCCTCTAGTAGCAGCTGGGTTGTAGTGGGTATTGGGGCATATCATCCTCCTTCGCATCCAAAATGACATTTGAAGGAAGCACAACATATATGGTTATAGTCCAGGGAACAGGGGAAGGACTCTTTGATTTGTGCATGCATATGTCTGGGCTGATTTTGAGTAGCCATAGATTCAGAGAGCAGCTATGCTATCTCAGTTCATATGCTCACTGGCTGCCCCTGGCATTGCACTTGTAAATGAGGAAGCAGAAGAGTTTGCTGATTCACTTGTGCTGCCCTGCATAGCAATGATGTAGGCAGCTTATAGAGTTTAAGGAGGGGGTAAGTGTACAAAAGTAGTGGCCAGAGGCTTCTGGTGTGTTGTTGGAGCAGTAGCTTATCAACCACCACCTTTTCATTCACAAGTAATCCTCAGTATCCTTCTATGTTGATCCAGATAAACTTCTGAGCATTTGGAATATTAAAAATCCTATTTTTTAACACAAGCCTATTTTTATTTACTCTGTCTCTTTACAAATAAAAAGATGCTTACAACTCTGAATTTGAGAATACTGAGCTGTTTTTAAGTTTTTACGAATGGGGTGGCTCCCGTACCTATTTCTGTGTTTTATTGGAATATCAAATGGATGGTCCTGAGGTAAAAATAGTCTCAGATATTAATCAGTTCATTCCTGTGAGACAGCAATTGGTCATGATCATTCATCAAGGGAAGTTTACTAAATTATTATCAGAGACATAACACATGAAGTCTTTCTCTGTTCCTTTATTATATTCACACTTGAAACAACAGCAGCAAGGCTACTCCACTTCTGCATCATTGAAGTATCCTTTCTCTGCCAACATTAGTGACTTCAGGTAGAACCAGGTGCTGATAAACTATAAGAGGACAGCAAAGCAGTGCCTTCTAGCCTACCCAAAGCTCATTTAACTGCATTTTCACAGCCATTTCTCTTGTGTCCTTGCTATCTTAGCATATTGCTTACTAATGAGCCTGATTTCAGTGCCATTCCCAGTGAAATTCAACACAGGCTCCAGTTGCAAGACAATGTAGTACCTTGTAATCTAACTTACCCAGGGAAATACTAGAATTTTATAAAGATCACTTCTAAGCTTTTTGTCCTGTTTGGGGCACTTAGGATTCTATCAACACTGAAGGGCACAGGAACATATGTTGACCATGTAAATGCCATCATTTCTTATCAGACAGTAATTTTTCAATCAGCTCAACCTGAATCTTCTAATTGTGCCATTACCTTCTGAATTATAGGTGTGATGAACCAAGGAGTGGCCCCTATGGTGGGGACTCCAGCACCAGGTGGAAGTCCATATGGACAACAGGTAAGGGCCCCCATCCTCAGTTCCACTTTGGTTTTCTTAGGACTCAACAGAAGTCTAATCATCGTCCTTCTAGAACATATATGAACTACCTTTTTGTCTTACCATGTGGTACTGTGCTCTTTCAGGTGGGAGTTTTAGGGCCTCCAGGACAGCAGGCACCACCTCCATATCCTAGCCCACACCCAGCTGGTCCCCCTGTCATACAGCAGCCAACAACACCCATATTTGTGGCTCCCCCACCGAAGACCCAGCGGCTTCTCCACTCAGAAGCCTATCTGAAATACATTGAAGGACTCAGTGCTGAGTCCAACAGCATTAGCAAATGGGACCAAACTTTGGCAGGTAAGAAATATCCTTCCTACAGTAAGTCTTTGTGACAAGGCCAATGCTTGAAATCCTAGCTACTCAGGAGGCTTAGGTCTGGGGATTGCAGTTCACAGCCAGCCCAGGAAGACAAAGCAGCAAGACTCTTATCTCCATTTAACCAACAAAAAGCCAGTAGAGGTGTGGCTTAGGTGGTAGAGCACCAGCAATGAGTGAAAAAGCTGAACAAGAACATGAGGCCTTGAGTTCAAGCTCCAGTACCAGCACAAGAAAAATAAGACTTTATAATTAATATACATTCTTCCTCTTATTCCTGTTGCTGCTATTGGCTCTTGTACAACAAACATTCCCTTTTCTTTTTCTCCAAAGTTAGAAGGATGATTTATTCGTTTTATCAGAAGAAAAAGGAAGAAAAAAAAGGAAGGAAAGAAATTTGTTTGGATATAGTCTACACCTAAAATGAATAATATTTATAATAAATATGGTTTTATGGTGATTTTTTTGTTTTGTTTTTTGCTTTTGCTAGGGCTTGAACTCAGGGTTCAGGTGCTATCTCTGAGCTCTTTTGCTCAAGGCTAGTTAGTGCTCCATTTGAGATACAGCTCTCCTGGCTTTTTTGGTAGTTAATTGGAGATAAGAGTCTTAGAGACTCTTTTGTCAGGCTGGTTTCAAACCATGATCCTCAGATCTCAGCCTCCTGAGTAGCTAGTAGGATTACAGGTGTGAGCCACCAGGATCTAGCATGTTTTAATACATCTATCGACCCTTAAAAAACAGTGAGTTTCATCACCTTAAATTCTAATTTTCGGAAGTGGTGCTGTGGCTCAAGTGGTAGAGCGTTAGCCTTGAGCTGAAGAGCTGAGGGACAGTGTCCAGGCCCAGAGTTCAAGCCTCATGACCAAAGAAAAATTCTAATTTTTGATTCTCTGCATTTTAATTTTCAGCTCGAAGACGGGATATCCATTTGTCAAAAGAACAGGAGAGCCGTCTACCATCTCACTGGCTCAAAAGTAAAGGGGCCCATACTACCATGGCAGACGCCCTCTGGCGCCTGCGGGATTTGATGCTTCGAGACACCCTCAACATTCGCCAAGCATACAACCTAGAAAATGTTTAACACATCATTACGTTTCTTTTATAGAAGCATAAAGAGTTGTGGAACAGTAGCCATTTTAGTTACTGGGGGTGGGGGGAGGAACAAAGGATGACAATTTTTATTGCATTTTACTGTACATCATAATGCCATTTTTATATAAGGACACTTTTAATAAGCTATTTCAATTTGGTTTTGTTATATTAAGTTGACTTTATCAAATACATAGATTTTTTTGCATATGTTTCCTTTGTTTAAAACCAGTTTCATAATTGGTTGTATATGTAGAATTCTAGTTTTATCTTTTTACTTGTTGCCATGGGACTTAAACCATCAAAGGTTTTGTCTTGGCTTAGGGTTTGTTTTTTCTCTTGTTTTGGGGGGTTTTGTGATATATATATGAACAAACAAATGAAAAAAAAAAGAGTTTACAGATTAGTGTAAATTGACAATGAAATGTGAAGTTGGTCCTAGTTTACATCTTAGAGAGGGGAATATATATGTATGTTTCACGTGCCTGAATATCTTAAGCCACTTTCTGCAAAGGCTGTTTCTTACAGATAAAAGTGAAGTGCTTTCTTCGAAAGGTTGCTATTTAGATTATAGATATTTGGCAGACATGGCACCTTTGCTATATTAACTCAGAGGCCCTCTACATAAATCTACAGTCAGTGCTGTGCATTTATTTGCCGTTAGTATATCTCCTAGATAGCTGGAGGGAAAGCAGTTTTTCTTGTGGTGAGTTAGATATCTGTGATGTCAGTGATTTTTGCAGAACATGTGCGAAGCCCTGAATTATATTTAGTATTGGCAGGTAAGTTTAAAAGTACATTTGTTCTGTTTATAATGAGTTCACAGTTTATGCCTATACATGTTAGATTCTTTGAAATTTTAAATCTTTTACATTGCAAAACATTGACATTCATCTTGAAGAAAGCATTGGGGTAAAAACGTGGAGATTTATTTTGAAGCATATCCCCTAATATAAGAAAGGAAGTATGTATTTGTTTCTAAACAATATCGTGAGCTAATTGTGAAAGGATAGATTGCCTGCATGCAAATGTTTTCTATTCTTTATTTCTTTATTTTCAGTTGTGGTATTTCTTTTTCCTTCCAAGTGTCATGGTTGTAATTCTCAACCAGAAATTGGATATTTTCTAAAATATGTTTTTAAATTTATATTGTGCTTTTGAATTATAGAAGAGAATCATTATTTTAAGAAAATATTCACTAAAAAAAAAAAAGACCATTACTGATCCCAAACACCTAGAGATTTGGTGACTTTCTTATATGGCCCTAGAATAAACATTTTGAGGCAGTATATGATTCTCAGACAGTAGGAAACTACCAACATGGAACATTATTTCACTTGGTGATCTCTGAAACTTGCCATATTCTAGCAGAGTAGGTATGTTATGGCATTTCCACTGCTGTTTGTCTGATGAGAGTATAACTTTCAAAGGATACTTTTAATTCCTTTAATCTGTTCTACATACCCACATGTATAGTTATCCTACTTAATAAATCATGAGGGCAAAGGAGTAGTACAAAATAGGGAAACGTCTCTTGTATCGAGATACTTTAAATACTGGAGGCCCTTGTAACTTGATTGCCACTAGTCAACCACTGGATCTCAATTTGCATTAAGCATTTGAAAGAATTTTAAATTTTCAGTATGTCAGTACCTATTGTTAACATGAAAAATCAGATAGATCTCTTCTAGTTGCTGATTATTTGGACCATTGATTCATCATGGAGTATATAATGCAATCAGATTCTTTTCTTTCTAGATATCCTTGAATTACACCAAAGAACCTGAAACTTAATTTTGGTTAAATTATTTATTTATTTCATGCATTCATTTTATACCCTTTTTAAGGTCTGGATGACTTTCTTGGAAAGCCTCTAAGAACTGTTCACCATGGGCCATTGGGGCATTAGAAGCCAGAGCCCTCCTCCAGATTCCTTTCCCTGCACAGTGCAGGAGGAACCAGGAGCCAGGAACCAGCCAGGAGCTCTAAGGCAGTGCAAAACCAGCCCAGGGTGTTATTAGGCAGGCCCTAGTTAATTTAAAAGAAAAAAAAATATTTATTTTAGAATCATGTTTTTCTATATACTAACTTGGAGAATATTGGTATTTAGGATAGAAGATTTAAGGTCAACCATCTTCCAGAAAAAAAAATCTGACATAAGAAACTATAAGTAAACTATACATCTTTTTTTTTTTTTAATTCCTCTCCTGCATTTTTAGGAACTATAATGTGGCTCAGAAAACATAATGGCCTAAATGTTTCAAAATGTGAGTTCCTGTGGAGAATTTTGTTGCGGGGATGGCCATAGATTTAAAATAGAATGACAGCCAACTGGTTTTTGTAAAGGCCTTTGTTTTTATTTTTTTTTTAACCCATCCTCCTCCTATGAGGAAAAACAGAGGTGGGACTCTTATGTACCATCCCCAAATTGATAATAATGACTTTGAGTTTGAACATTTCCAGACCTGATTAAAACTTGTTTTATTCTTATTTCTGTATTATCATCATCTGAGGTTTAAGTGGTAACTAGTCTTTAAACATGTATGTGTCATATGTTTGTTCTAAGGCTTTTTAATCCAAATAAAAACAGAGTTTGCAAAGTGATTTGGATTAACCAGGTTTGGTTGTTCTGTTAAACCTGTGTAAGATGTTAGTTTTGGGCACACTGAAGAGAAGTTCTATAAGCCCTAATTTCATGCCATGATGATATGGCTTCAGATTTGAGGAAAGGACACCCCTTTGGTGGAGGTCAAAGTCAACGTGCAAATCCCTGATTGGGAGCTCAGATGTGTTACCATAGAATCTGAATATGGTAAAATGCAGCCTGAAGTCCCCTATACTTATTAGGATTAGAAGCATGGCAGAAATGCAGGTTAAAAATTGAAATTGAAGGGCTAGGGGTATGGCTTAAGTGGTAGAGCCACCGCTAAGTAAGCTCAAGGCCCTGAGTTCAAACCTTAGTACTGCCAAAAATAAAGAAATGAAAGCTGGGCGCTGGTGGCTCTCACCTGTAATCCTGGCTACTCAGGAGGTTGAGATCTGAGGATCACAATTCAAAGCCAGCCTGGGCAGGAAAGTCTGTGATACTCTTATCTACAACTAATGACCAGAAAACCAACAGTAGCATTGTGGCTCAAAGTGGTAGAGTGCTAGCCTTGAGCAAAAGAGCCCAGGGACAGCACCCAGGCCCTGAATTCAAGCCCCATGACCAAGAAAAAAAATGAAGAGAAAAGTAGAGGACAAAAGGTGAGGGAAATATGTCCTCTATTAGAATGCAGGATAACTCACTTCAAACAGTTTGTCTGTGACCAGAGGAAACAGGTGGCCTAGGTGTGTCTTTAAATGTTACCGTACTTTTGATAGAAAATGTTAGTAAAAGATTAACCAACTGTTTTCCTCTAATATCACTTTGCAAATCCCTGTGTTTCTGTTCTGAGAATGTAGGACTGTACTTCCATCTGTGTCCATGAGCAGTCACTGATGTATAAACATAGCAGCTGATCACTGTGAGAAGTATTTCTTTTCCTTTTCAGTTTGGAAGTATGATAATTCAGCTAATGAAAGTTCATTACTGAGCAAATTAATAACAATGACTTTTTCCTATTTAGAGTTTTATATGGTATTTATGTCTTAAAGATTGCACATAAATGTGGCAGGGTCTCAAATTATTTAGTATGTGTGAAGTCTAAGCACTGATAATTGCTTTATAGGAGAGAAATTGCTTTGGAAAACACATAGTCTAAAAGTTCATTTTTATTAAAGGGTAACTCACAGTGTGAAAGTCTTACATGTACAAAAGAGCTGCTGAGCTAGTGGCTCATATCTACAATCCTAGCTACTCAGAAGGCTGAGATATGAGAACCAAGGTTGCAAAGCCAGCATAGGCAGACAAATCCAAGAGATTCTTATCTCTAGTTAACCCATAAAAGCTGGAGATAGAGATATGGTTCAAGTGGTAAAACATAACTATGAGTAAAAAAAACCTAGCAAGAGTGATAGGCCCAGTCCAAGTCCCAGTGTTGGCACCAAGGGAAAAAAAGAAAAAAAAAAAAAAAAGACTCGTGCAATTAAGTGTAACAACAATGATTTAGGTAACACAAAATGGACCTGCTAGTTGTACAAGTAGCTTTGTTAAAATTTTATCACTTAATGCTCTATCCTCAACTCAAGTGATAACAGTAAAATTCCAAAGCCCATGATTTTTTCCAGCACTACACTGGAGGTAGATTTCTAACAACAATGCTAATTAAGTATATATCATTCTAAAATAAGTGGGATTTTGTTTTGTTTTACTTTTTTTAAGTGCCAGTACTAGGGCTTGAACTCTTAAGAGTAGAGCTCTTGATCAGCTTTTCTTGCTCAGGGCTGGGCCACTTTTAAAACAAAAACATGTCTCAGATTTTTCTGCCCCCACTGGCTTTAAACCTAGATCCTCAGATCTCAGCCTCTGGGAGTATCTAAAATTACAGGTATATGTGCCAGCAGTTCCTAGCTCTGTTACAGCTTTTTAAATCTGTTGAATTTTTTGCCTTGTAGTTCACACTAGGGGGCACTGCCATACTGTAATCAGAATTGTGACCTTTAAATTATAGTTCAAGTATCTAAGTAGGTTAGCATTACATTCCTAGTCAGAAGGTTATGAAAGGATTTCCCCCCCCCCCCAGGGGTCATTCCTAGGGAAATGTGACTCAGTGGTACTCAAGTGTCTGGTTAGCACTTAGCACTGATTTTTTTTTTTTTTTTTTTTTGAGGCAGTTAAAAGCAAATGTGCTGGGCTGGAAAGGTGACTCAATGGTAGAGTGCTTGCCTTGCATGCATGAGACCCTGGGTTTGATTCCTCAGCACCACATAAGCAGAAAAAGCCAGAAGTGGTACTGTGGCTCAAGTGGTAGGGCATTAGCCTTGAGCTGAAGAGCTAAGGAACAGTGTCCAGGCCCAGAGTTTAGGCCCCACAACTGGCAAAAAAAAAAAAAAAAAGCAAATGTGCTCAAAGAAATGTATCTCACATTAAATACAATAATTGAGTTGCTAGTCTACTTGTTTTAAAGTCAGATGTTAATCTATCAGCTTGCCATGGTGGCACACATCTATAATCACTGCTATTTGGCATATTAAGGCAGGAGGACCTTGAGTTCTTGGCTAGCCTGGCAAAATCAGAAAAACTCTATCTCAAAGATGAAATATAAATGAGTTGAGAACATGGTCAAATGGTAGAATACATGAATGCAAAGCTCTGGCTTTGATCTCCAGTACTGAAGAAAAAAATCTTACATTATACTGCCATTTTCAAACTTGTCCTTTTAATATAATTCTGACGGGGAAAACATGACTGGGGGTGGGGTGGGGGGAGGAGGAACCCTAGAGAATAACAGAATTGAGAGGCAGCAGGGAGATTGCTCAGGGAAGAAATCACACCAGATGTAGATGCTGGCTAGTAATTTGACTGGCAGTTACTATTAATAAAAGACATGGCATATTCTGTGTGTCAAAACACTTCCTTTTTTTTCCCTCCCCTCGGTTATAGGTCTTGAACTCAGGGCCTGGGTGCTGTTCCTGAGCTCTTTAGTTCAAGCCTAATGCTCTGCCACTTGAGCCACAGCGCCACTTCCAGTTTTCTGGTGGTTAACTGGAGAAAAGAGACAGACTTCCTGTCAGGGCTGACTTTGAACCGCAATCCTCAGATCTCAGCCTCCTAAGTAGCTAGGATTACAGGCATGAGCCACTGGCTCCCAGCCTCAGTTTCTAAAACTAGGAGTGTGAAGAACACACAAAATGTGTTCATACGGCCAGGCACCAGGGGCTCATTCCTGTAATTGTAGCTACCCAGGAAGCTGAGATCTGAGGATCACAGTTCAAAGCCAGCCTGAGCAGAAAAGTCTATGAGGCTCTCCAGTTAACCACAGAAAAACTGAAAATGGAGCTGTGGCTTAAATAGTGGAGTACTATCTTTGGGCAAAAAATCTTAGGGATAGCAGCCCAAGCCCTGAGTTCAAGCCCCACAACCAGTAACAGGGTAAAGAAGTGGCTACATAATTAAGAATCATGTCTTCTTATGTAGCAGTGTCTCTGAGATTAAGTTTAGAACTTTAGACAACTGGGCATATTACTAAGCACTCTTGGTTTTGTCTGTCATCACTGGCCTTCATACCCAAGCCACCTCTTAACAATGAGCTGAACTTGCTGTAGTTAATGCTTTGATGAAATATGAGTAATCACTGGGTCTTTGTTTACATTGGATTGGTCCTAACACTAATGGACAAATTTAGATTAGGAAAATTATAAGATATATTAATGGCTGAGATAATTATCTTGAAGACAACCTGTAGCCTTAAACATCAGCTTGCTTATTTCTTTCCAATAGTGAATTCTACTGATTTGAGATTTAGTGTGTTTTTCTGTGCCATTCTTGGGACTTGCATTCAAGGCCTGGGTGCTGTCCCTGAGCTTTTGTGCTCAAGGCTGGTACTCTACCACATAAGCAATGCTCCACTTCTGGCTTTTTTGGTAGTTAAGAAGATGAGAGTCTCATGGACTTTCCTGCCTGAGCTGGCTTTGAACCTCAATCCTCAGATCTAAGTCTCCTAAGTAACTAAGGTTACAGGTGTGAGCCACAGCATCCAGCTTAATCTTATTTAGAATGTTGATATTTCTTGTTTGAAAACATGTTGGATATGGTTGTCTAAGCATGTAAAAATGCCTTTACATTTCTACCAGTGACTGCACTTAGGTTGAGTCAAATTGCCAGATAGTAAAATGCCTTTACATTTCTACCAGTGACTGCACTTAGGTTGAGTCAAATTGCCAGATAGTCTGGATGCTTTCCACTATGTATAGTTGTCGTTAGCAGCATTCTCATCATAAAGGGGTGTGAATCATGGAGTTCCTAACCTCTTGTGTAAGGAAGTTCACAGAGAACTAGCATGAGCAATGTAGTCAGTCAGGAATTGCCACAACCCTAGCAAGAAGTTTATGGGCTGGTAACAGGCAGAAATATAATTGCATAATTATCTTAGTTTTGACAATTTTGCAAAGAGATTGGTTTTTTTTTTTTTTTTAAGTCATGTCTATGATCTAGTTTGGATTCTGAAAAAGAAAAGCCAGCACCAGTGGCTCATACCTATAAACCTAACTAAAGAGGCTGAGATCTGAGGATCATGGTTCAAAGACAGCCCTGGCAGAAGGTCCACAAGATTATCTCCAGTTAACTACCAGAAAACTGGAAGTGGTGCTGTGGCTCAAAATGGTAGAGCCTGAGCAAAAAGAGCTCAGGCACAGCACGGAGGCCTTGAGTTCAAGCCCCACGATGAAGAAAAAGGCAGGGAAAAAAGGAGAGAGAGAAAGAAAAGGGAATGAAAGAGAGGTAAGATTACCATTTGTTGCCTTAAACAAGCCAGGATTAGTGGATTAGCTACTGGGGAGGCTCAGATTGGAAGGATAACAGTAGGAAGCCAGCACAGGCAAACCGTTCTTAAGACCATACCTCAACCCAATAAAAAGATGCACATGGTGGTTCCCCTTGTCTTCTCAGCTATGGGAAAAGTATAAATAGGAAAATTATAGTTTAGGCCAACTAGGCAAAAAGCCAGGCCTTATTTTAAAAAGCCAAAAAGGGATGGGATTGTGGCTCAAGTGGAAGAACACCTATCTAGCAAGCACAAGATCCTAAATTCAAACCATAGTACTGCCCAAAATAAATGCTCATTAAGTGTAAATGAAGGAAGTAATTTTCTGACAAGTACTGTCCAATAGTGAGTTTGGTAGAGACAGCAAAACTGAAAAATCATTGTAAAGGCAATTCTTGGAGTAATGTGCAGATGCTAGACAAGCAAGAACGGTTCTGAAGAGTACATTTCTAAAGGAGCTGAAACCAGTCATGAAAATTCATATATTCACTTTATTGGCTGCTGAAGTTCAATCTCTGATGCTTCTTCCAGCCTTCTCTGATACTGTCTTTCTGAGGCTTTTCTACGGTAGACATCATCTGTATCAAACAAAAATTTTGCTTAGATTGTCAGAAAACAGGGCTTTTATAACATACTCAAGTCTGAGTGATTCAACCAATAGGCTTAAGTTTGTCACCTATTTCTGAATCTCAGTGTTTAACCCAAGGGCAAAACAGACTTAAAACTAGTTGAATGAATACTAGTTAGTGGAGTTCTAGACTTTGGTAGAAACATTCTGACACACCTCTTGGTAATGTTTCAGCATTCCTTCACTTCCTTCCCACTCATGATTTCTGTTCTCTCTAAAATAATACTTAATTGGGCTGGGAAGGTGGCTCAGTGGTAGAGCGCTTGCCTTGTATACATGAAGCCCTGGGTTTGATTCCTCAGCACCACATAAGCAAAAAGAAAAAAGCCGGGAGTGGCACTGTGGCTCAAGTGGTAGAGCACTAGCCTTGAGCTGAAGAGCTGAGGGACAGCGCCCAGGCCCAGAGTTCAGGCCCCACGACCGGACCCAAAAAATAAATAAATAAAAATTTAAAAAATAAAATAATACTTAATGGACCTGGCCCCTCAAAGGCACTTCATACCCTGAAGTGATGTGCTGGCTCCCTTTTCCATACCCCACAACCTCAGCATAAGGAGGGGAAGTCAGTTTCCTTCTCAGCTGCTGTTTTTCCAGACTGCGATTGCTGTCTTCATTTTTTTTTAATCCTCTTGCTTTTTAGGTTGCATGCGCATGTGCGCACTCGCACTATTCCTGAGGTTTTTGTTTTTGTTCTTTTCCCAAAGCTAGTGCTCTACCACTTGAGCCACAGCTCTACTCCCAGCTTTTTGGTAGAAATAGTCTCATTTTCCTACAGGAGCTAGTTTTGAACCACAATCCTCAATCTCACTCTAAGTACATAGGACTATGGGTATGAGACACCAGCCTGACTCGTACTGTTTTACTGGATTTTGAATTCAGGGCCTGTGCTTGTTCAACAGACACTCTGCCACCTATGCCATGCTGAGGTCCCTCTTCCTTTAAAAATTCTTCCTTCAGGGCTTGTGCCATTTTGAGCTGGGAAGGCGGTTCAGCAGTAGAGTGCTTGCCTTGCATGCATGAGGCCCTGAGTTCAATTCCTCAGCACCATATAAGCAGAAAAAGAGGGACATGGTGCTGTGGCTCAAGTGGTAGGGCACTAGCCTTGAGCTGAAGAGCTGAGGGACAGCACCCAGGCCCAGAGTTCAGGCCCACGAGTGACCCAAAAAAAAAAAAAAAGTGATATACAGGGCTTGTGCCATTTAACAGTCTCTCTCTTCCTGGGCTGGCACCTGCTCTATCACACACACCCATTTGGTCACTGAAAAACACTAGACTCTTGCTCTGGCTCCTTGTCCCATCCTGGACCTTCTCAAAAACACTGCCACTACCCTTGTAGACAAAGAACCAACCCCCTTTGCCTTCCTGACTTCTTCTTTTTCAATGCTGTATGGAAGGAATTCTGCTTAAACCACAACCTCTCTACCCTTTCACCTTGGAGTTCATCAACTTCTTCCCCAGATCCTTGGCTCTTCGTTTTCCCTTCATATTCTCTCTTGGCAAAGTGGATGATATTCCTTCACAGTCATCAATATCTTGACTTATACACACACCCTCTGGCCAGAAGCCAGAAATTAATTCAACTTCCTACTCCATGACCCTTAATAGCAGTACCTAAGTCCATCTACTGCCATGTCTGGAAATCAAGTTTTCTCAATCAAGACCCTCTCCTTTCTTTACTCACCTCTGAGTGGCCATGAACTCTTTCTACATAAGTAAGTTACTACAATGAACTCTCAGCTAATCTCCAAGGCTACTCCCATCTTCATAAGAGCATATCTACACCCCCACCCCCAAGGGCTATCTTTCCTTCACAGACTCAAATTTCCTTAACTTCATATTTATGAAAACCTTCCTGGTGTCCCTAACTTCCTCCTTTGACCACTCAAGTCATCCTAAAATGGTTGGTCTTCACTATGGTTTACTTGTGAATGGTACAGAAACCGAGATTTCTAATCCAGTTCAGTCTCTTGAGTTTGAGATCTGTAAACCTCCACCTCAGCATGTCCTGAGTGGAGCTGAAGGTCACCTTGCCTGGGCGCTCCACCTTCAGAGAGGTAGCACCCATGTTCCATCTTGATCATCAAGCTTTGTCAGCATTACCTCTGGGCTGTCAACATCACTCACTCCTTCTACCTCCAATCTAGACACTAGCCTCTCTCAAATGCAAGCCCAGACTGTGTTCCCACCAGTGTTTCCACATGAGCCCCATCGAACCCTTCAATCCTGCTCACTTATCCCACTGTGGTTCCTTTCTAACCACCTTTGGCTCTCATCATCTACTTCCATCCCTCGGCACCCACAACAAGGCCTCCTAAACAAGGCATTCCCACTTGGTTGAGTCTGCAAAACCTATTTTGTATGGTAGCTTTTACAAAAGTTTTCCATCTAGTCCAGTGAGATGCCCACCTACAATCCCTGAGCATCTCAGCTACACCCTAGCTCTAGTGGTAATTGTATGATCTGTCTTTCCCATTAGCTCTTCCAGGTGGAGACCTGCCTTGTTCATTCGATCCCCTCTTGGGTGGTCAGTCAGAGGCAGTGACACACTGCTGTTAATCCCAGTTACTGGGGAGGTAGAGATGGGAAGACTGTAGTTTGAGGCTATCCTGGGCGAGAGTTATGGAGATCCCCCTCCCCACCTAAAATCAACAAAAAATGTAAGTATGGTGCCTAATCCTAACTTCTCAGAAGGCTTAAGTAAAAGGATCAGTATGGGCCTACTTGGGCAAAAAAAAAAAAAAAAGGAAGACAATCTGAAATATAAAACAGAAAGGACTGGGGGAATGGCTTAAATGGTAGGGTTCCAGTGGCATTGAGTTCAAACTCCAGCACCACACACATCCACTCATCCATACATGCAAACTATTGATGAATAATGAACAGAAGGAAGTACTAACGTAATACCTTAAAAATGAGAGTTGGCAATTCACAAGTATTTCAGGAAAGTGGCTAACAAAATAGCCTAGGGGCTGAGAGGTCCTGAAACGGAACTGGCCTGCCCAGAAGTTGTGCTCAGAAAAGCAATGCCAGGCGTTCTTTTCGCAGTGGTGGGCCTCTGACCCAAGCCAAACACCTGGTGCCAATGATGGCTCCGTAAAGACATTGGGCGTATTTAGTCAGGCAGGCCAGTGCTCTCCAAGGCTTGGGACAATTAACTCAGAGAGGGAAGGCCAGTTAACAGGGATTTCTATAAATCCTCAGGATCCACCCCTCTGTGGTAGTAAGATTCTCCCTAAGGCCCACTCACTGGCAAGCTCAAGGGCAGGCTTGAGAGGAGGGCGGCCTGAGATTGGGGATACGAGTCCTCCAAGTGTCGGGAAAAGTGGCAATGCTGGACGCCAATGTGTGCGGTGAAGAAGAGGCCGGTGGGCATACGGCCAGAGTTGAACCAACAGTGGCAAAGTGAATGGAAAGGCACTTGTCCTTCAACCACAGTTTTAAAAGCAACTCGGTACTGAAGGAAATCAGCAGTCTGCAATGTAATGCCCTCAAGGGAAACAGATCCCTGCTAGTCGTGCCTTCCTGAAAGGAAACGGAAGCTTACTGCACCCCCACTTACAGAAAGTCTCCTGGCCCACACGCACTTTAATCATGATCCACTCCATTGTTCCTCCCAGGACAAAAAAAAAGGGCAGGAACCTGTAGATGCCGAGTCGCTGCTTCCCGGGCACTCGCTGCAGAATTCGCCTCAGCTGGGCTCTGAAGAACATGTTCGACTGAAGTGGAAAAGGGCAAAGCGGACCTCGAGCGCCTGGAGTGCCCCTGCGCGGCCAAGCCCGTCCTGCATGTCCCCGCCGCGTTCCGCGGCCAGGCCGAGCAGCCACAAACTCACGCCACAGCCGCTGCGGAGCTCGGGGCGGAAGTCGACCTCTCGGTTCCGCCAATCAGTTCGGCGGGGTGCGCGGATCCACCAATCAGAGTACTGCTGAGATGGAGCGGCCTAAAGGAGCAGGCGCTAGCGTCCCGGCTCTGGAGGGCGATCACAGGGGGCGGGGCCACCAACGTGGCGTGGGCCCCGCCGCGTCCCGGGTCTCCCCCGCGCAGGCTGGGCTGGGACTTGACTGCCGCGCACTTTGCCACCGCCATCTTTTTTTCCTGATACACTAACTGAAGTCGCGACCGTAAGTGAAGGTCTGGCTAGTTCTGTACACCACCATACTCCAAAATGCAATTATGTTACGTCGGTCTTCCTTTAGGAATGTTACTCTTCTAAAGATTCGATATGCATTGTTTAAAGCTGAACTTTTCATTATCACTACAAAAGCCTGGTTTAGAGAAACAACCCAAAAATGATTTTTAAGAAATAGCTGTCATATACGGGCACTTTTATCTAGGCATTTGTAGTTTTTGTTGTTTTGTTTTGCTTGCCTAGCCTCTTTATTCATAAATTGCACAGATAATTACAGGATTGGCAATGAGCATAGCTTTGTTATTAGATTACATCTTTGTGCCACCATCAATTCCCCTTTGATGCATTAAACACAGCACCTGAAACATAATAACTTGTCAATTAACAGTTGTAATATTCATGATTATGCTTTATTGAGTTCTCATGCTGCACATAAATTCCCTTTACCAAAAAGAGATTAAGCCAGGCAGACACAGAGCTCTGACTCAGAAGCCATCACTCATGATCCATGGCTGCTTGCTAACCATACCTACAAGAGGCTTTCCCTCCAAACAATTGAAGTAAAGTTTTGAGAAGAGAGACAACTATGACCATCTTTAAGAGTCAAATGAAAGCCTACGTTCTTTTCCTGGTCCCCAGAAAAGATCAAAGGCCTTCCATGAGCAGCTATAGCTCATTTCTCTTGACGTTTTGGAGGGCTGGACCCTGCAGGGCGTTCACTCCCCTGGAAGAGGTTTATATGTGTCCTGAATCCAGGTCACACTTAGCTCATGTGGGCCCTCAGGGACACTCAGGAACCCATTTTTTGGCCTCTGTGCCTACCAGTGCCCAACCTAGGATCTGGCACACTAGCTAGGTGTTAGTCCAGATGTAGAAGCCTTGCGCAAACAACCTTAAACCCAGTGAGCATCCTGGGAAAAACCATGCACCCAGCTGACTTGCTCATCATGGATACGACTCACAGGGTGCTGGGCTGACCATTGTCACCGGACGGAGGTGCGGTCACTAAACCTCAGCTCCGTCCGGTGACAATATCATTGGTATACCTGCAGGTAAGAAAGCTAAATAGAAAAACGAAGTAAAGAGAGGTTTCAAGAGGAAAAGAGAAATTGCATTGTAAGCTCCGACACTGATAGAATGGACTTGGGCCTCTCAAAAGAATGACTTCTCCGGGCAATGAAGAGTTGACAGATTTGCAGCAGCCAGAACCAAGTAGCTGTAGTGATTCACACAGCTCCACTAGGCTCCAAGTTAAAAGAAGTCCCCTGTGTTGGGTACCTGGAGGCACAAAGCAGAGGCACAGGGGAGCGAGCAGAAAAGGGCTCTTTACAAGTTAAATGAGTGAAGCAACCAGGGCTTTCAGCAGGCAGGGAGAGGGGCGGGGGGGGGGGGGGGGCGAGCAGGACGCCTAGGCAGAGAGATTTGGGGAAGGGGGGACCCCTGGAGACACGTGAACTGCCTTTTCCCTCTCTCGACCGTCGGGAGCCTAGGTCTTAGGTTCTCCTACTTTCTGAACGAGGGACCAGAGAAAGAGCCGCCATCTCGGCGAAGACGACAATGGGGGGGCGCCGATCCCTGGGCCGCGCGGGGGGCTGGGAGAAGGGGGTCGGGAGCCCGCCCCGCCCGGTCCCGGAGCCTCCCGCCCCCCCAAGCCAAGGGGCACACCCATTGGCCGGCCGGGATCCTCGCGCCGCGCCCATTGGCCGGCCTTAGTGAGGAGCATGCGGCCACCGTGGCGGGCGCGCAGTCGGAGAGCGGCGGGCTGGCGGACGGGCGGCGGGGCTGCGCGGGCAGCGCGCAGGGGGCATGGCGGGTGCGGGACTGCGGGCCGCCGCGCGGCGCTGGCTGCTGTGCGGAGGCCACGGCGGGCAGCGAGCCGCCTCGTCCTCACCCTCCTGCCCTGGCTGCGGCCCGCCGGGTCCCAGCGCCCACTGCCCCGGCGCTCCGCGCCCCGCTCCGGCGCCCACCGACGGCGCGGAGCCCAGCGCGCACCTATGGGCTCGTTACCAGGACATGCGGAGGCTGGTGCACGGTGGGTGAAGCCTGGAGCGGCCGAGCGCGGGTGGGGGGCGTCTCCCTAGCGGCGGCTGGCCGCCTCCGAGCCATCCTGGACGCCGCTTCGGTGGAAGCGCCCGGTGAGGTTCACCACGGTCCCGAAGCCAGAGGGCCGGGAGGCCTTTTGGAAAAGGCTCCAGCGGGGCGTCCAGAGCCTCCGCAGACGTTCTTGATGCCCGGGGAGGTTTGTGCCCGGACTTGATCTGCAGGATCTTGGAGCACACGTCGGTGTGTGCTGCCCCCGCCGACTCTCGCGTCCTCTCTGCGGGGCAGCGGCGGAAACGCTCCAACCCCTTGTTCCCCGCCGGCCCTTGTTAGACTAGAAGTGCTGTGGACAAAGCCGGCACATAACGCTCGGCTACTAGGGGCCACTGGACCTAAGGGAACATCAGCGGGATTTTCAGGCCCTTCTTCAGTTGTTTCTGAAGCTCGGGGTGCACGCTCAGCAAGGGTGGGAATGCATCAGAGGAACTGAGTCACCCACGTGATGGTGGACAGATGGGGCCCCAAGGGACTCCTGGGAGGGTGTAGGACTCATCTGTCCATTTGTCTAGATAGGTCTAATGAGTCTGTCAGGCAGGGTAGACTTCAGCAAGCCTTACTCTCTTCATTCTCCACCGTCCTTTAGGCATAAAACAATCTTGGATCCCCTGTCAGAGGGTTGCGGCCGTGACTCAGAACTAGGTCAAGAAGGGGTTGGGGAGCTCCTGCAGGAACCCCCAAGGGTGACGTGGCTTCTATTGTCTGGTAAGACAAAAGTGGCCCTGGCTAGAGATTACAGCTACCTGGACAGGGACTTCCACACGAGCTGTGTGGAAGCTCTGGGAGGCCAGAGCTCACCTGAAAGCTGAAGACAGGGTCTCTGAGGAATGGCGATTCAGAAGCCCTTTGGGCCTGAATTAACTTTGTCTCCATGGAAGGACAGGCTAGACTGCTGTTTAAGAAGTTTGTTTTGTTTTTGGTGCTGATCCTGGGGCTTGAACTCAGGGCCTGGGTGCTGTCCCTGAGCTGGTTTTGCTTAAGGCTAGCACTGCACCACTTGAGCCACAGCACCACCTTTGGCTTGTGTTCTTAGTAGCTTATCAGAGATAAGAGTTTTATGGCCTTTCCTGACTGGCTGGCTTCGAACCTCCTGAGTAGATAAGTGTATAGGCATGAGGCACCAATGCCCAACTTATTTAGGAAGTCTTTATGCTCCCAGAAAAAGCTTTCTGAGTTACTTTGGAGGTGAGAGGAGGATCTACTAGGCATTGTTCTCCAGGACCTGCCTGTATCTTCAGATCCTTATAGACCCCATAAGTTCCTCTTGTGCAAGGTCATTTCCACCAACATGCCATGGTGAACAAGGTGAGCCTAATACCTGGGTCTAGGCCTCCATCTGGCTAGATTTTCTAGAGAGGTTTCTCACCATTGAAATGTATCTTGGCCAACACTTTGCCAGGGATGCCAGGCTCAGCCCAGCCCAGCTCCCCACCCTGAAAGCAATGCAGCAGACCCATCACTTCCCATCTTACCTGGCTTCAGTGAGGTTACTCTGGAAAGCCAGGCCAAGGGGAGAGTGATGAAGTCAGTGACCAGGGTGCCTATTGCCAAGTGATTTGAAGCTATTTCTTCCTCTGGGCCCTGAAGAAATAAATGACTACCTCCCAGGAAAGATGAGGATTGAACAAGATGAGCCTACAAGACTCCCACAAGTGAGTCTCAAGGCTGCCAGGGACAACTTGGTCCCAGAACTTGGAGCCTTAGGCACATGAGAAGCTGAGGAGGAGGAATGTAGAGACTGAACAATACTAGGTTGGGCACATCCTTTCCTGGCCTATCCCCACACTGCGGAAGGATATAAGACCCTGCAGCCCCCAGAGGTATGGTTTGCTTAGTCCATAGACTGGGGGTTGAGGTGTGGCTGTAGGGGCCTGGCTTCGCCATCTTGCTTTGACCCTGGGAGGATTGTTTACCCCTGGGAACATTTCTCAAGGGCAAAGGCAAGGCCTGGACTCAGCCAGAATTCTGTGCCAGGAAGGGGCTGCACGGCCAAGTAGATGCCGCCTACCCCAGTGTTTCTGGGCACTGCAGCAGGAATCATAGTTACAGTTTGTATCTATAAATACAGGGTCATATAGAGGGCAAGGTCTAGCTAAGTGGGCAACTAAAGTTTCAGGTTCTTGTGACACCCCAAGAGGGCACTTTAGAAGCAGCTCTCTAGACATCTGCAGTCAGCTATGTCCCCTGCACATCTGAGTGAAGCACCCTGTCCACGGCCAGGGATCTGAAGAGCAGCTACTCTGCTGGCCTGCAGCCACCAGAGGAACCAGCCACACCTGTTCCCACACCCACACTCTGCACTTGACTCAAACTGAAGTGGTGAGGGGTGGAGCCCTGTGCTCCAAAGGGGCCTTGGAGGCAAATGCTCTGGACACGGGCGCACGTAGGAGCATGAAGTATCTTTTCTGGAGTGCAGCAGCTGCCAGGCTTGCTGTGGGGCCAGGGACCTATAGTGTGGGTGAGAGCAATTCCCTGAAGGCTTGGACCCAAAGTCTAAGGTAGTATTCCTGGTGTCCAGTCCTACCTGTTTCCCTCCTGCAACCCCTGCTCCAGGAGTGACAGAGAGGCCAGGGACAGGGAACTTTGGCTTTAGCTCACATAGATCCAGATGCAGAGTAGGGATGCCACACTGAAGAAGTTGTTACAGGTTTTATTCTCCCCTTAGAGATGAAGAAACAGATCCAAGGGCTGAGGTGACATTCTTGAAGGCATCACCATGAGACAGACAGAGGTCCTAATTTGGCCTGCCTGACCCAAAGCCCATGCACTTTCAAATACTTCCCCTTCTCCAGCCACTTCCCTCATTGTATAAAGGGGGAAAATGAGGCAAAAAGCCTGGAACACCAGAGCCTACCTGGCCTGGTGCCCTGCTCAACCTCTCTGTTATGGGATGGAGGGCCCACTTCAGCTCCTTGAGCTCAACCAGAGTGGGGTGGTTGTGGCCACATCCCCAGAAGAGAACAGCCCGATCCCAGAACCAGACATCACACGTCCCACCTGTGGTAATTAGCAATGTTCTCTAGCTACAGCCAGGGAATGTCATTATGTGGGCTGGCAACCAACTGAAATCCGATTAAAGGGGCCTTATTCCCCAGGCTGTGGCAGGTGTTCAGAGTTGGTAGCCTGAGTGGCACAGGGGCTCCCCATTTGATCGGTGTTTTCTCAGCCCAAGCCCCAGATCAGGGCAAGGCAGCAGTCATGGCCTCAGGCTCATGCTGCCCCTCACAGATACCCCTCGGGAGCTGGGGGTGAGACCAGTGGGCAGATCAGAGAGACTGACAGCTGTGCTTCTGAACAGGTTTTGTTTTGCGCCAGTACTGGGGCTTGAACTCAGGGCCTGTGTGCTGTCCCTTAGATTTTTGGCTCAAGGCTCAAGGTACCACTTGAGCCACAGCTCCACTTTCCGCTTTTGGGTGGTTAATTGGAGATCTGAGTCTCACAGACTTTCCTGCCTGGGCTCACTTCAAACCAGAATCCTCAGATAGCCTCCTGAACAGCTAGGATTATATTATAGGCCACCAGCACTTGGCCTGAACACATTTTGAGCCGCCTACCTGAGGCCAGACTGAGGAGCTGACTGCCTAGCTAAGCAGTACTGCCCTTAGGGTTGCTACACAACTGTGTGTCTGATAGGACTAATAGGTAACAGCCTGATGGTCCTACAGGTGATGGGGTAACATAGGCAGGAATAATAGCAAAACCATTAGGGGGAGCCCCAGGCATGGGCTCAGCCTAGTGCCATCTCTGCGTGTGGCCCCGGCAAGTTCCTTCTCTCTGAGCATGTTTGGACCTCTGCAGCATGGAGCTGTAGGTGTTTCGTGAGGTTACATGGCCGATCACTGGTGAAGCCTTATATCTCCTTCCTCTAGACCTTCTGCCCCCTGAGGTTTGCAGCCTCCTCAACCCAGCAGCCATCTATGCCAACAATGAGATCAGCCTGCGTGATGTGGAGGTCTATGGCTTCGATTATGACTACACGCTGGCCCAGTATGCGGATGCACTGCACCCTGAGATCTTCAGTGCCGCCCGGGACATCCTGATTGAGCACTACAAGGTGAGGCAGACCTAAGCCACAGACACCATGGCTGGTGGCCGGGCTGATCCCCTGAAGGACCCTTCTCTGAAGCCTAGCCTGCTTTTGCCCAACAGTACCCAGAGGGGATTCGAAAGTATGAGTACAACCCCAGCTTTGCCATCCGTGGCCTCCACTATGACATTCAGAAGGTAGGTGGCTAGATGCTCACTCTTCCCACTCCTTCTGGACACGTAACAGGGGCTACTTCCTTAGCCTCAAGGGAGGAGGCTCTTCTCTCTACACCCCTTGGCCTCAACACTGTAGCTTCTTTCTTCTCTTTATGTACCTGGTCCCCTTGGTATCCTGCAGTGGCAGATTTGTGTCAGGGCTAGGAGAGGTTGACAGGAGCTACCTCCTTACCACTGGCCTCCCCTCCACCCCGGATCCCCCCAGAGCCTTCTGATGAAGATTGATGCCTTCCATTATGTACAACTGGGGACAGCCTACAGGTCGGTGCTCCTCTGCCCCAATCTCCCCTATGCCCCCACCCTGCACTGCTGCTTAGGCTGAGACTGATGGCATCTGTGCCACCACTCAGGGGCCTCCAGCCTGTGCCAGATGAAGAAGTGATCGACCTATATGGGGGCACCCAGCACATCCCACTGTACCAGATGAGTGGCTTCTATGGCAAGGTATCTCCTGCACCTGCTACAGTGCGTGCTAGCTCCCCACGTGTCCAGCCCTGGCCCACAGGCCATGCCCGCTGCTAATGTCCTAAGGCAGTTCTGAAGCCCTTGGTCTCCCCTGCTGGGAATAGTAGGGCCAGAGAGGTGGCTAAGATATGTCTCCTTCCTAGGGCCCCTCCATCAAACAGTTCATGGACATCTTCTCACTGCCAGAGATGGCACTGCTGTCCTGTGTGGTAGACCACTTCTTGGACCATGGCCTGGAGTTTGACCAAACACACTTGTACAAGGATGTGACGGTGAGGATACTGGGTCTGCCCCTTAGATGGCAAGAAGAGGAAGTCCAGCTGTAACAGGCAGGCCCTCTTGGAGCCCGCTGTGCCTTCACTGTCCCCCTATATCTACTTCCCCCAGGATGCCATCCGAGATGTGCATGTGAAGGGCCTCATGTACCAGTGGATTGAGCGAGACATGGGTAAGGGTGGATGGTAGCCCGACCACAGCCTGCCGGGGGGGGGGGGGGTGGTCCTCATAGACCCATCCTTTCCCTCAGAGAAGTATATCCTGAGAGGGGACGAAACATTCGCAGTGCTGAGCCGCCTGGTGGCCCATGGGAAACAACTATTCCTCATCACCAACAGTCCTTTCAGCTTTGTGTAAGTCCAGCCTCCCTGTGGGAGGAATAGGGGTGGGTGGGGGTACACACAGCACCACCCTTAGACCTGCAGCCATTTCCCCCTCTACACAGGGACAAGGGGATGCGGCACATGGTTGGTCCTGATTGGCGCGAACTCTTCGATGTGGTCATTGTCCAGGCAGACAAGCCCAGCTTTTTCACTGACCGTCGCAAGTATGGCCTGGCAGAGACTACAGACAGGGTCAGGGAAGGAGGTGGAGGCCCTAACCCTGTGTGGGGGCTGAGGCTGATCTTTGCTCACCACTTTGTGTGCTTGGAATGAGCTCATCTCTTTGCTAGAATATGGCCCCTTCAGTGGATGGGCTTTTTCAAGAGAGGAGGGAGGTACCTGGCCCTTAACCCCATCACAGACTGAAAATCAAGTCCTTTACCCTCCCCCAGGCCTTTCCGAAAACTGGATGAGAAAGGTTCTCTCCACTGGGACCGTATCACCCGCCTAGAAAAGGGCAAGATCTATCGGCAGGTGAGGCGTCTTGAGTAGAATCTCACCCTGATGAAGGAATATGGGTGGACAGGAACTATCCACATAACCATGGCCCTAGCAACATCACACTGTGGGACTAAAGCCAGAGACCACCAGGGCAGGGCAGGGCAATGTGGAGAGTGAGCTTGGCTTCTGGGTCACAACTGGGTTTAAACTCCACTTAAAAACAGGGGGTCAGGACTAGGAAGGTGGCTCAGTGGTAGAGCACTTGCCTTGCATGCTCGAGCCCCTGGGTTCGATTCCTCAGCACCACATAAGAAAAAAGCCGGAAGTGGCGCTGTGGCTCAAGTGGTAGAGCGCTAGCCTTGGGCTAAAGAGCTGAGGGACAGTGCCCAGGCCCAGAGTTCAGGCCCCACGACCAGACCCAAAAAAAAAAAAACGGGGTCTGGCTTAGATGCCACTGTGCCTTGCTTTCTTCCTCAGCGAGAGAATAAACAAAGTTGTAGTGTAAAGCCCTCAGAATGCCCTGCAATTGCCCAACACCAGTTAACGGCACTGACAAGTTGGGACTGAGCACACACAGAAGCAGCCTGGTTAGGCATCCTGAGGCTGGCCTTTAAGGAGGCGGCTCATGAGAGTGCATTGGGGAGCCACCCCCACTTCCTGTCTGGCAAGAAAGTGAAGTGGGTAAGGCTGGGTGTTGAATAGCCATGAGAAGATGATGAAGGCATTTCACCCTGGCTGGAATGTGAAAATCTTAGCTGAGCTTCTTAGAGGCAGGCATACCAAAGGTCTTAAGGCTTGGGGGAAGCCAGCAGTTAACAGGGAAAACAATACTGGGTGCCCAGGCTTAGCTTGCAGGCAGTGTTCCCACCCCTGTATCTGCCGAGCTTCACCTATCTCTCTGCAGACAAGAGGGGCGGGGGGGGGGGGGGGGGGAGGTACAGGTGCATCATGGGAAGGTGACTTTCTGAGTGCTCCTTATGCTCCATGTCCTAAAGTTTCCTTATACTGTACGTTGGATCTGCTTGGGTCTGAGAACCTCATCGTAAGTTCCCTGTCTTTCTGCATCTTTCCAGTCTCTCAGTCGGGAGGCATGTCCTTCACACCGCTCTGCGGTGGGTCTGCCTATTCCCCTGGTTCCCATCTCCCCAAGGCTCTTGAGCAGACTTGCTTTGGGAACTGGCCTTTGGGTATGCCTTCTCCTGGGGTGTGGATGCCTGTACCTGGTGGCTGCTGCACTTCTAGTTTTGGCACCTCTAGGAAGGAGTTTCTCAGTTATGCTTGGTCTTGGCTGCTTCAAGCTTTTGAGCAAGAGAAGCACGTGGCCTGCCAGTGAATTTTGCTCTTGCTTTGCTGGGGCTGAGTCAGCCAACAAAGACTTCCAAGGCCCTTTGCTTTAGGGAGCGGGGCCTTCCTTGTGATCTGTTTCTCACAAACAAGAACGCAGCCTGGGGTGGGTGTGAGGCCATAGCGGGGACACCCCTGAGGGCAACGAGGCCACGGGAAAGGCCAGCCTACTTTCCCAGCATCCGGCTAGCCTTGGCTGCCTCTTGGGATTTAGCAGGGCTGAGGGAGGACAAGGCCTGCTTCCTGCAGCCCTAAAGTGCGCAGTTGGCTCAGCAGTGTCCACGTCTACTGCAGGGAAACCTGTTTGACTTCCTGCGCCTGACAGAATGGCGAGGCCCACGTGTGCTCTACTTTGGTGACCACCTTTACAGTGACTTAGCGGTAGGTGAAGGGGTCAGGGCTACCGCAGGAAGAGGGTGGGGGTAACCCTCCCAGCTAGCACTGAGGTCCATCCCAACACCACACCTGCCAGGATCTCATGCTGCGGCATGGCTGGCGCACAGGTGCCATCATCCCTGAGCTGGAGCGCGAGATCCGCATTATCAACACGGAGCAGTATATGCACTCGCTGACCTGGCAGCAGGCGCTAACAGGACTGCTAGAGCGCATGCAGGTGTGAGGGGCTGAGGGTTGGGGGTGTCTAGTGGGGGAAGCCAGTGAGGCAGCCTCCTGCCATCACATATTGTCTCCTCAGACCTATCAGGATGCAGAGTCTCGGCAGGTTCTAGCTGCGTGGATGAAGGAGCGGCAGGAGCTGAGGTGAGCGGGGAGACAGCCAGGCCCGGAGTCCTGACCCAGCCCCTCCTGTGCCCGCCCCTCATACGGCCCCATGTTGCCTTCCCAGGTGTATCACCAAGGCTCTGTTCAACCCTCAATTTGGGAGCATATTCCGCACCTTCCACAACCCCACCTATTTCTCAAGGCGCCTGGTGCGCTTCTCGGACCTCTACATGGCTTCCCTCAGCTGCCTGCTCAACTACCGCGTGGACTTCACCTTCTACCCGCGCCGCACACCCCTACAACATGAGGCACCCCTCTGGATGGACCAGCTCTGCACGGGCTGCATGAAGACACCCTTCCTGGGAGACATGGCACACATCCGCTGAGGGTGCCTTTATTGTCTCGGACAAACCCCCAGTCCTTCCTACACCATCCACCTCGGGCAGCCATCCAGACAAGCAATAAAATGGTCTCCTTCATCCATGTGCCTCTGCTTCAGCTCTCAGCCCTCACTTGACTGCAAGGATCCTCTGGGTGTCAGGGAAGTCATCCTCCAGGAGTGAGTCCTAAGACATATAGGCCATCTTCAAACAGGGGAGCACAGGCCCCAGGGCCCCTTTCCACACCCTAAACCCATACTACACTCACATCAAAGGGCTCACAAAAGGCATCATGGCTACCAAAGATGGGGTTGGGGACAGAGACCAGGGTTGGGCTGGTGGGCCCTTCTTGCCATGGAGAGAAGTCTTCATCAGCATCATCTTCTGCCTGGAAAAAAAAAAAAGCAGAGTGAGGGGCCGCAAGCAAGATCAAAGCACCTCACATTCCATCGGCCCTCTAATCCAACCCCTACCTGAAAGGCAGAGAAGCTAAAGCCTGTGGGCTTCCCTCGGGTGCGCAGGTAGAAGGCCCCAGCCACAAGCCCGAGCAAAGTTCCAGCAGCTACCACTGCTCCCACCCCTGCTGCCACAGGCGGTGACTCAGGTGCCAATACTGCCTCCTACAAGTGAAGAAAGTGTCAAGGGCCTGGCCAAAGGTGGCCCTTTACAGCTCTGCCTTCCCCTTCCGTGGACTTACAGGCTGTAGGGGTGCCAAGAGGGGACTGGCCAAAACATGAATGATGCCATTGAAGGCCATGATGTCCCAAAAGATGACATGGCTGACCACAACTGCCCCAGGAGCCTGCAGGAAAACCAGAGTTAGGCCCTGAAGGTGAGTGAGGGCTAAGCCAGCAGGGTAGGGACAGAGACCAGACTCACCGCAGGGGCCCAAGAACTGTTGTCAGAGCCCATGTCATTTATGAAGAGGCTGAGACCTGAGTGGGCAGGGAGCAAGATCCCTTGGCTGGCATTGGCACTCAGGAAGGTAGCATTGGACGCATGCAACTCCAGGTCTGGACCAGTCAGCGTCTGGGCAGAGCAAGATCTATTCGGTTAAGCCACCTATAGAGAGCAAATTGGGGCTCTGCTGTGCCCACACCCCTGCTGTTACCATATTGTGCGCAAAGCCTTCATTGACAGGGACAAAGAGTGTCTTGTAGGTAAGCTCATCATTCAGGAAGTCCAAGAAATCAAGCCCTTGCTGCGTGGTGTTGGCATAGCCCAGCAACATCTGGGAGGGTGGGAACATAGGGCTGTGGCAAGTTTCCTTCCTGGGGATCCCAGTTACCTTCCCCTTATGCCTAAGGTGAGCCCCTGCACACCCCATAGAAGGTGGAGAAGTTGGCAGTAGCAGCCAGTACATCCAGCAGCTTCCCATTGCACACACTGATCCCATCGCCCACAAAGCCGACCTGACATCTGCAAGTCACATCTGTGGAAAAGGCAGATCAGTGGGTTGCTGGCAGGGGCAGAGCAGGAAGCTGGGCTTAGTGGAATGCACCCACCTTGCACACGGTAGCAGTAGGCATCCCAGTGCTCCGAGAGATTCTTACGTACACCCATGCTGACCACACCCACCCGACCATCACCACAGTCCGCCGCTGGGAAGACAACAGGGTGGGCAGCAGAACCATTGGCCAGCCATCCCACGAGGCAGAGGTGGAAGCCCAGCTGTAGGGGTAGCAGGAGGAAATGCTGAGACCCAGGCTCAACTTTATAGATCCTGTTAGGTGTGGCTCCCACTCCAGATCCCACACACCTGCTGGGCAGCAGAGAGCTGAGAGAGTGAGGCCAGGACAGCTCCCTGGGCCCCACAAGCCATCTCAGCCTCTGAGAAGGTCAGGCCATAGGGGCCGCTGCTGGCCTGAAGGTGGAAGACACCAGCCTTCTTTTCTGTAGAAGGGAGGATGCATGATCAGCCAACTGGCACCCAGGGGTAAAACCAGGTTCTGGAAGTAGGCAGGGGAGCACACCCTGGAAATGTAGGTCAGTGCACACAGCATCTGCATGGCAGGGTGATGGATGGCCCAGGCAGCGGTCTACGGGCGGCTCGGGCTCCTCCAGACATAACAGTCCATCGCCCACATAACCCGCGTGGCATTCGCAGCGCCGTGTGTTCTGGGGGAGAACAAGGAGTGTCCTACAAAAGCTAAGGGGTGCACCTGTGAGGCATCCCCAACCCGGCTCCTCCCCCTGCTTACCGGGCCAGTGTTCAGGCAATCTGCGTGCTCGCTGCATCCCCCGCGGTGGCCGTCCAAACACGGGTTGCGAGCCCGGCAACTCCAGCCATCACCCTCGTAGTCAGACAGGCAGACACAAGCCACTACTGTGCCTACTTGACTGCAATTGGCATGCTCACTGCAGCCACCGTGCCCGTGCTGGCATAGATCCACCACTGGGGGGGGGGGGGGAGGGGCTGAAACAGGAAACTGAGCCTATTGGAGGCCCACCCACCTGTACATCCACCCGCTTACCTGTGCACACACGGCCATCGCCTTCATAGCCCAGGCTGCACTCACAGCTGTTGTTCACACGACACACAGCCTGGGGTGCACAGGGCGGGACACACACAGGCTGCAGCTCTGTGCCCCAGGGCCCATCCCACATGACCAGGTCAGTAGCTGTCCTTTGGACCTCTTCCTCCCACCCTCATGCAAGTGTGCAGCAGGAGCGCAAGCACAAGCTCCACTCACCCAGCTGTACTTCACAACGTGACCCAGTCCAGCCTTCATCACACCAGCAGGAGCCAGACCCCCCGAGCCCCTCGTCACAGTGGCCGTGGGGGCCGCAGCGGCAGGCTGGGAAGAAGAGTGGTCAGGAAGAGCAAGACTGGCCCACCAGCTATGGAAAACAGGACAGGGTGGGGAGAGCCTCACCTTGACACTGGGGGCCAAAGGCACCAGGAGCACAGAGTTCACAGGCTATCCCAGCAAAACCTGAACGGCACACACACTGTCCGCTGCCACTCATGCCATCCATGCACACACCATGGCTGCTACACGGGCTGCTGGGGCCACCAGGGCAAGCTGCAGGTTGAGTAGCAGAAGTAAGGTAGAACCAGGGGCTCATCAAGATACCCACACATGAAGCCCAGCCTGACCCTCTCTCTCCCATCCAGTGGTAGCCAAGGCTCTTCAAAGAGTACCAAGCACACAAGCCACCAAGCCAAGAGACCATCCAAAGCCTCCATCTTTCCTCTAAGTCTGCTCAGTGCCCAACTTTCCCCATCCTGGAGCATGCCACTACCCTTTCTTGGGGACTGGTTGAAACCTTGTCCTTGGCTATCTTGGGGGCTAGAGGCACCAGTCAGCAGTGCCTGCAACCTCAGGCTGCTCACCTTGGCACTCACTGCCATAGTGACCAGGGCAGCATCTGGGCTTCCAGACGGTGGTGACACAATTGCGGTAGCAGCCCCTGCTCAGGCGTTGGGTCTGTCCCCAGGGGCTGGGCCGCACCCAGGCGCTACGAAGTGCCAAGGAGCTCAGCAATGGGGTTGTCCAGAACTTGGAGTAGTGGCGCCAGCACGCCTCAGGGGTGCCCTGGGCCAAGAGGAGACAGACCACAGTCAATCCCAGGTTGCTTTTGTCCCTATCCAATCCCCACCTCAGCTCCAAACTCCCTACCTGCTCCCATGAGCCCTCGGGACAGGGTAGCTCCAGCCCACAGATACTGCAAGTCTTCTGGAAGGGATGAGGCCAACATGTGTAAAGTCAGATGAATAGACAGGACAGATAGGCTTGGGGCCTGCCCATCCACTTCTGGCCAGTGTCCTCCCCTCACCATTTGCAACGACTGGGTCGCAAAGTGATCACATCGGGAACCAAGGCCAGGTGGCTCTAGCAGCTGGTCAATACCATAGGCCAGACCACCTTCAAAGGGCAAGTGCCGCTGAACAATGTGGGCATCGTCCTCACCCACCATGAGCTCACCCTGTAGAGGAAATGATTGGAGGATGTAGGGATCCTAGGTACTATAGCCTCACACTGCCCCTCCTGCTTCCCTCCTACCCAGACTCACTGGCCGGGCACGGCTGCAGGAGAAGGAGATGGGAGTCCCATGCATTGTTCGGAGTGGGCCCAGGTTGGGCAGATCAGATGCCAAGGCCTGAACAAATGGAGCCATGATAGGAGCTGGGCAGGCAGGGTAAGCTGGAGACAATGGGGACCAGTAACTGGCCACGTACCCACCTCAACATTGCGGATTATGTGGCCCCGCAGAATGGCTGCCAGCTTGTCACGGTGGTCCTCGTGGTACAGCCAGGCCTGCCGATCAGGAGGCAGGGCTTGCAGGGCGGAATCTGTGGGCCACAGCATTGTCAGGGGCCTGTGGGACACATCTCGAAGCATTGGCAGGAGGCCAGCCACCTGGTGTGATGGAGCACAGGTGTAGCAGTGAGAGATTTGGAGGGGGACACAGAGACCAGGAAAGGGCTCCAGAGACCCAAACAGCCTCCCTTGTAGCCACATTCATCTCCAGCGGATAGTAGTCCCCTTCATCTATGGGAAATACATCCCAAGACCCCCAATGGATGCCTGAAACCCTGAACAGTACTAAAACTGATAAATTGACCTTTTTTTCTATACCTATGATAAAGTTTAATTTATAAACTTGTAATAGTAATCTTACAAGATTACTATTGTTAATCTCTTACATAGAACAATTACTCTTATACAATAGAACAATTACAATAATACATTGTAATAAGGGTTGTTTAATGTAACTGCTCTAAACAACTAACATTTTAACAAAAGGAATAACAGGAAGCTGAAACATACTTTGTCAAGTCAAGGAGCAGAAGGCAGAAAACTGAAGGGAGGAAGGGTGGGCAATACAGTCATTATAGTCAATGTACATGTGAAAACGGAACCATGTAACTTGAAGGTCTGGGTATGATTGGGACAGATGGAAGATAATGATATAAAGGATGTATTGATCAAGGTGTATTGTATTTATAAACTGATTTGTTGAGTTGAAACCTCTTTGTACAACTACTTAAAGATTTTTAAAGCTGGGTACTGGTGGCTCACACTGTAATCCTAGCTTCTCAGGAGGCTGAGATCTGAGGATCACAGTTCAAAGACAGCCCAGGCAGGAAAGTCTG